ACTCAACATTCAGATTACTTGAATTATTTAACTTTCTGTCATGATAATAAAAATCATTGGTTATTAAGTTTGTTATTAATCACTAATAAAGTGACTAATGGATTCATATCAAGCTCATTAACGTTTTAACTAAAAATTAAAAAAAAAAACAACAACAAATGAACGCAGACAAGTATAACAGTTCAATCGATATTATCAAGGAAGTGTGATAGACTTTGGTTAAAAAACTTTTTTTAATAAAAGAAGAAGAAAATACTTCAGTTAGGTAATTATAAAAAAAACCCTAGTAGAAAGTTTTACGTGAGTATTTTTTAACCAGGCCATTTTTATCTCCAAAGATCTTGATCCTTTTTAATCTCACTTTTATCATTTTTTTAAATAATTTCAGTTGAAGTGCAAATTGTATAGAGAAGCAACAAAAAGACTACTTTAAGTGTATGATAAATATGCAAAGCATCATTGAAATTAAATCCCCACAGAAACTTGATGAAAAACAATGGCCTTGTATTTCCGACGGAAATGTTGCAAGAATAAGAGAATTTTTAAAAAACTATCTTTATACATCAACAAATAGGCGGGAAATGAGAAGTAAATGCCATCAGAGTATAGTATTGCAGAATGAAGTGTCTGCCACAGGCGGACGGGAAAGTGAAACGTATACATAATAATCTACTCTATTCCCTATGGCGTCTTGTACTTTTTTTTACTGGTTCATATATGGCTTAGACTCTGTGAGAATTCTGTTGATTTTTTAATGACTCTGGTATATGATGTTTCTTGATCAATCTTGTATAGAAAACTGTCGGCAAATCACAATTATTTGGAATTTCTATTCCCATATAAAAAAATCTTTTTCCATTTTATATATCAAATATTGATCATAATTAATAACTACTTGTTCTACTAATAAACATATCTAATCCATAGCATACTGAACCACCTGGAAAAGAAGATAAATATATTGAACACTAAAGTTTAATTAAGTTTCTAATTTTGAATCAACCTTAATAATCTAATGATTAATAAATAAAATAAGTTTATTTAAAAAAGCTATTAAACATCAGACTTTCCAGTATTTTTGTGATTTGTATGATCCATCTTAATGAATAATAAATGAATGGATTTTAAAATATTTTTTACATTTTCATTTTCACAAGCACATAACGTTTTCTAAAAACAACTAAACATTAATTATTTATAAATCCTATATTATTTGAGTGAATTTTATTCAATGTAAATAAACGTTACAAATAATTTTTTTACCGTTCTAAACTAATCAAGTAAAATAAAGTTGCACATAACATTAATGATAAATTCAAGCAATAATTTCAATTGAATGCAATTTAATTAGATACTTAATTAATTAATTTGACATATAATAATTTAAACAGTTAACATTTTTACATTTTTAAAATAAAACCAATTAAAAATCATAAAAATTCATCTCTTAAAAAATCTTATTTAATTGACTGTTCTAAGGAAATTTTGAAATAAAAAATAATTCGATTGATTGATCAATAGTTATTAAGTTAAAAGAAATTACTATCACTGATAACTAATTTTACTGTAAACAACTTGATTATTTCCGTACAATAACATAAAAAAAGGTATCTTGAAACTAATCATTCGCAATTTGTAACCGTTTCAATGCTTGAGCAAGCATCATATATTAAATAACGATAATAATCAAAACACCAAGTAATCTTTTTTATGAGAGCTTAATGTGAGTGTTTTGAATATTTATAGATTCACTTAATCTTACGAATGTATACAAGGTCAATTAGTTAATGAGCTGGACAATAAGAAAAAAAATTTTAATAGCACAACCCGCGTGAGATACTTTGCTATTGTATCGTACAGATAGTTAAACGTAGTCGTGCGACCTCGATATGCATGCGATACAATCCTACAGCTTTGCGACCAATTACTTCGTTATTGGACGGATTCCTTGTACACTTTCACACCTTTCTTACATGTTGCACATTCGTGTTCACATAACATTCATATTTATCTGAAGAATACACTCTTAATTCTGCATTCTCTAACACACTTTGTAAATAAAAACCAACTGTATTTGTCTATTTAGCAAATGAACTCTTTTTTACTGTATTTATTGTTGTTTTATATTTTTTAACAAAAATTTGATTGGAATTTTAAATAGATCCTTTATTTATTACTACTTTTTTTATTACCAAATTATGAATTTGACTATGACAATGATAATAATTATACTGATCTCTTCATGAGAGTTATTATATTGTTGATAAATAGTCTAGAGTACAAAGTATTTTTTTAAGATTGTTAGTTGTAAATATTTTGTAAAAATGAATGAGTTTCCTTAATTATTTCATTTATAGGTATTATTAAATGGTTAATTAGAAAAATATGTCACTTTCTACAGAAAGTTACAATTATCAATTTGCAAGTGTTTAATTGAGTCCTAAATCAGATAATAATACTAGGACAGATGATCATGAACAAAAAATCATTCAATCGATATCAAAAAATATAGTATCAACCGAGAGTCGATTTCTATCCGGATCGAATTATCATTGAGAATGAGATAGATTTAAACTTTCTCTTGTTAATTTTTCACCAATAGATTATTCGAATAAATGTATTAATTATTATATTCCCATTTACATATTGTAGATCAATTAACTCAACTAAACTCATTCTTCCAGTAAATTTAGTTTATAACGAAGCTATAAATTCACTTGAGAAACGATTTTTTTTTAACGATAGAAAGACATGTTTACAATCGAATAGAGCACTTGTTGGCTATTTAGTTCTTTCATTTTCCATGTCAAACGTCAAATGGAATTGTCAAACGAATTCTATAAAAATGAAACTATCGTGAGGGAATACTAAAAAGTAGAGCAAATATTCACAGTAAAGTAAACCATGAATAGAATATTGAATATTTAAAGTTTATTGTAAAAATATTCTAGAATTTTTTATATTTATTCTTAAGATGTGATTATGATTACTTGTTGCATGTATTAATTGATAATAGATTGAGTGTCAATAAATAAATAATAGATAACTAGAGAAGAAATATGTTTGTAGACAGATTAACTCAGATTACAGATTGAAGAGCTTTTTAAAGCCCATAATAAAAGTAGTATTAGATACAAATATTTTTTTTATTGAAATAAAAATAAAAGATTCTGATGCAAGTTGTTAGAACTTCAATGTTCTCCAAAACGTAATAAAAATTGCCATATATTTTATCTAACTAATATCAAAGTGTTATAGTTGATACTAATCAGTCATACTTGTAGAAAGAATGAATCATCAAGAAATTCGATTCAAAAGAAAACTATTGTGTTGTAAGTTTATAATTAGATTGTCTGGATCTGAATTATTGAATAAAATTATAATCTTTATTAAAACAAAGTAGATATTGAATTCAATCATTATTACTCAATAAACTTACATATCTTGAAAGTCAGTCAAATTATTATCAGACGATATGTCAATTTTATGCCTGTTATCTTTTCCACCGTTTAAAAGATATAATGATAAATGAAAATATATGGTTCAATGACTTTTGCAGATAGAATTTTTTAGCTAAAAAATATATCATTAGATATATTTGTTAAGATCAAACCAGTTCATCAAGATAATCTTGAATTCTAAAATACAATTTTTTGAAAACAAATAAATATTCAATAAACAAATGTATTGAAATAGATTTCTATCAAGAAAGTTGAATAGAAATACTTGTGTAAAAAGAAGAATATCATGTAAAAAGTTGATACATTTTCCTCTCACATTATTTATTTCCTCATTATTGTACTAAACTGCAACGTAAACAGTATCTATTGTATGCGTTGAGAGTCTGGCTGCATTGATCGAATCGTCTCGCGCAAGGAAATAAGCCGAGGGTGTCTCGTAGCAACCTATATCACCCTTGCTTCCTCCCTCTTCACTTAGCTGTACATAGCCAATGTAAATATCGCATGTGGACATACACTCGATAGCTATAATGTTCTCCAATTTCAATAGGTTTTAATTCAATCAATACTTGGATCTTCTATCATATAACAAGGAAATGAAACACTTTCAAATGATGCCAAAAATGTGTATTTTGAAATACTCTGAACCTATGCTTGAACAAAGTTCGAGGTCTATTGATAACTATTCATGTGTGTCAAGGCAAGATAAGTATATAATTTCCAACAGTCAGTCAACGCCGCTTGTAATCAAATCCTCAATTAGCGATAAATTTCATTGAAGCCAGATAATAAGAGGCTTAGTATGAAATTCAATACAAAATTAGTTAGCACAAATGTACGATAGTAATATTTTACAATGTGCATACGAGAATTCGAAAAATTATCTAAACAAATATAAATCATAAATTATTAACACGAAACAATAATAATAGATTTGAAAAGAATAATTAGATGAATAATTGCTATATTGTGTAATTAATAATCAGTTAAAAGTAAACGTTTTTATGTTAATACTTTGGATTTTCTTCAATATTATAAAATTAGTCTATAAATTTTTTTTATAAAAAATAAGACATTTATTTTAAGACAATGTCATATGGAATGTCAATTCCTTTAAAGTTATTTAATGTAATTTTTTAAAAATTATACAATTAACTCGTAGTTATAAAAAGAATGATTACCACTATTATCCTCGACATAATATTAATAATAAGTTTTAGTGAAACATAAACAAATTTTTTTTTCCTACAATCATTTTACTAAAAAAAAAAAAGTAGTGTATACTGAAAGTGCATCAGTTACACCATAAAAGTAGTTTAATCTTTATTTATATAAACTCTCATTACCGATTAATTATAGTCATCAATGAGATCAAGATGATAATAACTGGTGAGAACAAAATAGACAAAAAAAGTTTCTAATTTAATCCTATGATTATTATTTACACAATATAATACTATATACTAGTTCTTCAGGCATCTAATCAAATAAAAATCGATAAAACTGATTGACATTACACAAGTGATGAGAGAAATTTACCCTGGAGCATGTTGTGATCGGCTTCTTCGTCTGCTAGGCCAGAGATGCTGATGGACGACGATGATAGAATACTCATGTTGGCATAAATCTAGTATATACTCCAGCCAATGAATCAAACCTTCAGCCTACAGTGGACCGTCTAACCGTCCCTAATGACTTTTATCTTCAAGTCAAGGCATTAGAATGCATGAACCAATGATTCTTCTCATTGATTTGTTTAATATGAAAAGAAAATAAATCCTTTCTTTCTATTTCTCGTCTTGATTGAATGAGTTACGGTAAAGGTACAGGTGGAAGGTCAACCTGTTCGCTACGAGAACTTGCTTCGTTTCCTGTGTGCAGACAACAAATCTACTTTCACTTTATTTTTCGTTCTTTATATTATTATTCTCTTCAACTCTATTATTTACTTGCAGGACTTCTATGTAGCAGAATAGAATGTTACACTCAAAAATTAGAACGGTTAGACGGCCACTAGTTATCAGTAAATATCTTGATGACTCGTGTTTTTAATGTTCTTGATCAACAGGGAAGATTAAATGATCAAATGCCATTTCACTAAACACTTAGAGGTCACTAAAACTTAAGCCTGTTTGATTAAATTGTTTAGTTTGTTAATTAATAACGATTAAATGTTATGAAAACACACACTAACAACAGCTCCAGTATCTTCTTTTTGATGATCCTGACGACTCCTACGTCGACGCATAACGCATGACAACCAATCACGCCCTGCTTCACTGCTCTGGAATCGTCTGTTTTCGCGATCAATACATGTGCTGGTGGTTTGCGACTGCGCGGGCAGCAGACAGCGCGCGGAATGTCACGCAAAGTACATCAAATTAAAAGAGTACTTGATGAATATCATCAAAAGGTAGAAGAAAAAAAATATTTAATATCTTATTACATGAATGAAATTAATACTTTATTCATTGTATACTAACTCAAGGTATTAAGTAAACCAACTAAACCAGCTAAATAACAGTCTCATCGCTATGATATATCTTGCTTTTATCTTTCAAGTTGTTTTTGTTGCATTGACCTTGACTAAAACCAATGAATTTACGCAAAGAGTGCGCCACTGCCTGGAGTTTGGCACTTGAAGTTTGATTTTTAAATTGAATAATTCATCGATTGCAACAATGCAGTTGTAATCATTTTTTGTTGAATTAAAAAGATTCATTAGGGAATGTAAATGATGATAAAGATGGAAGAAAAAAAAGAAGATAAAGATGATGAGGAAAGTAGACTTATGAAGATCAACATTCGCGAGGCCAATTAGACCGCAGTAATAGAAGCTGGACTTTCAACCGAGAAATATACACGCAATACACTGCTGAACCTATTTACCTTTATTTATGTTTTTAAATGAGATGTGTTATAGAAGTATTCTTGTAACGATAAAGCCCAAAAATTAATTCACGAATGTGCACGAATCTACTAAGAAATAAAATACTTTTCGTTATCTACATATTCTGTAATCATTTGTATGCAGGAAATGACTTTTACGAATTCAAAGTTTATTACTCCCTCTCTTGTTTTTCATTTACTCTTTTTTTCTGTTTCTCACATTTGCAAAGTTTACTGACAGGTTTTGAATATTAGGAATGTCGAAAAGTTACTTGTTTTATAAAAAAAATCCTTGAAAAACATGAAAGTAGCTTACAAAGTTTTTTCTAAATCGAGTATACGACTAACAAGAAATTTAAATAATTCCCTTTTAACGAAAGTTACTTTTCAATAATAGTTATGCTAATGTATTCTTCAAAAGTATTTTTAATTAATTTTATACTACAGTATTAACTATGGTAGATTAACTAATCACTTTTGGAGTTGAAAATTGTACAATCAACAAGTATATGATAAATCAAAAAAAAAAAAAAGCTATAATCAAAAATAAACATACCTGACTGTGTCCAGCATTCAGTACATTCCTGGCATAACGATAACCAGTCAGACCTTAAGTCTTCGAAGCTTGCCATGACTTATAATCTTCTTTACAAAATATTTTAGTTTAATCGTTCAGAAATCTTGAACGTAATAAGTAACACACTGGTTATTTTACGTAACTTATCATACCTAAAGTAACAAAATAAAATACCATACCGAAGTTGAATTCACAACTATTAGAACACTTGTGATTACCTTTCAACATTCGGTTCTCACTTAGCGGCTTTCGTCCGCATGTTCTCTACTTCTTCTCCCGCTCGTTCAACTCAAGTTTCTGCTTCTTTTCTTCATCGCTCCCTCTATCGCGGTCAACTGCCGTTTACATACACATACTATCACTCAGCTCAATCGCTGTCTCTTTTTTGAAACCAGTACTTGCTCTCCGTAGAGTGTTTATTTTCAACTTATAGTACCTTAGGGTTGTGGTGAACGTTTAATACCTGTGTGAGGTTCCACCTGTGTGAATAACCTGCAGTTGAGCACACCCATCTCTGTTTTGATATGTCGCTCTCAAGCCTGTTACTTTACTGTTTTCATTCTTATAAACATTCATTCTGTGTGATCACAAGGTTTTCGAACATCTGAGACTACAAATGGACAAAAAAATGTTTCAACAAAAAATCAAACGTAAATAGAAATGAAAATTAAATGTTTAAAATAATAATGAATTATTTTTATTTCACCTTTTTATTATACTAATGAGAATTTTAATAAAAAATTTAATTTTTTTGAACTTTCAGAAAACCAGCAGTATTAGAAAAGTATTTAGCATTTGCTTCATTAACTTTTTTCTCAGCCGCTTGTGGATTAACAATCTCAAGTCCTTGGAGAGGAGTAAAAGCAACACTAGAAGCCGTTCCAGAAACTTGTTTTTTTACAGTTGTACTACCACCCCATTGTTGTTGTTTTTGTAGATTTTTTTGTAGCGTTTTAGATATACGCACTTTAGTCTTTTCATCTATTTGAGGTAACCTGATTCTTCCAGTTCCTGCTTTTCCTATTGTACCTCGACTATAGCCGAGATCTTCTTGATACGCGTCACTTTCAATCTGCAACGAAGAATAAAATATTAATGAAAAATTTTGATTAAAAAATACTATCAAGATGTATCAAAAATAAAAATAAACATACATCAGCAAAGTTCATTCTATTAGCATGTTTTCTAAATTCTGTGATAGCATATCTTTCTTTCATTTTTCTCACACGTTTTCCTCCTCGCTTCTTTCTACCAGGATCAATCGGTTTAGGTAAAGGTTTGACAAATTTAACTGGTGGCGGCTCTTGAAGTTTATCTAATTTTTTCTCTATTTCTTCACGAAGACTTTGACCAATGTGTCCATCGGTACTTTCATGTGCAGCATCAACACGAGCAGCTAACATACTTTTAGAAGCTACTAACCTCGCCGCTTTTCTTCTGAGATCGGGTGGAGCGTCTTGAACGATATCGCAATAATAAATAAATCCGGTATGTGGTAATGTTGACGTTTGAGAAAATCCAGATAAAGTAGTTTTCTGTGAACCTAATACAAGTAGATTGCATGCTGGCATTTTGGATAGTTTAGTCAAGCCCCCAGCAACTCCCATTATCTTTGCTGCTGTTGATGCTCCAACGATTATTGAAAGGTTTGGAGCAATAAATGCCATTCTACTTTCCACATATTCATAAATTTTCAACTTGTAATTGTTTAACTCCAGTGCCATATCGCATGCTTCACTAATAGCGTCTTTTTCCTCATCAGTTAACAATTGCCCTTGAGTTGTTGAAGCCGTTACCGAAACAACCATAATAGTAGCTTGAGTCAGAAACTGCTGGAGGATTTCATTATTTTTTGCTTTGTCTAAATCATTGCTCAGCTCTTTGACGGTCATTACGTACTCCAGTGGACCAACAACTAGTGATTCAAGTTCAGGAAACCTTTTAGAATATTTATCTCGAACAAATCTATGGATTGTTGCAATCTCATTGTCTATATCTGCAGCTATGTTATTAGCTTCAACGATAAGCTGATATTCCGGATCTGATTCTACCGGTCCAACGATGTCTACACATTTTCTTGGGACTTTACTATATTTATCAATTTGTGAAACAATTTTATGCAACTCCGGTGAATCTCTCAACTTTGCCAATTCTTTTACTGTACTAACTTTTATATCTATAATAAAATAAAAAATTTAAGAGAATTAACATTATTTATAATAATATTGAAATTACTTATAATAATTTATAGTAAGTGCAATTTAATAAAATAATAACTAACCTTCTTTAGTGGCTTGAACAAGCGAAACAGGTGTAATAAATTCCAATTCATCTTCTTGCATTGCCTCATCTCCATCATCATCCTCTTCCAAATCAGCCAATAATTCATCGGCTAAAGACATTTTTAACACGAATTTAATGAAAAATTACTAGTTTATAAACAAATGTCAATTCTGCGTTATATTACGACCGGAAACAAATTTGTTTATTTCGTAATTTCCAAATGCTGCCATCGCGTGGAAATTTAATAAACTTGCTTTTGCAAAAAATTTGGCTGCAGCGCTACCATACCAATATCCGGTAATACAGATTGTTCCGGTGATACTATAGATCAAATCCTGTACCAAAAATGAAATAAATCACAAAGAGAAAAAAATAATTATAATAGTTTTGTGATATATAAATATAACATAGAATTATCTGAAGCCACGCCTGGCTTTATGATTCATCTTCATGCCAAAAGCAGTCCGTGATTTGTATTGTAAAAAAATCACGACAGGTTGAAAATACCTCAGCGGCATCAGTATCGCATTGTGCTCATATTCTTGACAGTACAAAACCATAGACAGCAATACAAAGAGTTGTCTTAGAAATTCAGTGTTTATTTCGAAAAAAATAAATTTTTTGTGTATTTTATCCGGTGACAAAAGAAAATTTGGTGTAGTATTGAATAAAAAATTTAAAAACCAAATAAGATGAATTAATAATTGGCAATTATTTCACATAATGAGACCATGTGTTACTAACAACAATGCGATGGTGGGAGAGCCTACATTTTCTTATTCGCAATATTGCATTTTTTTCTGTTAAAGTTATCATGTAGTTCGGTAAGTGCGAATAGTTGATCAGAAGACTTTCGCTCAAGAATTAACGTGTTCTCATTTAATATTCTATGCAAATTATAAAAACTAGAGCAAGTGATCGAGATATCGATGTGGATGATGGCAAAGATTGAAAGTTTCAATGAGAGATGAAGCGTCGTTAGAACTGGTGATGCGCAAGATCTTGTTCTTCCTAGAACTAATTGTAAAGTTTTTTATTTGCATAATTACAGTGGTTATTAGATTATAACAAATTTATTTTTATTGATAATTGTCATAAAGAATTTTTCCTAAAAGAAAAAGTGTATATTGAAGGAATTTTTAGTGAGAGTTTTAGTGTTGTGTAGACAACGAGAAAGGAGTCGTCCAAGTGCGCAAGTGAGAGAGAGAAGCAAAGACTGAGATATGTTGAGATGTGAAGCAGCGTGAACGCCCAGGTGAAATGATTATGTTCTAAAAAGAAAGTCATCTGTTGTAAAAGTACGACGTAGCATTCTAACAAGTTTGAAGATTACCTTCGAGTGTTTTGAATGTCAATTGCATGAATTTTTTGAATTCTTGGCCAATGAAAGGCCTTAAGTGGACGTGATTTCCACATTCAGGAAGGCCGGAAGGAAAGAAGAAAAGGTGCAAGAGTGAGCAGGCGAGTGAGATAAGCAAGTATTGAAGTGCAAGTAGGTTTGGTGATACACACAGGAGAGTTTCTCAGGGTAAGAGCAAAGATGGCGACGAGCTCTTTAACGTGGTCGTGCACTTGTTGCCTAAGATTCAAATTTAGTCCTGAAGAAATAGAACAAAGGTACAAAAGTCAAGAAATTGATCGAATGTTGGAGAAAGACCGTCAAGTATTTAGGAGGCAAGTTAAGTTGTTGCTACTTGGTGCTGGTGAAAGCGGCAAATCAACTTTTCTAAAACAGATGCGAATCATTCATGGAATTAAATTTGAGGTAATGACAATGAAAAAAGTACTGCATGCTGTACTATTATGTGAGCTATTCTTAGGCTATTTAAAGCAATCTATTATCATATTATCAAGCATTAAAATTCATTATTGCTTAATGACATTATTCATGACACATTTTTTAAAGTGTACATCCTGTTTATTTTCAGCCTGAATTAATAAAAGAATACCAACATATTATTTATCAGAACATTATTAAAGGAATGAAAGTTTTAGTTGATGCCAGGGATAAACTTAATATTCCTTGGGATAACCCAAAAAATTATGACATTGGATATCAGCTGTTGAAGTTTGAAAATACAATCATTTTAGATGCTCGATTATTTCTTCATTACGTACCATCCTTACAGAGTCTTTGGAAAGATTCTTCGATTAAAAAAGCATTTGATAGAAGAAGAGAATTTCAATTGGTAATTAAATGAATCAATTTATATATCATTTCTAATTTCTTGAACTGTTACTCAATCTGTATTAAGTTTTTTTCTTATCTAATTAGTACGATTAATGTAATGCTTTTTTTTATCTCAGAGTGATTCAGTTCAATATTTTTTGGATAATCTCGATCGGATTTCAAGAGCGGTATGTTTCATTAACTGATTTTAAATCTTAAAATTTATTTATCAAATTTTTCTATTTAAAGCAATGATTGATATTAAAAAATATTAAATAATATAATGTATATAATTGTTTTCATAGGATTATGTGCCTACACATCAAGATATTCTTCACTGTCGCAAGGCAACTAAAGGAATATCAGAGTGTGTGATACCAATAAACAATATTCCATTTTTATTTGTTGATGTTGGTGGTCAGAGGTCTCAAAGACAAAAGTGGTATCAATGCTTCGATTGTGTTACGTCTATCATTTTTCTTGTTTCATCATCTGAATTTGATCAAGTCTTATTAGAAGATAGGTAAGTATCATTATTATGCTTTTTTTTACTAATTAAAAATCGAATTTAAATTTAAATATCTGTATTATTTATAATATAATATTTATCATACGTTCATGTTTATTACAGAAGAACTAACAGACTTGAAGAATCAAGGAATATTTTCGATACAATAGTAAACAATATGATTTTTGGCGGGGTTTCTATAATACTTTTTCTCAATAAAACCGATTTGCTTGACAAAAAAGTAAGATCACCCGATACCAACGTAAGTTGGTATTTTCCTCAATTTCAGGGTGATTCACATTCCATGAAAGATGTACAGAAGTTTATCTTGGATATGTTCATATCCGTAAAGAGGGACCCTCGCAAACCGTTATTCCATCATTTCACGACAGCTGTAGATACAGAAAATATAAAAGTCGTTTTCAATGCGGTTAAAGATACGATTTTACATCGAAATTTAGAATCACTTATGCTTCAATAGAAGAAAAGTAGGAAATTAATATTTAAAAAATAAGGTATGTCTACTCTTGTTTATATTGAATAGAATTTTTTCACAAAATGTTGAAGATACTACCAGGCTTCCTAAGACAATATATTAATACTTTAATAATTAACATGGAGAATTGAAAAAAAATGTATTACCATTAAATCGTATTTACTGTTCACATAAAAGCAATTAATAGAAACTTTTTTATACTAAAAGGAGGAAAAGTAGAGCTCAGGGTGTTAAAAAAGAAAAAGCAATACTGCCTTTTGTAGTAGATAAAGATATTTACATCAAAATTATTTAAAGGATTTTTTAATTTTATAAAACATAAAAAATATTTTTTCAACGTCCATGTTTACTTTTTGATAAAAATATTTGAATGAGTAAAAAAATCTTGTAAATAGATAAAACTCATTCTTGAATTAAGTTAACAATGATTTCGATAATGAATTTACATCAATAGAACTTTAATATATATTGATAAAATTTACATCAATATATTTATTGTATATTTATATTCTATTTATATTTATATTGCGACTAAGAAGTAAAATGAATCGCAGCTTTGATTAATCTCCTTCCTTTGTACAGTTATTATTTAATGAATGAAACTAATGAATATTTTAAGTTTTTATATATTGTATTGTAATTGAGATAAATTTTGTCCAATGGACAAAATATAATTAAATATAATTTATTTTTTGGATTTTTTAAATTATTCATTATCATTAATTAATTAACGCTGTTTTTACTATCGATTAATGTGTCAAATAACGAGAAAACCAAATACTAGAATCATGCCATACGAACCAAATGAAAACACTAACCATTTTGTGTTCTATTTGCAGTTGGTGAAATTTAAATTCATTGTTAACTGTCACAAACATTAATTGTTATTGTTCTTACTATACTTGTTGCCGATTTAAAGTTGATTTTCCCTTATATTCTTGGCACAATTACTTTTTTTATATTCGGCAGCTAATTAACAATCGTGTACAGATTTTTAGATTTAGTAATTAATTTTTTACGTTAATCAGTATTACTGTATTCCGTTGAATTTTTATTTACCTATTCATTTATTTTGTAGTAAATTATATAACATTGATTTATTATTCGAAATCCGAGCGCAATGATGTCAACAACGAAAAGTTATACGTATTATTTATAATATCTTTATTTTCATTATCTATTTTATTATGGTTATTATAAAAAAAAAAAAATTCTGTGCCAAGATTTTAATGTTAATTATTTTATGAAAAATTTTTGCATTGTCTTATTACAATTATCCATTATTTAGAGTTACATTTGTCGAGGTTTTAATGAACCAAAGATATTTGCATAAAAATGATGATTATTTGTTAATGATTTTGTATTTAACGAAATTCTAATTTATGTTGAATATTTCATAAACGATCAAATAAGTGCTAAAATATATTTAAAAACATTGATAATTATGAGAGGAAAAAATTAACATTCCTATAAAGATAAATTATACGAATAAGTAAGGAAAAATTGGATGCATTTTTATAACATATATAATTCGAATAATAATTTTCAAATTGTATACTGATAAATATTTGTACTGTAGAGAGCCTTAAAAAAAATTGCCTAGAATTTGATATTTATAATAAGAATCAAATTTTATAAAATATATACATTTTTAGAAAAATATTTATACATTGTAGAAAACGATATTTTGGATGAATTGTTATATTTTTTTTCAAATAATAATATTTAATAGGATTTTTTGTAATTTACTTATTGATTCATAATTAATAAAAATAATAAGGGCGTTAGTGAGATTAGAATTGAAAGTAAAAAAAATATAAATTGAAAAAACTTTCTGAATAAAAATAAAATGAAAATAAACTGATTATTAGTACTTTCATTTGCTCGGACGTGATTGTAACTTTTAATAAATTTAAAAGTCAAGTATTGTTCAAGTATTGTATTCGGAAAAACTAGTAATTAACATAATTTATGTGAAAGATAATATTTCAAGGAGCTTTATATTGTATCATTTTTAAGAATCATCAGAATCAAATTTTTCAAACTCATTTGGTTTGTTCAAGCAGTAATCATATCTGTTTATGAGTATTTTTATTTTTTTTAATACATAAGTCAGATTTTTAATGTATAATATGAACTGAATTATATAGATATATTGTGCCTTTTTATATAATGTATATTTTGTACATAAAATAGTTTACATTGATCATTATTATTGTATTAAATGTAAGATCTCAATACGAATATAATTAATAAAAAAACTTTATAAAATTTTTTTCGATTATAATACACAAAAATATTTCACAAAAAATTTTTTTTATTAATTAAAGTAAATTTATAAATTCATTAAAACTTTTTGTTTTACTACAATTAAACCTTGTCTTTTGTTCACATAATTATAATATTTATATTATATTAAGATCACATATTGCATGTTTTATTATCTTATGTGTATTAACACTAATATTATGAATTTCATTATCATTTATTAGATATAATACTTAATCATTCAAAGATTAAATGCATTCTATATTACACAATATTTACATCTTGGTTTCCTTATCCACAATTACTGTTTCTGTATTTTCGGAAAAGAGTAGAAAAGTAAAAATTTATGACAAAAATGTTTTCGATATGTATGCGTGTCGTTTACTTATAGCAGGTACTACACAGACTCATTTCATCCATTCACAAATATTTGTATCAAAAGCCTTTTTGATTGAAAGAAGTACAAAAATACAGTATAAAAGTCTCTTTATCAGCATAGTACTGAATTAAAATATTTAAGTTTGCTTAATATGTTTGTCTTTTGATCATCTATCTTTTAAAAATGAATTTGATTGAATTTATACAATTTTGTGCGTTTTAATAAACAATTTAATATTTAATAAAAAATAGGGAAAAAATAAAAAATATTATGCAGAATAGGAAAACCAATTATAATCACACTTGAATAGTTGTGGAAGTAAACCACTTTTTGTTTGATATCATATAGTTTGCATTAAATTACAAGTTTTGTCTAAAAAATGTTATAAAATGCAAACATAATTGTATTTTATATTGACAAACTCCTATAACTTCTTTTACATTTTTTTTAGAAACTCTAGCACCAACGTATAATTTATGTGAGAATTTCGCTGAATGAAAAAAAAAGAAATAAAATAATCACACTTCTAACTCCTCGGCAGTACGAGAAAGTCGATGATTATCAATTCGTCGACGTTGACTTCGTCGAACAGCATCTGCTCTTCGATAAGGCTCTGATCTTAGACCAAGTAGAATATCCTCTAGAGCACCGTTGTATACTTCATCTTGTTGTAATAATTTTTTCTCCTGAACCAAACGTGTTTTATTTTTTAATTCATTTATAACGGCATCCTACAGAAATTGTGAAAATAAAAATAAATAACTCAAAATAAAATAAAACAAAACAAAATAAAAAAAAAAAACATTTTATCCAAGTTCATTGATAATCAGAGTTAAAGATTAAACTGTATTTGGAGCGTGAAATTTCTGGAGCAACATCAATGCAAGCTTTCGCATCGTATCTAGTGTTAGTGTGAAGAAATGAATGATTAATTTTTTACGTAAACGAGAAAGTAAATAAGAAATTGATTGGAAGTAAAGATAAAAATAGAGTAAGATAAAGTGAGTGATGAGGGATGGAGAACTTACATGTTACGAATTATTTCGCTACTATATTACGTTCTGAGCTCCAGTTCATTTAGATGTCGATGTAACAATGTCTTGTTTGTGTTACAGCAAAATTTCGGTGACTATAATCCCAATAAATAATATGGAACAAATAAATAAAAATAACTTCATTGATATGGTACCGTAAAAAAGTGTATGTATCCTGCATATATCAAAATAAATTATTTACTATAATCCGTTAATCTTCTTGTTAAATAAAAAAAAACTCTAAGTAAGTATTATATCTTTTTATATTATGAGATTAGCATAATTATACTGTTATATTTTATTGAAATTAAATTTTATTTTGATATATGCAATGAAACTGCATCAGTTTTTTGAATGTTGGGCTATGAATTCGATTAAATACTTGATTATTTATAGCTTAATGTATACAAGTGTAGAGTCGTGCATGTATGTTAATAAAACAAGCATTGATGTTTAAGAAAAATTGAAGATATTAATCAAGGTAATTGAAGCTTATCAGCTGGATTAATTGGCGAAGTTGAATCCAGAAATTTGGCTCAAACTTTAACGAAAAAAAATCAACCAAAATAATTTCGTTTAAGAACAAAACAATAAAACGTATGTAGAAAATACCTGTTGTTTTTTCTGATTAAATTTATTTCTTTTCAACACGTCTTCAGATGCATTATTAAGTGCTTCTGCAGCAGCAGCTTCTAATCTTCTTCGTTGTTCGTTTTCTTGATCTGCCGTCTGTAACAAAGTTAAAAATAAAAATATTTACTTTCATAAAGACTATTACTATTCGACAGTATACAATTTCTAACAAGTTTTGTAATCTTTTCAAAAAATTTCAATATTCTTATGCAAATATCTTACTAACCTTGAAAGCTCTTGCGAATCTAACCAAAAGTGAAAAGAATGTGTTGGCATCCGCTTGCCTAGGACTTTCACCGAAGAACTCAACACATTCACGGAATGTTTCGCCTGCCGTGCGAGCATCAGACTTTAATCGTCGTAGTTTTTCTTCAGAATTATTCAAAAAATCTCGTAACACAGTATTGTGTTTTTCTTTACCACGAAGTTCAAATTCTTTTCTTACTTGATCCATTCCTTTCTCCAATTCATGAACATCTGTTGTTATGTTTTCTAGTGATACAGTAGCTGCTTTGTCGATGTACATCAATTCAGATTCAAAATTCATTAGTTCTGGAAATTTCAGTCTTATCGTTGCGACAATATAATGCAATAAACACATTCGTTTATCAGTTGATTTAGTATCTAATAATGTATCCAAACTTTGAAGTTTAAATCCGTAAGCAGGCCCTCTTTTGCTACTATTTAAATAGTTTCCAAAAGCTAAAATAATTTCTAAAACTGCACGAAGTTTCTTTGAACACTTCACTGCACTTGAAGCAGATATCACAGCGTGAATTTGAGGAGTTATGAGATGTAAATTGTCGAAAAAGTTTCCAATATAATTCATAATAGAGAGCTTCGTTGATATTCTTTCCACTTTTCCCAATTGCATTAAAAATTTGTCCTCTTCCGTCAATAAATTGACATTCTTCTTCTCGATAATGTACTCTCGGTAGGCCTTAATCTGTAAAGAACATGTTTTAATTAACTAATCAAACCAAAAAACGTCAATTAAATAAATGCTTACTTCTTGGTCAGTAGGTACCATGCGTTGCAAAAGCTCTACATTCTCGAGGGAAAGTACTTTTAGATCTAGAGCATTAACCGCTGTGATTACCTTTTCAATCGGCATTTCCATTTTTCTTCTAGAGATTGCAATATTTCGTAACCTTGTATGTTCTAAAAGTGATACATTTTCTGGTTTTTTAAACCTCTTACTAGGAAAGCTTTGAAGTCCATCGATTTCATTTTCACCACTACCAGTAATGTGGCCACCGATGCCGATTTTAAATCTCTCTTCGAAATCGGTAAAGTCGATGTAGTTATGGAGTCTATCGTCATCTAACTCATTAAATATAGTTCCCCTTACTTGGTTCGGTTTTAATGCAACCCAGTTTAATGTAGGAAGTTTGTATTTCGTTTGAACTTTACGTTTAATTGTCATGGCACCATCTGGAGCTTGCATCATTCCCGCGGGTGGCGGTGGAATAGGAGGAACTGGGAGAGCTATTTTACTGTCTCCTGGCGCTATGGGAGCCATAGGAGGGGGTGGTGGACAAGGAGGTGGTGGCGGTGGAGGAGGTGGTGCTGGAGCAGGAGGTGCACCACCTCCCGAAGGATTAGGTGACATTGTTGACGATGAAACAACATTTTCAGATGTCGGAGAACTTGGTGCAGATCCATTTTGAAGACTAGAGACAATATTATGTGAAGAACTTTTAGTCAATGTACCAGTAAGAGTTTCTAGTTCAATAATTTTGCTCTCGAGAACGCTTTGACGTCTTGCAGAATCTTGTTTTTGTCTTTTAAGCGCTGCAAGCTCTTCTTCAATTATTCTCCTTGCTTCTAGTGCATCTATGTATTCAACTTTTAATGCACCGAGCTCAGTCTCTAACTCTGCTAACTTAGCTAAAGATTCTCTCTCCAATTCTGCCATTCTGTCATGAGCGTGACCTAATTCATCCTCTAATTCAGCTACTTTTTCTAATGCAGCAGTTTTAGTTTCGCTATCTTCCATCAGCGCTGCTACATCAAATACGTTATCTAAATATGCTGAGATTTGAACCTGCAAATCTTCACTTTCTGTATGTCGTAATTTTTCCAAATACTCATCCAAACCAAGTTTTGTAAATTCATATTGCAAATGTACTCTAAAATTCATATCTTCTACGGAATGAACAACAATGTTAACAAATTGCATACAAGCAACCATAAATTCAATATGAAAACTATCATATTGAGTAAAATAAGCCATAAGAGTCTCGAATCGTTTTCGTTCAGAGCAAACTTCTTTAAAATTATCAAATGCCGATAAAATTATTTCATGACCACCTTTGACTAAACAAATTGCTGCCAATAATTCAAGAACAAGAGCTTTTGTTCTTAAACTTTTATGAATTAAACTCAATGCAATGCAATTAATTGCTTCACGATGTTGAATGACCATATTGAAACCATACTGTAAAAATGAAATGAAAAATATCATAACAATATAATGATAAATATAAATGTCGATTCTCTTATTGACTTACCTTATTATTCATGATAGCTCGCATACAAAGAATACAAACGTGAATATCATCCTTTGCTTCGCCCATATTCAATCGAGCAACATGTCTTGATCTTCGTTTCACACCAGGACTGTCTTTCAATTCGTGATGAAGAGGCGGTCTTAAACATCCATTATTTAATGACGTATTCTCCATAATACCACCTATAAGAAAACCATATCATCAATTTGTTTTCAAATTATAAACAACTTTCACCAATGACTCGATAGAATTTTATTAACTTTTTACTTGATCGAACAAACTATCGACTTTAAAAAATATGATTATAATTGAATGTACACATTACATTACTGTTATTTACGTTTGGGTTGAGTTCACTCAATGAACAGAATGCATGTTACTTTATGTCTTTAAATTTACTTAGTAGCTCACAATAATAAGGAATATAATTAATCTGTAATAAATTTTGAACTTCATTTTCTTTTAACGAGAAATAGGTAACTTTTGACTTTTGCAAAGTAAAAAAAAATCGATAAATGTTTCTATTATTTTTAACTTATGTACTATATTATATTTTCATGAGTACCTGATAAATCATATTTGAATGATTATAAAAAATTTTCAATTTCAATGAAAAATTTCTCGAATTTCAAGAGCTCTAGTTATATATTATTTCTATTACCTTACTTCAGTATTAACTTACTAGTTTGTAACTTTTCTTCAGACTCTGTTCTCGGTTCCAACAGACGTTGTTCATGTCGCATCATTAGTAATCTAAAGCTCAAGTAATCTATAAGAGCATCCAGACCCTGATTTTCTTCATCTAAAAATTCTCTTACCCATCTGAAAAAATGTTTAAGCCTCTTTATTAATGACTTAACTCAATCTCGATTAAAATAATATCTAGCACGTGGTGATGTTGATTTTATAAAGCAATTTATTGCCTTACTCGATGTGATTTGTTCGCAGGGAAATTTCCAAATCTCTTAGAACCTGAGTTGAAGTTGATTCACCGACCATTTTTCGTTTCTAAAAATACAAAAAAATTCTATTTATAATCCTTTTATATTATCTTTTAAATTTTAATAATAAAAAATCAATAAAAATAAAAAAAAACATTTACTCGATGACTTCTAGACGCCTTAGGATCAAGATAAGTCCTCAGCTTGGCCAGATAATGGGATGGTGGATCCTTCGCTTGAACTCTTTCCTAAAAAGAAAAAGTGAAAAAATTATAAAATAAATTTATTGGCAACGGGATATGAAGACAACGGGTCTCTGTTTGTTATTTTGGGAATATTCGTGACTGGACTTTGAATGACACAGTCATGACAGACAAGTTTTGAGGCTTGTGCGTGTAAAAAATTGCATTTATAAATGTGAATTGCACTTGAGAAAAGATACAGAGTTCACAGGATATGCTTGACTCTTTTACGTTTACAAACATGTGTGTGAAAGTCAGTAGTTTAATTTCCTATCCCCAAACATTTTTAACTTCTTAGAATCGATTTATTTTAAGGAGAGAGTATAGAAATAAGAAAACGTGTAACTTCAAAGTTTTTTTATCATCAACAGTTTAATTTAGATATATTTTTGCAATTAAATTAAAATTTCCCTGAATTGTGATAATTCATGATGATACATAAAGTCGATAATTTTTAAGGTGATTAATTTTTATTTACACAAAGGGATGATACAACTCGTTAATTGAATGGTCAATAAAAAAAAACATCAAAATTATATGTATGAAAACATGTGTAAAATAATGGGTATTTTTTTTATTAGATTGTTTTTTATATCGTATAATAGCGCGGCTTGCATTACATCCGTGTTGAATTACGCACATGTTCTATAATCTACAGAGTAACATTATACCGGTCCTTTTGCCAACGTCAGAAGTCAACATCATAATCATTTTTATATCTTGGGAAAATTGGTAAAAAAATTACATAACTGAAAATAATTTTTTTCGTATCAAATTCTATCTATCTTATCAGTTGTTTTAGATAAAAAATGAAAGCAAATAATCATTCACAGAATTATATCAATTTCTTCGTTCACTTAAGTTTAGTAAATAACCAGTATTTTAAAAATACAAAGTTACTAGAACAAAACTCATAACTAAGTTCACTCAAGTTTAAAGTAATTTATACAAATTTTCTAATACTATAAAGAAACTTTAGTTTAACTGAAAATGAGATTCATAGTTTATCCAAAATTTTAGTTACCTTACTTGCAAAGAGAAACATTGTGCATAATTTAGAAAGTTTAAGCTAATATTAAAATGAAAATAACTATAATTTCAACAAGTCAATAAACAGAAATAACAGTAGTTTAACTCTCTACATTATCATTAGTTAGATTGCGTGAGAACAAATGACTCAGCATCTCTGTTAGTAATTTTTTCAAAGGAAAATAATAATTATTATTGGTATTTAATATTCCTAATATGGCATATTACCACTAAAATGAATAAAATTGCAAAAACTATTAAAAAATGTAGAATATTTTTAAAGAGACTAGAAAAATTCTTTGACCTCTTTCTATATAAATAATTCATGGATAAAGTTGCCGCTATAAAGTTTGAATAAAGTTTTCTAGTTTTCTTTAACATACTAAAGTACTTCCAAAGAATAATTATAATTAATGATTAATGGACAATAAAAAAATTTCTGGAGCAACCCTGAAACATGAAGCAAATAAAAAAAAATTGTTACTAGGCCATATCAAGTGACAGTGAATGGATATTATTTTATGTAACTAGAATGATTTAAAATAATCGTAATATTTTTGAAATCTGGTCAACGATAATAGATCTTCTGCTTTTGAAGTTTCGTAAAAAGTCTAATATACAATATGACTTCAACATAATAACTTCAATGAAACTAATCAAATCCTTAGGCTATTTTAATTTTATAACATGAGTCAGAATATGATAAATTATTACATTAACTACCAACAATTTTTACTGGATGTTAGACAATGATGACTCATGAATAAGCTGTCAAATCAATTGATTTATAAATAAAAAAAAAAACAATACATCAATGAATAAATTAAGCATTATAAACCATCAACTGTCATCAACTTTAAATTACAAAAGGTAAATTCCATTAATATATAATCTTTTTTATTCACAATTAACAAGTACTTAATTTATTTCTAAAAGTTACTTGAGTTCATTTAATTACAGTTATTAGTTTTGAACTCTAAAAATATTGTATAATTAAATTTTGTTTATTTATTAAATTTATCATTTAAATAATCTTAATTAAAAAAAAAATATTTACTTTTATTAAATATATTTGAATAAACTTGAAATCAAATTAATCAGTCTTTACTATTTAAATTTATAATTCATTTCTTTAGGAAGGAAGGAAGGAAGGAAGGAAATTTTTCTTTCATTTAATATATCAGTACAAGTATTTTAATTAATTAAAAAAAATTTATAATTTCATATCAACTCATTAACTCAAATAAAAACTGCTCCACCTATTTTGGTAATCACCATATCAATCCTCTCTGTATAATTGACTTGAACTTTGAATTATAACGCAATTACATTAACGTTTATTACAGTTGCTATATAAGTAACATAATTTAGAGTCAAGTCGATGAAAAAACGAAGTTCGAATCCTTTTGAATTCTTCAAGGATAAAATTTTATCTATCACAAACTTGAAGCAAATTATACTTAAAAGGGGCCAAGATCAGTTGGCTGTATTAAAAGAAAAAAAAACGTATAATTTTTTATTTCTACCATTATTTACACTTTTCATGTCATTTAATAATTAATGATTTCAACCTGAATTAAAATAATTTATTTTAATCGAAATAAGTAACAAAAAGCATAAAAATCTTTGAATCACATTAATGCTCCAAAATGGATATAAATCTTTTATAAAGTATTTGATTAAATTTTTGTAAATAAACAAATAATCTACAATAAAATGCATCAACTGAAAAAAAAATACAATTGATTTTAAGAGCTCTTTTCAATTACAATACATTTCCCAGTTGAATAGCAGCTGAGCAACAACCTCAACTCTTTTCACGACCATTGCCAGAACAAATAATTGAATGAAGCGTTTAATGACCTAGCCAAACCTTAAAAATATATATTTTGACTTTGAAATGAATAAGCAAACTTCATTGCTTTCGTAATCATCAATGGTAATCTATACAATCTAGAGCATATATACACATGATCTTTTGATAAGCTATGTTTTTTAAATGGCAAGCATTGCCTAGAATACTATACCCGCATCTGTCAGACTAAGATTAAAGAAACAAAAGGATTAAAAAAGGAGGAAAGAAAAATTAGGGAAGGGAAATAAATTTAAAAAAAAAAGTATAGAGTAATAAGGAGAAGGGGATTAGGGGGAAATAATATACTAGCTGACGAGAGATCTAAATATGATTGAATTTTGTAGAATTAAATGATAGAGGCATGAATTGCTGGTGCGATTACGTCATTCATTATACCGCGGCTTTCTACTACGTGGTTTGGCTGATGAGAACTAAAATGCTGCTATGCTGTAAAACACTAAGAACGCAATGAATGTTGAGTGTCAATGTATCTGTTACGTCTGTATGATATTCAACGAGTCAACACAGTTACACATTTATTCATAATATAATGAATAGAATACATAGAACTAAACTCACTTGATCACATATGATGTCCCACTTCTTCTCATTATCATACTGCTTCAAAAGCTTGGCTTTGTCCGGTGGCAAATCCATCGAGGCCTAAAACAAATATGATGATAACCTTTAAGTTATTTTTATTTATTACTATTTCATGATATTTATTGGTTGATCATAAGTTTCGTTTGTCTTGATTCCAAAAATAAACATGTTCTAATGATAATGATTGAGTTGAAGGTACGGAAACGATTGTATGACTTCACTTTTCCTTTTTGTATACATCCCGGAAGTCAACAGAGTGTGACCACAATGGATTGCAAAAGTGAAATACTAGGCATGCTAATACATTAGTTTTTTCTAACTAAAGCTTAGGATAGATTGTTCATCAATTATTTTTAATTGTTATTTTATAACTACGTCTTTTGTTTTTGCTTTAAAAAATACCATGGCTTTACTTTCAATTAAAGTTATTGTAATATTTTTATGACTGAATATTTCGAAAATCCGTCATTTTATATGTATATAACAATAGATTAATATTAAAATGTTTATCTTATTATAATTGTAAATGAATGAAAAATAAATATTAATTTATTTTCAAGTGATGATTATTTTTTGTCTTTTTTCAATGTTATGAAAGAGACTCTAGGAAATTTATTGTTGTCAATTTTTTTCGATAACTGAATTGACTTATTACTTTTCAAGAAAAAATACATTTCTCATCTTACATTAGAAACCGTAAAATTCTCTTGAAAAATAACTTGAATGAATAGAAATAATGAATAACAATTCCTCAATGATTATTTATAGAAATTATGAGACAATGTTTTTTTTGTTTAATCATACTTCTAATATTAAAGATAGAATGTTTCAGATAAAGTTTTTTATGTCAATAAGGGAAAAATGTCATCTCTTGGGGCTAATACTAAGATATATCTGAAAAAATAATTATTTAACCTTTATTGACCGGAGAAGTAACGTAGATTGACTGGCAAGTAGTAGTAGTTTCTTTTGTCCATTGACGTTAAAAGTATAAAGTGATCACTGGTGAACATTATGAAATGGATCGTAAAGTGTACAGTAGAGGAATAAATTTCTTAAAGTGGTCGGTTGGTGTCGAGTTGCAAAAGTAGAGAAGATGAACATGTTGAGTTCATTACACCCGATAGATAGTCACTCTAGTCGGCTCACCCTCAGCTGTATCATGGATGAATAAATCCAGTCGCGAGCCACAAAGGATTAGTAACTCAAGACAGAGACAGTAAACATGAAGGAGAGTAGAAAAATGTCACAGAGAAAACTGATCTAGCGTAGATAAATTTATGATGCTAAGGGACAAGTTGAAAAGAAAAATATAACCACAAAATCATGTCTATTTTCTATTTTGGGTTTCTATGTTTTTGGTTATTTTTATCTTGACCAGAAGTGAGATAAAATCATGAATGAATATCAGATGATAATATCAAGTCATTAACGTAGAGTAGATGGTTGTAGGGAATGTGTAATCGTTTGTTATGTGACCTTGGAGTCTGCGACAGTGACATTTCTGTGTCTAGGTACAGTATCTTCAATGATTCATCGATGACAAAACAAGATGGAAGTTTAGTTAAAACCTGAATGTGTTAAATTAAAGATTATAATGAGATGTAGGGAAGAATGGTAAATAAGTGATAAATAAATAAAATTAACTCACAAGGACTTTAGTGAAACGCCTTTCAAGTTCAATAGTGTCTGGCATTGGTTGTCGTGGGACTGATCTTACACTCCCGCTTCTCGTGTGTGGTCCTCCAAGATTCTCAGCTCCAAAAGATGATTGACAATGTCGTGGTTGTTGATATTGAGTCGTTTTAATTCCCAATCCATCGCGCATTCTACTCCCAACATCATTGCCATTAATTGCACTTTCGGTACAATGACTCTGGATTATACCCATGTTCTATGATATATTATTAAAACCTTAGAAATCAATAATCACTTTCACTTTTTTCGTTGTTTTTATAAATGCTATTTTATATATTAATCACTGCACCTATGCAAAAATTCCATTCGTTGGTTTTATAAAACTTTCTCATGCACGACTTGATGTCGGCGCTAGCACGTTTTTATTGTGTATTGAATGCTAAGTGAAAATAAAAGTGCATTAAGGATAGACAACATAAATATCGCAATAAATGTTGCAGTTATTATCATTTAAAATCCATAGACATTGTCGTGCAACAGGTCTTGGACCATCCATTGCGTCAAAATATAATTTTTTGAGGTTAAAAAACTTTTGGAGTGTAAAAATTCCAGCAGACACATTAGAATATTTTTTGATGCTTCACACACGCACACGATACACACGAAACCGAGTTTCTACAGCGTCTGTGGCTTTTGGATCCCATGATTACGATCCGCCGTAGTATCATGTGACGCCATGTTGGAGCATGCGTGGGGGGACTGGTGGTATAGATACGTATTCTATATATCAACTATAGTTTATGCTAAACCTCTCAAGAACCACCTACCGGTAGCATTCTGCATTACCTCACACCAATATGGTTGCAAATTGTTTTTGTTGATTCAGTAAATAAATCTCGTTAATTTTTAAATATTTGTGCTCTAAAACCACAAAACATTCAAAAAAGTAATATAATAATATACTACAAATTGTATATTGCAATAATTGTCAATTATTACTATTAAATATATAGTAAATTATCGACAAGATGAAGAAATCACCATTCAGTACACCAAGAGGTTATGGAGGGCATCGAAAATATCCACATCAAATGAATAGCCCATATGAAAATAAAGGCTATTTTTATCATCGAAACAATTCATTTGATAATTCTTCACCTAAATTCAACTCAAAACAAGTAGAAAATGGCGACTTCATTCCATTTAATACAAGCTCACCATCATTTCACGACAAGCGACATAGTGGCCAATTCTTCAGGCCGAGGGGTAGACGCAATAATCATTCTTTTGGAAGTCAAGGATCACGCGGTGATAGTATGAGCCCAAAGATTTATTTTGATTCATCACCTAATAATTATTATGGTAGAAGTCCACGACATCGTTTTTCGGTAAATATAATTCTATAAAATTTTTATTTTTATTTGCTCATATTCATTATTTCATATTAGCCAACATTTTTTCTTTGTTTATGTTCTCGTTGCATTATCACTAAACATAACACAAAAAATTAGGTGAAAACTATTCAATAAATTACTACTAACGAAGCTACAATAATCATATTTTTCAAATGATTGCTATTATTTATGTATCACTCCTATAAAATCATAATTTAATTCTATCGATTTTTAATGTGTATAATTTCTATCTGCCACTTCATTTATATTATTTATTATATTTTAATTAAATTTATAACCAATTTTTTATAATTTCGGCTTATTTTATATTATTTTTTTTTATTTATAGAATACGCCTATTGATCAAATTCCTATATCGAAATTCATTGATCTAAAGGATGTATTGGATGATCCCTGGAAAAACTTGATGGAAAATCACAACAAATCAAGATTAACGAATAATTTAAATGCATCGAAGATATCATGTGCAAGTGACCTCAACGATGTATCTATGGTATCTGTGGATAATAGTGCATTAGAAGACTCTTCAAGATGTTCTCAAGAAATGAAAGATGGCAGGACAAATGCAATAAATGATTTGAATACTAGTGAAATAGTAGAGACTAATGAAATGAGATAGAACCTAAATAAGTAATATTGAGATGGACTATTTGTATTATTAATACGAAACAATTGGTTTTCACAAGGCTGTGAAGAACTTGAAGTGTTTTTGCATTGATAGTATGTGCAATTGTCTCGGAGAATATCGATAGATTTAAGATGTATACAAATAAGATTATATTTTTTACTGTACATAGGAAGAAATAAAACTATTAAGTGTAAAAATTTTGTAAATAAATAATTACTTTAAATTAATTTGGTCATTCTATTTTTTAATACACATGTATACATTAGTTACATAAATTTTTAGATTTTTCAGATTGTTTTACATATTTGGTACACATGAATACAAAAAATAGTACCTCATCTACTCCAATTACCATGAAGAGAATAAATTGGTCTTTATAGTTTTATCAAATTTTTTTTAAAAGTTATCTTGTATTACACTTATACTTGATTACATTGGGAATAGATATGGAAGGTTTTTCTTTTGTACACTTCTCTCCGCTAATTTTTCATCAAAGTTAAGACGTGGTCTACGATATAAATAATTTATTGGCATTTAAAGAAATCAATATGTGAGTTACATGTTATACGAATCAAGTTCTATAATATCATAATTTTATTAATCAATTTTAGTAGATCGAAAGTCTTTACATTATTAGATAATTAATGTTTATACTCACAATTTTGACTTCTTTATAAATTTTTTCTAAAACTTTTTTGAACTTCAAAATAAACGAAAACTTGAAAATAGTTTTATAGATAAAATATAATTTTTATAAATGAATTTTGACTAGCAATTTGACTTTAGTTTTAAAAATTTGTTTTTCACACTCAATACTGTTGTCAATTTTTCTTATCACTATTATTCAGCATTTCCTTGGTCCCAAGTATTTTCAGATAAAGCTGAATCAATTCTCTTTATAGATTTTTTTCTAATAAAAGGAAAAATTTATTTGTATGAGGTACTTTTCAAGAAAATGGCTACAGCCTCAAAAAAATTCAAATTATAGTGTTCTTTGTAATAATTAATATATACATTTTCTTTAATATTTATAAATTAAATAATTTTTAAAAAAGGGAACAAGTTGATTATATCATCCCTGAAAATATGGACTTATAGAGATTTAATCATGAAAGATATGCATATTTATTTACATTTATAGACAGCTAATTAGTTATCGTAGAAAGTGGGCGTTTAGTGTATTAGCTTTAATTTTATTATTTTTACTAAAAAATAAATGTATTTGCCCTCAATTAATTCCAATTTTCTATCATCTAAACATATAAATAAAGATCTTAATTTATTTTTTAGATGCATTAAGTTCGGAAATATTAATTTGTAATGATTGACGTGCATTATTATAAATATCAATATAATATAATAATTTGATTCAATTGGTCTCTTTAATTAAAGCTGTATATATAATTAATTTCGTTAGGCATTGATAGTAATTTCTGCTTCATTGTTTGATCTTATCACGTGAAATTGACTCCAGGAAATTTTTCGTTGTATCTCATAAGTCTGATACATATATTTACAAATAACATTCAAGCCCTCGACATCACCTTAATAGTGGAATTGTAACAGTAAAGGTTACACTATCGATTTAATCATTGTTGGTGTATAGATACAGCTCTTCAAGTTCACCCACACTCTTAATAGGTACATTAATGACGTCGATGTATAGTCGGAAGGTGCAGGTATACAAAGTAGCTCAAGGTACAATACAATTTATACTATTGTACTCCAAATTGACTTGTCGTTCTTTCTTTCGCTTGGCACTAGAGATTCTCTCTATATAAAGCCATTAGTCAATGTTTCATTTCCAACTGGAATATACATTTATATATGATTTATTGGTTTATTTAAGTAAAGAGTTTGTAATTTAATCACATTGCTCTTCATTCACGTGTAAACTTAAACGAGGAGTTCCTTCAGGAAATCCTCGTCAAGCGAATCCTACAAGTAGTCATCGAGACGATTTTTTTCATCAGGTGGACTTGGTTCACTAATACTCAATATTGGTAGACCAAAATGCTGAATTTCCACACTCGAGACTGATGTATTTTTTGGATAATTACGGTTCCTCACCAAATGTTTATCATTTTCAGTTGACTGATGAGTTGAACTAGGAGATGCATGGTCGTGATGATGATGGTGGTGGTGATGATGGTAATGAAATTGTGGCGATCGAGTTCCGATGTCTGGTTCACAGGACCGTCGGTACATTCTAAAATCATTTATTCATAATAATGTTGTGTTCGTTAAATCTAATTGAATTTATTATTTTACCATGGGTTGGAGAGAATGAATGATTTTGTATTGTTACTGGAATTAAATTTGAATTTAGGTCAATTTGAATGGTACTTTTTGAATAAGTATGTAAATAAATACTTTTAATGTATTATTTCTCATAAATAATATATTTCATTAAAAGACTCATTATTCTTGTTCAACTTCATTAAATTAAAAAAGTAATTATTATCTTGTAATAAAAAATACATTAATTATTCTAAAAAAATGAATCAACGAATATAGTAATTTGTCTTTGACCTTTCAGCTCTTCGATAAGTTTTATTACGCTAATGACAAACTTCTTATCCTTTATTACTATCTAAAAAAGAGTTTAATTCGTGACATTTAATTCAATACCGAGAGGAATCTATATGGAAAAAAAAGAATCTGATATTAGTATCTATATCGAACTTAGATTATCCAGTATTAAATGAAATATTATGAATGTTTCAGGAAATGTTATTAGCTTTTAATGAACAAGAATTATGAATAATGTTGATTCTAACTTGTACAACATTGTATGAAATTGACATTCAAAATATTGATGTTTAAAACTACGTTTCTACTTAACAGCTCTAGCTTAGTTACACGCAAGTCCAAATATACACTTTGAGTTGATATCATTTGCTGCTAAGTACCGTGTGACATTAATATCAGAAAATTTTACCCTCATTCAAAACCCTACTTATGATAAGAAGCACTTATGAGAAATATATTCTAAATGGTTAACTTTTGATAATAAGGTTCGTTAAACTAATTCAAAAGCTTACGTATGGCTAAGCTTGTTAAGTGCAGCATATGTAAGAAAATCCAATATTTAACTTCGAAAGTGGAATGTAAATACACCCCTCAATGTAGTCATAGAACTAATTTCCACTACACTTCACTTCTGGACTCAATTCCGTTCAATATTAGAATCGATCATTTCGTGGTATTTATTTTTTTTACATTTATATCTGTATTTTAATCAAGTTGATTCAGGCAAAGAATATAAAAGATATAGGAAGTTCATAAATTTAATACCTGTATCAGTTATATTATTTATTTTTCAGTATAATAAGGTATCGCTTTTAGTATTAATTAGACTTAATTTACATATTAATTTTAAAACAAACTACTATACATTTAAAAATAATTGAATACGTCAATCATGTTTAGAAAAAATAATTTCGATGAATAACTAAAAGTTTTAATTAGTTTTAAATAAATTCTAAATGAGAAACTGATTTATTCTTTAAACGGTATATCAATAATAAAACTTCTGATAGAATTCAACAAAATTTATCAAAATAGTGAATATTTTGTTTTTCAGAAGTAAAAAAAGAACAACTTCATATGATAGTCATTATTTACATATGATATTTTAAGTTTATTGAAAGTTTCTTATTCATCAATTAAAAATAGTTTGATACTTGTGATGTACGTCATCATTATGTTATAATTAACTTCATTAAAACGGATTATCACTTATTCTGTGTCATAAGTTTTTGAAGCATAATGTAATTTTAATTTGATAAACTTGAATAAATGATGTATATTACGTATTGCTATTGACTTGTATTTCTACCAATGAAAAATCAATAAATCAAATGTCTCGACTGCTATCCTGTTCAACTGATTGTACGTATTGTTGGGATTATACAAGAGAAGGGTCAACGAAACCTAGGTTGTGGTTGTGTAGTTATCTGTTGATCTAGCTATCTCATATTCGCACATTAATATTATTCCTGGCATAAATATGGAATGTACTTTAACCAATATTATGCTCTTGTTCATGGATAAACAGGAAGATATTTTGCAATTTAAATTCACTAAAAAATAAGAAAAGTGATAAAAATGCAGATTTTATAAATATTAATATTTTTTTTATAAATATAGATAGATACCTTGGAATTATTGAACTTAAACAAAAAACAAAATGATTGTTTTAAATATTGTACAAAGAAAAAACATTTGAATCGAAGAAATATCCTCGTTAAAGTATTCAAATTCATGTATTAAGAAGCTTTTGAAGATTTTATTTTATTTTATAAAGTGATAAAATTCATCTAAAAATACGCTTGAAAACGCTGATATTCACGTATTCTGAGCAATAATGTATTGTTCTTCAATACGTCGATTAGATCGTATTCTATACAGTCATTTATTTTCTACTTTACACCTAATATCCTTTTTAGAAATATATAAATCCTGTTCTATTATAATTTTTTTTTCTTCATTAAAAAATAACTCTAGTGTATTTCTTCCATTGTTATTTATTCTCATGGATAAAATGGTTTAGAAAAAGTTGAAAAAATGTTATTTGCCCTTAAGAAAAATGTCCCTACAAAATAAAAACAAGGAAATTTTTTAAAAAACCAAGCGCTGATATAACAACATTATTTCAACCATAAAAAAGCTTTCAAGTATTTATAAACTATGTTTACTTAGAAATTTTTTTTTTTTTAAATATGATTAAAACAATCAATTATTCAACAAAAATGTGATAGTATTATAATTGAATATAAATAATAAATATTTATTTAAAACCTTAAACTATTGTAATTAATTTAACCAATATTGATAACAGGATATTAAAACAAATTGAATCTATATTGAATGACAGAATTTCAGAAATTGTTTGTTCTCGAATTGCACAACAATTATTAAACGTTATCAAATAATTGTAAATAGACTGAATAATTATAATGAGGATTAGAACTTAAACTCTTGGTAGAAAGAAAATTAAATAAAATCATATTTTACAAAAGTCCGACTTTAATTGGATTTTCATATTCTGATGTCTAATTTTTCAAGTACTTTCTCTTATTATTAATTTTCCAAAGTTCTCTGGCAGTTCTAAACATGAATCAGATTATCTCTGAATAAAAAATGAAATTTAAAGAACCATGAGAAAAGTGAACTTTTTTTGCTTATGGATGTCGTTTTACTTCATATATCTCTCTTACAGTTATTATACTGACAGCGGATGCATTATACCCAGTTTGTCACTGCTATTTATTATTTCATTTCTACTCTACTTTAGATAGAATGACTGGCAAAAAACTTGACGAAAGAGAATTCTTAAATAGAAATACAAAAGTTTTAATTTTTTGAGAAATTTCTCAACAAACTTTCACAAAACTTTTTAGCAATTCAAGTAGATAGCAGAGTATTTTTAATGCATACATAGACCATTTTTGGAGTAAAAAAATATCCTCGAAGTAAACTTAAACAAAATTTTAACTTAAAGTTTGTTCCCTTGAGGTTAATCTATTCTTTGGATAAAAACATGACTATTTAATTGAAGACTTTGGGAAATAATTTAATCCGTCTTTTTAACAAAATCATATTTCCTCTCCATGTTCATTTTAAAAGACTTACCTCTCATCAACAGAAGCCGGTTGTCTAACAGGACATCTGACATACTCATGACTTCCACCAAGTTTCCATCCACTGAATCGTCTCGTTATTAAAGAGGGAGTAATACTAGAAGCGATTGTACTGAAAGTAGGTTGTTGAGCATCAGACAATTCAGATAGGGAAGCATGAGTGTTATTCTTGGTCGATTCACTCTCTGAACTATTCTGTTTCTTCAATTCAGTCTCTTCACCTTTACCCTCCTCTTCATGGCTTGGCAATAAAAATGCCTCTCGATCAGTGTCTGCTTCAGGATCTTCTGATGAATTTTTACGTTCATCTTGACGATTCAATGCTGTCAACGTTAAATTATCTGCACTCCGGACTTTGCGGCATAGACGTGATGTTGATCCATGTCGTCGTAAAAATTCCTAGAAAGAAGGCAGGTGACTTTGACAGACATTTTTAAAATTACAAGTCATTAGAATTCAGGATATATAACTATCAATATATTTTATCAGTAATTTATCGATCAGATTGCATGTCTCACCTGGGATAGGAAGCCGGCGACGTCGATTGCGCTGTTAACTCGAGGCCTCGAGGATCTGGGCCAACCCAGGCCACCCCCACCTCCAACAGCACTGTCCAGGGAATCAACTCGATGACTAGACCAGTGTAGATGCTGTAAATTGTTCACCAAATAAAATATATTTCTCACATTCCATCCATACATCTTAGCATCAACATTTTTATTAACAAGATAAATGTACATTTTGCTAACCCTTCAAGATTTTTCTTAACAAACTTCACTTCAAACTTTAAGGGGCTTAATGTCTAAATAAATTTAATAGTGAACGTTTGTTACTTTATTAATAACCTGAAAAGCTGTAAAGACATGATGGACCATTAGATATTTATTGAGTGATAAAAATGTTACAGCATAGAGCTTGTCTATGATGCAAGAGGTCTTTAATTGTACCAAACATTAATAAAATGTTTCGGTACATGCCATAATCGATTTTGTTGATTCATTTATTACGTCGTATGTATATAGGTGACAGCAAGAGACAACTTATTTTATTGAACAATCGAGACACAAATAGAGACGACTGTTTTTAATATATATTCTGGTTATCTGATTAAAAATAAATTGCTATATAAAGAAGATATGGCTTAAACGATAATGGAAAAATTTAAATTCAGAATATAATGCTTTATTGAGGTAACATATTTTCCTCTTACGCAAATTTTGATTTAATATGATCATGATTCCCTTTCAATATCTATTTAATATTATGGAGCTCTTCATAACAAGCTACTGAAGTTATTTTTATCATGTGTATATAATCAAAACTACCAAGGTTACCCCAAATTAATCGTTATTCAATCAACCTTTATATTTATTTTTTATTGTTAAGGTACAAATGTCTGTGTATATGTATTTTTATAGAAGATATTTGGTTCTTTCATGCTGTAGTGTAAATCATATGAATTTCTAGAGTATTGGATTTTTGGATGTTGAAGTTTTTTTAATAAATAAACTAGAAACTTAAGATATAGGAAGAACATTGAGTTGAATGTAGTGGAAATATTCAAGGGATTTAAAAATAAAAAAAGTATTATTAATAGAGTTTTCATTTCTTGTATCTGTATGATGTAAAATCTTACAAAATTTCCTCATTTATGAGAAACATTTTGGAAATTTTATATCTAACTGATAACCTGAAACATTGAATTTTTGACATGTTATCAATAATACAGTGGTCTCAAGAGATGTAAAAAAATATTTTACGATTATAACTTTAAATGTAGCATTTCCCTAAAAACATACAAATAAATGTTTCTTTCTTTATATATAATAATTCACATGGAAACATAAAATTTTTATAAGAAATGAATTTTTTTCATTTCATTCCTGTATTTAGTATCATCTTTATTTTATGATTCCCATAAATGCTCGTTCAACTTTTTTAGGAAAGGCACTATCTTTTAAAGTATTCACTGCTTTAATACAACCCATAAAAAGAAGAATTCAAAATTCATAAAAATGTCAATTGCGATTTTTTTTTCAATACTCTAAAAGCACATTTTTTTAAAAAATGAGAAAACTCTATAGTACTAAAATCTAAAAACAGCTATGTAATACAAATGAAAAATAAATATATTTTCTTATTTTTAAAATCTACATTAAAATTTCTACTAATGTTCACTTTTTATTTTCATACAAAATGTTTCTTGAGGGCAAATTGTCACCACACAACTTTCCTCCTGAGAGAACAAAAGAACAAAAATCTTCATTTAAGTTTCATTGTGTTCCTACTTGGTACTGACATTTATTTGCTACTATGTAAAGTTTTACAACCTTTTTCACAGATTTCTTTTTGTCAATATTTTTAATAAACATTTTTTAAATATTGTTGAAAAATATATATATTAATTATTTTGGATATTTACAATTGGACAATTCTTTGTAATCAAAACAATGCATTATTTTTTCAAAAATATTAGTTTAGTTTTTAATAACAGGAAGTTATATATAATTCTATTATCCCATAAGAAAAAAAATATATTTGTTCAAATGTATTTTATTTCAAAAATATATCAAAACATAATTTTCCGGCCAAACCTTGTATAATTAAAGATAATTATATTTTTTTTAGATTTGATTATACAAGATTCAGCCGACAAATTATATTTTAAGGCGCCTCGAGCGGAAAAATATATGTATATAAAAGTATATGGACCTTTGCGAACTAGTTTGAGGCAAATAAGTAGATAAAATAATGAAATACTTACAGGAAAAGATTCGCGCAACAACAATCTATGGAATGAAACGAGATGAGGACGATTGGTTGGAGAATAAGCAAAATATCCGAAATTAAAAGTTTAAAGCGATTTGAGAGATTTTGGTCGGCTATATGTAAACAAGTAGGAGTTAGAAATATGAAAAACAATCTGTCAAATCGCTTTAAACTTTTAATTTCGGATATTTTGCTTATTCTCCAACCAATCGTCCTCATCTCGTTTCATTCCATAGATTGTGGTTGCGCGAATCTTATCCGGTAGATATTTCATTATTTTATCTACTTATTTGCCTAAAACTAGTGCGCAAAGGTCCATATACTTTTATATACCTATATTTTTCCGCTCAAGGCGCCTTAATATATTTTTGAAATAAAATATATTTTAAAAAATATGTATTTTTTTCTATATAGGACTTGATATGAAAACAACTCTGATGTGCCAAAATGGGTCTATGAACTCAGTAGAAAATATGTACATTTATCTTATTGTCACTATTGAAGAACTAGTTACACTAAAAATAATTAAAACATAAAAATCGACAAATAAAAGCAAAATAACTAAAGCCTATTACTTTTTTTATAATTACATTGCTTCATATTAATGAAACTTGTATATTTCAATTGTGAAGTCTTAGAAGCTGTAAACATATCTACGAACGTATTACGTGATATTTTTTTCTACAATTTAGCGTGATGTATATTGAATATTTCATTATTTGAAACACGTGATTATTTTCAACGTGGTAATTGCAAGCGTGAATTAAATAAATATCTAATGAATTCATTATGATTATAATTACATAATTACATAATAAATTAAAGTAATTATCTAATTAATGTGATTTGTGAAGTTCCAAATATTTGTTTTAGTGCTATCAAAATCGGAGTAAGAATTTTTATCAATAAATATTTGATAATAAAAAAAATAACAGTAGAAGTAGTGGTGAATTGTGAATGACTTCCAAGTTGTATTGGTGAACACCAAAACGCGTTATATAAAACTTCAGAATACGTTAGACAAAATGTCAAGTAGTGAAGTTTCAATTTAACGGTTGAATTATAAGAAAATACCGCTGGTCACGCGATGTCCGCCCTGTGAAGTAGAGCAAATTGGCAGCCGCATTCTCGTGGTTCACGAGTTCTTCTTTGATAGTGAAAGCATTGCTCCAAAACGCCGCATCCCCCGCCCCCGCACTGCATCACCATATCCGACAATGATGTCATTACCTTTTTTAGTCCAAATTTTTCACCATTACATCATTTTTTCAATGTCGTCATTCAGACAATGATGACGATGATTCAATCGAAAATAAACAATTACATAATTCTATTATTTACCAATATCTTCATTATTTTTTTGAATAATCTTATTGAGTTTTCATTTCTACAAGTTATCTACTTTCTATGTACTCATCTTCGAATCGACGTAAGCCTACTAAAGTTAATGCAAATGCACTTGAAAGAAACTAAAATCGTGGTTTTTTTGTTTGCAAAAGAAGCTTTAAATGCTTAGACTCAAAAGAATATACAAATGTCATTGTTATTAATAAATAGAATAAATAATAAATAATACGTATAGCTATTAATAGAAAATAATCGGCACGCAAAGAAGTCACGAGAGAACTGAGTTTTACAATTACTATTTAACGATTAAGATAAAATAATCTATTCAATGACATAGTTTTTTCTTGTATACATGATTCTGTGATTTCATCTACAACCTGAAATCACCGTGAAAGAAAAAGTATAATATTTACCTGTGAACATGCATGTTGCGATGAATGTTGAGTACATGGGGCATTTGGTACTGTGCATACTCCAGTTCCTGGTACTTTGAGTTGTTCTTTGTAGTCTGGTTGGTAGGGAAGTAACATTCGAATTTTACCCCAACGATTAAAGAATAAAGCTATAGCTCCTGCCCACACTATTAACACCATTACTACTATTCCCACTTCGACTCCACGAACCTGTCATCAAAGCCATCAAAGCCATCAATATCAATTACTTTACTCGATAAGTTTGAATGACAAAAATTACATGAATTATTCATCAACTCACTTGAATGTAAGCTTGGGGATGTTGAGATGATGATGGCGGTGGTGGTGGTATGGGTCCACCTGTGACAGTAGAATCTTGTTGAGGTGATGTTCGTGGTGGTTCTAGAAATGTTTTACGTAATTTTGATGAATCAGTTTAATCCAAAAAGTGCTCGTGAATATAAACAATACCGTTGTATAAATTAAAAAAAATTAATCAAAAAATTCCTTCGTTGCATTATGTCTTCAGATGAAGGTGATGAGTTTAGTTGGTAAGAGAAAAAAAGAATTGATTGATTACGTTTTTCGACAGTAAATAACACACGCTCAATCTATCACCAAGTGACTAGACTTCAAGTCAATTTACTGCAACTATTGATTTACCTAGTGTACGAAAGACGATCGGTCGACTTCTGTACTTTTTTCCAGCCCTCACCGCAGTGATGACCAGCTGATATTGCGTGTCAGCTTGAAGGTCGCTCAAGGTAACTGCATCGCTGTTTCCTGCGACTAACCGCACCATCCTGTAACTAAGCATCGCGCTATTGTCATTATATTCCTCGATTCAATGGCCAACACATGCATTTACTTTCCCTTTAAGTATACGGTACATGATATTAATTGGATTGTTCACAGCGAAGCAAACACGCACATTTACCACAATTACTTGGATGCTTTTACTCGGTTATTCAAAGTTTATTTCATTGTTGTAATTGAATTAAATTCCATATACTTTTTTGTAGCTATGTTTTTTTTAAGGTGTTGAGTGAATTACTGCTGCAGTGACAGTCTAATGCCTACAAGTGCCACAGTTAAATTTATTGATTGACATAGTATGAACATATTTGGAGACAATTTAATGAATGGTGACAGATTAATTTTTTTATATCTATTCTATTAATATAAACATATGAGAATATTACTCGTTAAAGTGTTCATCTAAATGGCTTTTCAACAAATACGTTACTCAAGTACCTGTCAGTGTCATTCCTTCTGCAGTGAAAAAAAATTAAATATTAATCACAAAAATGCAGAAAGGAAGTAGCAGATAAATCATTTTTTTTGTAAATCTAATTTTTGATTAAATTAATCACTAAATGATAGCGTTATTTAATAATCATATTATGATGCAAAAATGATTCCTAGAATAGTAGATGAAACACACGGCTTTTGACAAAAAAATATACCTTTCTTCATCGAACGTCATGTTGTATGGTTCGTAGTAACTTAGAGAGAATGTTTGATTGAGCATTGTTCGATTGAGATATGCATCATAAGCTTCGTCGGTTTCATTCCTGTATCCGTCGAGGAAAAAAATGTCTAATTACTATTTCATGTTTTTACTCATTATTTTACTTACTGTGTTGCTAATAAACAGTTAATAGTGTAACACTTAACAATGACTATGCTAAAACATTTTTTTTTTAACAATATCTCTCTTACAACAAATATCTGTCACAAAAATTGTCCCTTATAAATCATCTAAATGAATTTTATTCCTATCCTAAAAGCAGGGGTCCACTATTCTAACAAGATTATTTTTCATTAAACATTAATTTCTATCTAAATCACACTTTTCTAATTTCTCTGTACGTGTGTATAGGTACCTGCTGCTGTCAGTCGTGAAATTCCTTCGCCGCAAAACAACCGAAATGTAAGATTAAAATAATACCATATCCAGAAGAAGTGTGCATGTTATTGACATCACTTAAGGCATTAATTTTATATATTCATATAATGCTTCACTAAATGAATAAATGTGTGCAATCCACTCAGCGATTTTGGGTTTAACCAGGTGATGATTGTTTTTGTAAACGCACCTTGCATCTGTTGGCTTGTATGTTACATCGTATTTTTCCACCTGATCCACTTGGCTCGTGCTCCATGACACGCGGACGGATGTAGGGCTGAGAAACACGACTGTTATATTTTCTGGTACCCCAGGTACGCCTGTCATAGAACCTGAATGAAATAATCCTGCTGGTTAGTTTGAATGAATAATTTATTATTTAATCTAGGGAATAAAATTTTTTTTGATGATACTCACCAACGAAGCCTACGCCGTGAAGAATTAATACAGCAGCCCAAAGGATCATTCCGCCAGGGTGGTGGATCAGATGTGGATCCTTTGTACTTTCGCACAATTTTCAACCACTTTCGTCTGCAACAAACTCTCGGTTTCCACATCCACTAAACTATTTTCGTTGTTGATTAATTTTAAATCCAACCACATTGATCATGAACATCATGTAAAATATCTCAGTAACAACTGTGTCATTTTTCTTCAGTAATCACCTGCCAAGATGAGGAATAGCTTTCCCTTCTATCCATCAGCTGAAAAATACCAAATAAAATTGCTTTAGACAGGTCCTATTATTGAAGTATTTTATAAAGAGATTATTGAATAAGCTTATAATGCTGAACGCTTTCTTGTTGGTGATTTTTTTTTGCGAATAGAGAAAACATTATTGAATATTTCAAAGAGCAAATTGATGAGTTTAGAAGTTTTAAAGTAAACAACCAAGAGGAAGTTTGGAGTGAAAATGCAATCAACTATAAATAATTATTGAGCAACTGGGACTCAACTACTCCTACCCTTTTATACATATAATACACCATCTGCTATCAATTGATGTTTGTTAACTACCTTCTAGTCATAATATTAAATTTATATTAAACTAAGAAAACTTATGCAGATAGTATAGTAAGAGAATGTTTTATGAGAAACTGAAACACGCCTGTAACTCGAGTCATTCTAACTACTGGATGTAAGCCAAAATTTACAGCAGTAAATTGTTGTTGGGTCGACGACACGAGGGTAAATTTGCACTACCAGCAGTGCCAACATTCATTTATTTTTCAGCGACGCAATTAGTTTAGCATGTAGTTGTGTTGACAAAGATTTCATCGAATTTCTTAAAAGCTTTAGACTGTTATCAAATAATGAATGATTGATCAGTTTTAGTCTGATCACTTGATAAATATTGGATCCAGATAGAAAATAAATTAAACATTTTTTTCTGCCCAAGGCCATTAAAAATTATGTGGTCATCAAATGCTGTCTATTTCTTTGAAATGACATTAAATAAGCTGCAAACCCTTACTACTGTTCTTATTATTTAATATAATAAAATCAATAGATAAGTGAAACTTTTTTTCTGTTAAACAGAAGAATTGCTTTTTTGTTTTTTTTTCTCGTTATATCTCAGGTTTTTTTTTTAAAGTGATAATTATTTTTATTTAATTATTGATTTAACGGTTATAAATAAAAAGTCTTTGGATAGGTTTTTTTTATCATAAATGGTTGAATATAAGACTATTTTTGAAATATTTTAATGATAAGCATATCTAAAAGACAATTTGAATTTTTTATACTATCGAAAAGCATTTAGTCGTTGGGGGTCAACTTATTTTTTGGAATAACATTAGATAAGCTTGAAACCCTAGTAAAGGTATTTGATGAATGATGACTAAAATATGCTTTTAGTATTCAGAAAGAACAAAATCGATAAATGAATTAAATTTTTAAATCATTCCAATTATTATTACCATCATTTAAAATATATGTAATACTTGAAATAATAATTTAAAAAATTAAATGAATATTTTAAAGACTAGAGTTTGTTGAAAAATAGATATAAATTCGATTAGATAATCCAATTAGTTAAATGAAGGGTTTATATTTAAAATCAATAATCCAACTAGTTTATTACATCAAACAAATAATAAATGTACTTTTTTATGGTTTTCCAGTTCATATAATTATATCTAAATAATTCTTGAGGTTTAAAAGTTATTATTCTTCAAGTAAATAGAAAACTTTTTGTCAGAACTTTCAGGGACGAAAAATATTGGAGAAAGTTCAAATTCCACTAAGTTGTGAGGTATAGAAAATTCAAAAATCTCCAATAAAGTTAATGCAAAAGTCAAATTCTTTGAAGTCGAATTAATATTTTTTTAACCTTATTTTGTACTAAATCCAACCAAATAATGTAAAAATAGGTTATTATTTTCATTCTGAATATGTATACATTCATCTTAAAGGTTATATTTAATGCTATAAATAATTGCATATATCAGTTTGGTGAATGTTTGTTTTCGTTTTCTTTTCGTGCTATAAAAAAGTATAAAACGATTCGAAATTTCACGTCAAGTCTTATATTATGATGTACGGAATGGGTTTTTGTTATTGCAATAAAACGAATAAGACAAATTTACAAATAAAAAACCTCAGAAGTCAATTTGCATCATGTTTATGTTAAAATTAGTCAAAAGAAGAATCGATTGTTACTCCTGGACACGAAATATGAATATAAATATCTCACCAAGTGTTGTTGTCTATGTATATGTATTCATAAACATGTGGTTCATGTCCTGGAGTATTTTTTACTCTGCAATTATTATGCACATAAAGTGCAAAGGATCACAGTAAAAATATTCAACAGCAAAAATTCAAGTCAATTATTAAATAAGGTTGAGCTCCAAGGAAAGAAAATGAAGCAAAAGGAAAGATGAAAAAAGATAACTTATAATGGAAGGTCCAGAATGAATGATAATGAACATTCTCAATTTGCTGGTTATAATAGCAGTAGGATTCAGTTAATGAAAAGGACTCAGATTACGAGGGATTGATCGTAGCCATTGTGTTGCTGAATAGAGTTGGGATACATGCGATGTTGCGCTCCAATTGTTATTTTATCTTCGTTAACCCTTTCAGTAGGGATCCCAAATGCTTTCGTAATAATAAAAGTTTTGCTTATGCTCTATCTACTCAGAGGCATCTGCTTATTGCTTTTATTAGGTGATTAATCGATTTCAGGTTGTATAGATTATTTTTAGACTTTTCTTCTTTCATCTATTTAAATTACCAGCCAACTATATTGGATTATTTGGTCATTTTAATCGGATAACTCTGTCTGAACTGAACACATCATTTATTTTATTATTGAAATAATTAAATAATAATTTCGAAAAACCACTTATTGATAAAAATTCTTTTTTAAAGGTCAAAATAAGTGAAAGAAGTGTTCAATGTGTTCCATTTTCATTTAAAGAATGAAAATTAAAATAGCAGCTTATAGTTATAATAAATAAACATTAGAGATATAAATAATATGATTATTGTATCCAATGATATATTATGATTCATTAAATTTTATTATTGGCAATAAACATTAGGGATGAAATATTGTTTATTTCAAAATAATTTTCAGTAAAATTTTGCAATCATGTTTTTATAGATCGTTAAAACTCTCAGTGAGCAATATTGCTTTGAATTTTTTCTAGTGATAAAATGAAAACTAATTAAAAATCCTTGTCAGTTTGATACAAACGGAATAATAAAATTAAACCTGTTGAAGTCCCCAAGCAATTAAAATGAACACATTTTATTCATATGAATACATGTATATTTGAAAAATTCTTGATGAAATTTGTGAATATGTTGAGTAATAATTTTTTTCCTTCACATTGGTGCATTTAATTACATAAAAAATAATACTGTAGGACTTTACAATTAAATAATCATTCCTGAAATTAATGTCATCTAATCAAAATCAGACTATAAATAAAAATAAATTTACTAATGGCAAGCAATTAAATTAAGTACACTTTAATCCATTTATTCCTTTACTTCTTAATCTGCTATACTTGAAATTGATTACTTCATAATTAAATTTAATTTCTCAACATTTTTATTTGTTATTTTATGAGCTAAATGCTTAATCAGAAGACAAAAGAAGTAATGTCTTTATCCAAATGTTGTATACAACTCTTTTAGTGAACTATATAAAGTTGTTAAAAAGGTTAATTACAGTCATTTGAATTGCCGAAAGGCTAATTAAACATTTTCTATGTATGTTATAACTTCATAATTAATTTTGCATTCTGCCTTAACGTGTCACGTCTTATAGCACATTTTACGCAATACAAAAAAAAATAAAAAGGTCATAAAAATGGGGTAAGAAGTTAGATAATAATTGTATGTTGTTTTATTGTTATCTTGAGGGTCATAATAAGTAAAGTATCTTGTTTCAGAGCACGAATTCGTTGGTACTAAAGATGAATAGACCCTCATTAGCTCAAGATATTCCGTCTCCAAGGAGATAGCACGTTGCTACAGTACTTCTCGATCGTATCGCCAATTTAAATAGCAAGATACCAATCGATTTAATGGGGAAAATTTCACATAAAAATCTTATATCAAGATAAAATCATTAAATTCATCGCCTGGAATTGTTTGGATAATACTATCAGATTACTGAAAACAGTTAAGGCTACTTATTTAATAATTACCCTTCAGGGCCAATGAAAAGCGCGTTATTCAATTAAATTTATCTCAACTTGTTGAAGAAGTGAATTTTTTTTTTTTAGGGAATAATTATTAACATTTTTCAAGTTAACAATGGAGGACAGAAAAGAATGGAGCATAATAGTGCAATATTTTAAGACAAAAGTATTAAAGAACATCATTGAAAGAATGATCCTTATTTTTGTTTTAAGAAAATTTTTTGTATATTAAATTGTTTCAAAAAGTGAAATTATTAGCATTTCGATGTTTATATGAAAGCATATTTACTTCTTATTCACAAGTTATGTCATAGTTAATATTATGTATTTTATTATGTATAATTAAATCACTTCACAATTTCGTAGCTCAATTAATGTCTATTTTAGCTCATTCCAAGAAGGGTATTATTCAGTCTCAAATGAGGGTCTATTATTTCATATAGTTGCGTATCCAGACGTTTATTTATTGCAATTTAATTTTACGTTTTAAAAGCTTTATTAAGCATTAATGCAATCGTCAAAATGTCTTTAACATTTACCGATAAATTTAATTTCAAAGTGTTTATCATTATTAGATCTAATAATATATCACGCGAAATGAATATCAGTCTGATTTTACAATCTAGCAACCCTTTACACTTGCACTCTTTGAATATTTATTACTTTAGATAAATGATCACTATATTTTTTTTTTTAAAAAATAAGCAAAATTATTTTTATTCATTTTTTATCTTGAAAAATCAACAATAGTTTTTAAAAGCAAGACTTTAATTTTTTTACTTTCGTCTAAATCATTAAAAAATTAATTAGTTTTACAATATTCCAATTTGTGCATAAATATGAACATTAAAATAACTGAAAGGATGTATTAAATATTCAAAATATCATTTGTAAAAATTCATTTAACAAATTGTATTTTCACAGAAATTAATTATTTTATGAAACTTTAAGTGTTATCATTATTCCTTCTCAATTATTAATAATTTTTTTTTCTTCTCTATTACTTCAACTGAAAATAATTAAATATAATAGTTAATCATCAAAATAATTTCTCATTGATTTTTTTTCGTTCATGTATAGCTCTTTTACCTTTTTCGATACTGAAATAAATAGAGTTAAGTAATTGGCGACATAATATAATAAGAAACTGGCATCGAAAGGGTTTAGCTTATTATTAAAGATAATAGAAATCCAAATGAAGCATCTGGACCTATTTAATCCTCTAATTAACTAACGATCAGATTACAATTAAATAATCCTGTGTCCTTGGTTCATTTTACATGGTAAATGATGTTTCTAGAAGTCTTTAATTTTGTCGCGATGTGACACGATTTGCGTGGCATTGCAGCATTTTACTATCACAGATCGATTTCATTGATCCAGTACGTAGCTACTTTGTCGCGTGCAATACAGCTGAAACTTCTATTCGACCTCGAGGATCACCGCAGACACAGCTACTGTACAACTGGGCCACAAACCTCAATTGTGATACAAAATACTTGAAATGCCGTCGTTGCTATTATAATGCAAGCACATTGTATTATTTTTCAAGAACCACAACGTAAGCATTTTAGAAAGGTGAACACTCACACCAGTTTTGGCAAACGAAAATATTTTATCGAGTTGTAAATTTCTTTTCACTTCTTCTTATTCTTTTATTACGATAATATCTTTTTATTCACCTGCCAATACTTGAAAATATCGACTCTCATTTGTTCTAAATCACAAGAAAGACCTTTAGGTCTAGACAGGTGAAGATAAAACATTTTGACTATTCAACTGTTGTTTTCCTGGATGGAACAATGATATGATTTTTATTTTAAAATGACTATAAATCCTTTAGAAACAAAAAATGTCCTGTCATAAAAAAACGATGGATTCTGAATATAAATGATATTTTTTTCATTCAAGAGAGTCCTTAGAGAACCGTATGAAAAATGACTGATAAGAGAAATTTTTTGCTATAAAAGTGGGATAGGTTTTTCACGTTAAAGAATAATTGTGGGTTAATGAATGGTTAGTTAATTTATTTGATGAAAAATCTATAAGAAGTTGGAATAAAATATTGTGATATCTCGAGAAAAGCTTGTAAGCATGAAAGATATTTTTTGCGACGGCTAATTTAATTTAGCTTGAAACTTAATTGATTTTCATGATAAAAACACTACCTAAAAAGATAATACAAAAATTTTTACAAATGATCTGAAATAATTGAATAGCAATTCTATTCTTACTTCAATATATGATTAAAAGTACTTTTAAAAAAATAAACTATTCTAAATAGAAAATATAAGACATTTTTTCAGTCTTTTATATCGTAAAAATATTTTTTTATCTACACCATAATGGTTGATAAAACTTCAAAGTTTAGCAAAAACAATACAGATATTTTTTTGTTTATGTTTATCTATCCAATATCTCGGAAAACTATTTGTTTGATCGACAGTTTGATAAATTGATAGTTTCAATAACCTCAATTTATTTTCTAAAAATTAACTCGAAAAAAATTTGCTCAACAATATTGAAACAAATATACTGAGCTTTCATAGAACTGTATATTCCATTTGTATAAAAAGACTTCAGTCTCATCCTTTAATATAAAAAACAAAACCTCATAATTTTACTTATTAATTTAAGTTCCCAACTGCGACATATTCTAAGAAGACTCATAAACATAAATAAAGAGAAAAAATTGACATTAATTCGGTATAATGATCGTTATATTCAATCTACCGTGAAAAAAAATAATGATTAGCTACATGTATAATTCATAGCCATCTTAATGAGCTTTCAATTTAATTACCGAAATATTTCATTAAAATCTTCATTAAATTATTTTTATTTCTTGGAGCACGATTACAGGGAGTAGAACCTTCAAAAATATTAATCCTGAAACATGTAAACATTTCCCTAGATTCTAGTATAGGACCTGAAGGAATGAATAAAGAAACTAAAAACATTAAATGTGAAAATGATGGAAATGATATGAGGAATTATTTTCTAAGTAGTATTTATGATTAGGGTTCGATATTAAGTAGATAAATAATGCCGGAACTTTTCGAATTAAATCAGTAATTTCCGATATTTTGATATACTTTTTTTCGCGATAAATCTTCTTACCACAGTCTTTTTATTTTCTTCTAACTTTTATTGTCTTCAACCCTCAGTGACATCAGTCACTCTGCCATACAGTATGTACTGTGTGAACCAAAGAATCCCATCTGATTCTCTATAAATCGTTGTTGACAACACCAATTTATTTTTTGCGTGCAACAGATTGAGCCTTACACTTTATAATATTATAATCAAATTAAAGTTATACACTTGTTTGTAAAATATAACTTGTACATTCACCATTGACATTTGTTTAATAACATATCATTGTCACGAATATTCATTTTTTAATTTCCAAGTGAAAAAAAAAACCGTTTTAACCAAATAATAATAGATTAGAATAATTGTTTAATTTTCTGATTTTTATCATCAACTCTTTTTTAAATAAAAAAAAAAATAAGCACATTCACTTACACTTTAAAATACTGTCACAATAACTTTTGAATAAATTTCATTTGTCATTTAACAATTTTTATCTGACAATATTTATTAAATCAAGTTTTTAAAAAATTACCGCCAATAAATGATTAAAATTCAAGAAAAAGCTTGTATATAAATTACGATATGATCAAGCGAAAACTTGTTAGAACAGAACGTAACGTACAGAACAGCAGAAGCGCTAGTACTGAACAGAATCAGCTCGGGATGTTCAGTTTTTCAGCATGTCACATACCAGAATAGAGGGTGGTGAGGTCACGGGGGCTGGATGAAAGTATCTAAACTGGCCGTCGCGAGGAGCCACTTTATGGTTCAACTCCTACAATGCTACCATTAAATTTACCTTAGATCAAATTGATAACAACTTATAATTACGTTAATATGTAAAGTTTATGCAATGTCTGACGTTATAAGAGCTAAGAAAAATAAAACTAAAGTATGCTTGTAATATAACGAAGTCATGATTCTTCATGCATAACAATGACGGTGTACTAAAATATCATAAATTGTGATTCACCCGATAAAATTTATAGTGAAATTATTTGTGCATAATTGCAGTTTATTACAAAGATTATACGAAAAATTTCCCTCTAAAGGCAATTTATAATGGAGTAAAAAAAAAATGAACATATTTAATTGTAAGACTCTGTAATGTAAAAATAACTTTGAAGATGAAAAAGAGTTTAGTGGTAAATAACAGGATTGAAATGTCTTTCATCTTTTTTTGTAATTAGCGAAAAGAAATGATTGTGAAAAAAAACATTATATTTTATTTATTGATTTTGTTTTAATTAAATACCATCATTAAAATAATTATTATTTTAAATCATAATAATTGTATTCAAACATTAGAATTGGATTGTTTTATTTGCGTTATTAATGATTTACTACTGTTATAAGTATTATTTAAACACGTTATGTAAAAAAATTCGTTTATTATTATAATGAATGTTATACTTAGCTATACAAAAGTTTTTAAACTGCAAGTTTAGTTGATAATTGCATACATTTTTATGCCGTATAATAATTATAACTGTATTTCTAGTAACTAATTACGACTGTATACAAATCAGAAAATAATATAGAGCAGCATAGAAGGTTGATTTTTACTAATTATAAAAATTAAAAAAAATGAATTGTAATGAGAAACATTTAATAAGTATGGTACTAAACACAAAAACCAAAGTAGATCTTAAGTCATAAATTTTTTTATACGAAAAACTCAATCAGAAAAACTCATTTACGTTATATCAAAGTTTGAAGGTACAAGTTTATTGCTAATTAAATTCATTTTCATCAAGTAAAATAATTAATTGCATGGATACAAAATTATACAAACTTTAGTTGTTTAAAGTTCGACGAAAAATATTTAAAGTTAAAATTCAATGTTACTTTTTGTATTAATTACCTTAATTAATTCACATTTATTTATCATCTTACATTTCTGAAATGGTGAATTTTTCATTAATTAATGTCATAGTTATTCGCAGATAATAGATATTTATTAATCCAATAAAATACAATTGAAATGAACTAAATATTTAACACGCAGTCGCGAATTAATAAAATGAGATAAAACCTTTAATTGGAGATGTCAGCCACGTGTCAATTATAACGATGAACAGATGCAACAGAAAAGTGTGTAAAAATGATGGAATTTTATGGAGGGGAATCAGGGTTTTATTTTACCGAAATTTTCAACGATTGTATTGAAATAGAAAAAAATGTGGAAAAGGGCCTTATGGTCACATAAATATTAGCCGGTTGATGGAGGGATACCGCCACAGGGGCAGCTGAAGAGGAAAGGGATGGGGGCCCCAATGAATCCCTTCTCCAACTGTCTGTGTGCTGTGGCGCAGAAAGCCGGTTAGTCAGTTTTAATCCGTCATAGAGTTCAAGAGTATACCGGTTTGTAGTGAAAATTATAATCATTGAATCGAAAGAAAGTTTGAATATTTTTTGTAAAAGTGATTTTCTCCTATTTTTTATCAAAATTTGGATTAATTTTAGATAATGGCAAGAAGATAAGAGTGAGAGTGGTTTTGACTTTATAGGGTACGTTGTTTTTATTGAAGAAATACTAGTACTTAACTTTAGAATAAGACACAATAGGAATTAAGTAAAAAAGAAAAATTAACTGAAAATGGCAAGTGATAATAAGATGAGACAAATTCATCGTAGAAATTGTTTGCAAGAGACATTTGATGATGAAATAGTTGAATTAGAAAGAGCATTTCGTAATGCATATATCCTTAAGTCTCTGGAAGCGCAATTAGCTGAGAAAGAAGCAAATAGAGTTGCTCATGAAGCACAAGAACGATTATGCCTGCAATTAATGGCTTTAAAGCAGAAAAAAATAATGGAGAAAGAAAAATACGAATACCTAGAGTCACGAAAGCAAAGTCATGAAATGTATAAAAAATATTTACAAAAACAAATGGAAATGAAGAAAGAGAAACTCGAGCAGGAAAAAGAAGTTGCTAAAAGAAATAGAAAAATATTGGAAGAAGTTGATGAACTCATGGATAAAATACATGACTTTTCCAAACAGAAGCAACGGGAATTACTCCAAGCTAAATTGAGACGTGAAAAGCTGATATTTGATGAGATTCGAGAAATAAAAAAAGTTATTGCAGAAGAAAAAGAAATATTAGAAGCTGAACGTGAGATGATATTTTTGGAGCAAAAAGTACAAAGTATAGAAAAAGCTAAAGAGTATCATGAAAACCTTGTCAAATCTCGTCAAGCTTTGATAGATAAAGTAGCAAAATTATTTATGGATATGACAATTGAAAAATGTAAGCGTGAAGCAGTTATTGCGAATTTATTAGCTGAAGAAATAAACCAAGAAATCTTGATTATTCAAAAGCAAGATAAAGAATGGATTAAAGAAAAAAAAGATAAAGAAAGACAGCTTGCAAATGATCTTATGGACCAAATACGTTTATCTGTAGAATGTGAAGCACGTGCTCGAGAGCAAGATAGAATTTTCTTTGAGAAAGTGATGGGTAAAGTAATGGAAGACAAAAGTATGGCAATTCTTACTTTAGAAGCACGAAAGCGAAAACAAGTTCAGTATAAAGAAGACTTAGAAAAGCTCATTTTGGAGAGAAAAAAAATACGTGAAGATGCCTTGAAGAGGATGCGCCAAGAAGTTAACGATTACCAAGAAGTTGAAGAGACTCGTAGAAACCAAATAAAAGAAGGAAGAAGAAGATTGATTGAGCAACATGCTAAAAATATTGTTGGTTATTTAAAAGAAAGCATTTTTACTAACGAAGAAGTGGAAATAGTTAAGCAGTTATTGGATAAATGCCGGAAGATTTGATAGATTAATAATCCAATCAAACGACAATAAAGTTAAGCAGTATAACATAATAAAAATATTTATAGCTATTTAGTTAATAATTCAGTATATCATAAATGTGATCATTATCATCAAGCTATCTACCCTAAATACTTTTTTCAATAATATTTTATCAGCTACTATGTGGCTAGCGCCATCGAACAACAGCTATTTATATTTTCGTAAATTTATTTAATTGCTTTTACAAACGAATCGTGCTATCATGCGTGACATTATGAGGGGCCATAAATGATTCTCGTGCTGATATAGTTGTATCATTCCTCGTTCGCGTGTTTCCAACAATTGTTCCGGTTTTTTTCTCTATTTCTGCCGTTTTTTGACATTGGGCCAATTAACGTAGAAAAATTTCAGCTGATGTCCATGGTTTATTCGTTTTTTTCTTTATACATCAACAGGATGTTTGTTGTGATCATGATGCCGATCTAGTGCGATGGTCAAGGATCATTACCAAGACTTTACCTTGTCAGCTGATTACTATCAGGCACTCAATCGGAATGGGAAGACGCTCAGGTAGTTTAATTTCATCATTTACAGTTATTAAAAAAGAGAAATTTATTCAAATTCATGTTTATTACTTTCTCAATATCATTTCTTGGTCAGGCGCCTGTTCCAGAGGATCTAAAAAGAGTATTTTGTTTTATACGACTGACTGTGGTGGAACTGAAGACGATAAAGATAACGATATTGGATCCCTTCAGCAAAGATCCGTTTCACTTGTAGGTTGAATCATTATTTTCTGTATTTATATTTTTATAATTCATTAAATAGTTTCTTACATTTTTATTATAGACTGCTTTACACTCTCCAAGTACAGGATTTCCTCCACAGCAACTCCTGGAGCCAAGGATGGCTCAGCTCGAAACATTAGAAGCAAAGGTAACTTTATAGTCTTTTAATATTTGATTTTTTTAGGGTATCATCTTTTACCCGCTAGCGTGGTTCCTCAAGGTTTCTATACAGACGCTGATTTATATTCAGACATACATCAGCTAAACATCGTTTTGTATGGATATAAAGAGAAAAGGGACCCGGTTTTGCTTGTGCAGAGTACCATTAAAATTGCCCCACGTCCTTTATACTTACTTTCTGACTTGCAGTGGCGTAGGAAAATGACTTTTTGACTCCTTCTTGCTCCCTTGTTGAAAACAAGAATTTTTATCAAGATTCTGGTGTAGCATAAAATGGTTATTGTATGCGCCCTTGCTACTCCAGGGACCCATCAGACACCAAGATCTCCGACAAGATTGCGAATCCAAAAGTCATTGACCCATCTCTTGTTGCTCCTGAATTTTTGGCTCCATGTTAAAAAGCTCTCAGAAGATTATTTATGTCTATAGCTAGTCTTTTTATGAGCATTAGTTGTGCAAATGTATGTTTTACTATTACGAGCGTTTTTAAAGCATTAACTTCTTAAAATAGGCATATCATTAAAGATAAAAAAAACTCGGATGATATGATACAATAGATACTCATCGTATCACTTCGTTTTTTTGTCCAACTCTGAAATTACAACTTGTATTTGCTTTGTGCATTGGGGTTGCGTGTTCCGGGCTTGCTTTTATTCACAATTGAAAGAATAAAGTAATATATACTTACTTTCCGGTTTTCATATTTTTACTTCTCACAGTTATGTGTACATTCATATATTGTATTGTTATACATTTAACTTATTCATTTTTTTTCTCATAAAAGTAGAGATAAACAATTAGACAAATAAAAGAAGATGCATTGAAGAAATAATTGAACGAGAGAATAAATTGAATGCAAAAACATGTTTGGAAAGCGCGGATGGCGATTCTTCTGAATACCCCTCTTGTTGTTGTGTTAGTCTGATCGCCATAAATCTCATACTGTGGCGATAATTCCTACGGTGCGAAGGGATTCTTCAAGGTAAAATACAACAGACTAAAGAAAGTGTAAGAGTAAACGTCCTCTCACGCGTGAGAGAAGTTGTGTGACTATCAACTTTGCAAGCAAAGAGTTTCGAAGAAACGAGTGTGCCAGGGCCTTCGTTTGCTGTTGATGTTAGACAAGAGATGTTGCGGTCACTGCCTCCTACTAACGATATTTCCACCTTCAATTTTACTTTCACGCTTCATCCTTTCATCCTTCATATATGTAATATTATCCATATTAACTACTGCCTCAAGCATTTAAAAATGATCGTTTATTTTATTTTCAATTTCTCTTCAGCTTTTATCTTAATTCATCATCATAGTTATTGTATAATGCAGATGGCAAGTATCGAAGTTTCGTTATCAACAACACCGAAAAGGAAAAAAGGAGGAAGTCTTTCCGGTGCAATGACCTCGCCTGCTGGTCACAAGAATAGAGATTACTATAAAGAGGTCGACGCTCTTCGGGTTGCCCTTCGGGACAAGGAAAACATCATCCAGACGTATGTTTGAAGTCATCCTAATTTATTATTCAGTTTTTTCTTTTTTAGTTTTTCATTTAAACCTTTTTGTCTTTTGCACTCTCAATGTCTATCTTATCTGACCAAAATTATTTTGTGTAGACTTAAAGGTCAACTGTGCAATACCCTGAGCAACCGACTAGCATTGAGAAACACTAAAACACCGCCTCTGACAGAAGCTGATAAAAAAGCTACTGAAGAAAGGCTACAAAAACTTGGTCGTGATGCTGATAATAAAAGGCTAGCTATTAAAAACCTTAAGCTGGCTTTAGAGCGACTGGATATCACAGAGTAAGCTGGAGAAATGTATTTTAATTTTCTAGATGAAGAAAAAAAATTTAATACTGATGAATTTTTTTTTCCTTTTATTTTAATTCTAGTAATATCGATATTCGTATTCAGCAAGCAGAATTAGAATACAGACTAGGTCGAGAGGAATTGGAGTTGCTGACGTTGATAGAAGAAATTCGTGCACTCGATGCGGCTTTAGAGTTGGCTGAAACTCAAGAGAAGCAGAAGAATGATACCATATTTAGGTAATCATACCCAATATTTTAAAATATCTATTTTATAATATTTAAAATATTGAAGTTTTTTTCCGCTAATCTCTTTTTTCTTTACATTTGTTTTATTTCAGCTGCATTACTGGTGGGACACACATGACAATTCATGCGGTAACTGTGAGTGCAGATCCCAAGAGTCCAAGATTTGGCGCAGGACCTCGAGACAATGCACCTGGATTGTATGTTGATTGGGCTGTGGAAGATTCTGGTCTTTGTAAAGAAGATAGGTGAGAAAAACGGAGTATTCAAGATCTTTAGAAAATATCTCATAAAGAATAAGCTCATGTATAACTGTGAACTTTAAAATAGCAAATAAGGTGCGTGGGGAAGAGGAAAGAAAAAGTATGCTCAACGACCGTGATATGTAGTAATACGTATAAGTCATGAACTCTAAACGAAAATAAGAACAATGGACAATCTTATTTTGTTCTCAGACATCGTTGTGTGTGAAAATATATTATATGCAAGACAGGAAGTTCGCTGGGTGCCTCCACTAATTGTGCAAACTCTTAACTTTAACAATGATCGTTATTGAAAAATTGTTCATTTGTTTTATTTTTGAAGAAAGATTTTTAAAAAAATTTAATACAAGAGTTTTTCATTATACTTAATTAAACACAAAATATGTAAATAAGTGATGAATTAGTTTTCAATTATTTTTTACAACTTTATTTAATAACTCACAGTTCTTTTTTTAATAATAAAAACTGTGAGTTAACTGAATGGAATGATAATTTTTTTCATGAATAATAATCACAGTTGTACGGAAGTGACCACAATGCAATCAAGAATGTATTATTGAATAATATTACCTACTTACTCATCCTACGACGTTATTTCTATTGTTTTAGAATCTTAGAGGTGAACGGGAAACTTGTCGTAGGTGCAGGAAAAAGCGACCTGTCAAGGCTTCTTGCTGTTACTCCTGAAGCAGCCCACATCGTAGTTCTCAGGAAAAGCGAATCATTAATGGCACTTAGAGCCCTTAGATCGGAAAACCTCCGGCTTACCCACAGAATTAGTTACCTAGAAGAGCAAGTAAGAGATTTATTATCTCCTGTACGAACTAAAATTCAGCTAGATCCTACACCACCTTTACCACCATCTGCAACATATCAGGACCACGTTCAAGTAAGAATAAATAATGTAAAAAAACCTATGGTTTTCTAATGTCCATAATTTATTATATAGGTCTTTCAAAAAGGTCCACAAGTCACCACACTGGTCACTAATATTCCAAATTTAAATGTCAAAAGCTCTAGAGAATCGTGTCAAAGTTTACCAGTTGTGGTAAAAAGCAGACACAGTGATTACACTCAACGTTTATCAACTGTAGTAGATCCACCATCAAAGAGTTTTAAAGACTTTGAACTTTCATCAAAATTACGTGGTCGAGAGAAATCAAAGGCTTTGAATTTTCTTCAGTTAACTCGATCAACAGCTAGTTTAGATTGCGGAAAATCTAAAGTAGCTTACAGGTTCCAATCGCAACGTAGAAGATCATCAAAGTTGGATGAATTAACTATAAAACATCCACATAATGGCATCAATATAAATGACCGTCAACAATCTCTTGAATTTGATTCCGAACCTACTTATTATCATAGCATGAAAGATTCGCGACGTCGATTGTCTGAGTATGCAGAAGAGATTTACACACTACATGAGACGAACAAACGGCCAGTTCCACCGCCGAAAAAACCTTTACGACTTTCTCTACATAGAGCTACAAGTTTACAATCGGTTGAGAGCGCACCTCCTTCAACCATGACGATAGAAGTGATGAGCAATTCAATGAAGCAAAGTCATAATGATCGTATATCTCAAGAAAAAAATGAGAAATCAGATAGTAGTAATGAAAAAAATGGTAATCAACAGCTTAACGATCAATCATTATCTCCACGACGCCGCCGAAGACGTAAACAATCGCCACCACCTCCACCAATACCTAGAACCCCTTCTAGAGCAGAATCATGTCAAAGTGCACTTCATTGCAGAGCATCACCGATCAAATTTAGATATTAAATTTGTCATAAGGAATTAATTAAGCGGAGAAAAAAACCGTACTTACATTTCCACAGTACAAAATTCAATATTGATGTATAAAATTAATTTACAAAATGTATAAATAATTTTAATATGTTGAAAATACTATTCGTAAGATATAAAATAAGTTTTTTCTAAATGTAAGATTTATTATACTGGCTTACTTTTTTAACGCACGTTGACAAAGTCGTGCAAGAAGACTGTTCAATTGTAATAAACTACCGATTCCATCCAATACATTCAGATGAGTTATACCAATTTCCTGATAACAAAAAATCATTATTTAAATATCTTTAATATCATTTTTATAATAAATTGTATATTATGATCTACCTTTATAAAATCCAGTTTTAATTTCTCATCAATAGGTAAATTCTTGCAAACTCGAAATATGTTGCCAATTAAATCTTCTGAAGAATAACCGAGCTTCCATAAATTTTCGAGTATCTACAATGCAAGGAAAATTCATTCAAGTACCAGAATAACAAAATTGACCTGTATTTAATATCATACTACTGCATATTGAACGTCGTTTTAATACGCATGTATATTTTGCTGAATTTTGTATTTTTGTTGATCTAACGTTTAGATTCTAAATTTTATTGCAATTATTATTTATATTTAAAATCGTGATAATGATAATTAACGACTTTGTATACTAGACTTCAAGTGTGTAACTGAACTTTAGTGTCTTTAAAATTTATTTTATTACTTTTCATAACACTGTACAAGTTTTATAGTTACACTATATAAATTATTTATAATTGTAGTAAAAGCAAATTTTTTTCACGAGTTGAATGAGTTAATAATATCTTCTATATCATAAATCAATTAAAAAAAATATAAAAGTACTTACTTCATATGCTTTAGAAATTTTTCCTTGAATACATAGTTCCAACATTTCTTTCACAAGAAGCGGATGAGGTTCGTCACAAACTTTGAATACATTCTCACTATTGACATGCCCAAAACCGTTGACAGTTGATTGTAAATTATTCAAACCTTGTCGCATGTCACCTTGAGCTGTAAAAACTATTGCTTCAAGACCATCATCGGTATAAGAGATCTACAAGTTTTTTATTTTCATTTTATAAATTTTTAATACATAAAATTGTGATAGAAATATTTCAAATACTTCAAATAACTTACATTTTCTTTTTCACAAACTTCAATCATTTTAGCTAAAACTTGAGCATCAGTTAATTTTCCATATCGAAGCATCGCACAACGTGACTGGATAGGCTCAATTATTTTTTCACTGGTATTACATGCTAGAGCAAAACGTGTTGTGTGACTAAAGATTTCCATAGTACGCCTCAAAGCTTGTTGTGCGCCTTCAGTCATGCTATCAGCTTCATCAAGAATAATTATTTTATGTCTTCCAGGTGGTAAGTTAACCTGTAATTCAAACATGATACCATCAATGATTGAGAATAATTTATACTAGTACTTAAAATATATGAGTGCAGACCTCACCTTTTTTTGAGCAAATATTTTTATCTTATTTCGAACTACATCAATACCTCGATCATTAGAAGCATTTAATTCAAGAACAGTATCTTTCATTGTTGCACCCAAAAGAGTTCGAGCAAGACAAAGAATTGTTGTAGTTTTACCTACTCCAGGTGGTCCAGCAATTATTATGTTTGGAGCATTTCCATGCTTAGCAAATACTGCTAATCTTGCTACTGTATCTTCATTACCTATAATGTCTGAAAAAACTTGAGGCCGATATTTCTCTATCCTATAATTGAAAAATCAATAGATATAAATTAGAAGTAATAATGTGGATAGAAAAAATACATTTTTATCAATGTTATATTTTCTTTTTACGTGATATAGAAAGTTAATATAACCTTCTTTTGATAACTAAAAAAAAGCCTTAATATAAAACACATACATACCATGGTAAATTAGAAGCTTTGTTTTGTTTATGATTATTAATAGAACCATTATGATTACTTTTCGATGGAGTTTCTTCAACTTCCATAGAAATATTATCCTCTGCCATGTTAATCAATTACTTTTTCGAAAAATACTACCAGCAGTATATCAGAAAAGGCGCCAAACACCTGATAAAAAAACATTTGTACCAATGCTGAACACGTGAGTGACATTATATAGGATTTATAACCTCATTTTAACATCATACGGTAAAGAATACATACTTACACTTATTCGTATAGCAGCAAGATGTAACATTTCTTCAAAGAAAGATAAATATTTATTGAAAACTCAAGTTGTACAAAGAAATTTTTGATGTTTGTAAACAATTATATAATTTATTAGTACACCCCGGCATTATTTATAGTTACAGTAACACTAGAATTAATTTTTTCATCTTCGCACATCCATACTTTTATCGTACGGCTTTCATTTTCACCTTTTTCTATCAATAATCGAGTGTTAGGAATATACAACCAATATTTTCCAAGAGTAGGTTTCATAGCAGTTGTTGTTTTTCCTTCAAAACCATCAATTTCTCGCCAAGGTTGTGTTACTGAATTAACTGTTATAATAGATAAAGCATATTCATTTGCTAAAAAATGGCAAACATTCGTTAAATGATTTAATGAAGAAAAATTATCTTCAGTTTTTTCCTCTGACATAACGAATACTCCTGGTAATGAATCAATTATTATTAATTTTGTTTTTTCATTTTTTGAATTTTGTTTCAATGATTGTGTAAAATCATAAAGAACATTAAATAGTTGTTGAACATTCTTGGCATGAGTTGTATTTATTTGATTCATAACTCGGCCTGCTACCTATAATAATTATTCATAATCTAATTTAAAAAAAATTCGTACGACATAAAATTTTTAAATAATACTAAGTACCTCATCATCCAATTTTTTATTCTCCAAAATCATTTGGATTCTTGACGCAGAAAAATCTTTTTTTGTATAAATATAATGAATGATTGTTCCTGAAGATTTTACAGCAATATTCACAGCGAGAGTATAACATAATTGTGATTTCCCAGAGGATGATTTTCCACAGATTTCATAAATTCGACCAGGATATAAACCACCTCCTAGTAAACTATCCAAGGCTGATATTCCAGTTATAGTAACACTTTTTTGATCTATGAATAACTGAAATGGATCTTTTATTTTACCGCCAAATTTTTCGACTATTTCTTTCTTTATTTTTTCAATATCCTATCAAATAAAATTTAATATTTAATGGTTTTTAAAAATAGAGAAATAAAAAAAGTGTATATACCTTAAATGTCAATTCCGTAATTTTGACCAATTTATCAGTATCTTCACTGACAAAGTCAAACACAGTAAATATTTTTACACTCTGCAACTTGTTGATTATTATATTATTGAATTTTGAAGAGATCGATGGATTTAATCGTGACATTTAAAACCAATATAAATTATTCAAAGAAATAAAATAGTACAAATGAAATATTCATGAAACCGGTAACACATAATATACATAAATATTCTAATGGTATTTAGAAAAATAATTTGAAAAATCAACCTTGTCAACATTGACTACGTTAATCAGTTGAAATGTAAAGTATTTCAAAAGGTGATGCACGAGTATCTAAATGATTCCGGCGTCATTTGTGTACATACGTTCGTAACCACACGAGGATAACGATAGTTATTTATCATAATTATGTTGAATTAATCATTCACAAAAATATATTCGTAGCGCGCAGACGTTCATTTTTAGTAATCCCGATTTTAAGTTATAATTCTTCACTAATTTTAACGACAAATATGGAAGTGATTAATAAAATTTTGGTACATGTGTTCATATTTAACACGAAAATAATCGAAACATCAATTTCACTAATAGAAAATTTACGTATTGGCGTTCGATAGTTGAAAAAAAAATTCTTTTGAACACTGAATCAACACGAAGCAAGAACTTCAATGCGCGATGATAAGGTGCAATTGAAGAACTCCAAAACGCTCGTTGTAGCGAGGGTGTGAGTAGATATTTTATATTTTTTATACTCGTAGGAAGGTCATGATTAATATGCGAAACGCATGATCACCACGTGGTCGCCATGTTGATTTTTTTAACTAACTTTTTAGGTTACATATTTTTGTGAATACTTTTTTATTTAGATAAAAGTATAAACTAATGTTAAATACTTAATATATATATTATCGAAATGCTATTAAGTTTAATATCATTATTTTTCATAAAACCATTTAGAATATTTGTTGATTGTTGAAAGAAACGTGGATTACATAATGAAAATTTCTTTTGAAAAATTTTGTATTCATTGTTAATCATTAATAGAATAAGAATATTGTTATTTATATACTAAATTAAACTTTATAAATTTTCAACATGTTATTTTTTAATAATTTTTTTCTAAATAATTTAGTCTTAAAAATGTGAAAAAATTGTTCATGAAAAAAGTGTCAGTTAAAAACTTTTTAACTACAAAATTAGCAAGAATTTTTAATAATTTATGTTAGTGATTTTGATTTTCAGATACATTTAATTCATCGTATTTCAATAAAATAATGATGAATACTTAATTCTTTCTTGTTATTGAGAAGAAAATCAATAAATAAACAAATGCATAATAAAATTCTCGAAGAAAAAAAGTGCAAGTCAAAATAATCTCTAATTTCAAGTATTATTTTTAGTCATAGTTTATTGATATTCAATGATCATCTATGTAAATATGATTTTTATTTACATATCGGCAAATAAATGCCACATTGATCCTTTTCACTGTTAATAGAATTTCCCCGGGTTGCAATTAATGAAAATAAAATTGCTGATTTGATTGCAAGTAGCGGATATACAGTTTTACGTCAGCATTAAAAGTCTACCAATAAGGAGCTTGATTCGTAGCTGCGTTGCCAAATTTTTATCGAGCATCAGCCAATCAAATAATTCGCAGGTTGACTGAAGAGCCATCTTTCAATGGCTTCCGGAAATAATGGAGGTAGGCAAGCAGCCGCCTGGTTGCGGTGGCTCGTGAAATTTTGTCGGGAACCGTCGCCATGTTTAGAAGTGTGCCGCACGTCCTTGAGCAAGTCCGAATAAAATGTTCCGTAAAATATTAGATATATCTCATGCACTGAACATTACGTGAGGTACCTATTTATTTATTTACATTTGCTGATAGCAGTTGTGCAGTTTATTTACGTGGATGCCGTGTCTACATCCCAGAATTTTGTGATTACATTATGGTAAGTCTGACTGAAAATCGAGTCAACGCCAATATGGCTGCTTCTAAATTTCCTTTGTATTGTGAGGCGAGGCAAGGCTTGCCCGGAGATACTTTATAACAAATAATATATTATTAACAAACAACAACTATTTTAACCAGTGGTTTTAAGCAATTATCAAGAAAAAAATATCAAATTAATCAATCATTAAATTCTTCAGGTATTTTTTTTTATAATAAATATACTAGCAACTTCGCTATCAGACGCTCTCAGATTCCACACTTGGTTGTGTCTCATTCGTTATGTTCTCTTGCTATCTAGAATGACATTATAATTTAAGTAGTTTGAATTAATCTTTGAATTTTGTACAATTTTTCATGATATCAAACATGATTATCTTTTTTATTTATATCCTATAATTTCTATTTTAATCTTTAACGATTGTCTTTACTCAGAATTTTGATTTCGGCGCTATTTCGATTAATCAATTGAACGAAGTATTCCGAGACCTCCCGGACGCATTATGTACACTGTCTTACTAGCTATTAGGTTATAAAAATACAATAAAGTGTTTATTTACTTATTTTATTTTATTTTAATTACATTATATATTTATTATATAATAAAATACAGATTAAAAAATTGCACATCAATGTCAATCTACTAATATTACAGTTTTTAATTAAAGTTGTGTTTACATTTGCGAAAACTAGACAAACTCATAAACGTTGAAGCATATTGATATTAAACACATTATTATTATTAAATATATTCTCAAATAAGTGGACAATTAATATATATTAATTGATGTTGAATATTCATGATACAATACTTGATATTGGATATTGGTGGCAATTAAGTGTTATTATACGTCGGTTTTATATCACTTGTTAATTCTAAGACAATTTGATTTCAGTGTCATGTGTAATGAGTGATAAGCAGGGCGTGCCAACTTTGCCGCCCCTTTCCGGGGGTGGAAATAACAATGGGGGAAGTAGCACTAATGCTGGAACTCAGCAAACAGTCAACTTGCAGCAAGTTTTGGCAAGCCAAGGACTTAATGTTCTTACTACAGGAGGTGGCCAGCAGTTTGTCATTACTTCTCAGGTTTCTGGTCTTACACAGGTTATTATTTTTGATCATTTATTCTTAACAATCTTCGATAGTTACATGTGCTGTTATCATTGTGATTAATCAGTAAATAATTGATGATCAAAGATCAATTATTAAGTGACTGAATCATCATATTCTAGGTCATACCGAGTGGTACGACAACTAATGCTGGCCTCCAACAAGTCACAAGGATTGTTAACATCGGAAATATATCAACAGCAAGTGGTTCATCCTTAACTTCGCCTAGTCGTCCAACTACGACAAAAGTTGTGCTAGCAACATCTCCGAAGCTTGTGAGAACAAATCTAGGAAACATGTTTCTTGCGCCAACTTCTCAATCAGGTTCATCGCCTCCTGTCAAGAAACTCAAGCTTTCGGAAGCTGTAGAAAAGTCAACGATACTTGATGATAATTCAGGATATCGACGGCGAATTATGGAACACAAGATTAAGAGAATGCGAGCAATTAGAGAAAAGTATATCGAAAATGTATCTGAACTTTTTTTTCTCAATGCTGGTGGCAATATGATGGATTATCAAGCTTGGAAAAAGAGGCCACCGACTGGGCCTTACCTTCAATTTCTAAACCAACATCGATTAGATCCAGATGATGAGAATGAAGATTTAACCTCACCATTGCCAACAATTACTGAAATTCCTACAACGCTTTCTGCCTCTACAACTTCTAGTACAACTCAATCAACACAAAATATTGAAGTGAAAATTGCAGGGGTAGGTGTTACTCCTGTTGCCGTTTCTACCACTTTGCCTGCAGCTGTTGCTCAACTTAGTCAACAAGGTATATTATTTTTAAGAATTAACGTACGATTATAATTAAATCCTCTAATAACCAGTATCCAAATTTTTATTCAACTAAACAAGCACTAATCCTTACGTACTGTTGTTTAATCAAATATTGGCGATAAATATTAAAAAAAATATTGTGCACCAACTGAATTGATTTGCGCAGTAGGACAGGTCCCAGGTAGGCCTCAAGGCGGCCGACATGGCATGGTATTTGCCATCCGAGCAGCTATTCAATCTCCAACAGTGACTGTTCACCCTTCACCCACTTCTACTATAGCACCCACGTTCATTATAGGTGATTACTAGTAGGACAACCATTCGATGTTTCTATCTGATTTTCTTCACTGATTTGATGTTTGTCCTGGCATGATCGTTATTCCGTTAATTATTTCATATTATTTTTTATGATGAAGCCATGATGTAGAATTTTATTTCATTCTTATTGAAAAATTGTTTTAAACCCACGATAAAACCACTAATTCAGTTCAATTTAAACTGATTTGGTCAAAATTTGGTGGGTATAGTGATACCGAGCATGTGTAAGGTCTTGAGGGAATTCCGCCCACAGGATCTAAGGGATAATCTCGTTACAATTATAAAACTTAATTTTCTTTTTTAGGTTATAATAATTTTATTAAGTTAATTTTTTAAAATTGGCATTTTTTTTTTAATTTTGTTTTATTTATCCTTTCATTTTCATGATAATCATAGGTGGAACGCCTATAGTTCCAGAGTCCCCGAAACCATTGGTGACTGTATCAACAACTTCATCAGCGTCGAATAAACAAGCCTTGGCTTCGACTTCTTTAAAAACATCATTAACTTCTACGTCCACGCAATCTGCATCTTCCTCTCAACCCGTGGTTAAACTCGTTAAACTGCCGCCTACGAATTCTCCGTCGTCATGTGATACTCAAAATAATCAGGAGCAAATCGTAGAAAAAGCGAAACAGGTGCTTTATATATTCATTTATTTATTTATTTCTTTTTTTTTCATTTTATATTTTTATTGATGTTATTTATAACACATTTTGGTTTGGATTTGTTTGAAAACAGGAAGCTTACGTCATGCAAAGAATTAGTGAATTGCAACGTGATGGACTTTGGTCTGAAAAACGATTACCTAAGGTACAAGAACCTGGAAGAACTAAAGCACATTGGGACTATTTACTTGAAGAAATGGTATGGCTAGCAGCTGATTTTGCTCAAGAACGAAAGTGGAAAAAGGCCGCTGCAAAAAAGTGTGCAAGAATGGTGCAAAAACATTTCCAAGAGAAGGCTATCCAAGCCCAAAAAGCAGAAAAACTTCAAGAACTTCGGTTGAAAAAAATTGCTGGATTTATTGCTAAAGAGATTAAAACATTTTGGGCTAATGTTGAAAAAGTAAATATTTTTGTTATATTCATAATTAATTACATTTACCCCACATACTTAAGCCGGCAATTTTAATATTCAATTATTAAATTTGTGTGCTCATTGTGGGAACATTAACATCTAAACGAAATCATTATCTGTTTTTTGTTATAAAACAGCTAAATAAGATTTTAGATACATTACTAAAAGTTCAACAATTGTAATTATAATGATCTTTTTTTTTATTCAGCTTGTAGAGTTTAAACAACAAACAAGACTGGAAGAGAAGAGAAAAAAGGCATTAGATCAACACTTAAACTTTATTGTTGGACAGACTGAAAAATACTCCACGTGGCTAACAGAAGGACTTAATAAAACTGATGGTTCTCAAAGTGTTCCTGCCTCCATAAATAGTTCTCGTCTTTCATCACCTGTACCAACTCAAAAACAGCATTCAGATGGTAAAGAAATAAAAAAAAAACAATATAATCATAATAACAATATTAATATTAAAAATTATTCTAATTCCCAAATATTCTAATTTCAGATGAATTCGAACCAAATCAAAGTTCAGAAGATGATGAAGAAACAATAGCGAAAGCTGAAGAAGAAATGAAATCCACAACAAATCACAAAGAAGAGGTTGAGTTACTAAAAAAAGAGTCAGAAATTCCATTGGAAGATCTTTTAAAAGAACTGCCACCAAATTATCTTGAAGAGAGAGATAAAAGTTTGTCTCCATGTCCGGAAGACAATGATGGAGATGAAGAAGAAGAGGAAGAAGAAGAAAATAATATTGAAGGTGACGCTGAATTTACTGTGGCTTCAGATGAATCCACAGATGATGAAGATACGATTCGAGAACAAGAAGAGAAAGAAAAAAATGCAGACCATCAAAAAGAACTGGATGATCTCAAGGCTGAAAATGAAATGTCTATTGATGAACTGATGGCTAAATATGGAAACATGCCGGAGGCATCAATGGATGTAGATGAGGAGAGTGATAGAGGTATGCAAAATATTTTATAAATCATAAATTTCAATTGAATATCATTGATAATTAATCACTTTCCTATGAAGAAAAAATACCATTATTGAAAGGAAGAGATTCATTCAACTCAACCTTATCATATGAAATAAATGAGGCATTTGTCTGAGGGTTTATCGATTAAATATATAATTAAATTCAATGATTACTTTCTTATAGAATGTTTAATATTATTTTTGTTGCAATAATTTATTATTTTTACTTTAGAGTCTGGAAAAGAATCCGAGAAAGAAGATGAGGAAGAAGTAGAAGAAAAATCTGAAAGTGAAAGTGAAAGTGAAGATGAAACGAAAGATGATGAAGAAGAATCACAATCCGCGAGTGATGGTGAAACGAGTGTAGGTTTAAAATCTCTTTTAGAAGATTTGGGCGATAAATCTCCGAATAAAAATGTCAATGAGTCACATGTGGAGGCACATAATGAGATGGACGATGTTGCTGCATTAGCTGAAAGCATTCAACCAAAAGGAAATACGCTTTTAACTACAAGTGTAAGTTGATCGAAATGTTTTATTCAAATTATATTTCACCTTCTATCCAAAGTGATTAGCATTTATTTTTGCTTATCACCATTTCCGGAAGGTAGATTAAATTGATATAACCCCATGCAATACATTTTCTTCATAAAATATATTGCGCCATATATTCAAACAATTTTTTTATTTCATTTAATTCCATTTATAACATATGTTAATTCTAATTCATAGGTTGTCACAAAAATTCCCTTTCTTCTTAAACATAATCTCCGTGAATACCAGCATATTGGTCTTGATTGGCTGGTAACGATGTACGATAGAAAATTAAATGGGATTTTAGCTGATGAGATGGGTCTCGGTAAAACAATACAAACAATTGCGCTCTTAGCTCATCTTGCTTGTGAAAAAGGAAATTGGGGACCTCACTTAATCATCGTTCCTACATCTGTAATGCTCAATTGGGAGATGGAATGTAAAAAATGGTGCCCAGGTTTCAAGATTCTTACTTATTACGGAACTCAGAAAGAAAGAAAACAAAAGAGAACCGGTTGGACGAAGCCTAACGCATTTCACATTTGTATCACGTCATATAAACTTGTAATTCAAGATCACCAGAGTTTTCGTCGGAAGAAGTGGAAGTATTTGATTCTTGATGAAGCGCAGAATATAAAAAATTTTAAATCTCAACGGTGGCAATTACTGTTAAACTTTCAAACGCAACGGTAATATTTTAAACGATTAGTTATAATTCATTTGTTATTCAAATTATTCATTCATTGTTTTTTTTTTGGCTTATAGGCGTTTATTATTAACTGGAACTCCCCTTCAAAATAACTTAATGGAACTCTGGTCATTGATGCATTTTTTAATGCCAAATGTTTTTCAATCTCATCGTGAGTTCAAAGAATGGTTTAGTAATCCTGTTACTGGAATGATTGAAGGAAATAGCGAATACAACGAAAATATTATTCGCCGTTTACATAAGGTTTGTTTTTGTATAACTTCCAAAGTATTAATAACACTGATTATTCTCGCTGCCGACAGCTTACAAGATTATGATAGTCTTGTCGGTTTTTTTTTAAAACAGCGAGAGAGTAAAATCTCTATTAAAACTCGTGTAGTGAATAAATATTCTATTTCCTATGCGAATCCTGTCTGGAGATACATATTTTTTTTTATTAAAATGTGTTATTTATTTTGTTTAAAATTAATTTATTTTTTAATAATATTAATTAAAATTTTTTTGTATAGGTTTTGCGTCCATTTCTTCTACGAAGGTTAAAAACAGAAGTAGAAAAACAATTACCAAAGAAATATGAGCATGTACATATGTGCCGATTGTCAAAACGACAAAGATTTTTATATGATGATTTCATGTCACGAGCAAAAACAAAAGAGACTTTAGCTAGTGGTAATTTATTAAGCGTCATCAATGTATTGATGCAGTTAAGAAAGGTCTGTAATCATCCAAATCTATTTGAAGTCAGACCTACTGTATCACCATTTCAAATGGAAGGCATTGAGTTTATTACTGCGTCATTAGTCTGGAGTGCTCTTGATTACGATCCTTTCAAACACGTTGATCTATCATTTTTAAACCTGAATCTAGCAGATTTAGAAGGAAGTTTGACAGCATTTACCGCTCATAGGGTTCGACGTTTAAAAACTCCACGAAAATTAATTGAAGAAATTGATAGTCGACCACCTTCACCTCCTCGTTGTCCGTCTGGAAAAATAAAAATTAATGTCAGATTATCAAACCAAGCTAAAGCACCGCCAGTTGTTTCTCCAGCTCAATCATCAAAACTTAAAAATCTTACCGGAATGATGCCTCCACCTAGAAGTAGTACATCATCCTTTGTAAAGCCATTAAATAATCAAGCTACTGGAACGGGTGTAACACTAAGGGTAGCAGGAGGACAACAACTTCAAGGACTTTCAGTTCAACTTGTACAACACCAGGGAAACGTTAAAGGTATGTTTTATATATTTTTTTTCCTGTGCATCATCGATCCGTGGTTGTGTTTCGTATACAACTGCCTTTGCAGTGGTGCTAGAGCAATTTTTTCTCGAACCAGCTTGTACATGATCGTATATCACGTACATTCCAGAATCGAGTGAACAATACCTTTGGTTCTATTTCATATTTTTATGTATAAAGAAACTAAAACTATAATTTATCAGAATAAAAAGCTAATTAAAATAATTATTTATTAAAAAGATTTATTTATTTAATAATATTTTTTCATAAATTGCATTAATTTATACTGTTACAGCCATTCCAGTAGGCACAATCACGCACAATTCTCAGACAACAACTGCAATAACACCTACAACGACTACCGTAACTCCACAAAAGATAACCGTTAGTAATGCAGCCAGTATCAGAGATGGTCTTCAACGAATAACCACACAAACAGTCACAGTGAAGCAAGGTGATTCGGTTCAGAGAATTTCTGTTCCCGGATTTGCTCAGTTGGTTCAGACATCGACTGGTAGACATATTCTCCTTACGTCTAATCAACAGACTACCAATGCCGGTAAGACTAGCTTAGAATATTTCTGTTAAATGTAAATCTTTTCAAAATTTGAAAAACATTATTCTAAATGATATTTCTCCATTTGTATAGTTTCTTTTCCTATGATGACTCCGAGTGGTCAAAGACTGACAGTACTTTCTCCAAAATTCACCCCAGTAAATAAAGTCGTTGGAAATGTAGTGACAACAGCAGCTACTACTGTTAGTGGAAGACCTGTAATGAGAGTGCCTCCACTTAGTGTCAGCACCGTAACAACTCCTGGAATCATTTCACCGCAACAGCCATTGCGTTGTGGTATAGTTACCAGAGGTGGTACTCATCAAAAATCAGAAATTGTAAAACGTACGCGGAAAGAAAGTCCGAAGGTAGACAGTTATTTAGCACAATTAGAAGAGGATCGTCGACAAAGAAGACAAGCAAAGCTGCAAACATTAGTAAATATTAATGAAAGAAGATGCGCTGCTTGTCCGCTTTATGGAGAGGATCTTTTTACCGCATTAAGGATTGAAAAGCCAGCTTCAGGATGTCAGTGGCATGGCGGTTGGCTTCATTGTTCAAATTCGAAGCAAACTGCACGAACTCGTAAACAATATTTTTCTCGAACAGAAGCTCTTGCCCAAGCAATTAAGTCTACGGAACAGATTGTTGAGGAACTTAAAGAAATATTTGATCGTTTTGTTGTTTTCGTACCGCCAGTTCGAGCGCCAGTCCCACGTTTCCATGTATCTCATCCACCTCCTCATAAATTATGGAGCCATCAGAGACTTCAAATGGTTCTTCAATGTAAACTAGCACCAAAGTATGCAATCTTCCATCCTGTTAGCAGTGCAATGTTGACACAGTTTCCTGATCCACGTCTTATTCAATATGATTGTGGAAAACTTCAATCCCTTGATCGGTTATTAAGAAAATTGAAGAGTGGAAATCATCGTGTACTTATTTTCACCCAAATGACGAGAATGTTAGATGTTCTCGAAGCATTCCTAAATTACCATGGACATATTTATTTAAGATTAGATGGTACAACGCGAGTTGATCAACGACAAATTCTTATGGAAAGGTTCAACAATGATAAAAGAATTTTCTGTTTTATTTTGTCTACGAGATCTGGTGGTGTAGGTGTTAATCTTACTGGTGCTGATACTGTCATCTTTTATGACAGTGATTGGAATCCAACAATGGACGCTCAAGCGCAAGATCGTTGCCACAGGATAGGACAGACACGAGACGTTCATATTTACCGACTCGTTAGTGAAAAGACTGTCGAAGAAAATATTCTTAAAAAAGCTAATCAAAAGCGATTGCTGGGCGATCTTGCAATTGAAGGTGGAAATTTCACGACTGCATATTTCAAGAGTTCAACAATTCAAGATCTGTTTAATATTGATCAGACTGAGAATGATGCATCAGCACGAATGGCTGAAGTTATAGAACAAAACAAAGAGCGCGAAAAATCATTACAAAAAGAATTATCCAATTTACCAGTGCCAATATCTGAAGACAAGGCTGCAATAGGTGCTCTGGAAAGTGCATTAGCTGCAGCTGAAGAAGATCTTGATGTTCAGGCTGCAAAAACTGCTAAAGCAGAAGCTGTTGCTGATCTTGCTGAGTTTGATGAAAATATTCCCTTGGATGATGCTGATCGTGAAGATTCACAGATTAGCAAAGCTGAGCAGGAAGTTCAAAATTTAGTTTCACAGGTAAAATATCAATTTTTTATCACCTTCTATTATTCCTTTTTGACTTTTAGTAAAATATAAAACAGTAAAAATAGAAAAAAATATATATTACAAATTTCAAAATTTTTAATTGTTGGAATTTATTTTCATTTTGTTAATCATTACTTTTTTGCATTGGTTTAGTTAACTCCTGTAGAACGGTATGCAATGAAGTTCGTCGAAGAATCTGAAGGAGCATTTTCTGCTGCTCAATTGGCTGCAGCAGAGCGTGAATTAGAACAGCAGAAAAAAGAATGGGAGTTGGATCGACTTCGTGCATTACGAGAGGAAGAAGAGCGACGAATGCGGATGGCCGATGATGATGAGAAGCCGTTGACGTTTAGCCGTGAGGACGCTCAGAATCAGGTTAACAATACTAGTAATTCTAAACGAGTAGGTAATAAGAAAAGACAGGTTGCTCCAAGTAGACGGAGTTCGCGTAGACGCAGTAGTAGAAGTGCTAGGGAATCTTCTGATAGTGAAACTGAAACTTCGACTGAGTCGGAATCAGAATCACAAGAAGATTTAGATGTTAGTAATGATGAACAATCGAGTCATACAGAAAGTCAAAGTCAAGGGGAAGATGAAGAAGAAGAGGTAGCTGATAGTCACAATGAATCATCAATAAGACAAAGAAAATTCGTTAAACGTCGTCCAGGTCGGCCGGGTCGACAAGTTCGTGTACCGAAAACTAAACTTAGGAAAAATCATCTTGATTTAAACAGTCCAAGAACGAGGTCTAGAGGGGATGTGAAAATAAATCTTTGGACTCTTGATGTTAGTCCAATACTTCCTGTTGTAAAACGTAATTTTAAACATTTACATTGGAGAAAACGAAAACGGGAAAGTCAGTTAGTAGAATCGAATCATTTTAAAACAGAAAAAAAGAAATCAGAAATGCATGATGAAGAAAAGTGTCAAGAAAAATTAATTGATGACGATAATTCTCCATCTGATAATGAAGAGGCTAATAAAATGGCTGAAGATGATGGTAATACTGAAGTAACAAATTCCGATAATTTAGCTGAAAATATGTCAGAAATTAATTCTGTTGACGCAGTTTCTTTGAGTGATGAAAGTGACGAGCCAGAAAGATACGTCACTTATTCACCACAAATTAAATTACATCCTTGTGATTCTCCTACGTTTGATGCTTCGAAAGCTCTTAGAATAGAAAAATCTGAAAATAAGAATGAAAATCAAATAGAATCGATTCCTAAACGTACTAGAGGTCGTCGTGGACATCATACAAAGAAAATAATGTCTTTGGATGAACAAGAAAAGTATGAAAATGAGGCTCCAATTCATATCACCCGTTCTATGCACAAATATAATAAATCAACGAATAATCATAGCGAAGATACAGAGAATCTTGATGTTAACGTTGGGTCCCCAAATAATAAATTAATTTCAATATCACCCACGAATGTTAATGAATCTGTATTTGATGTTGAATATTGTATTGTGGGAAGTAAGTCTGAGGGTAGAGAGAAATCCGGAAATAATTCTGCCGATGATTCAGCGGAGACCAATGTAGAACGTAAAGTTGAACCAATTATTTTAAGGACAACAAGAACTCGATCATACCCGAAAATAACAATATCAACTCGAAATCGTACTTCCAAACTAGTTTATAAATCTCAAGAGGAAGAAGAAACCAACACGGCTAATTCAAGTGAAGAAAAAGAAAAGACTCAAGAAGAAGTAATAAAAAATGATGAAGAAAAAGTTGATCAAGGAGTAAAAAAAGAAGAAAGAGAATTAATGAAAGAAGAATGCAAGTGCATTGTTTTACTAGAAAAATCTCGAGTAGGCGATGAGATGATAAACAATCAAGATTTAAATTCAAAAGAAAATTCAGATGTTAAACAAAGTAAATATTCTTCAATAAAAGATCATGAAGAGAATGAAAATTCATCAAGTTCTGTTACAAATCAACCTATAAAATTACATTTAGATCTTAAAAAGTTGTCTTCAACTGATGTTTCATCTCCGAGAATTTTAACTCGCTTGGCTAAAGCGAATTCACCATTCATGGAATTAATTCCAGTGTGTACAGACATTGAATCAAGAAAGCAAGCTCGTAGAATGAGTGTAGACGGTAAAAGACTAAGAAAAACAAGTGGATTTCAATCTGAAGATAATTGTGAGTCTCAAGAAAGTGAAACAGAAATGCAAAGTACAAAAAACACTGAAGAGACATCAAAAGTAAAAAAAACAATACGTTCTACAAGTCCATCGGCTGTCGGAAGTGTGAATGTAACAAAATCTACAATAAAAATTAATCAATTAAATGAAGCATCGTCATCACGAGTGACAAGATCATCAGCTGGAATAAATTATGAACCTACAATTATTCTTTCAAAATCATCATCATCATCATCAACTGAAAGACCTTCGACTCGGTCAAAAGGTACTTTAGATAATGGATTTCTTTTACCAACTCAGATAAATCGTAAAATTAAATCCTGTTCTTCTCCCAAATCACCAGATATTAAAAAATCTACTGATAATATTGTAAATACTTTTCCTAGTAGTCAAAAAAGACGACCAGACACTCCAATGCCTAAGAAATTACGAGTTACTAGATCTGGAATAGAATCTAATTTAAATTCAAGTATTCAAAAGCATAAAAGTAGATCATCAATAACTCTAGAAAATGATGTTAACAGTCGAAGTAGATCTTCTTCACCAGTTCCAATTGAAAATTCAACGAAAAGAGATATTTCTGATACTGATTCCAATGGGAATGCTGTTGGATCGGAAAATTATTCACATAGAAATGATAAAGAAACAGTATCACCATCAAATGTAGAAATAAGTAGTGAAAAGCCTCAAAGAACTGCTAAAGTTGTTGCTATTCTTACTCTAGATACTCATTCGCGAATTAATCATAATAAATCGGCAAGTACAACTATTAATACAAAGAAAATTGATGAACTTCCAAAAAAAGATGGAACTTTCGAACAAACTTATGAAGAGTCTCAAGGAAAAACAAGATCACGAAGTAATTCAAAGTCCACAACTTCGGGTAGAATTTCATCCCCTACTGATTCGATTATAACAGTTGATTTAGATAGTGAGTCAGAGAATGATGTTGATTCATCACAAAAGAAATTAAGAAAAGGCTCTAAACGTTCACAAAGATTATTAAAGTCTCATTTAAGACATAAAACCAGTGAAGTACAGTTAGAACACTCTGTAGATGAAGATGATGATATACAATTAGGGCCTAAAAAGTCAAAGTTTAATTCCTCGGAAAAATATAACAATCGACAAGTATCTTGAGTTAAGAGTTTTCATTTTTAAATTTTAAATTAATTAAATTTAATAACGTTATTGTTATCTTATTAAAAATACAATTATTTTCATATTTCGTTTTCTTTTATAATTTTAATCCTTTAATTATATTATTCAAAATTATATCAATCTAATCTATAATGTGAATCTTGTAAATAGTCTTTAAAAGTAATGATAAATCAATTCCGTACTCAGTACAGCATTGTACTGGCTTTGTTTTTAGACTTAGAATAATAGCGTCTTTTTTTGCTTCGACGCAATGTTGTATAAAAATAATTAAAAGTTAACAAATGGAGCAAATAATGTGACGAAAACAAGGTGAAAAATATCAAGCAGATATGCATAAATATAATTTATATTTCGTGATATAAGCGAGACTCATGACTGTATTATATTAGATTAAATTTTTGAACGGAAATAACTAAGAATACGTAAGCAGTCGTATCTATATTATATTAACATTAGGTTTTTTTAAAAGAGGTATGACCACATTTGATTTTTTTTTCTTTTTTTTTTTAATTCATTAAATGAAAAATAGTGATTGTAAGGAGGATGTTAAATTTTAAATTTTCATTTTTTATAACATGCAATACATTAGCTTAAATATTTAATTATTTCTTCGTTCTTTCACGACTCAACTTACATTTCATATAGAAACGAATTATTAAAGTGACGTACTTTTTTTTTGTCTTAGTATATAAATTAAAATAATTTAAGGATAGTATGATGAGAGATTAATGCATATTGAATGTTATAATGTATTACAATGAATTATGCTGTGTGCCTGTATTTTGTATGATCGAATGTGTCGACGAAGGAAATAAACGAAATATTCCTTGCTACAAAAAATGTGTTTTCTTATTTCTTGGTGTGTTTCCAAGTACGTTCAATCAAAGGTTCAGTTCCGTTTTGGTGTCAAAAAGTCAAAAAATTATTTTGAAAAAAATTCGAAAGATTTATGGCTCAGTGTGCTTGTTTATGTTTGGAGGTCATTGACACGATGATATCTCATGTCAGTTTGGTGTGGCAAGGCCGTCTAGACCGCACAATTATTATCAACCGAAAAATCACTTTGATTTTTTGTTTTTAAATAATAATAATCAAGCAAAATTCAATTTATTTATCGTAATAAAAAAATTTTCCCTGTCAATTAAAATGGCACCAAAACACTGCCTTTGCCATTCCAAACTTGGAGACTGCCAGGATAATAAGCAGGCACATTAATGAGCGTGAAGAATTTTTCTTCGATTACCTGAATGTAGCGAGTACCAGAACGATTTGAAACTTTGACTGAATAATCATTCCTAACCAATTGTCTAAAAAAAAAAAAAAAAACAATGGGAATTTTTTTTTTTTTTGAAAATTATTAGTTTAATAACTGGAGACTGTATTAAGGTGAGTTTTCTTCAAGTTCTGGTGACTTCGCTGCAATCAATATCGATCAACCACTTCGTAACGGCATTTGGATTGTCAGAAAATTTTTTTTGTTCAAATATTCTTACACCAATTCTTTTTGTTTCACTCAATTCTAGGTGTGGTTGTCAGAAAATACAATGGAAGAAATGCCGGTCAGTATTATTTATTTATAAAAACCCTCTAATTAAATAAGTATATTAATAAATAAATAAATTAATAATAATTTAATTTACAGATGTGGTGTCCTCCAACTCCTCCAACATCAGATAATGATGTTTATGTTGATTATTCTCTCGGTTTTCTATATGAAAATACTTTGATGACTGAAAACCAATTGCCTCCTCCTTATGTGAAGAAAGAATTGAAGCGAAATCGAACTGACACTCCCTCAACTGACCGAGATGGTCGACGTCCCGCAAAGATTCGTCACAAAGAAGAGTCTGTTTTTGCACCGCGATCTTTATTCGACCGACCAACACCAGCGTTATTGAAAATGCGTCGTGACATGAAGTTACATAAACATCGTGGAATTATACGGCCACCAGTTCCAATGCCAGGAGTCAAACCAACTATGACAAAGGTTTCTGTTGAACAGGATCATGTTCTTGATTGGATGGTTCATGAAGATTGGGCTTTGTTACAAGCAATTCAAGTTTATCAAGGATTACCATTGAATCTCATGATTTTATCTCCTGGCCACACGCCAAATTGGGATTTAGTTGCTGACATTGTTAACAATACATCCAGAATCTACAGATCACCGAAGCAATGTCGAGCTCGTTATGAAACTGTAATTATTCCAAGAGAAGAGGGTAAACTTTTATATGATTCTACTCCAAAGAAGCAAAAAAAACAGAAGGGAGTTTATAAATTGCCGCAAGTTGCTGAGGTAAGAACTTTTTTAAATAAATTTTTATTTTTTTTAAATCATTCTTTCTTTCTATGATTTTATTCTGTTATACGTTTTTTTTAAATTATATAAATTGCAATTTATATGTTTTAATAATTTATTATTATTTGGTTATTTTATTTTATTATTATTCTTTTAAATAAAAATAGCAACACAGTAAATCGAATCGACCGATGCGTACATGTCAACTTTACAACCAGGATAAAAACAACTCTTTTACAATAATGTGCTGTCAACGGTTCGACACCATAAAATCGGTTTCAAATAAGCGTACACCAACTGTAAAACCGTTATTAGTCAATCCATTGATGAAAAATCCGAAACACGCCGCAGTACTAGCAGAATGTGGAATCCAGTATGATAGTCCTTTATCACCGATTGATGTGGCGACGCGTCGAGCAGAAAGAATTGCAAAAGAGAAACAAAAAAATGTGGCCAATACTGTAAGTTTAATTGGAAATTTATGTTATTTGGTAAAAACAAAAATCAAAACTAATTCATATAAAAATTAATCTTTTTTATTAGGTATTGACACAGGAGCAACAAGCGGCAGCAGCAAGACTTATACAACAGCAACAACAAGCTCAGCAGCAAGTAGCTCAGTTACAACAACAGCAACAACAGCAGCAACAAACTCAACAGCAAGTCCAACAACCGCAATCTCAACAAGTTCAAGCTCAACCAATTCAAATCAATCAGTCTTCCCAACAACAACAAATCACTCAGCAAGCTGTAATTAATACAACAACGGCTCAATCAAGCCAAATAGTTGGATTAGTAACTACAGCAACTAGTTCTGCTGTAAAAACAACAGCAACAAATACAATGGCTACTAGTGCAGCGGCTGTGGCAACTACTTTAAAAGCCCGTCAAGCTACGTTGGCAATGCAAGACGTCAGGCCTAATTCTACGGTTGTCAGTGTTAGCAATCTCCAAGCTACTCAACGAATAGCTACAAGTGGTCTTGTCGCTGGTGTTCAAAGTCCTACAGTTTCAACTCAAAAAGGTGTTGTTAATGTAACAATGGCTACAGCATCTGGAACAAAAACTTTGACACCAGCTCAACTTCAGTATTATCGCCAACAACAAGCTTTATTACGTCAACAACAAATTAAAGCTCTTCAAGCGCAAGCTGCCAGCGGACAAAAAGTATCTGTTGCTGTTTCTGGTTCAGGACAGCAAAGAGCGACTTTAATGAAGCAAGGAGTTGTTGCTAGTGCTGTTGCTCAGGGAAATGTAGCGGGAAAATCAATTTCTCGAGTTGTATCTGAATCGGAGATGGCCGCAATGATTAAGAGACAAGCAGCTCTTCAACAACAAGCAAAAACTGTGGCTCAAGTTCAGGTTCCAGCTCAGACTGGATTAACTCCAGCTCAAATTTTTGCTCAAGCTGGTTTACAAGTTCAGCAAGCTGGTACTTCAGCTAGTGGAACTCCTGTTGCTACGCTTGTAAAAACTGGAGCAATGGTTGGAGTACGAGCTGCTACATCACAACAAATCAGACAGCTTGCGTTACATCCTCAGATACTGACGCAACGGAAATTACCCGGCCAGAAGGTGACACAGCTGGCTCAAATGGCGGGTAAAGGAGGAGTACAGACGCAGTTGATTGTTCAACAAAAGTCTCTTCCTACTACAATGACGGTTCAACAAATTCAACAAGTTATGAAACATGTTCAGCCATCAACAATGCAACAATTTACTCATGTAAGTATTAATTCATTAAAATAAAGAGATAATATAAAAAAAGATTATACTTTTAGGACTATTTTTAATTATTTGATCGAAAAAATTATTATTGCTAAAAGTTTATTAATCATAAATGATATATCAATATATAATAGCATAAAATAAAGATCAGTTAGTTATAGAATTCTTCTTTTTACTAAATATAAAAAGGATAATTAAATGAGTAAATATTTTCAATTATTAAAAATCTATTTTTTTTAATTGAGCAGGTATCTTCAGGAGCTGGTGTAACACCATCTGGTCAAGTAGTTCTAGCAAAATCACCGCTACAAACACGAATGATACCTGTACCAGTAGCATCAGCAGGTTTAAAACAAACTATTCAAGTAGTAACTGCTAGTAGTGCGCAATTGAGACAAGCAACACCACCCCAGGGTAAACCAATCGTCACCACAGCAAGAGCAAGCCCTGGACCAAGTCAAGTGAGACTTCAAACTGTCGCTCATCAAATGCATCAACAATCTATGCAACAGCAACCACCTAACCAACCGCAAGATACGATGCAAAAATAATTTGTGATGTTTTATTTACCTGAGATTCTTAAACTGTCAATATAATAATTATTATAAAGAAATCAGAATTGTCTGATTGGTTGATGAAAAATTTTAACATTCCACAATCACGTTTATTTATCTCAACTTAACGTGAAAAAATGCAATATCGTAGATTTAATGCGCATAAAAACATTGTAACGAAAGAATGTGATTATTAATTTTTTTATTTAATTTCAATTTCTGTATTTTTTAATACCAACAAATTACAAAAAACAATCATTAGTTTACAAACATTTGACATATAATAATACTTTAAGAGTGTAGACTTGTATGTATTATGTCATCATTTAAGAGAGACAGTTCTACAAAAATTTTTACACCTTTTTTTCCTAAAAAACGCTTTAACACGAATGGAAGTTTTATTTGAAAAGAATGAGTTGTGATCTCGTATTATTCGAGGCTATAGAATAATTTTATTAGGCTTTATAACAAGATTACGCTTGAAATAATTTTTGTATGTGTTAAAATGTATTAATCGACGTACGTTTGCTTTCGAATGATTACTATTTCATTAAAAATCAAGCGAGAGAGCAACACGTACAAAAGTATACGGGATTAATAAGTTACTACGATTTAAGTTAAATAACAAACTAAGAGAAGAGAAGCGGAAAAAATGATAAAGTTCTGTATATCGATAGACTAAAGTACCATAGACTATGGCTCGAGATTTATTTCGGTACAGTCATGTCACTGTCAACATGTTTAATATTGTAAACGATATCTATGTATTATATCCTTGTATAATAGACAAATAAATCCTTCAATTCAATGATACCTTTTTTTTTAATAAATGAATTGATTAACTGTTATGATTAAATATGTATTTTCCTTAGACGTTTTTTTAACTTCGTTATTTAATAAAAAAAATATAATTTGCAGATGAAGAAAATAAATTAGAAAAAAATTACATCAACTTCTAAATGAGACAATGAATTTTCCCTATAAGTAATTGAACGTAGAAATAGGAAAACCAATGAACCTATAATTGCAATTCATTGGAATCGTATGAAATAGCGATAATTCCCATTCATAAAATTCAAGCTGTTTATATGAGAAGGAAATATTTTTATCTTGGTATAATTCCTGCAAATCATTAATGAAGAGTAAGCTACGTCATAGACCTTACCGCAATGATTAATTAAAATTACAAAATAAACAATTTTATTCAATTTTATGCAATAATCTTTTTTGCTGTTGAATGGCATGTAATTATATCCGTGATTAAGATATGCGTATTGAGGTTTTCAAATAAAAACCAAATTTATCGATATGATCACTATGTGCATTAAAAGTGATATAAGATGTAAGATAAAACTCGTTTACTTCTATAGTTATCGCAATGATATAATTTTACCAGTCATTATAAATTAGAATTATTATTTCATATGCAGAAAAATCTGTTTTGTTAGAATTGAATAATAAATAGTACTTAAAAAATGCAATAAATTTTTAATTATTAGAATTTATAATATTACTATTCAGCCTCAGTATTCTTTGTATATTTTAAATTTAAAAATAAAATAAAATACAATTTTATTTCACAAATAATTTAGATATTTTTAAATTTTCTAATGTGTTTATAAGAAAATTCAATTTAATAAATAAACTAAAGTTCATTCAATTAAAGAAAATACAACAAGTATTAAAACATAAGTTTAAAAAATATAATAATATAATAATAATTTATAATTGTTTATTTCTATGTAAATAAATAATTAGAGATAAAATAACTTATATTCATTTAATACTGAAAGTATGAAATAGAATCGGAAATGAGCTACATTAGTTTCCTTAAACAATCATATATAATTAGGTCATTGAAATAAATTTTTATTATTGCATGAGCAGAGCTGTGAATATGATCTAATTTATTTATAAATGTACTACAAATGATTCCAAATTATGTAATATTAGTCAGTACACGTTAAAAATATTTTAGAAACGAAAGATTATATCTGATAAAATATTCTCGCTTTATTCAAGAAACAAATCGTTAGAAATGTTTAGTACAACCAGATAGTAATTAGTATTAAACTATTTCATTGATAAAATAATAAACTGATGTGTAAATTTATATATGTATCATTCATGTAAAACAGCATCATCACGATCACTTGTACTATTCGTAGAAGCGGAATTAACTAAATACATAAAAAAAAGGAATATCCTTCTTTAAAATTCATGATAATTTTATCGACTTCAGAATACACCGAAAAAGTGAAATAATCTAGTGGTAATGGAGATATAAGGAAACTTCCCCGAAGGAAAATGAGTAAATAAAGGCGTCCATGACAATTTTCTTGGCTAGTATATAAGTTGCAACAGGTAGCTAAAGTTTCATTATTCTCTAATCATGGCTCTCAATTACAGCGAAAGCCTACTAGCAGTTATTACGGCAGTGATTGTCTTTATTTTTACAACTATCTACTTTTACTCACGTTATAAATTAAACTATTGGAAACGTCGTGGAGTGGAACAGTTACCTACAAGACACTGGCTTTTTGGTAATTTTAAAAACGCTATTTTATTTCGTACTGCTCCAGGATGGCATCTAGGAGAACTTTATCGTCAAGCCACAACAGACTCACCTTATGTTGGCTTTTATATCTTCCATAAGCCATGTCTTCTTCTCCGAGATCCAGAGATTATCAAGCAGATCCTTATCAGAGATTTTGAAAACTTTTCTGATCGTCATTTCGCTGGTTCTCAACAAAAGGATAGCATTGGTATGAGAAATTTATTTGGACTCAAAAATCCAGCTTGGAAATATTTAAGAACTAAAATTACTCCAACTTTAACTCGTGGAAAGTTGAAGCAAATGTTTCCATTAATGAGAGAAACAGGAGAACCAATGATGAATTATATTGAACAACAAAAAGCTGATGAAAAAGGGGTGAAAAAACTTGATGCTCAAGAACTTAATTATAAATACACTTCTGATCTTATTGCTAGTGTTGCTCTTGGTACAAAAATGGATTCTTTCAATAATCCTAACGCTGAATTTAATAAGGCTGGTAAGTTAATATTCTCGCATTTTTACAAATTTTTTTTTCTTAAATTATAAATGATTATGTTAATAAATATACTTTTCAAAATTTAATTATAGTTATGGAATTTTTCCATGGATTCAAAAGAATGATAGCTTTGGTGACAGTATTTTTCATGCCTGAACTTGTTGACGTAATTGGTTCTCCAATGCTTTTTAACTCAAAATTTGTTAAAGAAGTTTTTTGGAATGCTGTAGAATCACGTGAAAGAACTGGCAAAAAGAGAGGCGATTATATTGATTCTATAATTCAATTGAAAAATGGTGAACAAAATCCTCTTTACAGTGAGTATTAGAATGAGAATTTATAGATGTTTAAATATAAAGCATGAATTATGTTCTAATTATTCAATTATTTTAATTTTCAGAATTTGAAGGTGAAAATTTGCTTTTCCAATCAGGTACATTCTTTTCTGGTTTCGAATCAAGCTCAACCACAACTGCATTCACTCTCATGGAACTAGCAAGACACAAAGAATATCAAGATCGTGTCAGAGATGAAATTAAAAAGACAATTGAAAAAAATGGTTGGACCTATGAAGCATTTAATGAAACGAAATTTTTGGATCAGTGTATTGCTGAAGGTATCAGACTTCACCCACCTGTTTCTACAATTGACAGGAAAACTCGAGATGATTATACTGTAAGAATTTTTCATTATAATTGAATTGTTGTAATATGAAGAAAGTATATGAGTTTTTCCAATTAACACATAATTGATTTGTAGATTCCCAATACTGACATCGTCATAGAAAAAGGCACTGCTATTTACATCTCGCTCTATGGTCTCCAAGAAGATCCAAAGCATTTCCAAGACCCTGAAGTATTCAACCCTGAACGTTTTAGTGATGAAAGCAGTATTCCTGATGCATACATACCTTTTGGAGCTGGACCAAGAATGTGTGTTGGAATGAAAGTTGGACAGCTACATGCCAAAGTCGTAATTGCTACAATTTTATCACAATATGAAATTTACCAGAAACTGGAAGACAAAAATGAATTAGATCCACGTTCAACTTTTACAGCAGCCGTTCACGGCATCAATGTTGAATTTCGGAAATTGACTACATAAATCCATCGGTATTTTTTTTTATATTGTAGAATATTGCTATAAATTACTTGCATAATTTCGATTTTTCGTTCTCACATCAAAGGGTCCGGAATCAGGAAGACTGATATTCACATAAAATAATAATTTATAACTAATACAGTAATCGAGTATTTTTATTGTTGTATAAATATCGAAAATGTTTGATATTGAAATATTAAAATTTTATTTAATCAATAAATATAAAATGCAATTTTAAAATATTCTGTTTTATTATTTCCTACTGCACAACCTTTTCTGATCAGAGCAGAAAGATGTTAATAAAAGTTTATACATATAATAGACTGATTTGGTAAAAAAATTTAGTATATATTCTTATGTAGTCAGGTAGAAATTTAACACAGTTAGGGTGATCCTTAAACAGAACACAGCATTGAAGTCCTATCCACGTCTGTTTTCTCCATTCCTGATTTAAATTTTGAATAAAGAGATTACGGTCTAGAAAAAGACTTTATCGCCATCTATGTTCTAAATTTGTAATTGACCAAATTTGGTTGGGAAAACCTCTTGAGCAGACTTTCTCCACTTTTTTTGATATTCATGTGTCAAAATATCTCGTAATAATTATTTCGATGATACTCAACTACATATAAAACCATGTTATTTCATTTGCTTTGTTAAATTATTTGGAATTAGTATAAAAATTCCGAGAAATTTTACAATCAACGAATTCTTCTATATCAAGGGAAGTGTTTCCTTAAATAGAGGCAACAAAAAATTGAAAAAGGTATATTATTTCCTTTCGAAACGTTAAGACGTATTGTTGATTTGTTCAACTGACTTGTACGTATGTCATCAATAGTTAAAACGAAACATATTAACAATCGAATATTCGGAGTAAAACAAGAAACGTGTGACAAAATTCTTTTTGGAAAAGGTGATAAACAGTTTGATTAATTAAATGGTTATTTTTAACAAGAAACCAAATTGGAGTTTAAAATTCATCTTTGGTAAGGTTAAAGATAACGAATGGAGTGATGAAATATTTCATTTTCTTATTATTCAATGAATTGATATGTAACAATCGATCAGACAAAATTTAAGTTGTGTGCAAATTAAATATCAATATAATTTCGAGAAAAATTCAAAAATATTCTATCGATTGAATGTTTTATAAAACATTAAAACGGAAACAAAAATATCTAAAAATTATAACCATGAAATCTCCAAAAATGTCTGTAAAAGTATCTGGTAAAAGAAGAAGTAGAGTTATACGAAAAAATCCATTACGTAAAGTTAATAAGAGAAATAGTAACAATATTATCATTGATACAGTTTGTAATAAAAAAAATGCTCAATCAAGAACTCCTTTGAGAACCGTTTATACAGGCTCTATCGCTAAAAATGGTGACAAAAATGGGTAAATACTTTACTGTTACTATCATTATTAGTTTTATTTGGAAATAATTTTGGTGTTTTTTTTATTTAGATGCTATAATTTATCAATGTCGAATTCGCGTAAACGTAGCAATAAATCAAAAGAATTTCCTCCAAGTAAGAGACGGAAAACAATTGATTTATGTGAAACTATTGTTCTAAGTGACGATGACGATGATGATGATGATGATAATCATCATGATAATATTAATAATAATGGTGGAATATGTTACGGTAGTACTGAAAGAACGGAATTGTCTCGTAGTCATGAAAATTCTGACATTATTCTATCATCTCCGTCACCAAAGAATGCACGTAGATCGAAAAGAAATAGAAATAAATCCATAAAAAAAAGGAGATCGATCTCAAATAGTAACCAGGATACTGCAAACTCTGGTAAAATTATTTATATATAGTTAATTTAAGAGTTAAGAGAATCTTGTTTATAATAAATTTTTTTAGCTAACGACGACGATTCAAAAGATGGAGATGAGGTTTGTGTTATATGGTCTTCAACATGTACAATGCCTAATGAGGATGAAATTAAGTTAGAACAAGCTAGTGATCATAACGGAGAGAAATATTTTTTTGATACTGTTGGAGATAAATCGAATTTCTTCAAACTCAGTTTATTTCCAGTAAATAAAACCATATTCACAGGTTCAAAAAGAGATGAAAAAGAGTGTAGTAATAATAATAATAATAATGATAATACTGTTAATATATCTTCACCAAGTCCAACAACGTCCGAAAATGAACTCTCATCTAGAAAATTAAGAGAAATAGTTGTTGATGGGCTCAACGTCACTTATGGGTTTGATTTTAAATTTTAAATTACTTTATTATTAAAATTTTTATCAAAAATTGTAACAATTAATTTAAATTATAGATATACACGTAAAAAAGTATTTTCAAAGAAAGGATTACAATTGGTTTTGGATTATTTTCGAAGTCGGGGACATGATGTTAAAATTTTCATACCACAATTTGAGCGAAGTAGAGAGAGACAGTTTCTTGAAGATTGGTATCTTAAAGGATATGTTATTTTCACTCCAAGTAGACGAATTGCTGGTAAAAAGATTATATCTCATGACGACAGGTAAATAAAAAATATGTTGAGTAAAATTTTAGAATTACAAAATTTTATTTTCAGCAGTAAAATATTCATTTTCATTAGTTACTTTATTTTGATAAAAATATGTGTTATTGTACATCTACATCGTTTAATTTTTTATTGATATTTTAATTAAAATACAGGTTTATTTTGGATTATGCCACTAAGTGTAAAGGAATAGTAGTTTCTTCTGATCAATATAGAGATTTATGGAAAGAAAAACCTGAATGGAGAGAAACAATTGAATTCAGATTATTACCTCCAACATTTGTAGGAGATTACGTTATGTTTCCTGAAGATCCTTTAGGAAGATCGGGACCAAGACTTGATGAGTTCTTAAGGCATTAATCTGTTTTGAAGTTACATTAATTAATATAAAAAGGTCTTGATTTGTTACCAAAAATTATTACATTTATTTTTTAATGCTATTAATACAAAATGTTAAGTAAAGTTACTTACAAAAGTGTTCTAAGCAGTCGAATTGTAAATTCGAAATTAAATTGCTACAATTTTGATATGAATCTTGCATTAGAAAAGTATTCAAATCGAAATTTATAGCAATTAATTTCAAATTTACACAAGTATTTGTGTATATAGAATTTTTCAAAAACTGTTATAAAAATTTTTCTTTTTCTAGCTTGAAAAATTTTTCAAAAAAAAAAAAAATGAAACAAAAAATGCATTTTATAAGAAGGTTTTGTTGATATTAAACTTAGTTTAATCCCATGATGGTCTCCAACACCATTTTCTTGATTGACGAACAAATTCCATACTTTCTTGAGCAGTTTCTCGGGCTAATTTTTGCATTGGAGTTGCCGTATCAGAATCTAACTTCACACTAGATAAGATTGTTTCATGTTCCAACGCTGAACTAACAGCTAAAAATAATTTTTTCCGTACATTAAAGTTTTCTACTTGAAAATATAAATTATCAATAAATATATAAACTTACTTGTTTTTGAAAATAATTTCTTTAAAACATAATTATCATCATCAACAACTGATTTATCTTCTTCCTCTGAATGTGCAAGTCTTCGACCAGCCAAACAAGATATTTCTTCACCTTCAAACAGTGCAGATATTTTTTTATTCTTATGACTTCGTTTTTTTTCGTGATTTTTTTCATGAGAATCAGAATTTTTCCCATCATTTTGTAAATGATTCCGTTTAACATTCGAACTTCCAAAAAGTCTATCAGATTCTGAAGCAGCACCATCAATTGGTTCATTTAAATGGAATAATTCTGTTAAATCAGAAGTTTGAAAAAGCCTTCTCTGACGAGGATCATCAAGTATTTTATTAGATAATAATAATTTATAAATCTGTCTATGATAAATTTTTTCCTCTATTGTTCCTACAGTAATCAGTCTATAAATGGTGACTTTTTTATTCTGTCCGATTCTCCAAGCTCGTTCTCTAGCTTGAGTATCAGTAGCAGGGTTCCAATCTGGATCATATATAACTACACGATCAGCACCAGTTAAATTAATCCCCAACCCACCAACTCTCGTAGTAGAAATAAAAACCAGGTACGAAGTATCTTCATTAAATTTTCTTATTGTTCTCTGACGTTCTACCATCGGCGTAGAGCCATCTAATCTTAAATATGAATATTTTTCTTGTTGGATTAAAGCTTCTAAAATGTGTAGCATTTGTCTCCCCTGAGTAAAAAGTAAAACTCTGTGTCCTTGAGATTTCCAAATCTTTAATAAAGACCTTACTACGGTCATTTTTCCAGATTTTTTCCAGTATCCAAATTTTTCTAGATCAATGTCTTCATCTAATTTCATTTCTTGATCAGAATCTTCAGTGTAAGTATCATAAATATACAGATCTGGATGATTACAAATTTTTCTCAGTGTTGTTAAAGCCACTAAAAGCCTTGCTCTATGTTTACCATCCCCTTGAACCGAACTTTTATCATGTAAAATTGTACTAACATGTTCCGATCGCAAAAATTCTTTGTATAAATTAGTTTGCTCTTCAGTTAAACTACAAAATAAAACCTGTTCATTTTTTTCTGGCAAGCTAATATGATGCTTAACATCATTTTTAGTTCTTCTCAACATGTAAGGACTGATAGCGTCTTTCAGCATTGTTGCTACTTGAAAAGCTGTAGCTTCTTGCAACGATGAAGCATTTGCATATCCTCCTCGTGTTATTGGTGTAGCACAATGTTCTATAAATGCATCAAGGGTGCCGAGTTTCCCTGGTAAAATGAAATCGAATAGCGACCAGAGTTCTTTCAGAGAATTTTGCATAGGGCTTCCCGTTAATAAAAGACGATGAGGGGTAGAAAATTTCTTTACTACTTTAGTAACTTTTGCCTGAGGATTTCTAATTTTATGTCCTTCATCAAGAACTACATAATGCCATTGAAAAGGTACTAAAATATCTACATGTCTCAATACTCCGGAGTATGAAGTTAATAAAATACCACCAGTTTTTAAACTTTCCAACAATTCTTCAGGTTCTCCTCGGTGGGTTCCTGATTGATGTAAAGTAACTACCCGTAATGAAGGCCACCAATCATGGAAGTGTTGAACCCATTGTTCTAATAATGTTGCTGGACATACAATCAATGTAGGCCCAAGACCTCGAAATCTCCCACCGTCAGATAAAAGCTCACTGCAGTCTAAACCAGCAAAAAATGCAATAACTTGGACGGTCTTTCCTAAACCCATTTCATCGCCTAATAATCCACCTAGATTGCGTCCATGTAACTCCCAAAGCCAACGGACCGACACTTTTTGATACTCATAAAGTTTTTTCCAAAGAGATTTTGGAACTTTGAATAAATTATCAACTGTTCGAAGACTACTTGACTTAAACTTTCTGTGTTCTATTCTTTTTCTGTACAAAGATTCATCTCCATCATCTAAAATGCGCTTTTTATGAACTGATTCTGACAGTGACTTTTTTCGTTTTGTAGGTCGTTTTTTATTATCTTCATCTGACAATTCTTCATCACTTGGAATATATTCACTTCCAGTATCACTTCCATCTTCTGTAGTATTCTTTGGAAGTTTTGATGGATTCACAACAACTGATGATGAAGTAGGAAGATCAACTGAAGATTTTTTTTCAGAAAAAGAATCAGTACTTTTTTTTCTTTCTCTCTTATGACTCTTTGTACATTTTTTTATTGAATTTTGACTTTTTTTTTCTTTTGAAAGTTTTTGTTCTACGACTGGCTTTTGTTTTTTCTTTTTTGCTGCTACCTCAGCTTGCCTTCGAAGATATTTTTCTAAATCTAATAAACCTGTCGTTGCATTAAATACATTTGCAGATGTTCCAGCCGATTTTTTCTTTAAATCTGCTTCAAATGGAGTGATTTCACCTGTTTGTACTTGTTTTTCTATCTCTAATATTTTTGGATTTTCTTGGTGATTATTGAGTACTATTTCTTGTGTTTCTGTTAACGTTGGCTCTTCGAGAGTTCCTTTACATGCTTTTGAATTTGTATTCTTTTTTGCTGATAGTGTTTTAACTTGGAGGGAAAGTTCTTGATGAATACTGGCTTCTGAACGAATGTTAACAATCTAAAAAAATGTAATACATTAAATTTTAAGAATAACTAACTTTCTGAAATATTATTTTACCTCTTTTAATTCATGTACTTGATCATCGATAATATCATTATCATTCAATGTTGAAAACTGACTATTTTGTTTTGTTACTTCTAGTTCATTGTTAGATAACTCTCCATACTCTTTGTTCGAATACAACGATGTCTAAAAATAAAAATAAAATAATGATTAGTTATTATTGTCTTTAAATAATACTAAAATATAATAAATGCAATTTTTTACCACCTTTGCAGAATTATCTTCATCTTCTGCAGGTTTTTCATCAGTGTCCATTGACGATAATTTTTATTTTTCTGGCAAAATATGGATAATCCAAACGTTTTTTAAAAATTTTTAATTTAATCCAAATCATTAATCTACAAAAAAATTAATAATAAACTTCAATTATCAGCTGAGTGGATAATTAATTTATTTTTTAAAATTCCCCGAACAAAATTGTCTCATAAACAAAATTATTACATCAGTTTCAGCATTTATTTCTATTTTCACTATTTTAAAATATGTATATATTATGTCGAATTATAAAAGAAAATTGATTTAAATTAAATAATATTAAAGACTTAAGTACTACGTCGTGCGACTTATTTTATGACAGTAATTAACGAAACTCGTGGTTGACTCACGGCAGCTGTGTTTGCATAGGACAGTGCAAATTAAAGATGGCTGTGGCGTTAAAAAGTTGCAGTCGTATCCGTGTGAATGATCCGTTGCTATCATTCTTAGTAATAAGACTATATTAAATTTTAAATAAACTAATTATAGTTTATTACATTAATAAACTTAATTGATTTATACCTACTTTTAGGTTATTTCGTCAAGTGAATTGTGTGAAAAAGTTTCAACTTCACTGCATCAAGCGGCGCGGGAACGGAGATGCCGTATTGCAGTGCATCAGTGCGAAAATATCACTGAAGTCTTAAGACAAAAACCCAATTTAAGTGTTGATATTATCATTTTTGCAATAGATGGACAAGTCAGACAATCAGTTACAGAAGTAAATTTGATTATTTTCGTTATTTTTACAATTATTATTTTTTTTTTTTTTGCTATATCAACAACATAACCTAAAAAGTATTGTATAGAAGGTTAGATATAAGAACTGAAAAGATAATAAAAACTTTCGAAAATTAGAGCTTAATATATAAGTAGTTTAATTACATATATAGATTAATAAGACGAGTTGTTTATCATATGTTTTAATTTTGTTTATAGGTTGAAACTAATATAAGTCTTATTGATGAACAGTTTATTGTTACTGGTTGTGTTTGGTTAGTTTACTGCAATGAAGCAACAACAAAACCAAATGTAACACATTTTAATGCTAAACAGTTAGCAGAAAAATTTTTACTTCGACGTTTTTTATCAGCCGATATTTTTGTAAGTTTTTATTAATATATATAATAATTATACACATTATAATAAATTAAGGTTTTATTCATAAATGTAAATCATTATTTTAGGATCCCGATAATTGTCGTCTATTAGGAAATCGACTTCTGAACCTCGCAGAAGGCGTTCTGGGTTTAAAAACTGGTCTTCCTATGATCGATTACGAAATTAATTTCGATTGAAAGTTAATATTTTATCAAACATGAAGAAATTATCAAAATCTCAAGCTTATGCTTCTAGCCAAGAAGAAAGTGAAAATGATAGTGATGAAACTGAGTGCAGTATTGGCAGCAATTCAACTGCAGGAACTCATAGGAGTGATACTCCGACGCGGAGTGCTCGGCTGAGAAGAAAAGGTCGTCGAAGAAGTAAAACAGCGAAAAGTAAGCCTGCTGCTGATAGACCTCTTTATAAATATGCTTATAGTATCAGAGAAGATCATGGTCAACCTTTATTTGGAGTTCAATTCAATCATCATCTCAAAGAAGGTGAACCAATGATTTTTGCTACAGTTGGTAGCAATCGTGTCAGCATTTATGAGTGTCGTGAAGGTCATGTTATGCGTTTTCTTCAGTGCTATGCTGATCCAGATTCCGAAGAAAATTTCTATACATGTGCTTGGACTTATGACGACTCTGGAAAACCTTTACTAGCAGTAGCAGGATCCCGTGGAGTTATTAGAGTAATCAGTCCTGTTACAATGACTTGTATTAAACATTATATTGGGCATGGTCATGCAATCAATGAACTTAAAATTCACCCAAAAGATCCAAATATCTTGTTGTCAGCATCTAAAGACCATGCCCTCAGATTATGGAATATCAAATCCGATGTATGTGTGGCAATTTTTGGCGGAGTTGAAGGACACAGAGATGAAGTTCTCAGTGCTGATTTTGACATGAAAGGACAAAGAATTATTTCCTGTGGCATGGATCATGCATTAAAACTTTGGTCACTGGAAAAACCTGATATGAAAGAGGCAATAAAACAGTCTTATTTTTGTAATCCATCAAGAAATGGTCGTCCTTTTGATACAATTCTCCAACATTTTCCTGACTTTACTACTCGTGACGTTCATAGAAATTACGTGGATTGTGTCAAATGGTATGGTGATTTTATTCTGAGTAAATCTTGCGAAAATAGCATTGTATGTTGGAAACCAGGTCGCTTGGAAGATTCTCAGTTGCGCAATAATGAAACTAGTGCAACCGTTATTCATCGATTTGAGTTTAAAGAGTGTGACATTTGGTTTATTAGATTTTCGATGGACTTCTGGCAACGTACACTTGCATTAGGCAATCAAGTTGGACGGACTTATGTGTGGGATCTTGAAGTTGATGAACCCGGACAAGCTAGATGTTATTCTCTTCAACACCCACGATGCTCTGCACCTATTAGACAAACAAGTTTAAGTCGTGATGGATCGGTGTTACTTTGTGTTTGCGATGATGCTTCAGTATGGAGATGGAATCGTGATCATTAATTTTTATATTTGATAATTAAATTTGCATTCTTTTTAACTTTTGCACTATAGTTATTATAGTGTTTATTTATAACACACAATTTGAATACTGAAAATGTACAAATTGATTCTTATACAGTCTTGATTAAGTTAACTAAGTTTATACAAATTTTTTGGCAAGCTTCAAACTTTCTAATTTTTACTTAGTTTAATTACCTTAAAGGGTAAAAATATTCTACAAATTTTGATACTTTTTTGAATAAATTTCAATATTAAAAATTTGTATTTTTTTCTTAACTTTGAGTAATTTTTATATAGATATAAATTTATCCCTGAAACTAGTAAACTAATCAGTACTTATCATGCTTGGCCAATTCATAGTATCAATGTTATAATGTGTTATATTATCCTATTTTATTCAGCGGCGATAGCTGCCAAAGCTGCACCTAAAGCTGCGTCTCCAGAGTTACCTAATTCTAATGGCAATTTATACCAACGAATAACTTCTTTTTGGAGCACAGAATTGCGTACAAGCCCTGATCCATTTCCAACAATGCGTTTAATTCCTTTTTCTTTTAGTAAATCCAGTGACATCATGCTAAGGAGTAAAAAAAATATATTCAATTAATTTATGAAACTTTTAACTTTTTCCATAATAAACAAATTTTATACTATTTCAACATGTTTGTGGAAACATTTAAAAGAGATTGAAACTAAAATAATTAATCAATAATATATTACACGAAATGATGTAAGTATGAAATCATAGAATGTCATATGTATGTTGACATTGGCCAATATAATTAGATAGTAACTTCAAAAATTGAAATAAAAATATAATGTTCATCATACCGTCTTATTTATAATACTACTGATTAATTATAAATTGGACTTACTTGTGCAAATTTCGTATTACTCCAGAACAAAGAGCTCGAAAGACACTTCCGAGTTGCAACGTATCTAATGTCACTCCCGTAATACTGGCGGTCTTATCTGGGGCATATCTTTCACCCAGGAGAAGAGGTTCTATTTCCATTGTACTAACTGCTGAGTCTTCTTGACCTAGACTAATCAATTTCTCCCACACTTTGGCTGAAAAGAATTGAAAATTAAAATATAGTAGGTTCATTCGTCCTAATTTTTTAAATCAATTTTTATTACAATCTTATCCGATAATTTTATGAATAAGACAAATAAATAAATCAAAACAATCTTTACATTGTGGAACTGAAAAACCTAAATCCATTGTCCATTGTTGTAAAGTTTTTACAAATGTTGCCAGAGTATTTCCCCCGTTTAATGAAGCAGCAACAGAAAGATATTTTCCATCAAAATAGGGAAAATGCTCTATATTTCCCAGTTTTGTAAAAGATTGTGGATTGAATGTCGAATGAACATAAGTAAGTTGAGCTGATGTTGAAATATTAAGAACCGCTTCATCAGGTTCTTTCAACAAAGGCAAAACAGAGCATTGAAGATCTCCAAGAGCTACGCCGATAGGCACACCTGCTGGTACTCCAAACCATGTTTGAGCAAGTTTTCCAGCGACTTCTCCGGGTTTTAAAATTATTTTTGGCAATAATTGAACTGGAAATCCAGCTTTCATCATCTCTTCAGTCTCCCACTGACCTTCTTCCGTCATAAAATATCCCCAGCTAGCGGCATTCTGAGTACTTATAGCTACTTCATTACTTCCTGTAAGCAAACTCACTACGAGATCTTGTACAGTTCCACATTTATTATATTTTTCAAGTTTTTCAGGCCTAAAATAATTTTTAATAGACAGTTATTTGATGTAGATTGACAGAATATAAAATTGGAGCAGAACAAAAAAATGAAAGGAAATACTTTTATGAATACAAAAAATTATTTTTGGTATAAAATTCTTTCATAATGTCTGAACTCAATATCACTTTCATCTTGAAAGAAATAAAAACTACATACTTGTTTCGTGCAAACCAGAATAAAGTGGCACACCCATAACCCGTATGAACTGGTAAATGGCTTTTAGATTTTGGCAAAGTATTTAAAAAATCCTTATCACATCTACCATCTTGCCAAGTATAGAGATGCGATACATTATCCTTATCTATATCCAACTTAAAAGGACTGCTTTCACGTTCTAATCTATTAAAAGTTTTCCATAAAGCTACTCCATGCATTTGTCCACATATTCCAATACTTTTGACCTGTAAGCGAACAAATTTAAATAGATATTGCAATAATCATTATATTTATCTCTATTCATGAAATTGTTATTTATAAATTTAAATTAATTGTATTGTAGTCACCTGCTTCAATAGATCCTTGGGAAGTCTAGAAACGCAATTATGAACAGCAGATAAAATTTTTGGCACATCTTGTTTATTTCCTTCAATTCCTAAATCACTTGGCACATTAGCTTGTGTTTCCTTTGATTGTTTAGCGACGATTTGTTTACTATCTACTGATAAAATAACGATTTTAACGGAGGTCGTTCCTAAATCTATTCCTAGCACATATTTTCCTTGGAAAGACATGTTTTTATAACAAATTCTAGCTTGATTGAAATTTTTTTTCAATTTCTAACTGATATAAAAATACTTATTCTGTACAAAATACACTTGAATTATGCATTAATGTTGATGTGCAATAGAACAAAGTCGTTAATCGGATAATGACTCTATTATTCCATCAATGTTGATGTCGTGAATGAACAACCAGTTCACGTGGAATGTCTGACAAGTACTGAAGGAATGTTTGAGTTTTGGTCATTGTCAGATTCACAGTCTACAAATCTACGTAACTATTATTGGAAGTAACGGAGGAAATACAGTAGTAGTTATACCGCTTAACTTGAAATGTAGTTACTTCTCTTAAACAGACTCAGAATAGACTAACTCTTCATTGCTTTGGGAACCAAGAAGGGCTTGGAACCTGTGGCTTATCGTGAAGATAAAATCACTCAAGTGCTCTCTTTATACTACATATACTGTACATTGGACGTAATACTTGTCGATTCTTCGTTACTGCCTCGCTCCATTTATCATGAAACAATGAGGGAATAATAAAAGAATTCAATACATACGTAGAAACGTTGCATAACTGTCATTTCCCTTGATAATTGTGACAGAATTCAATTATCAATTCAATTTACATATTTTTCCATTGTTTATAATACCTAAATTAAGCTTAATTATTGATGCCATAAGGAATGACTAAAGTTTTTTTAATTCTAATTATGTAAATAATTTTTTGCGTTTTGAATTTACGCTGATTTTCGACAGTTTAGGCTGATTGGAGATAAAAAAAGAAACTAACCATGTGGAGGGGTGATGATAAAGTAGACTTCTTTTATTTGTAATTCGTGGTAAAATTGATTCTTTTTCTATCGACACTTATCAAACTTAACCGAAGCCCAACGACTGTATCCTGTAAGCCATCGCTCCGAAGCTTATTAAAATAATATTATTATTATTTATCAAACTTCGTTGAACAGTAGATTTGTGTATTTGTTTACTTACAGTAAACAATTCTCAAGTTCTATTTAATTAGCAAGCATCAATAATTATACTATTTTTTATAATTTTAATAATTAATAAATAATGGCAAAGCATCATCCTGACTTAATTTTCTGTAGAAAACAACCCGGCGTCGGTGGGTAATCAATTATAACCTCTGAATACATTTTAATGTTCAGTATTTGTGTAAATGTATTAATAAAATAGAATAATATTATATATTATTTGTAGCAAAAAAACTTTTATTTATAACTATTATAAATAAATTTTTACTCAAATCACAATATTGTATTTTTCATTATTTTAGCTATTGGCCGGTTGTGTGAAAAATGCGATGGAAAATGCGTTATCTGTGATTCTTATGTTCGACCTTGCACGTTAGTACGAATTTGTGATGAATGTAATTATGGATCATACCAAGGACGATGTGTAATTTGTGGAGGACCTGGTGTATCTGATGCTTACTATTGTAAAGAATGCACAATTCAAGAAAAAGATGTAAGTCATGCTTTGTGTTTAATCAATCTTTATGAATAGCAACCCTCATATAGATAATTTTTCTTATTCATTCATAATTTATCAATTTTTGAATAAAGAAATTTAATGGAATCTTGAAATATAACTATAAATCATAACGATTTACGTTTTTCATTTTCTTCTGTTTAATCTAGAGAGATGGATGTCCAAAGATTGTCAATCTAGGTAGTTCGAAGACAGATTTGTTCTATGAAAGAAAGAAATATGGATTCAAAAGAAGATAAGATAGTTACAATATAATTAAACCTTAGACACATACTACATAAATCAAATATCCTGAACATCACTTCAATTATAAAAAAATGAAATTCATCTAGTAAGTTTTGAAATGTTGTAAATTATAAAATCTATTTTAATAATCAGTCCAAAAAGAAAAAAAGGATATATAAAATAAGGAAAATATACTGTTGACGTGATGAATAAAAATAAGTCAATTCATTTAACATGATATATATTTATTTCAACATGGACGTAAATTTTTTGACAATTTAATATTCGATGAATTCACATGATAATTTTCTTGTTACTTACAATTTTAATAGATAATAAAATAATCATAAAATGTAAATTACAGAATCGATAAAAATTATTTAAACGTATTAATATCATTTAATGGGAACAATAATATAAAATTGTAGTCCCTTGATTTGCTAAAACACCTTTAAATAAAAGTAACTTAAGTGTATAATAATTAAATGCGTGTATAATAAGTGATATTTTAGCTTAAAGAGTCATGGATTATTATTGGAATTAATATAATGTAATAATAGTAAAATATACTCTGTAAAAGGATTAAATAATTTTATAGTTCTATTTCTACTTGATTGATTAATTTTATCATTTTTGCAATAAACTATTTCACTTAGTAATCGAATGGATATGATTCTTTTGTTTTTTTTCCATTTTAAATTCAAATGATTGATTATAGTTTGTGTGATTGTTCTATTTTCTACTATTAAAGCTAAATTTGAATTTTACACCACATAGTTTTGTTCATAAATCAATCACTAACCCATCTGATAGATTTTTCTTTTACACTATGTATTGGAAGAATCATCTACTGGACTATTTAGTAAAAATTTTGTTTTTTTTGGTCAAATACCATGCCAGTGACATTGACTAATTTATTATTTATTTATGTAATTGACTATTAATGGATTAACTCATTTTAAATGTCTACTGTTATACTCGGATAATTTGAGTATAAATATATTGAAAACAATGATTATCCAATCGAAGTTATATGTTTTAAAAATATAAAATTTAAATGTATGTAAGCAATATGCTCAAAATTACTTTACATTAAATATTGTCAATTCTCTAATAATACTATTATATTGCATCTAATGGTTTTTCGAATCTATTGGCATCGTTTTATCCATAAATGATCCGACGGACGGTATTGAAAAATATTTTAGTCTTTTTTCATTTTCTGATTATGTAAATGACTTGAATTAATTGTGAATATTTTTATAAATTTTTTTTATTTCAGTAGTCCGCTTCGTCAGATCTGTTTGATCCTGTTTGAATTTATATCTTTATATCGACTTTCACTGTATATACATTACTTTACCGGAATGAAAAAAATCGGTATTGTATATTAAAAACAATATATATTTATATATATCTTTTCTTATGATATCGTTAATCTATGGAGCAAGAACCGTGGATCATTTAAAAATTTTCTTTGTTATATTGTATATATGTTATGTCATTTTGTATGAAAATATTTTATCAATTTCTAACATTGTTTTTCACTCCATCAATTAATTATTAATTAACAATCGTAATATCTCATTATTTTTCTTCTATCTGTTATCTCTTTTTGTTTAAATCATAAAATCGATTAAATCTTGGCAATTATGGAATCGTTTGACACATAATTAATTTGTTAATAAGCAGTCATTTGTTTATATGCAAGAGAATTGGCTTTAACAATTGACAAATTTACCTTTCATTAAAATTTATCCATCATTTCTTTCCTTTAATATTTCTCTTACGTAGTAAAGTTCGGATCAATACTGCTTCCTTGTCCAGTATTATCTGTCTCTCATCTGGACAGTGACGAACTTGCTACTGAACGGCCGCTCACAGCTGATTGTAAACTCATCACTGATCCCCTGTAATGTTTATTGTTTAATTAAAAAGAATTATTGTGGGCTATTTATTTCTGAGACTATTTCAGTCTGCTTAGATGTCTTACCGATAATGCGCAGAAGGTAATACTTCGTAGAAATACATCAGCTGAGCTTTATGTGCACTAATTGATGGTAAGAATTCACCTTCATCTGGATTTTTCCACTGTAGAACATAAGTTCCTGGTTCTTGAATGATATGTGTTCCCTGGATACTTTCTCCATCATGACAAACGACACTAGACTCAACTTTAATACAATTAATACCCTCTTTCCATTCTTTAGATTCATCAGTATCAGTAATCTCTAGTGGTTCTAAAACATTGTTAATCCGTAAGTTAGTTAATTAGCTTATGTTGTAATAAAAACAAATAATGCAAATACTTTTATATTAAAAAACTGAAAATTATTTTATTCTCTTACGATTGATGAGTGGACTTTCATTAGTTTCTCTCAAAACGGTAAAAATGACGTTATGACGCATTACATCAAAGTCCCAGGTCAAAACAGCACCAGTATCATTAGTATTGATAGCAACGTGATGAGTTTGTCCATGACCTAGACTTATGGAATGATAGAGACTATGTTCATGATCGTTAGATGCACCCTCGAGGTCCAGCCTGTATAAACTTTTCGGTACTACTCCACCTTCCATGACGCAAGTCTAAAATGATTTATCACAGTTATTAATTATATCAATTTTTTATCGAAAAAATCGACTCTTAACATTGATGATTAAATAAAAGCTCATATATTGCTTTCTAATTTTGTGACGCACATTAATGAAGCGTAAATGGATTCATGTGGTACTATAAATGTATAAAATACTTTTAATTCTTGATATAATTTCCAAAGTTTTGAAATTGGAAAAGTTCAAAACATCAATTATGATTATTACAATAAATATTCTAAACTCCCACGTGTGCATTGTTTTATCTATGAATGTGATATTGAATTACATCACGTTGCACGCGTGTTAAATGTCCAACAAACAAAAAATACATGTAATTTTGCACGTGATAATAAAGTAAATGATAAAAACGTGATATATTGCGTCACATCTATCATATTCCTATTTTTCTTACATTCCCACTTGACAAGATGGTTTTGTAAAATTGTTGAGGTACTGTTAACACATCGACCGTCGAATTTTCCTAACAGTTTATTTTTTATTAATTTTTATTAACTCATTATTTATTTTTTAATCTTATCTTTCAATTTCAATTATAAAAAATTCATATTTTTTATATAAATCGAAACTAATTATTTAATTAAATATTCATAAAGGAATGTATTTATTACCTCTGATGGTCCACCAAGAAAATCTGGAATGTATTCTGCGTCAATGTAGTCAGTTAATCCGCCTTCATTTTGCTCTTGATAATCAGTTCCGCAGTAGAATATAAATTTGTTTCGAGTATTTTCATCTGAAATAAATGATACAGTTGATAATTAATTACACTGCGTGACAGAATTCATTTAAAATTAACAATGTGGTTCGAAGTTAGTTATTAATGACGTAGATGGTAAGTTAAAAAAACACAATTTCTATCCACGGTGGATATCTAGTTTATTAAAACTTTAAAGTTAATATACTCTTATCAATTCGAACTCTAAAAGTTTAGATTGTGTTTTATCAAATTATCAGCTGAAAGTTATATAATTAAGAATTCTAACAAAGTTATGCAAACTATTTTTCTATGATGATCATCCATCAAAATAACTTACGTATGAAAGTGCTAATAAGTGTCCATAATATAGGGAAACATCTTGGAGCACGAATAATTAAAACTCTTCCCATCGTTTCAGGATAATTAGCCTCGACAATTTCTATTATTCTCAATAAAGCCTAAAAAAAAGAAAAAAAAATTGAAAAAAATATAATTCACAAAAAATATTAAAAAATATTAACACAAACCTTAATTCCAGGTCTCCACAAATGACGCATATTTAGTCCTTCAAGATCAATTAACAGACACCATTGAGACACTGGGTGCCCTACAATAGTTGTAGCTTCTTCCATTAAAGACAGTCCTTCTTCGCATATATGTAGAGCCTACGAATAATTAATAAGTAAACACATGTTTACACTTGACTTCAATTCTAGTTGACAAAGCAACTTACTAGTAGTAATAATTCATCTTCACCGATCGATTTAAGTAAACCTTTGACATCCATTTGCCCCAGCCGTAAAATATAAAGTGGTCGACCATCTATAATAAACATAACACCTTAAGCTTTGCTATTCAATCGATTTAATAAACGTCATATTATTTTAATAGATTTTGTTGCTCTATTACCTTTGTCAGAATGATGCCATCCACCAGGAAAATAATCCTTAACAACCTGTGGTGCTTCATATTCATCTAATAATTTATCAATTTGATACTTTTTACGCCAATGAAGTGATTGCGTTAACATTTCTTTAGCCTTATCAACCATAAATTCTCGGGCGCGAAGAAATCGTAAAAGCGTTGCGTCATTGGGTACGGATGCACCACGTAATTCTTGAATGCTTTGACGTAATTGCAATAATTTACTCTCTTGCATTAAATCTAGTTTACCAAGATATCTTTCTATATAATCAGATGACAATTTTATCTCTTTACTACTTGGCAATTTTGTCTCGGCTGTTGCTTCCGCATTGTCATCGTTGTTTTCTTCAGTCTCATTACTGAAAAAAATTTAATTATGCCAATAAATTACTTGTTGTCATTGAATTTGTGTAAAAGAAAAGATTCAAGTATACACTTACGTTTTTTCTTCATTTGGAACTGGCTGTTGTGGTTCTACCCAAGGTGCCACATAAGTGATTCCTTGTTCTTTTAATTCATTAATAAAATATTCAATAATTTCTTTACCCTAAAATCAATAAAACCAGGGAAAATGTTAATGAATTATTCAAAAATTAGACTTTATTATAATGTTTAATCGATTCTAGTTAATAAGTTATAATGACCTTGGCTATATTTTGAGCATATTGTTTCATAGCTAACTTTTCCATCGAGTTCTCAAAGCCAAAGAAATTTTTTATATCTAAACTGGCTGTCTGTTCGAAACAAGTCCATTCTGAATTTTCTGGATGAATCTGAAAAATTGATTCAAATGATTGATTTTAATTCCCAAATTAATTTGACCAGAAGTGACTCTTGAATTGAATTAGTTTTACTCGTAAAATGTTCAATAAAATGTCATACTTACAAAATATCTACATTTTTCTATAACAGTAACTTTGTTGGAAAAGCTTTCATTCCATGCTTCAATCTCCAGTACACTACTACGTCTATCCAAGACATTTTTTTGTACAAAGTACACATAATCAACTCCAATGATCTGAAAAAAGAAATAGTAATTACTTATTTCTGTATTTTTTACATCATTTATCATATAAGTGAAATATTTTTTATTATATAACAATAAAATAAGGAAATTAAATTTATTTTTCATTAATATTTATATTGATGTAACTTTCCGGTTAAGTTTCTATATTTCTGTAACATTAATTTTACTGAAACTTATTAAATTACCTTCTTTAATATATATGGAGCTTCAACATTAAGTTTACATCTTCTTTCAGTAGTTCTTATTGCACCTCCTTGGCTCTCTTCATCTTTTAACACCTCACAGCCCACAAAGACTGGTATTTGTGGACACGTGGGAAATCTTCTTTCATAAGCCTTTTTGAAAAGAAAAATATAAGATGTAAATTCATATGTATAAATGCAATTTTTGTACATGTATTGAATAATATATATTCTCTTTCTATAGATTTAATGATTGACCATAGGTGTAATCGTGCAATCGTTTCTTGTTTCTCAATTACTCGCATGAATGGTCAGCTTTATTATGATCAATTTTCACTTGCAAGATAAGCAAAAATGATTACTTGTTGGAAAAATCAAAGAGGAAATTGTCAAGTGATTTCAATATTTTAATTAATAGATAAAAAAGAAATCAACTAAAAAACATATTATGAATATGCAGTCTATATTAACCAAGTCTTTTGCTAAGTTTGTGATTGAATTTATATTAGAAAGTAAAAACTTAGTAAAGAATAACCATGAAATGAAATTAACAACATTTGTCATTTTAACTTAATGACACAGCAAAGTTATATAGATAAAGATTAAGCGAATTGATTATATAAACATAAAAAAATAAATAACAAAGAATACGCCTGAAAGAGTTATTTATAGATAAAAAAAACACCCAAAACACCAAATAAAAAATAAAAACATACATATTATTGATTTAATTAGCATCTGATTATCTTCATACGTTTTTTTGTATATTGGAATAAAAAATTGTAAATAAAATATTTCAAGAATCATTATATAATTTTTTATACTAATATTGCATCATTGATAAATAGAACAAAATTACAGGTAATAAGAAAAAGGTGTGTAAAGCTATGTTGATTTGATTTAACGTATTATTGTTATTAAATAAAAATGATTAATATTGAAATGTTTTTTTCACAAGTCAGTAAAACAGAAAGCAATATTCATTAAAATAAATGTCATGGTGTTAATTAAACATCCATTATTTGATTTTATCATTGTAAATGATCAAATAATTCATGTCATTTATCAATGATTCTTAAAAACGTAGACAATGAGGAAAAATATAATCTACAGAATGATAGAAGATAAATAAAGCATTCGGGATAATCGGATATTGTGAACAGGTTTCACGTTCAAAGGCTGACCCTTGACATTAAAGAAAAAGGAATAAATCGGAAAAATATACTTCTTGTTAAACTTTATTTATCGATGTCAACGTGTATTTGGCTTTACACTTGCGATCACGTGCTTTTCATAGATACAACTATAGAATGGATTACTATATATAGATAGAAGAAAAGTAGGTAGCTACTGGATAAAACGAGAGATGAATGTTTGATGACAAAGAAATTCTCTTTGGAGGCCGTCTGTACAAATAAACTCACCAGCATGACAAGTGCGAACGGATGCTTGTAAACCCGTACGGGTGATTGGTATTGTTGAACCATTATAATTTAATTTTTCAATAATATATAATTTCTTTCTTCCTTCCTCAGTCACTTCCTTGTAATATTTTTATTTCTTCCTTAACTGGCACAAACACTATTTTCTGACAAAAATACTTTCAATATTACGAATGGAACTTACTTACGCGAACTATTCATTAAAAAACTGAAAAATAATTGGCCAACTTCGTCAGGAATTGAATAAAATTTTTTCGTTACTCCAAAACCAATTGTCTACTTGTCACTGACTCGCGATGTTACGAATGAATGCGTTGTCTTGCTTTTCATGATGTCGCCACACTCACTGGCTTTTAAATTTGAAGCTCCATTTCTATTCTTTGTGGTTAACGATAATAACATTAGGGCTGACTTCTATGTAGAAATCATTTTTTATTTTAAATTGTTTACATATCGTGAATTATTCAGTTTGTAAAAAAAATTAATATTATTTAATAATTACAATAAGGAGTTATTTATAAATTTTATATCTTTTTTATATTTGAAGTTTAAGGGTTATTTTTACAGAATTGATGTACACGTGTAATGTTTGTTTGCACTGAGAAACGAGTTTCAAGTCGTTATTAAATTAAAAACTTAAACTCCATATAATTATATTATTCTTTTCTTATATAATGAAAATAAATATATTTTTGATAATTTAGAATATCGTATTTTATATATGATGAAATGTTTGATGCAGTTTAATTATATAAACTGATGAATAATAATTAAATAATTTGTCGTTTGAAATTTTTAGTGTCGGTTTTCATTTGAAATTAATGCTAAAACAATGCTCCAAAAAGTTTTACTCCGTATCTGAGTGGATATTAGATAATGAATTTTATCCAAAATGAAAACATGAGAGATTATCAGCTTTTATTGCCTCATATTTCTCAAATAATTCATTAAAATTATCTAAGAATTAATCTTATTTCGGTTTTCATCGTTTTATAGAAGGTTATAATTTTGATTACAAAAACAATATTCTATTTAAAATGTAAACAAAAACCGAAAAGTGTTTTAAAATTTACTAAGCTATTATTTGCTTCTATAAATTCATAAATGTATTCATTGGTGTTGATTATTCATTTGTAAGAATTGAAATATTTTCATATTCAATTTAAAAAAAAAATAATTCATTTATAAAGAAACATTTAACTATTTACCTCAGCATGACAAGGAAAAAAAATGTTTCGATTTTATTCACAGTTTTATTGTTAATTTTTTTAATTAACATAGCAAAGGTTTCTGCATCAACTGGAGACAGATCCCAATTTTATAGACAATGTCTTCTTGTCTGTTATTCTCACAATTGCAAACACAGTGAGTAATGCTATTGTTTTTTTTGCTTCATTGTTATCAAATACATTTATGACGTACATGGTAATGATCTTGAATTATCATACCATCCTTGCTTAATTGTATCAGCTAATTATCGTTTTTTGTTCTTTGTAGACGTTGATTTTGAAGTTATATCCTTCAACGATGATGGATTTTTATCGTGGTCTTGTGAAGAGAATTGTCGATATGAATGTATGTGGGAAACTGTTGATCATTTTATAAATCATGGACTTCATGTTCCACAATTTCATGGCAAAGTAATTGAAATTAGTAAATTATTTATAAATGAATTTTATTAGATAAAATGATCATAAATTTATATTTATTTTAGTGGCCATTTATTCGAATGTTTGGCCTTCAAGAACCAGCATCCATGATATTTTCTCTGATGAACTTTTACGCTCATTTTGTCATGTATAACAAATTCAGACAAGAAGTAAAATCTTCCATGCCAATGTCTTTAATATGGACTTATTTTACAATCGTAAGGATTTTGGAAATTGAAATCTTATGGAAATCCTATTCAAAATATTGGAAAATAGTTTTAAGTTATTATTGGCTTGTTATTACAGGTTTGTTTGAATGGCTGGCTCTGGTCTGCAATATTTCATGCAAGAGATAAACCGTTTACAGAAGTAATGGACTACTCTTGTGCATTTACAATGGTTATTACATTATTATTCTGTATGTTATTACGAATATTTTATCGAAATAATAAGGTATTTGCTGTGATAGCGTTTGGGTACGTTAGTATTCTTGTCACGCATTTGTCTCATTTGTGGTCTGGACAGATAAATTATGGGTACAATATGAAGATGAATATTTTATTCGGTAAAAATTAGTATGAATATAAATATAGATTATATTATGTTAGTAGTAATAGTAATCAGCTGTATTAGAGATTATAATCACATTAATTTTATAAAAATTTACATTTTTGAACGTAAAGTTAATGCATAGATAAGAAATAATAATTATCAATGGCTTTCAGGATTTCTTACCTTTGTTGTCACAATGATCTGGTGGTATCGTAATTCAAACAAAGTTCCGCATGCTTATCTAATCGGTTGGTTTAATATCTTCACTGTGATAGTTACACTTTTTGAAGTTGCTGATTTTCCACCGATCTTTTGGACTCTTGATGCCCATGCTCTTTGGCATGCTTCCACCGTTCCACTAGTTTATTTATTATACAGGTGAATAAAACTCCATAATAATGCGATTTTTATTTAAAATCTTCGAATAAAATCATTGCTATTTCAGATTTATGATTCTTGATTGTCATTACTTAAGAAAACAATACAGTTACCAGGTAATATTAGACAATCATATAGAGTAGAAATTTATAGTACAATTTTTTGATAAAGAGATGCAATGAAAATAAATAAAAACTTATATTTTATTTCTAAAATGGTATTTATTTATTGTTTATTTACGTATAATTTCAAGTAACAGTTTTTAAAATTTTTCTAGTAGAAAATACAAAATTGATTTTGCTATATGTAGTCAATCATATTGGGTAGATGCAAAAATATAATTTTATATTTAGAATAAAATTATTTTAATTTTACTTATAAGAATGATTGTCGAGATCGTAAGTCGCTTTTTAGATATAAATTAAAACTATCAATAAATTTTTAGTAAAAAAGGTGGTAATTGTCTAGTACGTTACATCAGAAGGTGTATTATTATAAAAAAAATTGTTATCTATACTATTAACAAGAGATGATAATCATCTAATCCTTTAAAATATTCGAAGCCAGCATTTGCAATAATAGATTCAATCATAGGCATATACATGTACTAGACATTTACCAAAAAATTTTATATATTATTTTTATCAGTAGCAAATAAGTTTTGCACCAATCCAACATGAATCAATTGTAATCATTAGGTGATCGCATAAATAATGAACGTGCTGCGGTTTAATGAACTTTTCGGCTACTATGAAAGATGAATTTTTTGGCAAGAACCAGAAAATGATACTGATTTAATTTAAGTAATAGATCTAAATATTAACAATTGTTCAAAATATAGTATAAAATATACGTTCATGCATACTCGAACGTGGTACAGATTTTTGCACTATTGGTTACATGAAATGAACATTAAATTAATATTTGTTATTGAATTAACTGCATTTTATTTCGTATTTTATGAAAGACTTTTCTAGTCCGAAGGAAGACAAAGATATCATAAATCAATCATAAAAAATATTACAAATTTTGTAGTTAATTAGTTACTAATTAATTATAAATAACAAATAGTACTTGCGAAGTAGTTTCGATAAAGTGCCAGAGGAATGTTTACTTTTTAATATTATTAACAGCAAAAATTATATTATTCAATTCAGTAATATTAAATTTTCAATTGTTGTTCAATCTTATTAAGTACCAAAATGCAGTTGATCAGTTAAAATTAAGTAATAATGCTATGAAATTTAAAAAACTAAATGGCAACAATTAATTGAAGATTATTCATTGATTTACTGAAGATTTATATTAATAATTCTAACAGTTGCGATTCAAATATGAAAAATTGAATTTTTAATCAATTGTCAATCGCTAATATACAATCATACATTTTTATTTAATAAAGTCTTCGAGTACTATAAAATTTTTTATAACATTTCTAAGTATATCTTAGTAAAGTTTGATTGAAACATCATAATATCTATTTAAATTCATTTAAATATCTTCATCATTCTTAATATTTACCAAATATAATTCTACATACGCTGCCGTTTTGGATAACTATTTATCAATAATTATGTTTAAATATAAATTTTTCAAACATTTCGTACAAAAATATTGTTTAAGCATTAATGATTCGCAATCAAACATTACTAAACAATTTTAAATAATTGTTTTCTATATAACCCAAAATATTAAGACTATCAACTTAGTGCCAATTGATTATTAAATTGTTGAAAATATGAACAGTAGTAGTAATCATAATTTCATGTATGGTACGGTTGTATGAATTTATGTAATAATAAATTTCATTCATCAACTATGGTAAAAAACGATATTGAAGAAGATCATTGATTTGTGATGTTTGAGAATTTTTCTCATATATATATACTGAGATTTGTTAATATTGTTGAAATGCAGTATGTTTATTGACTTCAATATAAATACGTTCAATTATTTAGTACTTAAGCTTTGATGAGTATCGAAAAGCTTGAACAATAAAATATTGTTGATAAACCAATATTTACAAATTTTTAAACTTTCACTTTGTCACCACAAAAAATTTTTTTTATTATTTTTACTTTTGGAGTATTCCCTAAAATGTAAAGAATTCTAATAAAAACTTGCTACCTTATTGATATAGCTTCATGTCTATCACTTCTCAGTACATATACTATAAATATATAATGATGATTAATGTATATCGGCAGATTAGTTTGAATCAGTCTTGAGTGTTTAAAATATGCCATAGCTTACTTCCTCGATGATAGACTTCATCAAACATATTACAAGAATTTTAAAAATGAGTAATCACTTAGCACCATGATTAAATAAGATTTTTCCACTCATTTCTTACAATAAGGAAAAAAACACTGACCCGTCCAGCACCCAGTGTTATATTGATAGCACTTAAATAAAATTAACCAAAGAGTTTCAATTCACCAAATAGACAATTTTTAAAATATAAATTTCATCGATTTACTTCGTCAATATCGCGTATTATATTTTTTTTCCTTTTTTTAATTTATCAAGTTTTATAATAAAATAATATTATAGTATAAATAAAAGTACTTCTTTTTATCATTTATAAACTATCACTTAAATGCAAGGCATTATCGTTATCAATTAATTAAAATTAATTGTGATCATAAATACATTCGGCCATGTAAGTAACACGGGAATATAATGCAGTCTTCCGAAGAACACTTCATTGTATATAATTCTCAGAAATATAAATATAAAATCTTTTTTTTTATAGCTTGTGCACTCGAACTTTTTACATGGGATTTATTTTGAAATAATTTTTTTTAATGTAATTCTTTCTCTTCTTCAATTCTCTTCTTTATTTTTTAAATAAAGCTTCATGTTCAGGATTATCATCCCTGTGTTTTTCGAGATTTCCCGAAAGAGTAGGATCTGGTCTACGTCTCTTGAAAAATCCTAGTTTCCATAGAATTAATGTTAACAATATGAGAAGTAATAATCCTGCTACGATTGCGACTATTATCACCCAGATTTGTACTGGTTCTCCGTCTGGTTGATCTCCAAGATCTGGATATACAATTGTCGAAGCCTATTCAATAGAAACAATATTGTTGTTAATTTTTTGTACAAGTTTATTTAAAAAATTTAACCATGAATGAAATCCAATAAATCAAATATTTATGAATGAAATAGAGTGCATAGATGTAGCATCGACAAAACTTTTTCTATTCTTTTTAGAAAAGCATTGTGAATTGAATAATACTTACGGTAGCTTGGTCATCTTTCAGTATTTCTTGCTGAACTTCAATCTTAGGAGGTATAACAATCCTCGCGTTCGAACTAATGTTAACCTGGTTGACCTTGGGATAATCCTCGACGAGCGTAGAATTCCACAGCCTGCAAAGCACAAAGTGAAATGTCACAGTAAAAATGTTTCAATGACTCATCTTTCATCTCATACAGCTCTAAAGCTTATCAATGTATGTATCTTTCTTTTGCTTTTTTATTTATACTTTCAAAAAATGCATTAACAAGTACCTAGCCTTCACAGTAATTGTTGCTCCTTGCTTACGCTGCAAATTGTAAATGATACATCGGATATCAAAACATTTAGCTGTTCTGGATTCACAATTCTGTAAATAAAAATAGCGTTCTTGTTATTTCCTGCCTATATTGATCATCAATAATTATTTTTTTTCCAATCTCACATCTAATCTAACGTTATTAGCCAACATTTTTCGCATAAACAAAATCTTTCCTTTAAATTGTAACAATCTGTCATTGTATTAAATAAAATAAATATAAATTATTTAGCTAAAGAAGTGTTAGGTAACTGTGATTTTTATTTAGACTACAGTATGCTCCTCAGGTATAAACCATACTAAATCCCCTATAAGACCTTTTTGAACCTCTGCTGGTTATATTGCAAAATTAAGAGTTTGCCTAGCCCTATTGTAATATATAACTATATTATTGTACTACGAATGAATAATTATTACTTTATTATATTATTAACATAAAAAGAAAATAAATACCATGTAAACAACCCGCCGTAGTCCGTCCCCTTCAGGGCCAGTTTGTGTGCTTGGAACAATCTTTTCAATATACCGTCTCTCTCTAATATGATTATGAGTGCGGTTTCTGTAATAATTAACAGGAGCACTAGGGGTCGGGGAAAAGGGATCCAAGTCTTCATAATTGACACTACCAAGTAATTTAAGTGGATTAGCCGAATGACCTGAAGGTAATATGCACTCGCCAGGTCCTGGATAGTCAATAGTTGGTATTTCTTCAAGATATAATAGCCATTTACCATGCGGTTTATCATTAGCCACTTCATAAGGCCAAGAAATAACTACTTCAACTGTTCTAACTTTCCAAGGGCCATCGTTGTAAATTTCATACACATGAGACACTTTTGGTCCTACTTCATTCAAATGTTTTATTGCAGATTCACCAATAATAGGTCCTCCATAAGAAACTCGTTCAGTTTTTGCAGTTCCCTTCACTGATAATTCTGCTCTCTTTAGTACGATTGCGTATAAACGTCTTGGTTCTTTTTCTGTAACTTCTTTTGATGTAGAATTTGCAAAAATAATAAAACTTAATTCAGGTTCATTATCTTCTACTCCTTTTGGATCAAATCTCACTTGAATATTAACTGCATTATTTTTTCTAAATGGATTTCCAATAGAACAAATAACTAGAGTTGAATTATGAAGATTACAAATGACGGATTCATTACTTTTACTTGCAATGTAATTTAAGCTGGGAGAATGACTGATAAATAATTGTGCTTCGTAGGCAGATTCTCCAACATTAACGGTACTAACATCTACAACAACTTCTTTAACTTCTCCTAATAATAATTCGTAGAAATCTGACTTGACAGTAGAAGCTGAGAGATTTAATTTAGCATCTAGCTGTAAATCGCTCTCACAAATTTCGTTATCACCGCAATCTTTCTGGAAGGTTGCTTCGAAAATTCTTGCTGCTTCTTGTTGATTTAGAATAGGGTAATTGTTGATATCTGGCAATGGATCTCCTTCTCCAGGCATCACTGGTTCTTCTTGGACAAGTGTGTAATTCAAACGGAATTTAATTGGCGACTGAATGTCTCGTGTGTTTTCTTTAAGATAAATAATCTCACGTTGGCAATGCATCAACTTATTCGAATCTAATGTAACAGTACGATTAATATAATGAGGTTTATTTTTACCAAAGCCAAACCATACTCGAGAGAATTTCTTTACGCCTGAGTAAGTTTCAGCTTCGATAAAGTAATTTAATTTAAGATTTTGCATCCCTTCGTTACTTGTTAATGATTCAGTTTTACAGCAAGCTTCAAAGGCAAAACACGTATGATTAGAAGAAGGGTCTGCTAAACATCCAACTTTATTAGGATCAATAGCTTCAATTTTATCTTGATAAGTTCCGTCTTTTCTTTCGTACCTAATAGACGTTGTAATATCAATGATTTTTCTAGCTCTCAATAAAGCAACAGCATCATTATCATAAGCACCAATTAATAAATCCGGATATCCATTTTTATCCATATCAATTCCACCACTCAAAGAATATCCGAAAGTTATTAAAGGCATTGGAGTATCTTCAGAATGAATAATTTGTGCCGGAGTAGTAATGATACCATTTTTGGAACCCAAATAAATGTAAACAGTTCCTTTACCTTCGTAAGGAGCACCGATACCTAAATCTTCATACCCATCTTTGTTTAGATCTCCTAGATTAGCTAAAGCAAATCCAAATCTCGATTCTTCTTTCCCCACAAGCTTTGTTGGTTGACATTTTTCATTTTCTTTATTGTTTCTACATAATGAAGTATAAATATAAACTGCACCTCCCTCAGCTTTATTAAAGTAAAATGGTGCTGACACAATTAAATCACTCAATTTGTCTCCATTAACATCTGCTGATGTAATTTCATAGCCAAAACTACTAGCAAACTGCTCACCATTGAGCACTAAAGCTACATCCATATCTGGATGGCCGGGTTGGCGCGTTAAAATTACTACCTGCCCTGTCCCATTTGACCTGGGAGCACCTGATGCGTAGGCGAGATCTTTTCCGAAAAAGTTCCCTACTGTTACTGACATTCCCAGGTAACTGTATTTATTTACTGGTGATGCATCCTGCATAGGAGCATTGTAAACTGTGCTGTCCCGCGAAAGAAAATCATCTGAGACTGTAAAAACATACAAGGTGCCTCTCCAAGTATGTGGGCCTGGTGTTCCAATAACCACACGATCTTCTGGAGTTAAAACGCCACTTGTTCCTGCTTGACAATAGCCAAACTGTTCATGAGCTTTATTTATTGGTTTTCCTGAGCATGGTTTTTTGAGATCCTCATATTTTAAATCTTGAGTCAGGATATAGCATTGGCCTTGACCCCATTGAGAATCTGCAGTCTTGACAATATGTCTATGAGCACAAACCATCACCTTGCCACCCACTCCTTGACTCCTCACTGTCACTCCTAACCATTGACCATCTTTTATCTCGTCATCGCCAGGTGGATTCAACTCGTCCGAGTCAATTTCTGTAAAAGAAATTCTTTATAATAATGTTCATAAATCTTAAGCTGGATTATTATGCCAAATCATATTTGCAAAAGGTGAAACTCAATTAGCTTTTTGTTTGGATTGCATTCACTTGCAATTTTTCCAGCGGTCTGCATTTAATTATTGATGATAATGGAGAATACTTGAATTAACGTGAATATTAGTTTATGGTTAGATATGAATTATTAAAGCAACATTAAGCGACGAAATTATTCAATTATTTAATTCGATTAGTATTTTTATATCTATTTTAATTATTTTGTAGTGAAGTGTATCGTTTGATTCTGACAGGTAATATTTGTAAAAAAATATTTCATACATTACATAAACTTAACAGCGGTAAGCAATAATTATTTCTTTTTAATTTTTTTTATAAGAATTAATATAAACAATTTATTATTACATCATTGCAGATATTGTTTTTTATCTTTTGTTTTTGAATATTTTAGATCTAATAAAGGAGTTAAATAAGTTTTTATCTTCAGTCAAATATTTTCGTCAGAGTATTTTTTTTTGTCACTTCAATACAAAATTTTTATTAGTTTAATTCGCGTGCTCTGAAGCGGATGCATATATGTATCATCTCATGCTTAACATTTTATATCATAAAAATCAGCTCAGCAATTTTAAAAAATGAATAAACGAAAAAAAAAATTCATTTCCATTCTCAAAGATTCCTCCCATTGATTCACTTACTTGGATCAATTTGACCATCTTCAGCTGTTAGGAGATAATCATAAAAATATCGTTTTAAACATTAAGTATTATTATTTGTTTCATTTTTTAGTTAATAATTATCAATAATTAATAATAATAATTGTAGTTAATACAGTTTAAGTTGTTGAACGACTAATATTAATCAGTTATAGATAATCTAACTACGAGTAACGTTTTTATTACCCCTAACTATTACAGAATTATTAAAATATTACATAATACTCTTGTACACCAATCATTCCCATTGTTAGGCTGATTTCTAACTAAACATATAGTTGATCATATCAGATTGGGGTTCACCCAATTGATTCGTCACAGATGTCATTAATTATCTAGTCAACTATTAATTGATTTCTACTGAAAGTAAGAGTTTAATCATATATAATAGTTATCGAACTATCTTAAATATTTACTTTGTCTTCCATCAGTTATAACTTGGGAACAATCTCTTGTAAATGTTGTCAGTGGACACTGCCATAAAGCCCCAGATCTATTGGTACCAGGTTGTCTATTTTGATCCAGAGGTGCTCCAACAAGAATCCTACAACAGAAAATATTTTTGGTCACTCAGGTCGTCATTCTGATCATTGTGATCTCATTCCAGTCTATTTTTTCATTCATTTTTATTTTAAATTGCAAAAAAAATTCTAAACTACAGGAACTTAATGAATGAAACGTGCTTTATCATGGATTATCAAATCATGTTTTCACTCCATTCTCCTCATTATTTTTTACGTTAATGAATGTAAGAAATTTTTTTACTGACTAGGAATAAATTATTTAAAATTACAAAATTAACAAATTCATTTTTAAATTAATAAATGATGAAATTTTTTTTAATGATAGTAACTTTCAAATTTAATTAACAGTTTATAAACAATTAATTTTATTGAATTACAATTAAAAAGTATTATTGAATTATGTTTAAAAATGATTTTCATAATACCAGTATAATTGTAATTAAATTTATAATTTTATTTACTGTAAACATTAATAAAATTGTAATTATTATCACACATTATAATGTAGCACTTCCTTTTCCCACTCTTTTATTAAGTTTAATAGATCTAATTATTAAACATTTCACAATTTCATCATTAAAAATAGCCCTTATCTCAAGAAACATGATGAATCTCTTTAAACGTAACAGAACAGATATTAAATAATACGATATATTTTGAATAACAATATTATGAAAAGAAAGTTCAATAGAATAAAATAGAGCTCACGTCATTATAACAGAATATAAATAAATATTTTGAAGACATAAATACAAATAAGAAAATTTATGAGAAACTTAAAGTCTTTTGTTCACTGGTGTGTCTCCATTATTATATGTAAATTAAAATAAACGGAGTTTATGAGTACATTATAAACATGTGTTTCATTTGAGCTATGTAGCTTTCTTACTCTTGCTCATTATGGGATACCATAAGGCCATAATTAACACTAGTGAAAACCGGCACATGTCTTGCATTATCAAAAAACCAGTCCTACTTATCTGTAAGTTTACATTCAATAGTATGGATCATTGTTTTTTTTTTACATTTAAATTTTTAATGTAGTTTCATTCATTTAAATTTATGTTATGATTAAAAAATAAAATAAATTAAGTTAAATGGAATTTTTTTTAATAATGAAAAAACCAGTTTTTGTTCTTAAATTAAACAGTTTTAACTATTAGATCAAAAGATCGTCAAAGCGGCTTAATAAACAACAATTACAGTTAATAATTATTGTTACTAATTAATTAATAGAAAAATATCTTTTAGAAATGCAAATGAAAAAAGATTAGATTGGAAAAATAGATAATTGAATAATTTTTACCAGCTAATAGACTTATTGTCTTCTTCAAGTAATTCTTGATGCTCAGCAACGGAATATCCAAAGTAGGATCCCGTCATTCCTCGTTTAATGACAGGTATCCTCCATTCAAGATTGAAGCAAAAGGTCCCATAAACCAAGAAAAAAATTACGTAAACGCTACACTTCATATTTACTCTTCTACTTCTCACGTATCACACATGAATTTATCACTTATATTAGTGGGTTAATAGATCAAACACACTTAGTTTTGGGTACGGTTGAACAAAAACAATGAAAATATTTTTTATATTCTTGCTTTGTCCTCAGGTGACACCGCGAATGCGTTGCCCCCGGAAGATTGGGAGAAAAACACCCACGCACCGCTCACGATCCGGCGTCAACTGAGCTGAGTTAGAAGCCACGAAGACGGTTAGCTTCAAGATGCCACAAGAACTTCGTTACCAGTCCACAGACTCCATTTAACTCTCCACGCCCACGCTAGTAAGCGAGAGTTCTCCTTTCTCTCGCGCGATCCGGCGAGAAGAAAAGACTGATCGAGCTCTTACCAGTCATAATCATAATAATAATTTACTGAGAAAAGATCCAAATTCATTTTTTACCGACAGAAACCACTGAAATATTTGAAAATTGATTCCTAGATTATTAGTGAATTTTAATATCTGTTTATTTATACAATCAATTTTTTACGACTATTATTATTAGAATAAAAAGTGGAAATAAACATTCAATTTTGTTAAAGGTATTTAAATAATGATCTACAAAAATAATTTTACGTGCATTTTAAAATCAATCATCTAGAGCAGTGGCGCTACAGTTCAGGAATGCTACAGCTTCAGCAACATGTGGACATTTTGATTTTTAGCTCTGTGGAAGATGGCGATATAAGACTTTTCTACAAATGGAAATTTTTTTTTAAAATGATTTATTATTTTATTTTATAAAAAATAAATAATAAATGTATAATATAATTTTTTTATTTTATTATTCCAATTATCATTGGGATTATCTGCTGCTGATAATGTGGAATATATTGAACGTAGATGACGACACAAAGATTTAGGAGAACCGACGACTTCCGATAACTGCCGAGAACCAAGGATGAGAGCAAGGCGAACACAAGTGTTCATTGACGTGCGTCAGCTGTGAGCGAGAGTTGATGGTGAAAACTAGACACGAGTGTGTCTGGTTTTCGCAAAGAGTTGGATTTTTTTGTGCTAAATCAATAAAAATGTGAGAAATTTCTAAGAATGAAACATCCAGGCGAGGTTGAACGACTACAAGAAGGATCGGAAATTATCTATCATGTGTGTTTATAGATTTAAAAAATTTTTTTTTGCATCCGTCTATTGGCCTTAATCATTTACAAACATGTCTATTCATGTTACTTTACAGGTTTTATATGATGATGAGGATGAATTACAAGACGATCCTTCTTGTGTTGACTATCACTGTAATTAATTATATATTTACATCATGGAACAACTGCGGGAGCAATATTCTCAACAGAACGAAGGTTCGTAGGGTGAGTCTATTTATTCCCTTTACCTATAAGTTCATATCTCATTCTCTCGACCTATTTAAACTTTCGATATATAAACTTGGTAATTAACTTTGTATATTTTTCTTTTGCAGGATCGTCTTATTAGTGAATCTGGGTATCAGGAAATTGATTGTAATATTAATGGAGAGTACTTAATAGGTTGTAGGAGAGAAGGGGATGAAGTTTACATCCCATTTTCATTTATTCATAAGTACTTCGAGGTAAAATTTTCTATCTGCATTAAAAATACTTTCACGACTTTGGACACTCATAAAAAAATGAATAAATATCCTAAAGCTATTGGAAAAGATACTATTTATAACCCTAAATCTATTATGTCTAGAATTTGTTTCTTTCTTCAAGTTACATGAATGTTTCAATTATTCGAAAACACTTAAGAGTTAACTTATCGTTTAACTGATTACTCTTAGTTTTTTATTCATACATCTGTGCCATAAAAACATCTATGAATAGCTTTCAAATGACCTCATCATAATCATAATATGAGTAATTAAAGTCAGTGAGGAATTATAACCTTTCAAAAAGCATGACCTGAATTAAATATTCAACAATAATAATTTAATCATGGTTAAAATTAAGTATGACATAATAATTGAATACTTTATATAATGTTAATAGGTTTATGGCAAGCTTGCTACTTACGATGGATTGGAGAGATTCGAATGGTTACACAGTTACTCTAAAATAGTAAGACCCAAATCTAAATATGATCCTCGTGGTGTATTCATGACCTTTGAGAATTACAATGTAGAAGTACGTGAACGAGTCAAGTGTGTAAGTGGAAGTGATGGAGTTCCTATGTCAACACAATGGGAAAGTCAGGGGTATTATTATCCAACACAAATAGCTCAATTTGCCTTATCGCATTATAGTAAAAATCTAACTGAACCAGAACCACATAGGAAAATAATTGAAGATGCTGATAAAGTGAAGCAAGAGTGGACTGTGCCACAAGGATCAGTAATGAAGAGAAGTTATGATACACAGACAAATTCTCATGTGTTAAGGTTTGCAACACCAGAAACTAGTTCATCAGGAATATCTTTACCTTTGGATCATGTTTTATCATTTGTATTGAAGTTGGATCTTAGCATAAAAGACAATGGAAGTATTACAGTTGTAATGCAGCATCGAGAGAGGAAAGACTCTTATTTTCTTCATTACACGACAAGTAGTATTATCCTTCACACGAACAACAATCACATTTATTACGGAATAGGGCAAACTAATAATCAGTGGAGACGATTAACTCGAGATTTAGTGGTAGATTTACAAAAGGGTTTAAGTATAAATGAGAAAGGGAAGAAAAAAATGTCTAGAAGTAAATTAAAAGTAATAAAAATTCTCCTTTATGGCTCTGGGAGGATTGATAATGTGACTTTATCTACCAGTGAACATATGGAACAATTTTATGATGCTGCAAAATGGTTTGTAGTGAACCAAAACGTGACATCGGGCGGATGGCCTAATCCCGTGAGGCGAAAAGTTGCCAGTAATATGGAGATCTTAGAGCCTGGATGGTACTCAGCAATGGGTCAAGGACACGCTATATCTGTGTTAGCACGAGCCTATTATCACTCGGGTGATGAGAAGTACTTACAGGCAGCTGTGAGAGGTCTAAAACCCTTCAGAATTCCATCTGAGAAAGGCGGAGTTGCTGCTTACTTCCTGGATAAATTTGTATGGTATGAGGAATATCCAACGACACCTTCTTCATTCATTCTCAATGGGTTTATTTACTCTCTCATCGGACTCTATGATCTTAAGTGTATTGCAAGCAGCAAAGATGCAGATGAAGCTAAAGAACTTTTTGATAAAGGAATGATATCTTTAAAAAATATGTTGACACTTTTTGATACTGGCTCTGGCACTACTTATGACTTACGTCATTTTACTTTAAAGAGTGCGCCAAATTTAGCGCGATGGGATTATCATTCTACGCACATTAATCAATTACTCCTTCTTAATACTATTGATAATGATGAAATTTTTATGAATACTGCTGAAAGATGGATTGGTTACATGAATGGTAAAAAAGCCGCACATAATTGATAATATTGTGAAACGAAGTGAATAGCAACAATAATCGCATGGATTATATTTTCGGGTTATTAAATTTTTGGATCATGAACTGAATAATTTGTAAATGTTTAGGATAATTGTGAAAGTGGATGATAACAAAATTATTATTTCTATTCACTCCATTTTACTATTGTGAAAATGAGTTTTAGAGCTTCGATTTTTACCATTTTCTATTTTTAAAATTGTGGTATATCTAATGCCAATTTATCAAGCCCGTACTCTATCTCCACTCTTTTTATTCTCCGGAGAATCGGGATATCTTTGATAGAAGAATATGAATAATCTACTATTGATTTATTATGACGCAAATGCGTATTATATTGGACATTGACGATAAATTTTTAGTACCTAAAAAAAAAGAGAAAATGAAAAATAAAAAAAAAAAAGTACGGCTCGTCCGTTCAGTGCCAGAATTTTTCTAAAACTACTACTGCGGCAAAGAACGAAACGAAAATATTTATTTGTCAAATCAATACAATTCTGAAGCAGAAAAGGGGAATAAGTTGTATGGTAAAGTTTAGTTAGAGAGTTTAAAAATTGTTTCATTATTGTGTTATATTTATTTACTACAAAGTAACTCTATGAAAAGTTTCCCAGTGATAACGATATTTATTATTTATTTTAGTAGATATTTTTATTGAGTTCAATTCGCATTTGAGTTTAAAAACTATCTTTATTAAAATTTTTCTTCCATGTTATTATTTAAAGCTAACTTTTTAAACATGAATTTTAAAGAGGATTATATATTACGTCAGCACTTATGAATATTTAGTGTTATCGTAGAGTTGTTGATTTTTATTAATTTATTCTTCTTTTTTCGCTTCAAAACAAATTTATTGAATTGAAGAGGACCATTTCCTCATGTGAGAAAATTTTTTTTGCATCACTTCATTTAAGATCTAAGCTGAGAATATAAATACTAAACTTATTTATAAATCTAAATAGATTTTTTAACAAATGCTTTTATTTCTAATAGAAAAAAAAAACAAAATGCTTGTTAGAAACTAGAGTATTTCTATCCGAGAAAAGAAGCTTAGTGGAACAGGGTAGCGCATATTGTAATGGTGATAATAGTAAACAATATTAACTATAATATTTTTTTAGAGTTGGAAAATACCTAAAAAGCTCATAAATGATAACCTTATAAAGAAAAATAATGATGAAATAACATTTGTTAAAACTACAAGTTTTTTATTGATTGTGAGCTCGACGAATTGTGAATTTAAGTACATTCCGTTATATTTATAGCCATGTATGTGGCTTAATGAAATTTATTTATATTGAAAGATATAACTTATTAATATAATTTATAAATTATAAATAATTTTACAGCATTAATAACGAATATTCAATATTTATTATAGAACGAAAAACAATAATGATAATAACGATATCTGATGGCATAATTAAAAAAAGTCGAGACTATATCGATTGAAAATAGTGTCAATAATAAAAAGAATTTAATGAAAATCATTAGATTTTTGTCAGTTTGTCTCAGGATTTTACATTTTGAACTCATTAATGAGTTAAAAATATTAATATAAATATGTAGATAGTTTTAAATACTTATATAATTATGACAATATTGAATGAAGACAAATTTTCATAAGGTGTCAAGGACTAAAGCAAGACAAATTCTTTTGTCCTAATTTATGATTAAATCATCAATTATGAATTTCGTAATTAATATAATTATTATTAATTAGGACTTTTGCGCTTGCTAGTATAAATTTATAAAAATTAGTATTTTGCCTCAATTATCTGATGTAAGAGAATGAAAGAATGACAATTAGTGAAAAATAAGAAAAAGGAACGATTGTGAATGAAGTTTACATGATTCATTAGTTAAGAAAATTCTATTTCTAATTTATAATTTTTGTAAAGAATAACATACTTTGGTAATTGTGTCGATAAATTCACACACAATATTCATTTTCATATTTCAATTTTAAAATCATTAAAGGTGTGAGGATTCATCTGTACTATTACCAATACTTTTTCATGAAAGACAACACATATTTAGATAAATTCCTGTAGAAGACGAGCTATATTTAACTACTTTACAATTAGTTGTCAAGATAAAACTAGTGCTATCATTATATACCTGCAGTCATGGTCAACAGATTATGTTAAATGCTTTGAATGCTTGTGATTCACTATTAATTCATTGTAACATCATTCAATATTTCTTATTTTTATTTTAATTCATAAAATGGCCTGCTTGAATATAAACATTAACTTCAATACAATATATTGTAGTTAAAAAAAATGGTGTACTTAAATAATTAACTTTCGGACAGTTTTATTGGTATTAAAAAAAAATTCTGTGATAATAAATCATGTGCGAGCATTCAAAGTAAATGAATTGTGGCTTGGTTTGTTTTTACTGATACTACAACGTATCGTAGAAGATTATCAGTCGATGATTTATTTCGACCAATGCTGTAAATTCTGGAAGGCTTATAAATAGTTATATTGAACTATTTATTGAACCTTGTAAATCATACGCTTAGCAAATGCTGCTTTGTGGTGTAGTAAAATGCCAACTTAGATACCTATATTTATCGTAAAGTGTATACTGTAAACATCTAAAAACTTGTCTAATTATTTTCGCTACTGAATATATATGGAGAGAGTAATTTAAATAAAGAAAAATCGCTCATACTTGATTGAGAGAGTGCAAAATAAGTGATAAATAATTTGAATATTTAATTGGTAGATGGTGTGCAATGATAACAATACAATAACTGATGTATGTAAGTGTTATAATCGAATGTTATTAGTTTTTTAAAATAACAATCGATAAAAAAAAATTATTTGTGTTTATTTCATTAACTTAATTTATTTATTTACAAAAATTTCTAAAATCTATCTTTAATTTGTTTACAATTTTAAAAGTCCATTAACGTTCTAATCGAACTGTTTTAATACTTGGTCTGCCAAATCTGCGTTCAGCTTCGTTAATAAAAGCATTTTCCATTTGTCTTACAATTTCATTGAAAACTAAATTAGACAATTGAGAATGAATGATCGATTTAAATTCAAATGATAATGAAAAGTCTATGATACATGTTTGTGGATCATTCTTTAGTCCTGGTGTAAAAATCCATAATGTGTTTAAGTGATTAAATAATTTTCCGTCTGTACATTCGGCTTTAACAAAATGAGGACGATTCATCGTTACACGTGATGTGTAACTTTCTGTTAAGGGTGGAAATCCTATGACCAAGCTCGCCCTTAAGCAATCCCTATCTTTTGATATAATTGTTGATTTTTTACAAAACGGAAGAAAATTTCGATAATTTTCTACGTCAGCAACAACTTCGAAGATTTTATCCATTGAAAATCTGTAATATATTTGAATTATTTTTAATATAATTCATTCATTTAATTTTAATTAAAATATATTAATTGTATAAAAAAGCTTCGTTTAGATAATTTTTTTGTAAGAAAAAAATGGAAAAACTATTTTACAACTAAATAAGAAAATTTACAATTTTATTGAATTGGAATCAATGATGCTTACCCAACTAACTTTCGACCTTCGTATTCTTTGGTTCTATTATTCCTAATTGAAGTGGTAAAAAAGTTTCTGAATAATCTTCTTTTAGCTTCTGGCACATGGAGAATCAAGTTTTTTGCTACGTACATCCTAAAATGGAAATGATCATGGTAAATTCATTCATTATTTTTTATAGAGATAGAATAAATTTAATTAAATTGCCCATTATATATGTATATAGCATTGATTTTCTTTTTTTTTTCGTTTGACTAGACAAAAACATTATACAGAGATAAAAAAGTTTTTTTTTCTAGTTGAATTCATCTAACTAAAATGTTACTTTTTAGGTAATTAAAATTTTTGCGCCAAACATTCAAATAAAAATGGTGAATCGAATATGTAAACACCAACATGAAGAAAATTAACTTAACCTAAATTGTCTATTTATAATCACATTCGAACTGCTGTTATATGAAATTATAAATAAAAAATATATTCAATTACCTGTCTATATTACTAATTAACTACTGCGGAAAAACACAATAGGAGTAGTTAATGTTATCTTAATCGAAGATACCAAAGGTCACTTTGAACCTTGCTTCGGATCACTAAAACCATTTTCTTTGTATTAAAAATTCCGAAAATAATATTTTATTTACGTCATTGGTTTTGCGGAATTCACAAAATAGTTTTGCAATAATTTCTAATTTCAAATTAAAAATATAACAAGTTCACTTATCCAAAAACAATGTTTTGATCCACATTAGTGTGGAGTTTGTTAAGTTGGCATCTTTGTTAGTAACTGAATAGTTTCATTACATAACCCTGTTATTTAGTTTCGGTTCTTGGGATTAAAAAAATTCAACATAAAAATGGCAAATATCGTTCCAGCCTGTAGAAATGCACTGAGACAAGTAAGTATTTATTTTTATACTTTTTTACAAATGAAGAATTAATTTTTTTTCACAGATGTTTTGTGTAACTTAAATCATAACACACCCACATAAATGTATGACGTATGACAATTTTATCTACGATCAACTGACAGATGGGAAAAGATCAGAATTCCAATAATTTATTGATAATTGAAAAAAAATCATTTTAATAAATAGCTGTCGTTGTTTGACTTTTAAACTATTTGATACATTTTAATAATTAAATTCATTTCATTGACATTTTTAAAAATTTGTTTTATCATTTTGTTTCTTTGCACAATTGGTTGCAATCATTTACGTATAACTCTTAAAAGTCGATAATTTATAAAGACAACACATTTATAGATACTTTTAAATATTATTTTAAACAATATTAATAAAAAACTCATTTTTGAGTAATAATTTATTCATTTGTATTTCAGGTTAGATGTTTTCATGCATCTGCTACGCAAAATGCTGAAGCAAAGCTCAAAACTTTCTCCGTTTATCGATGGAATCCAGATAAACCAGATGAAAAGCCTTATTTACAAGAATATAAAGTAGATTTGAATACTTGTGGTCCAATGGTATTGGATGCGCTTATTAAAATCAAAAATGAAATAGATCCATCTCTCACCTTCCGAAGATCATGCAGGGAAGGTATTTGCGGATCTTGTGCAATGAACATTGGTGGAACGAATACTCTAGCATGTATTAGTAAAATTGACAAAGATAATTTAAATGCTGACGTGAAAATTTATCCACTTCCTCATATGTATATCGTTAAGGATCTTGTACCAGATATGAATAATTTTTATGCTCAATATAAAAGTATCCAGCCTTGGTTACAGAGAACTGACAACAAAAAAGTTGGAACACAGCAGTATTTGCAAAGCGTTGAAGACCGAAAAAAATTGGTATGCTTGTAAACTAATAACATCTAAAATTTTTCAGTGAATAATTTGTGTAATTAAATATCTTAATTTATTTACAGGATGGTCTCTATGAATGTATCTTATGTGCATGCTGCAGTACTTCTTGCCCATCATACTGGTGGAACGGCGATAAATACTTAGGACCAGCAGTATTGATGCAGGTAATTAATAATTTTTCTACTCAATTATAATTCTGTGTTCACTTAAATTTAAACGCTTCTAATTTATTTATACAATTATACAATATTATTTATTGAATATTATTTCTAATAACAACTTTCTATTCAAAGGCTTATCGATGGATCATTGATTCACGTGATACAAAGACTGACGAACGTTTGAATAAACTACGTGATCCTTTCTCAGTTTATCGTTGTCATACAATTATGAACTGTACTCGTACTTGTCCAAAAGGTTTAAATCCCGGTAAAGCTATTGCAGAAATTAAGAAGTTGCTCGGCGGTATAATTCAAAAGGGCAAGCCTGGATTGAACACTACAGCTCTACATAATTAATAATTTTAAAGTACAACGATGATTAAGTATTAAATAGTCGGATGGAAGTGTAGTCGAGAATAACGACAAAATGAAATGAGGATTGAATTGTTTAATCATTCGATTGATTACAGATGTATGATTATGAATAATTATTTAAAAGAGGTTTTGTGGTCATTTCTCATGTAAATAATAAATAAACATTTGTTTATCTTCAATTACATTATCATTGTGTAATTTTGATTCGTAATAATTTATTTTATACTTAAGTAAGTTTATTGATAAGCTTGAATTAAAATTTATCCACGAATTTTACAATCATCAATTATTATAACTATTTTGATTTCTAAAATTTTTAAATTCATTGTATTAAGTTTAAATATTTGATTTTTATAGAATTATCACAATTTAACTACGTTATCTGTGCGAGTTGTGCAATTCAAATGAATTATTTTTAGATTTTATAGTATTTGTATTTAATTAATCTATTATATTTTTATAGATTTATGTTTTCAATAACGATATATCATCAAAAATATAGTACAATATTTTATTAATCATTTATTATTGGATTGAATTAAAATATGGAAGAATCAATTATTTCATGCATTTAATTTGAAAAGTCATTCATAGCTGAATATTTTATTTTGATATTGATATTAATTTTTTGGTTTCTTTCGTATAATTTATTTATCTTCACAGACTCACGATATGCTTCGTATCAAATAATAATTGTAATGGTCAACGAATTCAAGTTGATAAAGGTTCATTAGTTGAGAGACGTGATCTAGCTGTCTCACGTGAACGATTATGTACTTCTGCAGTACGGAAAGTAATTCCAAAGATGTCTTCATGGTATCTATTTTGATCCTAAAATAAAAAAATATTAATTATAGCTAGTATTATTTATTTTATATTGTATTATATTCATTATTTTATAATTACTCTCATCGAAAGCATATAAGCTTCCACTTCTTTATCAGACATTTGTCCATGTGTTTGAATGATCAGTTTTAATGTTTGATAGACATCTTCAGCCATCGTACAATCGCCACAAACGTAAAAATGTCCATTCTCATAAATTAACATATTATAAATCTGTTGAGCTTCTGATAAAATTAAGTCTTGTACATAAGTCTTTTTTAATCCTTTTTCACGTGATAGAGCAATAAAAACTTTATCTAATACTCCTAACTCTAGCATTTCTTGTTTTTCTTGTCGATACAAATCCAAGCCGTTTTGACGGCACCCAAAGAATAACCATATCTTTCCGAAATCTTCTCCTTTAAATATAAAATTGAATTGAATTTTTTAAACAATAAATAGAAGATTTATAAAATATAAACTTACCACATTTTATTTGCATTTCTGCACGTCGATGATGCCAAAATCCTCGGAATGGAGCAATTCCTGTACCAGGTCCTACTAAGATCATGGGTGCTTTGACTTCAAGTGGCATGTAGAAATTCGGTGCACTATCATTGTCAAATAACAATAATTATAAATGTAAATTTGCAATGAATTAATTGATGATGAAACATTAAAATGATCAATTAATTACCTGCGTACAAATACGTATAATGGTTCACCATCATGTATTTCGTTCAGATAATTCGAACAAACGCCATAATGAATTGGCCCAGTTCCACCTGAATTAAAAACAAATTCACTTTTTAGCATCTTCATTTTATTCTATTTGAATATTTCCTCTATCACTTACCTTGAGATTGATATTGAACCACAGCAACGGTCAGATGAATTTGACCCTGATGGACAAGTGGAGAAGAAGATATGCTATAGAACCTTGGTTGAAGTGGTGTTAGGTGAAGAACGAATAATGGCGCATAAGGTTTGACAGAAGGAAATTCTTCCAATACCTCCAATAAATTTGGATATTTCCAATGTTTCCAATCCTCGTAAGCAGCTGAATCCTTAAAGAATATTGTAAAATTATTTTATAAAATAAAAGAGATTCACTGATATTTAAAATAATAACATACAGTTGCTAAAAGATTGAGTTGAGTCTTTTCTTTGGGATTTTCAGCTATAGATGCAAAGTATCTTAATAAATTCGGCGTAGGTGGAGTTGTTATATCTAGAAATCTTGTTAATAACATCCTCAGAGAATTTGGCGAAAATCTTTCATGAGGAATCCATGATTTAATAATTCCTATAATAATTTAAATATCATAGTAAAATTAAACTTATTATTTCTATGATTATCAAAAGAAAAAAAAATTAACCATTCGGAGTATGTGATTGTTTTTGCGTTTGGAGTTCCACAGGAGTATCGAAATCCATCGTTGGTTCTATTCTTGCTAGAATTCCTTCTACTAATTCGCTTTTGTTACATGCAAATACTCCTAAGTGATCTCCTGGTTTATAGGCAATTTCCATACTTGCTAAATCATCTAGCTCAAGCAGTAACGTCGTTGCCCTACATAAGTGGATTGATTGATTTATGAATAGAAATTGATTAATTAATTATAACATAAATTATGATTTATTAATTTTCTTACCCAGTATCATTTCTATTTAAATTAGTTTTCCTTAACATGTTACAAGTTGTGACATTTCTATTGTGGCATTTCATCAAAGCTGGAATAAAAGAAAAAAATAATGATAATTTTCAAAATAATATAATCAATTTAAAAGATTTTTTGTTCGCAGGCAATCAGATCCTGCAATACCTTTGGCAATTGGTTGAGGGTCAGCTTCAACAAATCTTACGGTAGACTTTGATAACGCTTCTGATCCTAATGATAAAGCAACTTCTAGTAACGTATCATCATCATCAAGACAGAATGTTTCACATGCAACAGCAAAAGTATCGGCGGCCCATTTTCGAAAAGCTTGCTCTTGTCCGCACATTTCATCACCTTGTGAAAGCTTGAGAAGTCGTTCTCCACCTAATTCTCCGAGTAAATTATCTACGTAACGACCAAATGCACAGAAATTTGGATATGCCGATGAACCCAATGCAAAAACTGCAAACCTGAAAATTAAGTTTCGTTCAGCTCTCTAAAAAAAAATATTTCTCACTTAAAATAATTACCTAACATTGCTCAGTGGTCCAAAAGTATCTTCATTTTGGGAGTCAGTGGTGGATCCTCTTAACGAATCTAGTCTGTCTAATTTTTTAGCATTTCCTACTTCTGTCTGGCTATTAGCTTTTATAAATGATTTTGAAGAAGCTAAACTATAAAAAAAATTATTAATTATTTTTACATTTGAAAAAGTTTGCAATGGATAATTGTAAATGTCTTTTTAGATAATTACTTAATCTTTGATTCGCTATTGTTATAAGTCTCATTCATTTTCATAGCATAAAGATTTTGTGCAAATGCTTCTCCATTTTCTGGAGGATCTCCATTACCAAAAGTTGAAGTAATAACGAGTAATAATGCTTCATGTTCAATATTACTGATGTCATATTCATCCATTCTAAGGACTTGTGAGTGAAAAGCATGACCTAGAAGTTCTCCAAGCTTTTCTGCATACATCTGTGATGTTCCTGTCTCCGTTGCAAAGAGAACTGTTGCTTTGATTCGTCGAGAGAGTGCTCGGCCAAACAATTTCGATGTAAATTTCACAGCTCTACAAAGAAAGTAAATTTCGTTAAATTTTCAAGACAAAATATGTCTCAGATGTCAGATACATTCAAATATTATTAAAAACTTTCTTCACATATTTTTCTTTTTCAGATAAATATATGTCATATTCAAACACAAATATTGTAGATATATTTTACGAAGAAGATATTGAATTCGATAAGGTAATACTAAATACCTTGCTATCTGTTTAAAATGGAATTTTCTTCTTGGCTTTTTCGATGTACACTTTTTGTCTCGACCTTTTTTCCAAATATGAACTTTCCAAGCTGGATCCTGAGCATCATAAGAAGGCTTAAGATGGTAAAGTGCCATTTCCTGATGAAATACTGGAGTTGCCGATCCAGATACGGGTGGAACTATCCATAGCCAATCTGCTGGACATCCTTTTCGTAATCTCATTTCATTCTCGTAATGTTTCATGAAAGATTCCGATGCAGTATGATGGTCTACAATTGTCACATTTTTCATCTTGACACAAAAAAAAATTCTTTCAATTTTTCAATTACTAAAAGATAACTAAGTTTATGTTTGTAAAATAAACGTGTTGGAATTTACCTGGAAACTATACAAAACTGCCACATTCGCTTCAATCATTGCCTTATCTTTCCACAAAGATATTGATGTTCTCGTGTCTAATCCCATATGTACAGCAATCGTCTGAAGAATTTTCAACATAGTTATTTTAATAAAAAATATTATGAGTAATTAATCTACAAATAAGTGATTGAACATTGTTATTGTCAGACAAAAGATAAGTAGAGAGAGGAAATGTTCAAGGAGAAGAAAAGATTTATCATGTCTATTGTTACAATGTTCGAAACAATAACTTTTTTCAATTATAAAGAAAATAAGTACTTCTAAAAGATTATAGCGATTGACGTCACAAAAATTCCGTGCTCCAATTTCGGTACTCATATACCAGCCATTGAAAGGAGCAGCTGTGAACTCTAGTCCGCCGCAATCGAAAACCATTGAAGATACCGCCGGTAGAGCATACCACTTTAATTGCAATTCTTCAAACCATTTATACCTAATAGAATTCATACCACAAACTTCAGTAAATGAAAAAAAAATCATTGAGATAAAAGAGCATTAAGTCATTAAATTTCTAAAGTTCTTTAACAAGTCACTATTCAATTAATTATTCACTAATCTATTCTTTTATATTTGACTTATTTCTCCAATAATGTGGAAATTAAATTTTTCTGTAATTATACTTACGTCGGATGAATAATAGGTAATTCAAGAATAAGTTCAGGTGGAATATCGAAATAGTCAGGATCATGTCCATTCGCTGAAAGAACTAAAGGCAGTACATCAAATTTTGTACGAATTCCAGATCGTGGCCCTCTCCATCCTAACTTGAAACACAACTAAAGACATCAATTTTATTACTAAAAAGTTTTTGATAAGTTATTTTAACAATCAAATCATGATAATTTTTTATAGTTTATAAATTACTTCAGTAAATTCTACGTTGGCTGGATCACCCAGAATGGTTCCATCTTTATTTTTGTAACCGGCATAAGAAATTAATTGAGCATTCCACACTCTAAAGTCATGTTTTCCATCTGTTCTTTGTGGAAAAATAGTGATAGCAGATCTAAGAAATGTTTATAGAAATTATTAAATAATTTTCAAGGTAACATAAATACATGAGTGTAATTATTAAATTATCGATATTACCTGATGTTTCCTTTGTTAGTGCCGTATTTTATATGATTGCAAAGAGCCTCAAACATTCCACTTGTTGTTGTAACATATCGACAGTCAAATACTTGAAGTTTAGACCATTGGATACGACCAATACAACGAGCAGCATTCCTCCAAGCTAGTTTAGCACCAAAAACTAATTCTGTTTCACTTAGTTGGTAAGTTCCTGTTGAAAGAACTTCTTTTTGGACACTTTCCCATCGAGAACGATGAGCTTCACTATTTAATCTATTTTGATTCAATAAAAAAAAATTTTCAATCAACAATTAATAAAGAAAATCAATCTGAGTCTACTTGAAACTTGGAGAAAAAAAGGCATTTATCACAAATGGAAGTTTCAAAGTTTTTCAAATATATCGAATCAATTCTCAATGAAAAAACTTGAATAATTTTGTATAATAATTATATAAATTTATATTATCAACTTATTTAGTAAAATACCTTCGAATGGATGTAAAGTATTGCTCCAAAAAGTCTTTAGCATGCACCAGGATATCTTCTTTTTTTCTAGGTTCTGTCCCATGAAATGGAAGGCTCATAATACTTCCTAGGCATACTTGATTTGAGCATAATGTTTTCTACAATTAAAACAAACGATAAAGCTATAAAAATTAAATAAATTTGATAGAAAATAACAAAAATATGAAAAAATGATTAATTGACTTTTTCTCAGGTGAAATGTCATTATAAAACAAGATCAATATCAAGTGCAACTGACCTCTATGCCTTTTGGATGAAGAGAATCAAAAGCTTCAGTTTTGTAAATTAAATTTCTGAGCTTTGTTGGTTTTTTCTGGCATGGAGTAGCTTCCTGTTGGTCTTTCATTGTTTTTCTGTAGACTGACAGTGAAACTCTCACGGCAAAGATCTTGCCGCGACTAAGGAGCTCTGCGTCTGACTGAAACCAGTCGAGTCTTCGTCAATCAACACGAATGGTGTACCTACTTCCACCACCACTACTAGTATCAACAGCATCAGTCTATCACCCTACCATCCTTTCGTTCCCTGGAGAATTTCAAGCGGGTGGTGGTGATTGCTGAAGATGAGGAAGAGTGTGAGAGGAAAGAGGACATTATCCCGGGCGAGAATCTCACATGCGCCTCAGCATCACCATTGATTTACCTGCTGGAAAAAATTGCGATAATTCAACAGTTAAGTCATGAATTGTTAAACTGGAATCTCATTAAGAGCAACCCCATAAAAATTTTGAAGAAATAACATTTATACCTATGGGCATATTATTATCTATTTATTAAATTATATAGTTTAAAAATTTTTTTTTTTTATTTTTTATTTGATGTTTCCATGCATAAAATCGTTGAGAGTATAAAATGTAAATTCTGCGGTAGCACTTCTATTTTTTGAATCATTGTTATTCATACCAAAATAAAATTAAAGGTTAACCTTTATTTTTATGATACTACATATTTTGCATATTTATGACTATGAATATAAAATTTTAAATGTTAATTAAACTATTTATTAAAGAGCTCAATTTTCATTTGAGCTGTCATTGACAGTTGGGAGATAAATAAAAAATATGTTTTATTACCAATTTAATTAAGCTTTTAGGAATCTAGTTAATTAATAATTTCTTAATGATTGTAATTGGTACGATATATGTTGTAGAAATAATTGTTAAATTATTGTTTATTATAACCTCAAAAAGTCAGGACTGATTTATTTCTACGAATTGATTGACCATTCGTTATTTTTAGGAGAATTTATCATTTAAATTGGTCATGATAAACGGAAAAATGAAATATCAAAAGTTAATAGCATTTTAATGCATTACTGCTATTATACTTCAATCATATCATTTATAAAGAATCGACTATCACTCAAGAAATATTACGGCTACTTTTATTTTTGTTCATTTTAGAACTAGTGCCCTTGATCTCATCATTTATAAACGATGATAAAATACAATTGTTATACGTACTTTATTATTTACCGAATCCCAAGCTATTTATAATATAACTAATTTTATTGAGTATGACTTTACACAGTATATTGTATAGTAAATAAAATTGATGTTCAATAATTAATGAAACTGACGAAAGGACTATGATGTTTTCATTCTAAGAAACACTTTTATTTTGTGTATAGTTGAAAAAAGTAAATAAAAGAAAAACAGATAAAACAAGCAGTGGATAGCTGCTAGCTATGGTACAGAACATAGTTTTGTACAGCAATTTTTTTGATACATAAAGCCAGAAAGGAAGTAATGTTACGATGGAACACAATCATTAGTACATCGATAAAGGTAAACAAAAGAAAAAAAAATACCGGAAACATGGATTTCTGAGCTATGAATAGTTTGACCTATTCATAATTTATGTTTTTGCAATAAGATATTATTGACCAAGTTTTTCTTTTTTTTTTTATTAAAAATTAATTAATATATTATTTGTAATTATATAATTATAAATTTACGAGAATGAAATTAAGTATTTATAATTATAAATTTACATTTAAAAATAATAAGAGTCAATAATTGTAATTTTCGGATTCAAATTATGTCATGTGATTATTTTGTTTGTGGTTCCATTTTCTTAATTTGAACAGAAAAATTCCAACGATTGTTTCATGGTGTCATTTGCGATAAAGTTGTTTAATGAGTTTAAATTTTTGTTTCTAAATGTAGTAGCATTTTCTTTAATTATTCTTTTAACGAGCAGTTTATTTTTATAATTGTGAACATTTAGTTGAACGAAAATTGGTAAATTTGTTTTCATTAGTCATCAAACTAAGCTCCATGCTAAATGATCAATGATAAATATAATGCTATCTGGTTTTTCGTGATTTACAGCAATTCATTAATAATCAATAATACTTGATATCATTATTAGGTATGTACGTAATAATGTAGAATTTATTACCATCCATTAATTCATATCTAATATAGTACTTATAAAATTTATTGTGCTAGTAAGTCTGTGTGTACACTGCTTAACACATTCTTTTCTTCGTTAATTTCTATTCTTGCTAATTATAAAAATTTAAAATTACGCGGTAACTATTTATTAGCAATCAAATTGCGAATAAAATGAGATATAGCATGTGATTTGCATTAAACCAATCAAATTAAAGCAGCTAACTTCTCTAGGTATTATTTTTAACAGAGAGAAGATTCAATTTAATTCTTCTTTCTACATTCATTTTAGAAAGATTGAAAAGATTGTTGAATTTAATTGTTAAATTGATTAAAAGTATGAATCAAGAAAATATAAAAAGGAAAAATTTGCACGATGCAAGCAAAGAGGCTCCCGATCACAAAATTCGGAAAACGAATTCAATAGAATCAGCTTCTTATGCTGGAATGATTAATAAAAGTACTGCAACTGCTCAAATTGTAGAATTATGGCAGAAAGGACTTTCTGGAACAACGCAAAAGGTACAATTATGAATGTTTTATTATTATCAAATCAACGTATAAAAAGTTTGATTACTTTTATTATACGATTTTGATTTATATTTAAACTTCTATTAACTACCGTACTATTTTAGAAAAAAGCAGTTACGTTATTTAATTATTTAATGCATTTTTCTAATATTTACTTGACATTGATCTCCGGAAACTTTTTAGGGTCGAGACAACAGTTTTAACGTACAGGAAATTGATGGAAAATATAAAGAAGCAGTAAAAATGATTGAATTTTTGAAGAAAAAATTAAGTGCTTCACAAGAAAACTCTCGTGAATTATCGATTTCTATGAAAGAAATAACAGCTGAGAATGAAGCCCTGCGAGATAAGTATGTAATAAATTTTTTCATTATTCTTTAATAATTTTTCTTATATTTTTTATTTTCATTTATTTTTTACGTGGTTATTTACCTACTAATTCATTATTTTCTTAATGATCGTATCCAATTATCTCTTCAGACTATCCAAGGCTGAAACTCTAACTAATGAATTTTCTAATATTGTTGAGTATATTAGTGATACGCTAGATCGGAACAAAGAGCAATTCAAAGATTTACAGTTTATTAAAGTTCTCAATGAAAAATTGGAAGAAGAAAAAAAAAATTTGAACAATGAAATAAATAAATTAAATGAAAAGTTGAACATAAATGGTAATTAAACGTTAGAAAAAATATTATTCATTCATTATAAATAATTGATTGTTTAAATAATGTTTACAATTATCACTAGCGAAAAAATATCAAGATGCGTTGAATGCGAAGGGAACAGAATTGATAGAAATCAAGTCTAAATTACATGAAATTGAGTCAAGAATGAAAGAAGAAAAAGAACAGAAAGATAAAATTAATAATAAATTAGAAGAGAAGCAAAAAGAAATTTTGACTATAAAATTAAATGAAGATAAATTAATGAATACTATTGCAGACCTCGAAAAACGGCTTTCTGAAGAAAAAAGAAAAATAGATTGTCTGAATTCAAACACAAGTGAAAAAATTCAAGAGGTTAAGAATAAATAATATTTATTGATATATAGAAAAAAAGAATTAAAAGTAGCTGATAAACTTAAAAACGAAATCTATTTTAGACTTAACATTTTGGCTATTTGATTTCAGATTAAAAATATGTACGAAAAAGAATTATTTGAAACTCATAAAAATTCAGAAAAGGTAGAAACAGAAGTAAGAATATTACGTGAAGAGAAAGATAACATGGTGAAGATTTTAGAAAATAAAGCCAAATCGATAGAATTTTTTGAAAAGAAAGTTGAAGAACATGAGTAGGTTTTTTTAAACATTTTTAGAAGCTCTTTTTTAGAAGTATATGAATAGATCCTTTAATATATGACTTCGTTTATTTGCAGAAAAAAAATTAAGACATTATTAGAACAAGTGTCAGAAACAGAAGCGAGTTTTCAGCAATGTACACGTGATAAAGAAAATGTCAAACAACAATTAGAAGAGAAAAGTATTGAATTATTACGGTTGACTAAAAATATCAATTCATTAACTCTAGATAAGCAATTATTAAATGATCAACTAGAGAATTTGAATGATAAACTTATCAACGAAGAGAAGGAACGGATTAAACTTGCTGATGATTTGAAACAAAAAAATGTTGAACTTCAAGAGGTATTACGTAAAAATCAAGAAATTGAAAAAAGCTATCAGAATAATGATGAATCCAAAGATAATATGATAAATATATTGAAGCGAGATATGAAAAAAATGGAAAAAGAATTAGACAAAATCACTGAAGAACGTACTTCAGAACGTCAAGAAGCAAAAAAAAATCTTAAAAAGCTTGAAACAAGTTACGAAAAAGAAATGGATGAATTAAGAACAAAATGTGAAAAATATTTAGCCGATTATTATAAAGCGTCTAACGCTAAAAATAATGCTCTTAAAGAAAACTTAGAGTCCAAAACAAATTTAACAAATGTAACAAATGATTTGAAATTACAAAAAGAAGTTTATAATAAAAAAATAGAAGAGTTGAATGGAGAATTAGTGAAAAAAACAACACATATAGATAAGCTTGAAGGAGATTTGGAAAAGTTGAAAACTACTTTAAAAAATTTAGAAATGAGAAACAAAAAATTAGAAAAAGGTCAAGAAAAAGAAAGTGAACATCAATATCGATTAGAAAGAAAAATTTCATGTCTTGATGCTATGGTCAAAACTTTAACTCCTTCTCAAGAAATGGTAAAAATATTTTTCAGTATTTGCATTTTATGAAAACGTGTTACTTATAAATTAAATTTTTTTTGAATTACTGATAGGTAAACAAGAACGTTCGTATCCAAAAAGATGAGGTAATTATATAAATGCATAGGTTTTCATAAATAAAAATTACTTTCATAACTTTATATCTTTTTTTAATAGATCACAACTACTCGAACCATGAAATCGATACTTAAGTCACCATCAGCTGAAAGAAATTTTAAAACTCCGAAATCACCTGGAAAAAAAATCTACTTTGTTAATCTTCATGATCAACATGGATTCGACAATATTCCTAGATCTCAACCAGTAATTATACAATGCAGTTTACATTATGAAGCAAAAAAAATATATTATTGATTGGAATTTTTTTATTTTCAGGTAATGAATAATCAAGATAATGTAAATCTGTCGTTATTGCGATCATCACAACCAGCAACTCCGTCACCGAATAATACTGCAATACAATTGGTGAATAAAAATGATTTATGAATACATATTACAGAACTATATTAATAAAATTAATTTTATACATTTTTTTTTAGACTCCGTCATCAACACCAAGAAAATTTTTTAAATCAAAAACTCCTCAAAAAAAATAATTTTTTACTTTATTATAATTTTTTCTAATGTTACAGTTAAGAATAATTCTCAAATTTATTTAATTAAATGTATTAATGTTAAATTAAAATACTTTATAAAGTTAACGAATTATGAACAATAGCAAAAAATGACTTTTTTTCTACAATAGTACGAAATTAATCAATACTACTAGATTTAAGATCCCATTTCATCGATTTTTCTACAGCTAATTTCCATTTTGAGTATCTCAAGTCTCGTTCTAAAATATTAATATTTTAAATTTAACTATTTATAGAATTTGGTAAAACTTAAAAATAGTAGTTATAGAATTTGATTATAATTAGTTACCATCATCACTAATTTGTGGAGTAAAATTTGCGGTTTGTGGAGCTTCGATATCTGCTATATCAAGTAATCCCGCTCCAACTCCAGCTAAAATTGCAGCTCCAAGTGCAGTAGATTCAACCATGTATGGTCTGACTACAATGAATATCAATTAATAAATTCTCAAACTACTACGATCCAATTTATTTCATCCTATTACTCACCAACTCTAACACCAGTTAAGTCAGCCTGAAGTTGCAAGAGAAGATTGTTCTTAGTCATTCCACCATCAACGAGCAATGTATTGAGTTTTGTCTTTGAATCCATAACCATAGCTTCTAAAATATCACGAACTTGGAAACAAACTGCTTCTAATGATGCTCTGATGATATGACGGTAATCAGTGTCTTCATTAATACCACAAATGACTCTAAATCATAAAAATCATTAATCGAAAACTGGAACAGATAGTTCACATGATTAATAGATAATTAATCATTACTCACCCTCGAGCATCTTGGTGCCAATATGGAGCATAAAGTCCAGAAAATGCAGGAACAAAATAAACGTCGGACGTGTCAGAAACATTTCCAGCGATCTCTTGAGTTTGAGAAATGGAACTCAAAATCTGTAAATTATCTCTAAGCCAAGTGAGAGCAGCTCCTGCAATAGCTACAGATCCTTCAAGAGCATAAATTGGTGCAGAACGGCCTAGTTTATATGCTACTGTCGTTATTAATCCTTGTGTGGAGTCTACTTTCTATGAAAAATACATACATATTTTTAGTGATATTTTTGATATATCCTTAATTAATTAATTAATCGAAAAACATATTTATTAATTGGTACATAAATGTCTTACTACATTGCCTGTATTACAAAGAAGAAAACATCCAGTTCCATAAGTTGCCTTCGCTTGACCTGGTTTTAAACATAATTGACCAAGAAGAGCGCCTTGTTGATCACCAACACACTACAATTATATTCAAGATATAAGCCTAACTTATTTTAACTCATTTCATTAATTTTGAGATACCCCTGATATAGGAATGCCTGCAAGTGAAGGAGGATTGGATATATATCCATAAATTTCAGCACTAGATTTTATTTCAGGTAGAATTGAATCAGGAATTTGGAAGAAACGGAGTAATGGTCTGTCCCATCTAAGAGTTTCGATATTCATTAGCATTGTCCTTGATGCATTTGAAACATCTGTTATATGCAATTGACCTTTTGTAAGGTTCTGAAATGTCATTATGAAATTTTATTCAACAAAAAAAATATATTTGTTTTCATGCTTTAAAAGCGCTTACAAAAAGAAGCCAAGTATCTATTGTTCCGAAAGCACATGTTCCAGCTTCTACCGCACGATCAATCCGAGGAACATTATCCATAAGCCATCGTATTTTTAAAGCACTAAAATATGGTGATAAAGGGAGACCACAAAGTGGTTTAAGATAATTTTTATTTCGTGATTTATTTGGAATAGTATCCAAAATATCATCTAAAGTTGTTGTTGTTCTCATATCAAGCCAAACTGGAAATACGAATTTTAATTTAATTTAATTCCCTAACTTGTAAGTAATGAAAACTTTTTTTAAAGATACCTATTGCATTATGAAGTGGTTCTCCAGTTTTTCTATCCCATATAACTGTGGTTTCCCTTTGATTTGTAATACCAACAGCTTTAATATCAGACACAGAAATTTCAAGTTTTTCAAGTTTTTCTACGACTTTTGCAATACACTCCAAAACAGCATTTAAAATTTCTTTTGGATCTTGTTCAACCCATCCTTCTCGAGGATATTTCTGTTTAATTTCTATTTGATGAAAAGTAATTACTTTCTTCTTAATAACATCGAATATCTGATAAGTAACACAATTTTTAATTGAATAAACCACTTAACCCCTTTAATAAATAATAATTATTGATGTAGATATAATTTTTACCACAAATCTAGCACTACTAGTTCCTTCATCAATAGCTCCAATGTAAATAGGTTTTTTAGCGTTTCCAGCCATCATGAAAAACAAACGAATCATGTTACATACTTTTAAATGTCTATTCATGGATTCATAATCGAGTTATAGTGATCGATGTACAGCATATCGATCATTTCAGTGAAGTAATAATTATTATTAGAACTGTCATTTCCGACTCAAAGTTTTGTGTAAATCGATCTGATAAATTACATATAATAATGATTAATAAAAAATTATTATAGTTAAGTACTGAAGTTTATTCATTTGTTTATCATAAATTGAAGTAATTGTTTACAATAAGATTGTTTTAACTTTAATTATGGAGAAAGTGTATAGAATTAATATATCACATTAAAATATTGAATTTCAAATTCATTTATAATTAATATTGTCATTTTATGTACAATTATTTATTTAATATTATTTTTTATATTCTCTCATTTACTAAAATTATCTCTACCATTATTTATCAGCTTAAAGAAGGCCTTTCACGAAGCAAGTGCGTATAACAATCAATAATTGGGTTGATGTACAGTTGGTTCATTAACCAAGTATGTAAAAGAATGCACTGTCATCATTAACAATGAATTATCAAGTATCAACTAATGTCTTTTACAGATAACATGATTACAATAAGAATTATTCATATTTTCATAAATAATACTAAAAATTCAAGATGCTAAACTCAGTCTTAGTCTAAACTTGATGATAAATCCCATCGCATTGATCGTTCCACAGCCATTTTCCATTTAGAATATCGCAAATCTCTTTCTGAAAACACAATTATAAATATTCAATCATAAGAATAATTGTTTAAAAGACTTGAGTAAATAATTGTATCAGAGTTCATTGATTTACTTACCATCCTCGCTAATTTGAGGACTAAACTTTGTCATCTGTGACGGATTGACTTCACTGATATCAATTAAACCCGCACCAACACCAGCTAAAATTGCAGCTCCAAGTGCAGTAGATTCAACCATATGTGGTCTCACTTAAAAATGAATAAATCATAATTATTACTTCATAATAAATTTTTAATGATTAAATTATAATTACAAATCATTAACAAAAATTTTTATCACTCACCAACATTAATACCAGTTAAATCAGCTTGCAACTGCATAAGAAGATCATTTACAGTCATTCCACCATCGACAAGGAGTGTATTCAACTTTGTTCCAGAATCTTTGACCATAGCTTCTAAAATATCACGAGTTTGAAAACACACAGCTTCCAGTGCAGCTCTAATAATATGATATTGTTGTGTTTCTTCCGTAATACCACAAATGACTCTAAAAAATAAATTTATTTATGCAAATCCGTATGGATTATCCATTTCGAATAATATTTAGATACAAACTGAAAATAAAGTTTCGAAATTAATTATCATTTAAAATTACAACAAACCCTCGAGCATCTTGTTGCCAATGTGGAGCGTACAGTCCAGAAAATGCTGGAACAAAATAAACATCCCCGGAAGAGCGAACACGTTCTGCAAGATCTTGAGTTTGTGTTATATTATTTAAAAGTTGTAAATTATCTCTGAGCCATGAAAGAGCTGCTCCTGCAACTGCCACTGAACCTTCCAAAGCATATATTGCCGGAGAACGGCCCAGTTTATATGCCACTGTTGTAATCAATCCTTGAGTGGAATCTACTTTCTAATGAAAATAAATTTTAGCTGTTATGAAAATCATCTTAAATAGGATCATTTATCAATTAAGAATAGTAAAAACTTATGAATGATAGGCTTACAACACTGCCTGTATTGTATAGAAGAAAACATCCAGTTCCATACGTTGCTTTTGCTTGGCCCGGTTTTAGACATAGCTGACCGAGAAGAGCACCTTGTTGATCTCCGACACACTAAAATTCAATAATACTTATAAGATTAGTTTCTAAAAGTATTATAAACAAGAATAAATTTGATAATTATAAAATTAAATTTACTCCTGATATTGGAACTCCAGCAAGTGATTCGGGATCAGCTATAGTCCCATAGACTTCAGCACTTGATTTTATTTCTGGCAGAATTGATTGAGGAATATTGAAGAAACGAAGAAGTAATGGATCCCATTTGAGAGTTTCAATATTCATCAGTAGTGTTCTTGATGCGTTCGAAACGTCTGTTACATGCAGTTGACCTTTTGTAAGGTTCTGAAATTTTTATTCATCAAATGACCCGTAAGACAAATTATTTGTGACAGTGATGAATCTAATTGTAGCGGTACTTACATAAATAAGCCAAGTGTCTATTGTCCCAAAAGCACACGTTCCAGCTTCAATTGCTTGTTTAACCTTGGGAACATTATCTATAAGCCATCGAATTTTCAATGCACTGAAATACGGTGATAAAGGAAGTCCACACAGTGGTTTGAGATAATTTTTATTACGTGATTTATTTGGAATATTGTCTAATACATCTTCTAAGGTAGTTGTTGTTCTCATATCAAGCCAAACTGGAAATAAAAAATTGGAGAAATTACTTATTTATTCTTTAAGTGTATAGCCAATTCCGGTTCGTAATTACCAATTGCATTGTGAAGTGGTTCTCCAGTTACTTTATCCCACACAACAGTAGTTTCTCTTTGATTAGTAATACCAACAGCTTTAATATCAGATTTGGAAATTCCAAGGTCCTCCAAGTTCTCTATAACCTTGGCAATACAATCAGTGACAGCTTTTAGGATTTCTTTTGGATCTTGTTCGACCCATCCTTCTTGAGGATATTTTTGTTTTATTTCAATCTGATGAGAAGTTATCACCTTCCTTTTGATCACATCAAACACCTAAAAAATAATTTAAATACTCATTTTATATTCAAAATTTTTTTTAAACCAACTGGTTGATCAAATTTTAATTTATACCAAAAATCGCGCACTACTGGTTCCTTCATCAATAGATCCAATATAAAACGGTTTCTTAACATTTTCCGGCATGATGAAACGTTTGAAAAAATCAATAAGAAAAGTGAAAAGTTAATGTTCTATGTTAATATTATCACTTGTCATTGATCAATTGATAAAATTATTTGATCTCAATTTTTTTTAAACATTACATAAGAAGTACGTCGTTTTTATGACTCATATTTTCACTAATATACATATAGAAACAATGAATTACAGATTATCAATAAATAGAATGAATGAATTACGGTATTAGGATCAAGTTTGTACACGGAATCGTAATAGTGAATAATGAAATTATTAGAACTGAACAGTATGAAAATCAATGATTATTATTATTTAAAACTGCGTTCATACTACTCAAATTCGATAAAAAATTGTACATATCGTGGATATTGATGCTGCTGACAAGGTCGTAAGCCTTGAACAACTTTTTTTGTTAGGGACATTTCGAATACCCGAAATTCTAACCTTTTTTTTTAATAAAGCTGTAAAACTTTCATGAAATATAAAAAATAACATAATTATAAGTACATTCATGATTATTTTTTTTTAAAAGTAATCTCAATAAATAATTAATTTTTTATAAACAATTGAACCTAACTATTACAATATTCATGAGCTCATTCAAATTTTACCGCCAAATTTAGGTAAAATGACCAAAATAAATATCCCTATTTTTATTTTAATGTCGGTAATTTATATTTTTAATATTTATTATTGTTGTCTGGTTAATTTAAATTTATTTTATATATTATTTTATCGTTGATAGATGAATTGAGTTTTTATAATAAATATTATATTAGTATAAATATATATGTAATAAAGAGAAAATCTGAAGTAAAATTTGAATTGAGCGCGCTAATTGAACCAATGAAAGGCGAGTTACTTGCTTCATCTAGTGATATTTTTTCGGAGTTAGTTGGAATCGAAAGATAAGCGAAAAAGGCAGCGGGGACAAGCGCTTGTCTCATTTCACTCTGCGTAACCGGTAAGGAAAGTAGTGCGGTTTGTGACTGATCTTTGCACGGCAGTCTTTAAAAATAATAAATTATAAAGATAATTCAATTAAAGGTTAACGTAAGATAGATTTAAATAAAATACGTGATTGTTACAATGTTTTAGGTGAATTACTAATAAACTGGTGGCATAATAAACAATTATTACTTGACCGGATTCTTCAAATACGGTAGAGTGAGTATATTTTCATTTTTTTTTTCTCATTTTTTTACTCGTCATTTCTGACCCGTCACACGATCTGTCTCATTGACTTGAAATGTTCCCAAGACATCTTAGAATTAATTAAAAGTTCTTGATAAAAAATTCATTCATCAATTGATATTTAATAAATAAATTATTTAAATAAAGACTTGCTATTGACTTAACACCACATCAAGAAGGTCACGCTGTGGAAGAGGTTACCATTCTCGTGACGTGTCAAGCGCAAGCAAGACATGTACTCCATTCCATATGGTGGTCGGCTTCCGCTGGTCATTGACATGCTGGCATTTAACTCAACTACATTTCACACGTTTCAATAAAATTGAAGAAAGTGATTTAACTGATAATCATTTTGTTTATCGTTTATACTTTTATTTTATCAAATCATTTCTATTTTTTCTTCAACTTTATTTCATTTATTTCCTTTCGTGACAATTTTTCTTATCAGCATGAGAACTTTGGTCCAAAATTTATCAAATTTGGGTGTGTCATAAAATTAAAAAAAAATTCTAACCTTAAAATAATCAAGATTCATATTGATCGTTATAATAAAGTATTATAGAATTGATACATCATTATTTCCACGAGTTTTATTCAATGAAGTAATATTTAATTACTATCACATTGTTAATAATTATAATACTTCGGGTAAGTCTGATATATATTTTATCAACTGCTTAAATGTTTACGTAGACTGTACGTCAATTGATAAATATTAACTTCAAGATTTGCGATATTACACTAAATTTGGAAAAAACATTTATTTTTTATTTATCTTTATAAATTAATATCTTCAATATTGAAGTTTAACTAAATTTATCTGAATGACTTTGGACCATTTACAAATTTCGAATTTATCATAGGAATTTTGCTGAACATGTTACAAAGTATGACCTTTTAGATAACATAATGATCATTTTGTGTATCTTTCCCAAAGTATCTGTAAAAAATGACGAGTATAAAACAAATATGATGTTTAATTGAAGGTAAAAAACTCGTTAAAAAGGTGATTAACTAATGCTATTGCTCTTTTTTACAGTGGTACTGTAAGGACTCGACACAATCCAGGACAATCCTAAAATGCAGCAGCAGCCAGTGATGGAAGAAGGAACGGCTTATGAGCCTCCAACTTACGATGAAACATTTCCGGAACTTCCGGGCTCTAGTAATCATGCTATCAGCTTGAATCCATTACCTGTCAATAACAATATGAGAGTTGGATGTACTTCAGTTACAACGGTTTTTCATGTTCCATTAGAAGAACGCAAATTTGATCATAGTGACAAATTTGGTGAAAGCGAATCCCTCCATGAATGCCAAAAAATTAGAAAGGAAACTGGTACTCTTATAGAAATTTCGTCATCAAAAAATCAAACATTGTCATTTGTTATAAGTGGAAAACAAAATGATGTTCTCGAAGCACGCCGACGAATTCTTGCCGCCTTTCAAACGCAGACAAGTAGAACAATATCAGTTCCCAAAGAACATCATCGTTTTATTAAGGGAAAACAACGTACGAAATTAAATGAACTTGAGCAGAGAACAGCAACAAAAATTAATGTGCCAGCCGCTGAAGTCCAATCAGACTTAATAACTATCATCGGAACAAAAGAAGGTATAGAAAAGGCTGAACATGAGATCAAAGTCATTTCTGATGAAGCATCTAAAAAAGCTATTGAACGCGTAGTAGTTCCAAAGATCTATCATCCATTTATTCGAGGTGCTTATGATGAAAATTTAAATGCTATGATGGCAGAGACAGGAGCTCGAATAAACGTTCCACCACCATCAGCACCGAACGATGAAATAACAATTGCAGGTGAAAAGGAGGGCGTTGCTGCTGCTAAAAAAATGATTGAAACAATTCATAAAGACATGGAGAAACGATGCACTCTAGTATCTGTCGAGGTGCCAAGGTCTCAGCATAAATATGTGATTGGTCCACAAAGGAGCACAATTGCTGAGATCTTACAGCTGACGGGAGTCAGTGTAGAAATGCCAAGTGGTGATTCACCAACGGGTACGATAACCCTTCGAGGTCCACAAGAGAAATTAGGCCAAGCTCTTGATAAAGTTTATGAAAAAGCTAACAGTGTACGTACGGCTACTGTTGAAGCTCCATCTTGGATCCATAAATATATTATTGGACGTAAAGGTAGTAACATTAAGAAAATAATTGAAGATTTGCCAAAAGTTAATGTTGATTTTACTGATGATGTTGATAAGATTAAAATTGAAGGACCCCCTGAAGAAGTTGAAAAAGTAAAGCAGCAGTTAGAAACCCATGTAAAAGATCTTGTTAATAAATTATCTTTTGTAGAGGTTAAGGTAGATCCTATATATTTCAAACAAATTATTGGTAAAAACACTAATAGACTTGATAAAATAAAAGATCAAACGAGTGTTATTATAAATATTCTTGATGGGAATGATGGACAAAAAATTGTTCGATTTGAAGGAAATCGAACTGGAGTTATTGAAGCAGAATCTAAATTAACAACGATGATCAATAAATTGGAAAATGAAAAAGAAAAAGATATTATTATTAATCATCGACACTATGCTAGTGTTATTGGTAAGAATGGCTTTAATATTAGAGAGATTAGAGAAAAGTTTAATAATGTTAAGATTATCATTCCTGGGCCTGATGAAAAAGATGATGTTGTGAAAATAAGAGGTCTTAAATTAGATGTTGATAGGTGCCATCAATATTTAATGAAGTTGGCTAAAGAGCTTGATGAGAACAGCGATTGTCTTGAAGTGCCAATTTTCAAACAATTCCACAAGTACATTATTGGACGTGGTGGTGCTACTATTCGTAAAATTCGTGAAGAAACTCAAACAAAAATTGAGATACGGTCTGAAAGTAACGATCAAGAAATTATTAGAATACTTGGAAAAAAAGAAAACGTTAGAAATGCTAGAGATATGATAAAGAAAATACAAAATGAAATGAGCAATGTTATTGAAGAAGAAGTGACTGTCCCTAAAAATTTCAATCTCCTTGGCCTTAACAAAAAAATAATTTCCTCCATTACGGACGATTGCGGAGGAGTGACTATTACATTTCCACCAGCGGAAAGTAAAAGCGATAAAGTTACTATTTGCGGTCCAAAGGAAGATGTTGAGAAGGCAAAACAACAACTCTTAGAATATACCAAGGATCCACACTTATTGATTTATACTGATACAATGAAAATTAAATTAATGTATCATAAATTTGTAATTGGCCGTCAAGGATCAAATATTAAAAAAATCCGTGATGCAACTGGTGTAAGAATTGTCTTTCCTTCTGATAAAGATGATGATCAAGAATTAGTAACAATTATTGGAAAGAAAGAGTCGGTAGAGAAAGCCAAGGCTGATTTAGAAATTATGCTTAAAGAAATTGAGAACATTGTTGAAGATGAAATCACGATAGATCCTAAACATCATAAACATTTTTTAACTCGTCGCAGTGGAGTTTTGTCACGAATCGTTGATGAATGTGGTGGAGTTCAAGTTTTCTTTCCTAAAGTAGGTAGTGATAGTGATCGAGTGACATTAAAAGGCTCTAAAGAGTGTATTGAAGCTGCAAAACAACGGATGAAGGAAATTGTTCATGAGTTAGAATCTAAAGTTACTATTGAGTGTATTATTCCTCAGGTACATCATCGAATTGTTATGGGATCAAGAGGATGCAATGTTCAAACAATTACTTCTGAGTTTGATGTTCAAATTAAATTCCCAGAGCGCGAGCAACCAAACCACGAAGAGCAACCTCAAGAACGAATGAATGGAGATGAACATGTTGAAAGTGAAAGCCAAAATCCATTACCTTGTGATATAATCCGTATTACAGGGCAGCCGGAAAATGTTGAAAAGGCAAAGAAGGCTTTACTAGACCTTGTTCCAATTACGGTCCAAGTTGAAGTTCCTTTCGATTTGCGTCGGTTAATCATCGGTAAATCCGGTCGTGATATTCGTACGTTAATGTCGAAACATGATGTTCATATAAAAATGTCTTCTGCTGATGATAAGAAAGATTTCATAGAAATTTTCGGAGTTGCTGCTAAAATTGAAGAAGCAAAGGTTGCTATTATAGAGAGAGTTAAAGAAATTGAAGCTATGATGCAGGAACGAGCGCTTAAATCATTTGAATTGAAAGTTGAAGTTAATCCTGAATTTCATCCAAGGATTATTGGACGTGGTGGTGCTACTATTAAGCGAATTCGTACAGATCATGATGTTCAAGTTGACTTTCCAAAGAAAGGTGATCCTGAAGAAAATATTATTACTATTACTGGATTTGAAAAAAATACGTATGAAGCAAAAGAAGAAATTCTAAAGATTGTCAGTGGTTTAATTAAAGAAGAAATTAAAATTGACTCATCTGTTCACTCGCGACTTATTGGAGCTCGTGGCAAAAATATCCGAAGGATAATGGAAGAATATAAAGTTAATATTAAATTTCCTCGTAAAACTGATGCAGATCCGGATCTAGTCACGATCTATGGAACTGAAGAAAATGTTGTGGATGCTAGAGAACATCTATTGAATTTGGAGTATGAATATGTAGGTACTTTTTTAATATTTATAAAAAAACGCTTTATAAAAATAATTTGCATTTTTATCATTCTTTAATGTAAATTTTTATAAGAATAGATTGAAAAAAATACTATTTAAACGATAAAAGAATAAATATTATGGAAATATAAAAAAAATTTCTAGTAAAATGTTGGAAATTAAATTCAATATTATTTTTAAGTATTATTAAATAAATATAAACAGAGATAATTATTAAAATAAATTATAAAATTCTCTTTTAGTTACAAGATTTAGAAGAACGAAACAGGGCAAATAGAAGCACCAAACGTGAATCAGAGCGACCACTTGGCAGCAGTGAGAACGACTCAGGTTTCATTGTAAAAGGTGGGCCATGGGAACAACAAGCCCAGCCGAAAAGTGCGCCAGATACAGCAAGTGTTGCAGATTTTCCAACATTTGTTGGTCATGATTCAAACCAAGTATCCGTTGCCACTCCTGGAGGACCTTGGGGTAAACGTCGTGATATAGTTGCTGGGTCTCTTAAGTAAAACATTTCAAGACGTAAAAAAGAAATCTAGGTGAAAAACTTAGAATTATGAATAAGAATAATATTTTCCTCTGACAAAAGATAAAGAAAAAAGACTAGTACGAATTGTGTAGTGTTAAAGATTGAAAAATTATAAAAATTATCTTTAACGTCCTTTCCCTAATCCATTGCTGATGCTGTTGCACCATAAAACATGACCTTGGCCACTCTCTTATCAAATTTTGACACTGATTTTAATAAATACTTATTAACTTAAATCATCTAATTAATCCAATTTTCATAATACTTTTAGTGTCACATGTATCTGTGGGTGGAATGCATTTAATTTCATTTAATTTCAATGTTTTATTGCTATGAAGAGTTGACAACAATGAATTATGTACGAAAGAATAATTGATGAAAAAAAGTAGTTGAATTATTGAGTAATGATAATAATTATAATAATAATAAGTAAAAAATAATAATAATAGTGATGATAATAATAATTGTTAAAATGCTTTCCAATTACAGATATATTGTACTTAAGACTGTGGCTTTATAGGAATTTCATTTTATATCCAAATATTTGTGGATTGTACAATGAAATCATTTCACCTTTAATAGTGTATTCCTTCCTCCTTACTCTTGAGAATGATTTTATTTTTCATACTTTTTCTTTAATAGAACAAAAAATGTTTTATTAATCAATCATAATTATCTAGTTATTTATCAAATTGTATATAAGATTATGGAAATTTATTTTTTCGTCTCTTTCCTTTAATCTTTTATAGAAAAATTCAATTATATTTTCATAAATTATTTTAAATATTTTTTAATTCTAACGATAAATAAGATGGAATAATAATTAAAATGGATAAAGTAATCCTTAAAACTAATAAAAATTCGATTAAGTATCACGTCAAAAGTGGAATAAACAATTCATACAATAATTTATTGTATCTATTGTTTTACAAGAAAAATTATTATTAATAAATCATTTATATCTTAATTTTAAGATTTTATCAAAGAAACAGGATTTTTATGACTCTTAAATTAAAAAAAAAAAAACTTTTGTAAAATCATGTAAAGATAACGCTTGGTAATTTTAAAGGCCTGTGTAAAATTTAGTGCAAAATAATATAATAATTTTGTAAAAAGGTGAAAGTGCAAAAATGATTGATGAGACACATTGGCTAACACATAAATCAAGGCGGCTTTTTACTATACTCTTTTTAAATTGTCATTGTTTTTTAAACTTCAATGGATAACTTTATTAGTCTAATTCTTTTTAAATTACTTTTTCTGTACAAACAAAAAACTATTTCCTATCAATTTATGAGGCCAACTAGTTAATAAATTCAGAAACTAATTAAAAAAAAAAAAATGAATAATAATTGTAAACATACTATTCTGTTAAAGTGCCTTGTCTATTTTCTTCGAGACAGCTCATTTCAATTGTTAGAGGATTGTGAATATTAATTATGTATATGGATATTCAAGACAAAATAGCAACAATAATAATTAATCATTATTAACAAATTCATTAATCAATCAATAATTATTAATTATTGCTATTCTTGTTCTATTAGCTATGTGTGGAATACGAGATTTACATATAAAATAAATAGCGCCAATGTATGCTGAATAGGTTAATGGATAGTTTAAATTAATTATTAAATTAAGTACTAATACTAATAATAATAATAATAATTAGTTATAATACCAGTAATAATCTGATAGTATAAAATTGACGTATATTATCATGAGAATGCGAGAAAAAAATAATTTTCAATAAATGTGTTAATTGTATGCATGAAATAAATTGAATAGATTGCTGAGCGATTAAATATATATAATATAATATAATGATTATTATAATAAAATAACAATAGACCTATTGGGGGTATATAAAATTCACTTATATTTTTTAGATTTACAGCCATTTTTATAAGCCTACTTGGTACGATCGACCTACATGTTATATCATTGTCTCCGCATATAATATAAATATGAATGTTACATATTAATAATAATATTAATGATAAATAAAAAAATTTTTAGTTAATAACACAACATCGTGATCTAAATGTGTGAAATTGTCTCAATAAGTGAGCTATAATAATGCATTTTGTAAAATATGCTTGAATTCGATCCACTCTTCTAAATTTCACATAAAAATAATCATTATTATTATTATTGATATCAATATTAATAGCAATATTGATGTTAATATTGATGTTAACGTTGATGTTAATATTAACATTTATATTGTGGAGAAGAAATATTTTTTTCTATATTGAGTTTCAGAAAATATTCAAAGATATTGTAATTATTAAATATTATTTGCCGTACACGTTAAGATGACAGTATCATGCAACATAAATATCGTAATAGTAATAACATATAAAATGAACTGTTATACAATTTTTTGACTTTATCTTTATTTATTCCTAATTATCCTTAGTATAATACACATTTATTATTTAACTATCAATTACAATTATCCAGTAATATTTTAATTTATTATTAGTGGTATCTAATTATTTAGTTCTATCAATTGAATGTTAAGTTCATTTACAATTTTTTTCTATTCGTAATTTTTAATAATTTTAATAAAAACTACTACATTCTCAGTAACATAAAATATTGTCAACAAAATCATTTGTTTTTTGTAGAAAATATTTTTTGTTTCGTTTTTAAAATGTTAATTATCGACAAGATTACTACTTAAATCTTCGGGTTTCAAAGCTTTCAACTGCTGTATAAACCCGGTATTTGGACGAATATATGTTCTTATGTTTTTAACTTTTTGAAAGGCTTCTGTATATGATAACTTTTCTGTAGCCATTATATAACTTATTACTACAGTTGGAGATCTAGACACTCCTGCATTACAATGAACTAAAATATTGTCTTTTCGAAATTGATGAATTATTTTTAAGCAATCTTTTAAACTAGTGATCAAGTTAAACTCAGGAATATCTAAAATTTCAATAAAATGATATTGAATACCATCAAATTTAACATCCGGTTCGATTCCCAAGCTAAGAATATGTTTGATCGCATATGATTTCAATATGTCGAAACAAAAAATAGGATCTTGTGAACTCAAGAATAATCCAGGTAATATTGAATCCACTTGAAGATTAGGTTTGGTATCAATAACAAAAGGAGAAACTTTAACTTCTAATTTTGTTGTAACTCCACCAGAAATTTCAAATTTTTCACCAGCAACATTTGTCAAAAATGTTTTAGTTGGTTTCAGATTATTTTTTTTGTTTTGAAGTAAGTTTTGAAGATCCATAATTCAAAGATAATTAAACTTATTGGTTAAAATTAATTTTTTTTTATTAAACTTTTAAAATCACGTATTATCAATTAATTGCTGATATTTTTTCTGCAGAAATTGTTTCACATTTAGGCTCTACTTTTATAATATGTTGTTCTAATAATTTTTCATCATATTCCACAGATTTAAGATATAATCCTTGTGGTGGAGCAACACAATATTCATTTGGCCAGTTCAAGTATGATGGACAATTTAACAATATTTTAATATCTCTTTCTGTTATGCTTCCTGATGCAAGAGCAATTAAACAACCAATCATTCTTCGTACTTGATTATAAACAAATGATCTAGATTGGATGGTAATATTGTAAAAGTTAAAATTATTGGACAGTGGATCTTCTGGCATCAGTGGATGAGTTGGATCTAACGATATGTGCATCAAGTCTTTAACATAATTTATTTCTTTATTTGTTCTATTCTTTGGAGAAAATGACGCATAATTTTTTTTGCCTCTGAATAATCTTAAAGCATTATTTAATGCTTCTAAATCAATATTTTTCCCTCTGTAATTATTGGATATTAGTTTGAAATTATTAAAACTTTCGGGTATAATTTTCTATAATTAATTGAATATTTAAAGTGATGATTATTCTATACATTACCTAACATGCCAAGATCGTCCATATTCAACTATTGGTACTTGATGTTGACCATACTCTTTAGCAATAAAAAATCTGTAGAAATAAGTTCGTGATTTTGCTTTTCTGTAAGAAAATTCTTTATCAATTGGAAAAATATCAGTTAGCCTGATTTCATGACCACATCTTGCAAACCACAAATTAATCCTTGGGAGTAATAACTTAGGCTGATAAAATTCATTATTAGGATGTTCTAATGTTATTTCTGCCGCATTCAATAATGCATGAACACCTGCATCTGTTCTGTGATACATCAAAAAACGATATCATGCTAAATAATAATTATTGAATTTTATTTGATATCTATCATATATTGATAAAAAAAAATTACCTGCTTGATATTCTAACTTTTGGGAAACACAGACTCTGGGGTGAAGCAGCAGTAATAAAACCTGCTTCGATAGCTCCTTCTATCGAATCAAGATCTACTAATTTATTAGATCTAATTGTTTTTGCAGCACCTCTGCAAAAATTACAAATAGTAATAGGGTTAAGAATACTTTTATATTTTATGACTTGAAGTTATTCTTTGATCTTTAGAGAAGTACCTGTAACGTGTGCCGATATACGACATAAATAATAAATACTTTTGGTACATTATTATAAGTAATAACAGTGTTTAATTAATCTATATCACAATGTATTTTTATATGCTGTATTATTTCAATGTGAAAATAGATTGATAACAATAACACGTGGATTATGTTGTTCGGTGCATGTTGAATCGAAATTAACCTATCTTTACATTCCGTATAAACAGTAATACCATAAATATATACTTTAATATATAATAAAGGTTTGAAATTTCAAAATTGCTATACCACAAATATATATTCTACTTATTTTATGAAACAATTATTTTCAAATTTTATTGAAATTGTTCATATATTCTCTAAATATTTGATGTGATTTTGTATTTCGCGGCTAAATGTCTAAAGAAGCTATCGCCCTCTACAACACAATCGAAAATAATGCGGGGGTGGAAGATTCGTAAATGTTATAAACACGTGGTTTTTTTCGTGCGTGTCGATTTATTGAAAGAAATATTATTTATTTAGATAAATTATTGTATAGTATAAAATGGGTAGAAAGGCAAAATACGGTGAATCTGTCGTTCCGAAAGGACCTGGCAAAAAAGCAAAAAAACAGGGTGATCCTGTATTTCCAAGAGGTTTATTAGGTAGCTAAACAATCATTTTATAACCTAGCTTTTAAATTTGAATTAAAAATTCTTGAAATATGGATTATTTAAAAAACTTAATTCTTTTTTTTATAAATACATAGAAAGGATTATAAATAATAAACTTTTAATGCTGTAAGATTAATGTTAACAGAATCATTTTTGTTACTCCAAAAAAGTTGCTTTAAAATTAAAGTATTTCTTCATTTCTTGGTGAATGTCTATTTTTTACCTAATAATTTTTAACATTTTCTTATTTGCAGATAAAACTGATAAAACTGATAAAAAACAAAAATTTTCGCAAAAAAGAAAATTTAAAAAAACGGAGTACCAAAATAAAGGGTCAAAGTCTAAAAAACGTAAAACTGTAGAAAAAACAGAGTCAGAAGATTTATCAGATTATAATTCTGAAGAAGTAAGTGAAGATATAGAATTTCAATAGTCAATAGTAGAGTTATCGGTTAAATTTTTAATGGAATTAATTGTTTTACGCAGGAAGAAGTGACTGAAAATAATGATCAAGTTAATGGATTTGGGTCTGAACCTGGAGCATTTGTTCGTCGTAGACCAGATATCCTAGCGAGTGATTCTGAGAAAGAAAGTGATGAAGAAGAAACAGTTTTAGAAAATGAAGCTGATGATAGTGACGACGAATTGGAGAAAAATGAACATAGTGATATGAGTGAAAAGGAAGAAGAAGAAGACGATAATGATGATAATAATGAAGACGACGATTTACTTCCAATTGAAAGAGAAAATAAAAAATTAAAAAGAAAACAAATCCAACAAGAGTATGTCACAATCAATTCATAGATATATTTTTAATTTTCTTTAAAGTATCATTAATTTATTATAAACTTTTACATATAGAATGCAAGATAAAGCTGAAATGGACGAAAGTATTAAGCAATGCGTTTTCGAATTTCCTACGGAAGAAGAACTCAAGGAACCCATAAGCCTAAAAGACATTCAAAGTCGGATTCGAGATGTGGTTATGGTTTTGAATGATTTTAAACGACTACGAGATCCGGAAAGGTAAAATTTTCATAAATAATACTTATTTATCACATGAAAATAGTTATACTATAAATATTTTTAATCTTTTTTACAGATCTAGATCTGATTATCTAGAATTACTTCAATCAGATCTATGTTCCTACTACAGTTATAACTCATTTCTTATGGAAAAATTACTACAAATTTTCCCATTAGGTGAACTTATTGAATATCTAGAAGCTAGTGAAGTTTCCCGACCAATGACTATTCGTACAAATAGTTTAAAAACTCGAAGAAGAGACTTAGCTCAATCTTTAATAAATCGAGGATTAAATGTAGATCCCATAGGAAAATGGACTAAAGTTGGCTTAGTTATTTATTCATCTCAAGTTCCTGTGGGAGCAACACCTGAATATTTAGCAGGACATTATGTTCTTCAAGGAGCATCGAGTTTACTTCCTGTAATGGCATTAGATCCTCGAGAAAATGAAAGAATTCTTGATATGGCGGCTGCTCCAGGTGGAAAAGCTTCTCATATAGCTGCTTTAATGAAAAATACTGGAGTACTTTTTGCTAATGATGTGAATCAAGAGAGGCTAAAAGCTGTAGTAGGCAATTTTCATCGTCTTGGTATTGTTAATTCAGTTATTTGTAATTATGATGGTAGGAAAATTCCAGGAATCATTAAAGGATTTGATAGAGTACTTTTAGATGCTCCTTGTACTGGTACTGGAGTTGTTGCTAAAGATCCAAGTGTTAAAACCAATAAGGATCAATCTGATATTCAAAGATGTTGTACTTTGCAAAGAGAATTACTTCTTGCTGCGATTGATTGCGTGAATGCTAAGTCTGATTCTGGTGGAATTATTGTCTATTCAACATGTTCTATTCTTCCTGAAGAAAATGAATGGATTATTGATTACGCCTTGAAGAAACGCGACGTTAAACTCGTGCCAACTGGGCTAGATTTTGGAGAAGAAGGATTTGTTAATTATAGGCATCATAGATTCCATCCTTCTTTAAAACTTACTCGCAGATATTATCCTCATGTTCATAATATGGATGGATTTTTCGTAGCAAAATTGAAGAAATTCTCCAATTTAATTCCTACACAAAATGGTAAAGATGATGCAGAAGAAGAGTATGAAGCAGAAGAGAAAGTAGAAGAAAAAAAAAGTAAGAAAAAATCGAAGAATAATAAAAATGAATGATGGCTTGGATAATGATTTAACATTAAAGCTATTCCATTATGAAATTAAATGGAAAAATGCGATATCTGTATTGCAATGAGATGTACATTCTGTTAAAATAATCAATTCATACATATTTTTTATCATCTTATTGAACACATTTTTACGTTAGAACTATATGTAAGAATATAAGAGTTTCAAGAGAACTCTACAAAATGTAAGAATAAAAATACATTTTTATAAACCATGATTTTTTACTAATAATTTTAAGTTTTATACAGAAAGTTTTTTTATGTTAATGAAAAAAGATGCTCTTTAATTGTTTGTCACATAGTCTTTTAACTTCATCTGAAAAATGAATTTTTTCATAGATTTTATTATTTTATAATGATAAATACGTTAAGTTTTAATAAATTAAAGATACTAACCATCAATCTCGATAATATTGGCATTTTTTTGTTGTATCACAACATAAAATTCTCGAAGGTTAGATAATTTTCCAACAACCCAATAGTCACTCATAGTCTTAATCACAATTTCTCCAGCTTCTTTGAGCCGACTAGTGTCACTATTAATATCAGTAATTATTCTTAGCACCTCTGGAGTAGTTAAGACATTAGAACAGCGTCTATTATCCAAATGTATTGTACTTTTATAAGCTAAATTAAGCCTATTGAAGTATAAATATTTCGGTGTTGATTCAGACAAGTCTGGAACATGTTTTGAGCATTGATCAGCTACAGAATTTACTAAAGTTGTTAATTGAGGACCAAGAAATGCGTCAAGAGTCTTCAAATAGTCTATAAGGAGGCTTGTACCTTTAACAACAAATAGGAATTAATTAAAATGTTTAAAAAATGCAAATATATAAAAAAACAATACTTACTATCTACAAAAAGACAAATAGTAGCACTCAAAGCACTGTAAACTACTAGATACAATGAGGTAGGCTTCGTAGCATAGTTTATAAAAACTTTAGGTGATTTTGTAATACCGATTGATTCATTCATACTAGAAGTTCCAGTTACAAATCTAAAAAATATATATAATAATACATATGTGTATGCATTAAATAAAATTTTCATAAATCAATAATGGAAATATTTACTTTCCGTAATGAGACGTAGTGAAAGGTGATGCAGAATTTCGTGGCATTGACCCTCCATGAAATTCTTTTTCTAAATACTCTGGTAAAAGGGTACTTACTAAATAATTATAGACTACTTGCATATCTTCAGGTTCCAAACCACTCCTGAAATAAATTTTTTTAAATCTCATCATTTTGAGAAAGTATACTATAAAATTATTATGATTGGTATCATTAATATTGTAAATAACTTACCACACTAATTGATCATTATAAAGGAATGCAGTATATTTAACTTGAGGGAATGTTGCTTCCACTAAATTCATAAAGCACTGTACTTTCAGAAATGTAATTTTATCTAATGGTAAAAATTGTAATCCTTGAAAAATATCTAATATATCACGATGATTTAATTTCAGCGATGGCAAATACTGAAATAATTTTACAAATTAAATATTGAGTCAGTACTACTTAATTTTAATTGAATATGTTTAAATTTTTTACCCCAGAATAAAAATAATCTAATTTATGTTTGAGTAATGTTACAGATCCATAATTCGGATCGTTGAGAATTGTTTCGAAAGATCCCATAAACAACCTAAATCTCATATAAGCTTGCTTTAAAATTGCTTGGCAAACTGAACTTGATACTTCATCATGTTGATATTCTGTGTATTCATTTCCATCTTTAATTTTTACTAAATAAGGTACACCAACAATCTATAAAAAATATTATTTGCTTGCTGAAAACTGTTAAATGTATATTATGGATTTTAATTGTTAATTAATAGCTTTTATTACCATCACCATCCAAAAATCTGGTTCAGGTTGATAATATATTTGTCTTGTTTTTTGAGTATGACAATAATCACACGGATGATCGGGGTTTAAAGACCTAAAAAGTAAATTGAGTCACATAAAACATTATGTATAAAATGCTTCCTAAATTTTAGATAATAAATATATAATATATTACTCTGTAAATTTAATAATTGCCTCACTGAGTCCCACATTTCTGATTTTGGTATCAGCGTCAGTTTTCTCAGGATGATAATATAGAATTTTTTTTTCTTCCTAGAAAAATAAAAAAACTAAGGCTTAATATTTTAGCTATAAACAAATTTACTTTATATTTTTTAAAATTGTTCAATTAATTTTTTAAATTAAATCTTTATTATTACTTGCTACTATTCTTATGTTTAGTCTATATTATTTAATTGCATATGTTAAAATACATTCAATTGTTATTTTTTATCAGTATTATCATATTTTAATAATCTTATTGTTAGTTGCTATCTTCTTTTTTGATTTCTCACCTCTCCTTCTTTTTTGGCATAAGTTCCGTTAAAGATATAAAAATGATCCAATGTTATATTAGCTTTCGATGTCATTGTAATAAATGATTGAATATATACACTAATTATTTATCCTTTCTATTCAAAAGTTACAGTATTAATTTTTTACTTGCTATTTATATTTTTTATAACATTTTCCAAATTTTTGACAGCTAACCTAGTCGAGAAGCTTCACAACTGCTCCAAAAAAGGAGCAAAATAATGAGCTGCCATCTTTTGTCATAACCCTAACATAACAAGTTGATTCTTTGAAAAACTTCAGTTGTGAAGAAAACACGTAAGAGACCAAAAGTCATCTGTTGATAGTTGATTTTTTATTCAGTTTCGTGACTTAGCGGATATTTTTTTTTTAATATTATTATAAATAATTTGAACTTATTTCTTTTATAAATCTTTTTAACTTTTCATTCGTTCGTTAAAGTTTTACAATAATGGCACTGTCAAAGCCTTCGGAGTTTCTTTTTGATTTAGTTGTTTCTTACATGAATAATTTGTATACAAGTCCTTTGAAAACAAAAGCAATTACAAGGTATGTAATTAAATTTTTGTGATACTAAATACATTCGTTAAAAACCTTTATTTAAATTTATTAATGAATAACATGACAATAATCAATAGCGACAAAATAAGCAAATAAACAATTGTTGGTGAGCTGAATGATATGTAAATACTTGTTTGAATTATAGTTAATCTTTTATGTCATTATTTATTGATTATTATTTGAAACATTAACGATAAATAATGTATTTATAACTGTAAAATTATTTTAATTGGTTTGTACAGTAACTTTTTTTACTGTAACTGACTCGACTGAAATCAAACATGTTATGATTAATTTGTCATTATATGTTTTTATTATAATAAAATTAACAAGTATTTTAATAAATAAGGATTTCCTTAAAGTATAATAATATGTTTAATTCAAATTCAACGACGAAATTATTTTAATTTCCACAGTTGCACACTGGCAGTTTTTGGAAATTATATTTCACAGAAAATTCAAGGAATACAGGAAGTGGATGGTGATAGTTTAGTGGCTTTTGGTTTATTTGGGTAATTATTTAAAAATTTCTAATTTACTTACATAACAATTATGTTAAAAAAGAACGTACTTTCATTGACATAAAAATTTTTAATTTAATGTGAATAGTAATTACTATGATTACAATTATCGTAGAATATAAATAATCATTTTATGTATTGAATTAATTAATTACAAGGATAAAACATATTTATGTCCATTACTGAACAATTGTAAAAAATTTTTTAAAATCTAATTTCAACTTTTTAGTTTATTATTTGGTGGACCAGTGCCGCACTTTTTCTATAAATACATTTATCGTTTTACTAAAAATCCTATTGCTGTTTTGGCAATTGAAAGGTTGTTGTATACACCTCTCTTCCAAGCTCTCTCGTTATATATGATAAGTAGATTTGAGGTAAATTAATTTTTTTCAGTTCTCTTTATTATTAACCTTATTTTGACTTATAGTTGTAAATAAAATGCATTTGACTGTTTACCAGGGGAAACTTCACGAAGAAAGTGTACGCCATACTAAATTACTTTATTTACCTATTTTGATGGCAAATTGGAAGTATTTAACTATTTTGCATTTCATTAATATACGTTATGTTCCTCCAATGGTAAGTTCAATTATAAATTTAACTATTAAAAAAATTTCTTTGTTCAACACATTATATTTTTAAGTTATTTATTGAAGGAAACCAAGTGCTTATTAACTTTTTTATGTTGTTTTAAATAAATGTTAAATATTTATTCTAGTTGAAAACCTTGATGGTTAATATGATAGGATTGATATGGGTAATTTATTTAGCAAAACAGCGTGCAAGCAAAAATAATAAAAGACGGCAAGTTTAATTCATGGAATTTGCTGAATATATTTTTCCTTTAAATACCATTAAAGGAACATTGAAATTTACATTCCACAATTGATCAATATTCTTATTGATGTTATTTTTTTAAAGAAGTATGTATACATAATTGTTGCCTATAATTAAATATAGTTAATAATAAATTTTATATATATATATATATTAAGCATTTGAATTTAAATCACACAACAACAATACAGAGTATATTACAGGTTTTTTTTTTCATTTTATATTCTGGACTGCGACTAGTTGAACTGATCATCAACTTGTCTTATTAATTAATTGAATTATTAATAATAAATTATAATTCAAAAAAATTACAAGTTTTAATATTAACGTGAGTTATAATCAAGTTATTTATGAATAGTTTTTACAAGCTGTGGAATGTTATTCGTAATGAATAAAATTAAAGCATTTGAAGCTTCAAAAACTATTCCTCATCTTTATCATTCATTTCACAAACAAATAAATAAATGAACTATTAAAAGTAATAAATAGTTAATTTATTATTAAAATATACTTCTAAATTGTATCTAACATTTTCTTTATTCATCATAAAATTTTTTTATTGTTCTTTGCTACTAAATGTTCAATTAATTGTTTTTTTACTACTTATTAATAAATGAATTTTATAAATAAATGCACACTTTTGATGATATTTAAATCCACATCATACTCAAGTAATAATTAATATAAATAATCTATTTACACGTAAACAGGTAATGAATTAACATTGCACTAAAATATTTTCAATCACAATAATTTAATTTAATTGGTCTCTTTCACAAGATATTTCTCTTATTTTTCACTTATCAATTTCAAATATTTCTTTTATTCTTTGACTAGTTTGATTTAAGAATAAATCAAATTTTTAACTAAAAATATTTATTGATACGTTTGTAAAGCTACCTAATAAAAATTCTCATTTTTGAGCTATTAACATTCAATTGAGTTAAAATAAATTTCAACTCATTATTTGAATGAAAATTTTGCACATCACATCAACCTAATGGGTGTAAGATGGACTTCGAGTTGGTGAATGACTTGATCGTCTACTTGGACTTGACCAGTCACTTTGTCTACTACTCTCACTGCTGCTTGGTGATGATGGTGGTGATGGTGTTGGCCGATGATATGGAATTGGTCGTTTTCTAGCACTAGAATCATCATTTGTTAGTTGGAAAACTTTTATAATCATTTTTACAACATGATTTCATCAATGAATTTTATTTATATTTTAATAAATTCTTAACTTTGTGTTATTATTTGATGATTCCATTTATGCGCTCTTACTGTCATAACTAATACAAAAAATAATAGAAATTAAATAACATGCAATTGATAATCAATTAAAAAAAAATTCATGCAAACAAAATTTCTGTAATGAAAATAAATAAAAACGGTGGCTATACTTACCAGATATTTTCAAAATTGTGACACATCGATGCAATACAGGCTCACGAATAATAAAAAAAGTGACGATAATAATATCCATAATAAGAATAATATTAACAATAATAAATATAAATAAATCATAAAAATGCTAGAAATTTAGCTATATAACATACTTTATTTTGTGATAAAAATGAAATAAAATTTTAACTACTTGCAATTGTATTCCATTTACAATAACTTAGAGAAAAAAGGTACACACATGCTACGTTTAAGATAATGCAACGATAAATAAGTGATAATTATACGGGCAAAAATGTACTGCAATAATTATATAGAATGAATATATAAATAAAAAAAAAAGTACGAAATAAAAAAAATGTCAATAAAGAAAAAAAATTCATTTTTGTGTTTTATGTCTAATTCAAGATACATTTATCTTTTTATATTGTTTTATTTCTATTTTTGAAGTTGTTTGATAATAAGATTAATTATGTGTTAAATTGACAAATTAATTAATAGTAAGAATTTGAAGTTTTATAAATCGCTTTATCTATCTGTTTTAATTTTTAAAATAATTGTGGTGTAGTAAATTGTTTATTATTTTAGCATTTAGCATTTTATTCATTACTGATAATTCAGTAAATATAATATTTATGAAGAGACAAATTAAAGAAATAAATTTTATACAATTATGTATCTGTGTGATTCCTCAATACACTATCTTCTATGCTTGCCCCTTGATCTGTCTCTGCTAGATATAACAAACAAAAAACAAAGAAGAAAATTAGGAATTTTTAAATTGAATTTTAAAATAACGGTCTTCAATCATTAACAAACGTTAAAAATTGTTTACTTGTATCGAATATTTTGTCGTAATTATCTTCAAAAGAATTTAAAATTTTGAATAAAATAAAAATGAATATAAATATAAATTATAAAATTAATAATTAAAGTAATAAAAAAAATATTACTGCAATAATAATATCAATGATATATGAATTATAATGAAAACCAAAATTATAATTTCAAATAATAATGTACTAAACTAGCGAGTGAATACAACTCTGAATAAGTGCACTAGAAAGAGCCAGTTGAAAAAAAATGTATAAAACTCACCTGGTTATTCTCCGTCTATCTAAAAAACTAGGAGAACCATGACGTCGTGGTATTGATGGTGAACGTGATCTACTTGAACCTGAACTGCTCGAAGAAGAACGTGAAGATCGACTAGACGCACTGCTGGAGGATCGAGATGAGCTAGAGAAACTTCTTCTGCTACCTCTTGTTGAACTGAGTTTAAAAAATATTAAAACTCATTAATGATTTATAAAATCATCTCCACAAGACTTCAATAAATTTGAACTTTAATTTATATCATTAAAATTATTATTTAAATAGTTTAAATAATTGAAAATACACTCAGTCGAAATAAATAAAATACCTTCTGGATGAACGAGAGCTGCTACGGCTTCGACTCCTTTTCAATTTATCTCTGGACGCCCTAGAAGCAGATCTTGATCTACTACGAGATTTTTTTGACAAAGATCGACTCCTTGATCGTTTAGACAGCGAGGTTGATCTACTTCTAGATCTTACTTTCTTTGGTGATCTTGAATGTGTTTTCTTAGATCGTGATCGTGAACGAGATGGTGATTTGGATCTGGAAGATGATCTTGATCCTCGTGATCTCTGTGATTTTTTAGACCGAGCTGGCGAAGGTGATTGTTTGGTTCTTGATACTGATCTAGATCTTTTTACAGGTGAAACTGATTTTTCATCTCTTGAACGTGATAAAGATCTGTGTTCTCTTGAAGACGATCGATGTCTAGGAGATCTTGAAGCTTCTTTTTCTTTTGAAACAGATCGAGAATATGATCTAGATCTTGAACGTGATCGTGAATAAGATTTTTTCTTAACAACAGGGCTACGTTTTGGAGTGCTTGGAGACCGAGATGGTTGAAAAATTTTATTTGAAAGTGGTGGAGACTCTGAAGGAGATCGTAGTTTGATATTTTCTTTAGTAACGAGGAGAGTTGGTGGAGTTGATGGTTTTAATTGAATTTTAATTGGTGAATTAGCAGCCTCTTCTCTTGTTAAAGGTAATGCTGGTGATGGAGATCGGCTAGATTCAACTGATCGTGTAGCGTTTATTTGTACTGGTGATACAGATTTGGATTTTTCAGGTGTGATAATTGGTTGAATGATTGGTTGAAAACTTTTAGGAGGATCTTCAGGTAAAGCAATATCAGAAATATTTTCCTCTTTGTTTTCAATTTTAATTTTAATTGGGCTAATCACTTTTTTACCTAAAGTCTCACGAGCCTTCGCTGCTAAACCACTCTGAAGACGTTTTAAAGTATTCATTTCTTTTTGCTTTTCTTCATCTTCTTGCTTTGGCTCATCATCAGCAACTTCAGTTTCATCTTCACTTGAAGATCTCAAACTTACTCTCGGAACAACTATCTTAGGTTTTTTACCTCGTGATCTGGATCTTGACTTTGCTTTTCTTTTTTCTTCATTGGTTTTCCTTAATTCTCTCCTTTTTTCGTCTAATATATCTCTGTAGCGCTCGGGATTTCTTCTAATTGGAGAATAACTTAAAGTTGATCGTCTTGAACGACTTCGAGATTTAGTACGAGATCTCCGTCGATCTCTGGATCTTTCTGGGTGATGCCTTGGTCTCCTAGGTGATCTTCTTCGTGAACGAGATCTTCTTCGACGGAATGGAGATGGTCTTCGTCGTGATCCACCTCTATATCGATCATACCTTGATCTACTTCTGCTTCGTGATCTAGAGTATCTACTATTTCTTCTTGGAGATCTTGAAAAACGCCTTTTTCTTGGTGATGGTGATCTACGAGGTCGTGAATACCTCCTTGGTGATCTGAGTCGTTCACCACGATTTCTAGATACTGATCGTCTTTCATATCGCTTTGGAGGTGCACTAATTAACTGAGGGGTCCGATCCTTGACTGGCGATCTTTCTCTTTTATCTTGTACTGATTGTTTAACTTGTGAATCTTTTTGCTTTAATGGCGGTGTTTCACCATGAGATTTTTCATGTCGTTTCGGAGATCGTGGCTGCCGTGATTCACGTACAATAATTTCTGGAACTACAGTTTTTTCTGGCACTTTTTCATGTTTTGAAGTTTTCTTGGGTCGTTCAGGAGAGCTGTTATAACAATTAAATAATTTAATAATAATAATAATAAACAAAATAATAATCAAATAATAAGATAAAAATACTTACGAGTCGGTAGAGCTTTCAGAAGATTGTCGTTTACGTTTCGAAGCCGCTTTCTTCTTCTAAAATATGCAAGAGAATTGATTAATTATTGAAATTTTTGTTTAACAACAATAAAACACTCATCATGCATTTCAGATATAAAGTTTTTTACTTATGTTCATTCTAAAAAACTTCAAAAACTCGTTAGTTTATTGTTTATCTGAATAAGTAATTAATATTTAATTACTATAAATTTTTCATCAGATGCAGATGATTAATTAAATTATTAATTAAAATTCAGATACCGATCTAAAGTAGCATTGTTACTGATAATTTTAAAATATTCGATTTTTCATTTTTGATTTAATATTGCTCGAGAAGCTTATATATGAATTATTATAATTCCAAGATTCGGGGGTGCTTAACACAAAAAAACAAGTGATACATACAACAGTCGCAAACTTGTTTCATATAGAAAAAATATACGTATACGTAAATACAATAATAAATTACGAATTATTTATTACATTGAGTAGCGGCATATCGGGTACTCACTCAGGGAATATATCCTGTCAAATGGCGCTGATAATTACAAACAATACTGAGATTTACACTTTGAAATAATGAAATTGTTTAACTTCAAAATCAATTGAAACTCATTACAACAAGCACGGAAATCATGCTCACATAATTTATTCAATGATTCATTTTGAATAAAACAAAAAAATTTTTCTTTTAAAAATAAAAAATAAGAATTGGGTGAAGAAAATTTTAAATAAAAAGAACGATGCTTAACTAGTACATAAATTTAAAAAATCATCTTTTCGTCATACCCGCGCGGAAAGTTCACTTTTCCATTAGAGAAGGGCTAAACTTTCCACGCAAGTATGACAAAAATCATATTCAACTCTAAGGAGGACAATTAACTAGCTTAAAACACATGTAATTTTACACGTGGTTTGAGCTAGACTACTTTTCTTCCCTAGATGCAAAATGTACTATTTCTCAAATAAATAAATAAATGGAAAATTTTCGAAATTCTATTGACTGAGTGTAGTAAAAATGGCATGCATTAAATTTTCGTGCTAAAGTTTCCGATTGTATGTATGCGCATACATTCATTAATTATTTTTAAAATGTATATGATAGATGAACTCTTTGGTAATTCATGTATGCTGTTGAATACAACTCCAGATCTTACCTCGCTTTTGTTTTTTCCATCATTCTTAGATTTTTTCTTCTTTTTCTTTTTCTTCTTTTTCGACTCTGCTTCCGTTGAACTAATTGAGAAATGAATAATCCATCATTAGTTAGCTACTCATATTCCAGGTATTTCAAATCAATAAATTATAAACAGAATATTAAAGTAAATATCTTCATCATAAACTTTGTTTCTTATCGTCAAATAAAAATTCTATTGATGTAATTATTTAATATTAGAAGAATGAATACAATATGATTTATAGCTAAATCTTTTAATTTCTTAGTGACTGAATTTTTATGTAATTTAATAATCATTATTTCTATTAGTATGTAAAATAAAAATAATATTCAAATAATTATAAAAATTTTTGACTACTATAAAAAGTATGATACATCGAATAATAGATTTATTTTTTCAATAAAATTTTTAATTAGAACACTGCATTATCTGTACCGATCAATGCTATACACTAAGTCTATATAAGTCAATAATCCGGTCAAGAGTGGGGTTTTGTTATAAAAAAATTAATGTGAATAAGAAGACGAATTGGAACACGCAAATGGAAAATTAATTAATATATTATTTAATGAAATTTTTAAATTATTTTCTCATATACGTCAGAATAAATAATAAAAACAGTAGTGTTTATAATAAAAATACTGATTCGGTTTTATATTTAATTCATAATAATAATAATAATAATGATAATAATCACCTGCTATCGTCAGAATCATCACTAGAATCACTATCAGACGAACTTTCGACTTTTTTATGTTTCTTTTCTTTCTTTTTTTTCTTAGATTTTTCCTTCTTCTTACTTTTTGGAGACTCGGATCTAGAGAATACAAATAAATAATTAGAAATTTTATATTATTCTTTAATGAAAATTAATTTTTGTCTCTTATTTTTAATATCTTCTCAATATTTAATTATCAACAATAATTAATGAAAATACAGATGATAAATGATATCGCATTATTTATTTGAATAATCTTGCAGTGGACTTCTTCCTGTGCATATCTTGTGTGCTGATAATACTCAATTAATTGTCAATAATCGATATAGAGTGTACTAAATACAAACAATGGGATTCGGATAAAATTTTTTCTTAAAAAAAATTTTATCATTGGAAGTTAATTTTTTTCATAGAAAAAAATTAAAACTTGTTCCATTAATACTGTTTTCTTATAAATTAAATGAAAATTTTGAGAAAAAGTGACAAACGACAAGTGTGTTAATTGAGTGAATTTTTTTTATAGTTATTTAAAAATCGACTTATTACTTTGAAAGATTTGGTTCTAATTAATCTAATTACAAAAATAAGCTTGAAAGCAAATAGTAAATTAATTACGTAATAAAAAAGTAATTTTTTACAATCATCTAAACCAATTCTTTCAAACAAAACAAAATTAAGAATTAACCAAACACAATAAACACGAGATTTATGAGGTTTATTGATATAATATGGGTTTAGCATTACCTTGATAACCATCGATAGGGACGGACTTGTCAGAAAAAAATAGAGAGATGGCATTAACAACAGACTTTATCGTTATTAAACAAGAGATAGAAATTTAATATTTTTTTTTCTCCAAATAATATACAATTTACCCTACTTTTTCAACATCCGATTCAAGTAAATGGTTGCCTTTTACCTCTCTATAGTATAAAAAATTATATATCAAAGAGTATTTTTTATAAAAGATATTTATAAATGTTTAAAATAAATAATAATAAATGGCAAACATTTACTTTTGTTTGAATTAACATAAATTCATTTGATGTTTGTTTGAACAATAATAACCCTACAAATATTATGACAATAAACAAAGGGAAACCTAAGTAGATAAATAAAAAAATTTTCATTGTATCTTTTAATTTGTTTGTTAAATAAATTCGCGACGACTTACCTACTGGGTAGGCACTCAGTCCTCCTCAGTTCTGTTTGAAACAGAGAAAGGTGTACGGGGTATGAGAGAGTAAGCGAATTCAATGATAGAGACAAACGGACGTGTGTAGAAAAACTTATGAGATATGTTTATGTATATATAAATATATGTATAATAATTCTAATTATTAATATATTCATATATATACATATATGTATATATGAGAAGTAGACTTTCGAAAAAAATAAATGAATGCAATCGAATAAATAAATGAAAGAGAAGGAAACTACGATTAAAATCTAAAGGGGAAAGATAGCATCTTTTTTCACACCGGGGGGTCTTGGAGCCTCGATTCGAGACCTCGGCCGCTCAACATGTAATTATATGCTGATTAAATATAAACAACCATAACAACTACCATCATTAATATTAATAATATTAATCTCAACTATTGTTGATTTTTTTTTTAATTTAAATTTTGATTATATACTTGTTTGTATTGGAATTAATATTGATAATATTTTTTTATGGTAAAGATGATAGAAATATGGTAGAGAATAATAGTTATTATTTATAAAAAGATAGCAGCCAATGCGTTTCCAGACTCCAAAGACTTGATCATTCATACAATCGTATACCTGTCCTTCTTGTGTTTCTTTCCCTTCTTCTTTTTGCTGCTACTTCCGGATCTCTTCCGTTTCAATTTTTTTTCAGTCGTTGGTTCCGGTTCTGCTGGAGGACTCGGACTGTGCACCAACTCATAAACTTTATTGGCAGCTGCTCTTGCCTCAGCTTCACGAGCATGGCGTTCTGGATCTAAACTGCTGCCTTCTACGAAGAACTCGGAGATTCCAAAAGCTTCACGTAACTTTGCATTCTTTTCCTGTTGTGCTTCAGCTACTTGATGTGTCTCTCTTACACTGTAAATATTCAATAATTCATTTATTAATTATCTGTAATTTATTGAATAAATCATTAAACTAATATTTTCATATTCAGTTATAAAAAAATAATATTCCAAGCATACCGATTTAACTTTACTGTCATTATTTCACTAAATTACACTCACTATAATCACCGAATGAATGTAATATTTTACTGTGAAGTATTGACTTATTCAGCAAATGGTAGATTAATTAAAGATTGAGAATAACAACGGAAGTAATTGCATAGAAAAAATTCTAGAAAATCACATTCAGAGCAGCAAAACTAAGAGGATGACATAACAGACTGGCAGCCGACGCCAAGTAAGCTATCCCTCACCCTTAAATGAAAAGCTACGAGAGGCCAGGGGCTCTGAGCTTCCCCTATTCGTTGCGCTCCAGTCCCACGCCCGATCAATACAATTTCTCCTGCTCTCTTCTATATTATCATATTTTTTAGACCACACTCCAGATTCTCTATTGACTTTTATCCAATTATGAAATGTCATGCAGCTAAATTTATCAACGGAATACAGCACGAGATACACAATATTTAATTTATATTATATGATTTTTAAGATTTATTGAATGTTTTTATAGTTCATGATAAATTTCTTCGCGAGCTTATGGAAACCTATTTTAAAATGTTTGTAATCCAATAAGTACAAATCCATGTAAATTTAATAATACTTTTTTTACCATAAATTTACTTAGATTTTTTAATATTATAAAAGAAACTTCGTCTGAGTAATTTTTTCTAATTAAAAAAATCTCATTTTACCTAACAACAGATCTCACGCTGTTTTGTTGTCCAGCCAGTAAATGTAATTGAATTCTTTGACAACAACAACAATGCTTTGATTGAATCTGTTGAATTCGTTTTTTTCCATTAGCAGAGTTTAATTTTCTTTTGCGTGTACGTTTAACTTTTTGACGATCCAAAAAAAAATTTCCTCTCCAGAGTCGTTCAAAAAAAGCACGGCCATCAACAGGACCTCGTCCTCGAGGAGTTTTTGCCGCGATCGTAGTCATAGTCATTGATGATAAATAATCAACAATAAAAATAATGATAATACAAGCTTGAAAATGTATTAACTTCTTAATATATTGCCTCTTTTTGTTCACTTAATGATTTTCTTTTGTTCTCGGTTAATTGTTTCTTCAATTAGAATTGTCAACGATTTAATAACTTCCTTGCATATGCTGTTTTTACCCTTTCATCAACCGGAAAACACTTCTCTTCTTTATAAAACACTTATTTATCTATTATTTATTTTCTTTTAAACAATTAATCGACATAAAAATTCGTTTTTTACTTTTAAAAAAGTATTTTCATAGAAAATTAAGAAATATAGTTCAAAGTTTTTTATATAAATTTTCGTATGGAAGACGTTGGATTAGGCACACCAACATAAATTCTTTGGTCTAATTTTTTTTATTAACCTCAATAGATAATTAAGTACTCAATAAACCAAGTATCACTATAACTTGGAAAAGATTTATCGTTGCACATATTTTATCAATAAATTTTCTTAGCTCACAATAACTCTTATTCGTTTTTTTAAATTTATTAGATTTAACTTGACTTAATTTATTACGTAGCTTTTAAATTCAATTATTTTAATTTAATTTTTATTTTACTTCTGATTCTTAATAAATAATTAATTCTAATGGAAGACTTTTGTGATTTTATAAATATCACTTTTAATTATTACGGACTACATTTTTGTGAATGAACTTTCTTCTTTTTCACGTTTTTAGAGCTTTGACGCAACCATGATGAGGCGTTACGACGCCGGTCCATTCCCGCACTGATTGCAAAGTGATGCTGAGTCCTTGCAAGCTCTTATTATACACATACAATCTTTCTATCTGTATTTCTTGTACTGGTTGCATTAGCTTTGGCTTCCCTTTCATAGGTTTCAACAGAAGCGCCGGCGCTACGGGAAGTCGATATTGAAGCTTATGTACACGGATGTGCGCGTGCAGAATTGGTAGGGATGACCTGAACATACCAGGGATACAAGCATCTCCGTTCTTTCAATAATATTGAGTTCCTCGGATTTATTATTATACTGAGAGAAGTTTAAAACACCTAAGAATTTGAAGAATTTGTAACATATATTGCTCCATTTTTGTTTTTGTTACCAGTTTCAATTTGTCCTTTCATACAAAATTTCATTTTGATCGAATTTTAAATCCGCCCAGAGTTAAATTTAAAATAATACATACATAAAATAATCATTTAAAAAGAATAAATGATAATTGTGGTAAATTATTTACTTACTTTACTCTGCCATATTCATCTGTTGGTATAGGAGGCTTTAGATCATTACCCATTAACATTTCTCGATATGAAGCCACTTTTGCCTTTATTTCGTCTGTTGAACATCTAATATAAATTTTTTTATGTTATTAATTAAATTTTTTAGGTTTTCGATTATTTTTTGAAAATTTTATTAGAATAAAATAAAATTACCCTTGCTCTTCTAAAATATCGCTCAGTTCAGTACATTTGACTTCTATTTTTCTTTTTCTCACATGATCCAAAATTTCTTGATTTGGTTGTTTATTAATCTGGTCCGCTTTTTCTTCTGCTTTATAGTCAACTTTATCTTTAGTTTTTCGTACAATTGCCCAATTCCGTTGTACATGTCCATTTGTCCCCGATCCTCGGGGCGTCTGTAAACCAATTCCATTGTACATAATGGAATTACACCTACATAAAAAAGATAAATGAAAAATAGTAAAATTTAACATTAACAGTAACTAGAAAGGTATTTTAAATGAAATTCAATACCTCGAGCTACTAAATAAAACTCAGAATTATTATTAAATTATTTATGATTACCTAATTACAAAATTGCAACGAACAATTTAAATTGAACATTTTACCGGATAGGTTAGAATGGATACGGTTTTGTATTGATCCATGTATTCATACATTTATAAAATATTATATTATAAATTGTACTTACAATATTGATTGTAGTTACAGACTTATGAATTGAAATCAATTTCTGTTGACTACCCTCTGATATTCAGTACGGTAAAATCATTTTTATTAGAAAATTGACAAACTCAATTCACGAAACCAAGCACACTGACAAAAATGGCGATGAAAGTTTAGTTGAAGCGGCGACCGTTAGAGGCAACGGTAGCTAAAGTTCAACATGGCGGTGTCTGAAATTTGTAAATAATGAACAGTCCACGTGGTTTAACAAATTGTTAAATAAATTTACCAATTTTAGCGAACAAGTATTAACTGATTCAGAATAGCTTTATTATATAATTATGGAAGTAAACGTAGGTAATATTGTCATCCCTGGGGATAGAATAATGATACCTATGAATAATCCCAAAGAAAAAGTTATTCTTGGACCAGGTATTCGAAGAGAAGATGAAATCATTTATGCATGTAAAGCGGGTATCTTAAGAAAAAGAGCAGCAATTTATTATGTAGATAGTTATCAGAAAAGGTATACATGATATTTTTTAAATTAATTTTCTTCATTAATATCCATTTTATTAAAGTTATGATCAATACTTTAGATATGTTCCTAATCGTGGAGAAAATGTAGTTGGAGTAGTAACTCAAAAAGTTGGAGATATCTTCAAAGTAGATATTGGTGCTAGTGATCCAGCAGCTCTTTCTTACTTAGCATTTGAAGGTGCAAGTAAAAGGAATCGTCCAGATGTGCAAGTGGGTGATATCATTTTTGCAAAGCTTTTAATTGCTAGTAAAGACATGGAACCAGAATTGGTATGTGTTGATTCTCATGGCAAAAAGGGAAAATTAGGCGTTCTTGGACCAGATGGAATGCTTTTCAATTGTTCTCTAAATTTAGTTAGGAAAATTTTGAATCCTAATAATCCGTTTTTTCAATTATTCGCAAAAGAACAACCTTACGAAATTGCTATTGGAATGAATGGCAAAGTTTGGATTAATGCAAGGTCTGTAAAAGAAACGATTGCTTTAGCAAATGCTATACTTGCAGTTGAATTCACACCGACTGATCAAATTCAAGCTTTATGTGATGATATCGCTCAAACTATGTTCATTTATGATTAAATTAGTTTAACTGATAATATGATTATATATGAATATTTCAATTGTGAATAATTAATTAATATTAAATAATCATTACGAGTATTACTGAATATATCTCATAAATACTAAATAATATGTAATTACCAATTTCATGTAAATAGCATATTTTTTATTCAGGTTAAATGAATAATTTTAATTAATAAAATAAATGATAACAACAAGTATATGAGTATTGAGTGTAATTTTATTCAAAATACACTGAATGTATACGAGTTAACATTAATACAGTGTAAATAGTAGCCTTAAAATTATCACACCCATATTATCGGAGAAACATTATCATGTAGCATTGATCAATCGACTTCATTTTTAAAATAATAATTTTTTTGCGGTCTTTATGGTTTTTTTTTCATCAATTAATTATTCATGTTATTTTATATGTCAAGTATACATATTGAAATACATAGTGTTGTGTTTCACAACCTATTATTTTGTTTATTATTGTTGAAGTATTGATAATTATCAATAATAATCGTTATTATAATAAGCCGATCATTGATAATGGGCATATTTTGCACTACCTATCCTAAATGATTAACTATAAAATTAGTTCGTTTTTTATTGAATCATTTTACAATCTAAAGTCCAGGTGATTTAGGCGAATTTGTAGCGTATTATTCTGATATGTGCCCACGATTTTTATTTTTTGTTTTTAGTCATACTTTTATAGTTAAAAATATAAGGTAAATATTTTTTTAAAATAATTCATAATAAATTTAAATGATATTTGAATTAAATACAACAAAAAATATTTAATTTTTTAAACAATAAATTAATATAACAACTGAATATTATGATTACTTGATGAACAATTGATTGACAATTAAGTATGAACTTGGAGGATGAACAGATGCTTGTTAAAAAATTCTGGTTCTCTGATAAATTGAGCATGGAAAACTATTTCCAGGTACACATTAGAATTATTTATCTTACTTTTTATATGAACAAATAAGTTACAATTAATTCAGTATCTACGGAATTCTAACTTTACTAAAAAATGTCTTTATGACTGGCTTGAACGGTATCTCATGAAATCAGCTTATCTTTGTGCTAAAAATATTTATAAAAACTATTTCTTGAACAGAAAGTTCTATAAAAATATTTACCACTTTCAATTTTAATCCAAAATCTGATGTCAATGATAATAATTTTTATATTTTCGAATAATTAAAATAAATCGAATTATCGTCTTTTTAGCACAAAAATTTGCAGATTTTAATTGTAATATAATTCATAAGCGAGAATGACTTAAATGTAAATTAAAAATTAACATAATACTAATTTACAGTTGTAGCACAAATTTACAGGCACCTACGCTTTGAAATGTTTGAAATGCATCACTAGTGTGCTTTCCATTTTTATTTTGTATTACAAATTCCTCCATTAATCATTTTTTCCCACTTTACATTTCCATTGCAATAATACAACGCTACAAGCTTTATGAGTGATGACAATATGATGGAAGCAACAAAAATTATTCAACTATTTTTTACAAAGTTATTTAGAAATTGTTTAGATACTTTAACTATGATATCTATTGGTTTCTAAAAAAATTTGTATTTTGTGTAAATTATTTACGCCCTTTGGCAATTACAAGAATAATTTTTTATTCGACAATCAAACTGTTTTTTCTTTTATTTTCTAATTTTCTATCATTCAACATTAGATTATAACTTGTCATTTTCATACGAAAAGAGCCGCAAAATATCACGTTATATGTTAAATTTCAATTATTTTCATCTTTTTTGTTTATTATTTCTTTATTATGGACAAACAATTATTGTCCTCATTCAAGCGTGCTACGAGTGCGATAAAATTCTTGATGATTACGTATGATTATAATATTAGTTAAATATTGCACGATTCAGCGTATTAATTAGTCCTTAATTTTTCGTATATAAAAAATTGCTTTGACTTATTTGCTAAAATATTATGATGTCTCGGCTATAGAAATATATGTATTTTATATTGTTACATTATTATTATTCTTATATTACTGTATGAATATAAATAATAAATTATTAAATATTAAATAATTAATTAATCGTTTTACTATTTATGATAGCAAGTGTAATACCATTCACAACACAGAGTGCACAGTACGAAGCTTATCAGATCTATTTACTCCTGTCATATGGAATTATCGTTACAATTTTATTGTATTATTTTTTGTTTATCTAAGAACTTTAGTTGATTATAATAAATAATCAATAAGCTAAGACAGGATAAACGGATTGCTGCAAAGCTTCTACATAATATGACGCACAACCAATTTTTATACAACCATGCGTGTATGAAAATGCTTGAGTTTACTGCTTAGTTTAAAATTTATTTTATAATCTTCATCATTATTAATATATTATAAATTAAATTATTTCTAAAGAGAATACTTTTTACCATAATTAAATAAAAAATTAATCTTTCAAACATTTTTTAAAAATTTTACTTTAAAAATTAACAACAATCATATATTTTCAATAAACAACATAAAATTATCGAATGCTAATTTCTTGAATAATAATGAAATTACTTTCTCTTTAATAATAATTTTGTCTTTACTAGCTTTATAAGCAGAAAAAAATAACAAAGTTTTAAAAAATTAATAACAATCAAAAAATACTGTGTTAATCTTCTTCGAGGCCTGCACACTCTCAGTCAACTCGTCACAATTATTGTGTTTTTTTTTTTTAATGACATTGCCACATTGATTCTTTTATAATCACTTTCTCTGAATTGATTGATTAATTTGTACAACATTTATTTAATTAATCAACCAATGTTTTATCAAGTCTAATGAACAGCCACACTTTTATTTGAATATTATTCTTATTATTATTATTTAAAAAGTATGAGATGTGTTTTTTGAATGAATCCATCTGATATGCCTCTATTCATAATCCCTAGAGACAATAAAAATGAGGTCTCGAGAGATTTTCCATTTTCAAAAATAATCATTCATCTTTCTGAAACTTTTGTTGATGTCATTTAATTATTGAATTAATGTGATATATGCTATGTATGATGATTGTAAAAATGTAAATAAAATAAATTTCCTTTGCATCATGATAATTTGATTATCAAGAATTTAGCTGAAATATTTTTTCCATTAATCCAATCCATAATTATAAGTAAACATTTGATTAGAAATTTTTTGATGTTAAATACTGATATTTATGATGAATTAGGCGCTGAGTAAATGTATTTTTCTTAATTAATTATCGTGTGAACTTGTGCAAAAAAGTACGGAATGATTTGAAAAATGTTTTTCGAAATGTAAAACGCTCTTTTGTTGTCCAAAGTTAAATAAAGAGCATTTTTTTACCCTCAGTTAACTTATATTATTATTTATATTCAAGGCTGCATAGAAAGCGTTTTTAATTATTATTACTTTGAATTAGAATTATTTATTTCTGGACTAAATTACGGAAGTGTGTAAAAAATACTACGTAAAAGCATTTTTAAAGTGTGAGTCTAGCCTGCTAATTATGCTTATTTGTTTATTTCCTATCCTGTGACGAGAGCAAAAGCGCAATCTCGACGAGAAACTTGTTCAACAATTATAGAAAATGCATAAAAAAATTATAACGATAAAAAAATTCTACAACTTCCACAAACTAATTTTCAGAATGATCTAAATAGGCAGTAACTCTCAAATCTTAATTTAATTTTCTTCATTTTTTTTCTTTTATTTTATGCACTAAAAAAATTTTGCAGTACAGGTCAAGAATATCTAGATGGATTATATCATAAAATATATGTTTCAATGAATATTTGTTATTATTATGTTGATTACTATAATTGATGATTGAATTTAACTAAATTCATTGTGTTTGTTTTTCGATTACTATATTAGATTTTTACGTTGTTAATAACTTTTGAGCAATCGTAACTATAGTTCTCTGAATATTCAGTATCATCGACAATTGTCTAATTTTGTGATTAGATGTTTTTATGTTAAAATAAATTCAAAAGATAAAAATACAATAGTTAACAAAAGAAATTATTAAATATCCTTATTGAAATCAATTGTGAATAAATATTTAATAACATTTAATGATAGCTGTTTTAAAAGTTTTCAATTTCATCAGCACCTATAACTATTAATGTTTTAGATTTCTTGACCATAACTGTACGGTAAAAATTCAAATTTTGCTTGTGAGTCTCATAAATAGTAACAAAGCACCGATAATTGTAAGTATAATTGAGACTACAACAAGAAAATTTAAATAACAGTAGAGAGAATCATTTTTATTAGATCAAAAAATGATGATTTCATGAGATTGTTTTCTTTTTAAAAAAATGGGTAATTATTTAGAATTGGGGCTCCAGTCAAAAATCGCTCCAAAAAATTTTTTATGCATTTGGGGTTGTTTCTGAGGGTACAAATAGTAAATTTAAGGCGGGGGAGACATATTATTTCCATTATTTCAGACATTTTTTCTAAACTGTATTTATTCTAAAATATATATTCTTGTTTTTGATTATTAATAGCATGACGAAAAGGATGGGAGGTGCGTGTTAAGAGAACATAAATATTTTTAATAATCACAAAATTATTTATGCCCTTTTAACACCCCCCCCCCGCACCTTCCATCCTCTTCGTCACTTTATTATTCGAACTTAAGCTATACCTACACCTAAAAATCGTGTTTTTCTCGATGAAACCTCATGAAACATGTCTCCCCCACCTTTAATTATCTAATTCTACCTAACAAAATAGTTTCCAGGTGGTGAAAAATTTTTTGGAGCGATTTTTGACTGGAGCCCCAATTCTAAATAATTACCAAAAAATGAATGTTAAAAATTTATATTTTTTCTTAATTATTAGAAACCATCAATATACGTAACAGTCTTTAAAAAATGCCGTACTAATTTTATTAAAAATCATACCTCCAGTCTCTCTTCTGCTCGTGGAAGTTTTTTACAGTAAAAATCCAGTCGACAAGCAATAACAAACGGTCGTAAAACACTTCAGATCAATTTTAAAAAAATCTCTTGGCATGTAAGACGATATTCCGATAATTTAAAAGTCTCACATTGTTTGAACACTTTTTTGCATTGTAACAGAAGAGTTTTTGCATTTCAAATGCTACTGGTTTTGTTAAATTACTTTTATTTATTCATTTAACCCTTTCAATCCTCATGTGCAGTTTATAATTATTGTAAAAAATATACTATCAACTATAAAACTGAATAATTTATAATTATTTATCACTTTATATCTTGGAATGATATGATATTTTCTAATTATTAAAAAAATATAGAATATAATGATTAATAAATAAAATAAACACCTGTGATATTACTCTGATGAAATAACAAACTTTTTTTTCATCTCGATGATAATCGTAGTTACGAGATATTTGTAGTATAATATTTCAGTTATTATTTCTATCAATGGAGTACGGTTTAACATAATTGATATGAATGAATTGTTACGTTCTATACATAACAATAATTTTAAATTACCTTGACAGAGGCAACTATAAAATGTGCAAAAGTATTTTTAAAATTATGATTGCTATTTATGCACACTTTTTACTTTATGTTAATAAGGATCATACTTGTACTCTTCTGCTACTTGTTAAAAAAAAATATGTCAAAAAAACTGGAGTATTTTTGCAATTACGTAATAAAAATAGGTGGACTGAAGGGGTTAAGTCTTTGTTATAAACAACAACAGAGAGACAAATTTAAAAAATGGGTGAACAGTCAACTATAAAACCAGTAGCAAAAATAAAAAAATATTTTTAAATAAATGAACGCTATAGTCGTCTGGGTAATACGACGCTGTTGTTATTCAGTCGTGTGGTCGTTTGGTTATTGAAGTTCTCGTCCTGATGCATGCGCTCAGTCCTCTCGTCAAAGAATCCTGGATTGAGAATAATATTTGGAACAAGTTCAATCACCTCCTGTTCCTCCAACTGGGCTGCAATTTTTTAGTGGAGCGAATTAATCTTTATTAGTCCAATTAAAAGAAGTTATTTAGCTAGCTTCTACCCTTTCTCTTTTATTTTACCAACCTTTTTATTTCATCATCATCATTTTTGTCAAAAATCGCTGGGTGTATGCATCAAAGTATTTCGCGTGAACAACAAAAAATCCTGTTAGATTTGATGAAAACGCTCTGACTGATGTGTTGATCTTCTGCATCACCCAACAAGTAATGTGCTACTTTTGATATATTTTCTACTAAGTGACCAGGGGATTCAACTAGTAGCACATTATTAAAATATTTTTTTACATTATCTAGGCCTCAATGCTCTCTAATTTCTATGGAATCTTCTATTTTCTTGCACTATTATATTTCATTCTGCATAACAATATGTAAAATACCACCGAAATTAATTACAATCAATATCTAAATACTCTTTAAATATTTATTAAATAAATTTTATAGTGGAATTTGAATACTATAATACACTATTCATACGTAAAATCAATAGTACTGGTCAAAAATAACCGTACTGTTTTACATTAGTTTAATTCAATATTCATTACTTTAATTATAAATGAATATATTTTTTGAATAATTTATTCATTTATTTATTTATTTATTGAGGTACGATTTTTTTTCACCGAACTACTTATTATTGAATCCAAAATTATTGTAATGTCCCCGAATATTTATTATATAGATTAACTAATTACTGTAAAACATCCTCTAAAGAGTATGTGAAATTACTAAACATATGGTTAATAATAAATCTTATTATTCGTGAAAATATAATTAATAGATGATAAAGATGATTGCAATGCATTTAAATATAATTATTTTAGCAATTTTAATAATATATGAGAAAAAACGATCTAAAATGTATCTAATTATGATTGACCAAAGTAGAGATAATTGAATAGTAAAGAAATTAATATATCGATGATTAGATGATAAATTTTGTGCAAGATTGAGTAAATAAGATAAAGTGAAGAGTAATTTGAAAATTTTTAGAAGTAATTTTGACCAAGAATCTAATGAAAGTTAAAAGCGCTTGCAGCCGGGAAATATTAGTGAGAAAAAATAGGATTAATATTTTATTGAAGATTTAAGTTTAAGATTGAATTAGTAAGACAAGTGATCAATTGTTAAATAAGCTATAAAGAGATTAGGGCCATAGATAAGTTCAAAAAATGGCACGTAATGCCCTTGCTTCCGCTGCTGAATTTTTTCTCTTACTCTTTAAATTATTAAGTAATAAAAATAAAATCTCAGAAAGAATCATCTAATCCTAAGTATCCTTTTTTCATGCATTTCTATAGACAATCAACGAGCTTTGATGTCGTTTGTCTTATTTTCTATGTTCGCAACTCAAGCAAGGGCATCAAAGAGATAGAGTAGAAGCGGAAGCTCGTATTTAAAGTTCCAATAGAATGCTTACAGGGTGCCTTGCACTCACGATAGAGCAGGTAACATGTACCTAAACCAAGGACCATTAGTGTTCCCATAACAATTCCTACTGCTGCCACCCAAATTCGGGTATCAAAATTTTCCACTCCCGCTAAAAGATGTTTCGCCAGTTCTGAAATTGTTCATTATTATCATCGAACACATGCTTGGTATTTTTTCAAATAGCTTGCAAGTATTGCAGTTGCAAGACAACTTGATTAATACGAGTTGGAACAAAATCTACACTATCTAAACTGTTAATTATAAAAAGTAGTTTTAGTGATACCTAATTCTTCAACGATGTGATGAGTATGACCTTCTACTTCAACTATCTCACCACGACCGAGTTTATTTGTTGCCCAGACACGAAACAAATAGGTCGTGTTAGGCTCCAAGTGATAGACATCTATTTGCCTCTGTTAACAAAATAATTGTTGATAAATATTAGTTTCTGTTTCAATGCTTGCTATAAAACAATGATAAATTTACTATTCAGAGTTTTAATTTTTCAGTCTGTTACTGAGATTTAAAATAAACTCTAATAGGAAAAATCAATAAAAGCATCTTGAAAACCACACCTTCAACAGCTGTTAATTTCCTTGAAACAATTTGTAATATTTTATGACAATAAGCTCATACTAATTAATTAAATTTCATTTTCTATACCAGTTATTGATCATGATAAGAGCTATTTTAACAGGTGTCTGAATCTCTAATACATTGTGAATAAATTATTACGTTCATCAATTTAAAATTCAATAAAAACAACCTGAATGATAAATAACTTGAGCAATTGAAATCTTCATCTTGAAGCAATTATAAATGATTTATTCACAAATGATCGTAAGTTTATTAATTAGTAATTTATTGAAATTCTCATAAATTTTGAAAATATTAAAAAATCATCTTGTACTATCACGAGACTTGACTATTCAAACCAACAATAAATGAAAAATGATGTAATTATGTACCTGCTATCGACCTATTTCTAATTCTGTAGTCAATATCAGGGACACCGTCACTACAGATGGTATTTCTATACAGCTTTTTTTATAGGTCTACTATATAGCAGAAACAGCGTCACTAATGGGTATATTTAATTTATAAATAGGTAAAATTAAGAATATTTACAGAATTTGGCGGAATGTGCGTCGGTATTATAGGCTTCCAGTCTTCAGGTTGCTCACCCGGTGCTGGTTTGAGACGATACTCGGCAGTGAAATCAATGATGGGATAACCACCAGTTCCTGCTACTTCCCACAAAATATTAGCCAATATCGTAGATGGTTTAACCCAGACATTCTGAAGTGCTGGTGGAGGTGCTGGAAGTATAATAACATAAAATTTGTTATTCAAATGCCGATCAAGTGACTGTAAAATAGACTTTGATCTTAAAACGAGATAAACTAACTTACTCTTTACTTGAATATTAATCCTAGTTCTCACAGCATTAGCATCGTTATCTAGAGTACAGAAATAATTGCCTGCATCATCTAGACTAACATTTACCAACACAAGAGCTTTGTTTGGTCCAATTTTCATTCTTTGAGCTTGTCCATCCTTTCTTCCTTCCCTAACCCACATGACGTTAGAATAATTTCCTGGATGACGAGATACATTTTCGTCTGTGCAGGCCACCGTCAAGTTCTGTCCAATATCCACTTCAACAGTCCTTACTGATACCGATCCCAAGGCCTCTTGCCATCCTGAAAAATGTCAAATACGTTTGATATAAATCAGCGTCTATTGTGTTGAATAAATTATCAACGTCCGTTCTTCATATTGCGTTTGATTCTCTAGCCATCTAATATTATCTAACGTCCTGAACAGATTTTATACTAAAGTTATATAGCTACGATGAAAATTATTTTAACAACTCTATGAATGACTCATACTCAATTTTGTTTCAACTAGAATTTAAATTGCCGAAAAATACGTTAGAATATGATCTAGGAAATTGTTCTTATTTTTAAATGATTGAATTTTCATTAAACATTATCAATAAAGAAATTAAGTCATGAATTTTTCTTAGTTTTGTGATCAAAGATGATCATTTTTAAATCCTCTGTAATAAAAAGTTTTGGCAGAAAAATTTATAGAGTTGCAAATACATAATAATTTTATCTAATTTAATTGGTAATAACATAGTAAATTTTATGACATTAAGTTAAGAATAACAAAAAAATAAAGAAGTTTATAACAATAGTGAAAGAAACAATAGCAAGTGATAAGTGGGACAAACAAATCCAAATAAAATGAATGAAAGACATTTAATGTAGAGTAAATCGATCGGTGACCACAGTCTCGTTCCACAGACAATCCTTGGCTCCATTTTAGTCCTCATACCTGGCAATACAAGCAGCAACAGTAGAATAATCCCCCGTTCAACCATTCTCCCATATTAAATAGCACTTCAAGATGCTTTAAAACAAATTTCCTTCAACAAAGTCAATACAAGTCTACAGCTGTATCATTTTTGAAGCCTAATGTGTGACAGCAAATGTTAATTACTTATTTTGGAAACTGTCAAACTCTCATGACGTTATTACAATCTGTAAAACTTCACTTAGAGAATACACGACAGCTGTCAACATGTATACTTTACCAACACCTCTGTACGACTGATCGAATTTAAAGCTCAGCCTCCTAGTGGATGATCAAATAACCACTTTCGTTAGGTAATCATCCACTAGGTGACCATACTTATGTTTTCATAACTCGTTATCAATCAGTTTCATATTGAAGCTTTGCAAATTTGTTAAATTACAATTAAAAATGTTAAAATTTTGGATATAGAATAAGTATACTATTCTATCTTAACTTATATGAATAATTAAAAAGATAAATATAAAATTAAAGTTCTTCTTTAAATTTCTTTCACACTTACCGCCGTTTTCTATGACTTGCGCAAGAAAAAATAGTTACCTTGTTTTTCAGTATTTAATTAAAATTCTCTGTGATTTATGATTTGTTGATGTTTACAGAGAAATCCAAATACTAAAAAAAAGATAATATTCAAGTTATTATTAAGGTTAAATAGCTGTTCAAAGGTGAACAGACTTTTGTTGATAAGGCGAGAGGTTATGTTTAAATTTATTAAAGCTGTACCGCCATTTTTTTGACCTGCGCAGATAAATGAAGATGCTTAAGCGGCTACTGTGCGTAGAAATGAGACAGAACAAAGGAGCAACCACAAACGTGAGGGGGAGAACGTCAGATGAGTTGAGGAATAGCGTTCTTAAATGAGTGTGAAGGACTTTAAATTAGATAATTGTGTTGTTTGCACTTTAAATCGTGTCTTGAAGCAAAGCCAAGTGAAGGAAATGCGTGACACATCGGAAGAAGTCAATTAATTAACACGTAAATGCAGGATAATATAATAAGTATGTATGTATCTTAAATTTTCTTGATATATATATATGTGTAGATAAACAGAAAACAAATTTCTATTTATGAAGATATAATATATAAAATGAACATGTGAATATGAATATATCGATATAATAAATTTAAATATCCGGTATTTCACTGAGAGTCATTGTATAACCAAAAAAAAAAAAAAAATTACACGTTAGTAAGTAGTAATTTGATTAGTATGCAGTTATGAATTTTTTCAGAGCGTTGCGTGTCCTTGACACTTTAAGATTTGGATGTCTGTTACTCGAGAAGACTGAAACAGGATTTTTGTGAAACCCTACATTTACATTTCAACAAATAAACACCTTTTAATCTACATACAGTTAATTTTTATGTGAATATATGTGTTCTAGAATTGTTAAAAAAAACTCAGTAATTTTGGATATAATTATATTATCCAAGCATTTTAAATAACTTTATTTTGCATGATACAAATAACTTATTGCCAAAAATTTTTATTTAATTGATTTTCAATTTAAAAAATTTTTTTTCACGTCCTTGACCTTTAGATAGAAAAATTTTCAAAAACCTTTTAGGTATTTTGATAAGCTTCATTATATTCCAACAATTTTGGATAAACAAAAGATCCATTATTCGTAAAATTGGTAAATATTATCTACTCCAAAACACTGTTTATTTGTGTAACGGCCAAGATTTAACTTTTATGATTTAAATAGGCAGAATTTAATTATATAATTAATTTAATTCTACTTATTCCGATCATAAAATTGTTTAAATTATTCGTTTTTTTTTTCAAGCTTTTGACATTTAAATGTTGCTTTTTGATCTTTTAAAACTATTTTTAAAGACTCTTATCTCTTTTAAATTCTAATGTTCTCTATAAACTTTCAGTTGAATTTGTTTGTTTATTTTTCTCTTCTATATTTAAATTTGAATCTTGCATTTGATTGAACAAAACAATTCTCGTATTTTCTGAGAAGATAACATGATGGAATTTTCAGAAGAAAATTATATGCAACATTATTGTAATAAAATTTCCCAACTAAAAATAGATAATTATTTTAATCAAGTTTGTGATAGAGTATTAAATTTTTATTGCTATTACCGTATTACGTTTTATTACTTTTTTTTTAATATTTTACTATTACATTACTAAATATCCTCTTCAATTTTACATCCTCTGACGTCAGAAACCTCTCTATCTTTATCTAAATGACGTCATCGGCGGTAGATTGATATTAAATCAATGTTGAAAGTTACTATTACTAACATGAGAGTTTTCGAAAAATCAGTGAACTGTGATATTTTCCTCCATATATCATATTCAAGATTTAATATGCTAAAAAAAGTTTTATATTTTAGTGAATTTTATAATTGTTCCCTACATGCATTGAACAAAATTATGTCATTACTCTGATTGTACATGTAAAGTTGGAAAAAAATGAATGTCATTTTTCTAGTAACTAATTGAATATGAAATACTAAGAAGGAAAAACTATTATTTATACAACATTATTATTATTCTATTTCTGTGTAGTATTGAATTGGAATAAATTTTCTTTTACATTTTTATATGAAAATCTTATGAAATTTTATGATTACGTGGCTTTAACAAAATTTCTAATTTTATGACCAAGTTTTATGATTTAAAAGGGAGTTCTATTACTTATACTTTAATCTCGAGTTTAATTTCAATTTTTTTTATCAGTTCCGGATATTTAAAATAGTGCTACTAGTAATTGAAGATAAAATATAGTGCTACGATCAATTAAATATTTCTTTTCATTGTACAGGATGCGCAATAAGAACATGTGAAAACTAATTAGTTGGTATTTTCCAATAAGTGAAGGAATAAAATCAATGACTTTTCTGTTCAATCGGAGAGAGTGGTCAATTTTATTTTGTATCCATTAATTACAGACAAATTATGCGGTAAATAAAAATACAAAAAAATGTCAGCATCAATTGCATATATTTTCGAAATGTGAATCGTTTGAATCTTTAAAAACAGTATTCGTTTTATAAAACTATTGAAAACGTCTTTTACAGTTTTCTGCGAAATATCATTGACAGTCATTCTTATTTCGTTAATCAAATCACTTATAGTTTTCGGGTTATTTTCATAATAATGATCTTTGATGTAACTCCACAAAAAAATAACAAGGAATAAGATCAGGTGAATAAGGAGGCCATTCTATCCCGGTTCCCTTAATAAACCGAGGATATTCAAAACCAATAACTCGATCCTTATGATCTTTATTGATGGTTGCGAAGACTTCTCGTATTCAATGTGGTACTGCTCCGTCTTGCATAAAATAATCATTCTTAGCAAGATGTTTTTTCTTTGCATAAGGAAAGAATTCTGTCTCTGACATCTCTTTATATCATTCTCCGATGACGGTAGATTCAAAGAAGTCCAAGCAGATTTCTTTCATTGAAATAGCTACCTATACCGTTACGTTTAAAGGATGAAGAGAAACCTTGCCACTACAACTTCAAGATTCTCTGAACTCCAAAAAGAAAAAAATGTACTTCAACAGAAAATATTACTCGTTTTTCACTCAATTCATATTTCTATGATATTCATATTCTAATATTTGCAACAATTCGTTACAGAACTCTATCCATGTTTTCATAGCACGTTCGGTTAATAATTGATCTTTGTTATCTTTTAATATGTGCAGTAAAGATTCACTTATTTTCCAGGCTTGAGCAGCCTTACGGATTATAGAATAAGGATTTTTTTCAAAATATTTTTTAACTTGATTAACTGTTTTCTCTGTAGTTACCGAGGTGGACGGACCTGGAGATTTTTTTCTACGGTCCTGTAATGTTCCATATTCTTTAAAATCATCAATAACTGCTAAAGAATGGGAAAAAAACTTTCGAAAAATAATGTCATAGATCTGACTCAGTACAAACATTACAAGATACAAAAAAATCGATTTTTACCTTCGAAGAGTAGCTTCCAACTTTTTTACTTGCACGGAAACCTGTAAATGTTTTATTAGAAATTTTTCCTTTTAAATAATAACATTCCATGAGAAACATTTTTTCTTCAATAGTTAGCTCACTAATTTTCAAGAAATTCATCTGCTCCTAAATACAGCTAGAATAAAATTGACAGCCCTTAAAGACGTATTTCTGTACCATAGAGTTCAGTAGGATGTTAGAGAGGAAGGGGAGACAAGTTCATTCCTATTGAACACCCTGTATATTTGCGTTTATTATTAGTTTTAGTTCAGCTTGATGTAATGTGAATAAATAGTACAGCAGTTCATCTATTGTCTATTAGTATAGTTGAGTCGCCAATGGTCTTCTTTAGCTGAGAGTGAGCTTTTCATATTGGAGCACTCAACGTTTCTCTCTCACCACTCATATTATATTGAATAACAAAGGCTGACTTTTGGTTCGAGCTTGAGTTTACTTTATATAGCATTATCACTATGAATATCTGATATTAAGTTTATCAACTTGTTATAAATAACTCACATATGATGTATTTTTGTGGCGAATCCATATCATATAACTTTCAAATAAATTACATCAAATAATTACCAAGTTGTTATTTCAATGCATCTTTTAATTTATTTAAATGAATATATCTAAAGTAAATATTATTATAATTATTGTTACTGTTTTATCGCAATATAAAATATAATTAGTTAAAAATGAGTTTTTAACATTTTTATAAATAAGTCTCTTTATCTTAATGATAAAGCAAGAGATTTTAAAAATCTAATTAACTAGAAAATTTAAGAAAAATTTAATTCAAGTAATCTTGATGTTAATGTACATAAATTTGTTAAAAATTTCCCTAAAAATTAATTATCACTGTAAATTTTAATTTTTTAATGACGTTGGGATTATTATATCATGTATTAAAGTAAATTCAAGATTAAAGTTATAAATAAAACAATGATTATCCTTTCATTGCAAAATAATGAAAGTGTTATAAAATTAATAATTTATTTGTGTTATTAAATGCCACGAAGACTTTTGGAAAGTAATTTAAAGGTCAAAAAAATCAGAGAAAGAGAATAGTTTGTGAATGTGGATAAGCAAGCAAAGTGCGAGATATGAGTGCCTTCGACCCATCCACTTGAAATGTCAAAGGTTGTCGCGCAAGCTTTTCTAACCCTCTGTTAAAGGCTTTCCTTAGACAGAAGGTCGATTAATATACTTTCTTTTATACCAATCTCTCTGAAGGCTCATCGGAAAACATTTGATTTAGCTTGATAAGTCTCATCATCCTTTATATGATCTATAGATCAAATGAAAATACGATCAACTTGAACTATTCAAGTATGACTCGACATTATACAGGATTCAATGAACCTTAATCTTTGTACTTCTCACTTTGTAGACATCTTTCATTGGTTATTTTGCTGTTTACTATTTTGGTATATTCTTCAATATAACAATAAATGTCTAATTCAATAAGAGATAGTCAAACATTAAAAATATTATCATAAATTTTTCATTTATTTAAACACGAATCTTTCACAATTTTGAAAAGTAAACAGATAAAGATATTTTATAGAATTAATGTTGAAATGGTTTTTAATTAAAAATTCTATCAATTTTAGCGCTGAAAGATTTTTTGTCAAATATTCATCAAATAAGGGTGAAGATAATCTTCCTAGATAAAATCAAACAATTATTCTGAAAATGGTCGGAATTAGAATTTCTTCTTTTTACTAAAAAAAAAGTTCGATTTTTCCAACAATAAAATTTCAGGGGTTCTTTTCATGAATTAATTTTTTCATAAATTTGACGTTTTTTTTATTAAATTCAGTAGAATATATAAACAATAGGTTAAATACACCTAGTTTACTACTGGATCTTTTTTAGTTTTATTTTTTAATTTTGAATAAAAAAGTAATATATATTTGACAACTAAGAATTTCAATGCAGATAATGGAAAAAGTACCAGTACTCAATCAATTTAGTTTAAAAAAGTTGTACATTGGTCGTCAAATTTAATTATGGACTTTTCTGGGTTCCCCAGGAAATTAAATGAATCCATGCTTTTATTACTGTGACTATGCATTGAAAAAAATTAAACCAGTTACATTCGCTAAAAAATTTTAATCAAAAGTATGAGATTTGGAGTAAAAGAATTACTACATTAAAGTAAATATATTTATTCTGATTTATTTTAATGTATTACATAAACTTTTGCGATATTTTATTCATTTTTTTAAAAAATAAAAAAAAATTTTCATCATTTGCTGGATACGGAATTCAAAAATAATGATTTCCTGAACGTTTTTACTTGGAATATTCAAGTTTTGTTTAATGTTTCAACTCCAAGGTGCATCAGACTACTATTCAGTAGAACCATATCAAATGGAGTATTTTTATCAAAAATTTTCTTGATAACAATCCAGATGTCTTGAATATAATTTTTTTAATTTAATCGATTATTCAGATAAATGACATCAATTAGTCAGATATGTTAATTTACATCATGAATATTTATTTCATGTTATTATCACTTTTTGGGAATCAGCCTTCTGGGATTAATGAAGCTCAAAATGATTGAAAAACTTGTAGATTTATCAAGGTCAGTTCCATTAATAATTTATAGGCATTAATATCGACTGATAATAAATACTTCGATTAATTATATCTCAATGAAATAAAAAACATTAAACTAAGAAATTTTTTTGTTTAAAAATTCCATAAAGTTTTTTCACTGTTACTAAAAGTAATCCATGAAAGCTCGATAAATACTCCATTCCGTTTTAGTAATTTACATTTTATAAATAATAATTCACACACTACTACATTTATTCAAGTTAATCGATTATATAAGAAATGATCAATTTACTTTATTCATAACAAATAGTAGTTCATAAATAATACTGTATGGTATTTTTATATAAAATTATTTTCTATAATAAATAAATGAACTTTGTAACAAACTGAAAAGATGAAACAACTACTCTCTTAAACAAAAAAGTTAAAGCATAAAAACTTTGCTAAATGTTGTAACATTTTTTCTTCAATATAAATATTAAGAATTCATTGTAGGCTGAATAAATTCCGGAAAATTCTATTCAAAACTTGAGACTATCTTTCATGATTCAAAAAGCAAAAAAAGCATGTTTTTATATTTATCTTAGCTAATTAAGTTCGGTTGAATCTGCGAATTTAACAGTCTCTAAATATCACTATTAATACATCTGATATTTATCTTTCTTAAGTTGACGCTTCAAAAGACAAATGAATTTAATTCAACAACAAGAAAATAAAAACCATTAATGTCGGTGAAAAAGTTGAAGTAAACACAGACATTTCAAATGACTACTGTGAAGATAATTATCAAGCAATTTGATATAAAATCACTGATCGATAATACATTGAGTGTAATTGAATTAAAAGTTATCCAAGTAAATAAAAATTACAATAAGATATACTTAGATTGATTTTTAAATTTCTCTCGAGAGTTGTTTTTTTCAGAAATCATTACTTTCTCTAAACTTTTCCAATGAATTTTCCAGTAAATCGACAGAAGCTATTTCAGATACTCAACTTTATTATTTAACATTTTTCCCATGATAAGAGAAGACCATTAAATATTTAATTAAATCAAAACTGGTTTAATAAATTAGCAAGAAATAAAAATATATTGAATTCTACTTTTAATAATGAAAAATAAAAATTTTTTTTAATTAACCTTGAGAATAAATAAGACTATAGGAACAGTGATGATTATAAATTATTTTAATGAGTAATTAAGTAAATTGAACTTATGGAAAAATGTTTATAAACCCAGATGTAGCTCTCTACCTGGCCAATTCCTCTGTCTATCAACTCATACTCGTATAAATATTTGGTCCTTTCGTAGTGCATCTGCGCGAATGCAAGCTACGATCAATAGAAAGACAAGCAATTCTCCAGGTGAAATAGTTATTTGTTGATTATTAACATTTCCTAGAAAATATTGCTTGTACTTTTAAGATTTCTTCACAATGTCATTTTCATCCGTACAGATTATTAGTAAACTGAGGTAGCTTTTGTCATCAAGAGTTATAGTTGAAACCTATGAGGTTTTAGCTGTCCAGGGTACCTAGAAAGGGGAAAAGCAGGCAAAATGTATAAGGGATATTCTGGCGCAAGCGCAATGTCAAAGGCATGAGGGTTGAGGATAAGACGCGCGATACTCGCCAATTGCGAGGTTGTCTTCGATCAGGAAAGAACTAAAATGATTTCGTTTACCTTTTATTAATCTTTGTGCTTACTACAATCTGGTGTTGACTAGTCGGTTGGTTTTTTAAATCGGTATATTTGTTTAGTACTCTTGTATACAAATGATTTAGACGGTTAGTGTTTTTATTATTTTTTTTTAATGTTTTCTTGATAAGTAAATATGTTGAGCAACATTTTCATGTTGTGTCAATTCTAAAGATCTTTTTGATACAAAAAGAGATTTAAAATATTTTATTGTTTAAAAAACTTTTTATAATTTAAATAAATCTAAATATTTCATAACTTATGATAATTAAAGAAAAAAAAATGTATACATTGTTAAGAATAACATTCCATGAATGATTCAAAGTCATCACTGGTATCAATGACAATTCATATAAAAGTATGAATTAATATGAATTATTTTTGTGTTTTAATTAAAATAATACAATTGTAGACGATCAATTTGTATCTTAAATTATAGGACAAGGTGAGACAGATTTAAAAAAAAAATATCGAGTGAAAGAGCGCTTATGGAAACTAGTTGAGATACGGCTAATGCACTTGACGAGCTTCTTCATACCTATAAATTCTTTTATAAAATTTTTTCCCTAGTATTGCTATTTTTATTAATACCGATTATTCTTAATGTTTTACAGAGATGCGAGACTGATAGAAGCACAGTATACGTGAAGAACAATGCTCATTAAAGAGTACAGAATTCCACTTCCTCTAACAGTAGAGGAGTATCGTATTGCTCAGCTTTATATGATAGCTGTAAGTACATTTGATGATATTATTTCGAATATTTTATTTCATTTATTCATTATTTAACGAGTGAATCAATATAACAATTTTCATACACTTACGCAATATCTATTAATATTTAATTGATTTAGATGTAATTATTCTACCTCTTGGTTGAAATTTTTTTAATCATTTTTTTAAATCAGAATGGTTTTTTGTCTATTGTTTTTATATAATTTGAGATCCTTTCATCTTGAAAATAACTTTATTATAAACAAAAACTTGATACTGTTGCAAAAAAAATTTCACTTATGATTATTTTTATCAATATATATTATTCATTATGAAACTTGTTATGTTTATATAACTTTATTTACTATTATTGTCACACTATATTATTATGTTTACATGACTTTTTTTATTGCTTTCATTAGTATAAAATTAGATGTCGTGTTGTACATGAAAATAATAATAAAATTTTATTGTTGTACTATAGAAAAAGTCGAGAGAAGAAAGTAAAGGCGTTGGAAGTGGTGTTGAAATAATCGTTAATGAGCCCTACACTGATGGTCCTGGTGGAAGTGGACAATATACTCATAAAATCTATCATGTTGGTAGTCATCTTCCTGGTTGGTTTAAAAGTTTACTGCCAAAGTCCGCTTTAACAGCAAAAGAAGAAGCTTGGAATGCTTATCCATATACCAAAACCAGATACACTTGTCCTTTTGTTGAAAAGTTTTCAGTAGAAATTGAAACATATTATTTCCCTGATAATGGACATCAAGAGAATGTTTTCAAGCTTTCAGGAAGCGACTTACGCAACCGCATTGTTGATGTTATTGATGTTGTTAAGGATCAGTTGTTTGGAGCAGATTATGTTAAAGAAGAAGATCCTAAATTATACGTTTCGCAAAAGACTGGTAGAGGACCACTTAATGACTCATGGCTAGAGGAGTATTGGAATGATGTAAAAGTAAGAATATATTAAATAGAAATAATGATGTTAGTCGATGAAATATTAATTAAATCTATTCCAATTTACAATCTGATTACTTCAAATACATTTTGAGTAATAATAATTATAATAATAACTATACTAACAGAATATTTCAATTAATGTGATTTATAATTATCAAAAAACAAATGGATAAATCAATATATGTTCAAGCAACAGTGAAAAATTATTGTTGTAATGCTTATCGAAATTTTGATCATTAATAATACTAGTCAATGAACGACGCTTTTTGTGCTAACAGAACTAACATTTAGTATGAAAGATATTATACACCCTACATTGAAATAATAATTTAATTTGTTCTTAACACGTGAGGTTATTTTAGTAAAACTTGAATTAATCTCGAGAAAAAAAATAAGTTATAAAGTACGTTTATTATTAATCTATAAAATGATAAAGAAACTTTCTAGTAAGTTTTTTTTACTACATTAATAGCATAAATTGTTTGAATGCTATAAACGTCTTGGTTTTATATTAGAATATGTATTATTATTAGAATTACTGTAAGAATTATTTGCTACAAAAGAGCAAGTCTTCAAATAATAGTAAAAAAAAACTCTTAAATAATGTTTAAATCATAAAATAAGCTTCGAAAGCTTTGCGGATAATGTATAGTTAAAAAAACTGAGTATGACAACGTAATTTGAAAACTATTTATTGATTAAAGATGCTTAATTATGGAATAATAAAATAACAACATAAAAAAACAACAAATACTTTTTACTATCTAAACAAACTTATTGATTTTAGTTTTAAGTAACAGCTCAATTCTGTTGAATAGTAATCACTATAATAATTGAAAGATAATATAGTCATATTTTTTTTGAAAATAAAATAAATAATAATGTTAATAAATATTAATGGGGATAATTATTTGTGGTAAACACTAATAATATGCTTCATTAAGCATGATGCTGCATCAATAATTGTTCTGTAAACGTTCATTATATTTAACTTTTAAAAAAAGTCAGTCGTTATTTACAGAGATAATGCTCTTATTATCGATCTCGTCTAAGCTTTTTGTAAATAATTATTGAAAATTATTTCTTGTAACGTAGCTTATGAGTAGCTACCTATAAACAAAAAATTCACTAACCACTTTTATAATTGACTAATTTTTAACAATGATTATCACAGGGAAAACAACAGCCTACACCTTCAGGAAAGTCACTCATGTGTGCTTACAAGCTTTGTAGGGTCGAGTTCCGTTACTGGGGCATGCAGACTAAACTGGAAAAGTTTATTCAAGATGTGGGTCAGTATATGAACACTTAAAGATGCTTTTTATAATTTATTTCTTGTTGAAAAAGAATTAATAATGTTATCATCTATCTACTATTGTTGTAGCCCTACGGAAAACGATGTTAAGAGCACATCGACAAGCGTGGGCATGGCAAGATGAATGGATTGGTTTGACAATGGATGACATTAGGGAAATCGAAAGACAAACACAACTTGCATTACAAAGAAAAATGGCTGCTGCTGAAACTGGTGAAGAAGTTGATGGATATGAGGATAAAAATGGGGAAGCGAATACATCTGCTCCAACACCTCAAGATAATGATGTTGCTAAAACTCTAGCTGCTACGCTTGGTAGTATTGAGAAAAATGAAGATCTTCAGAGTCCTCCGTCCATTCGTAAGCCTTCTGAAATTCCAGTTATTAGTACCAATAATTCTGAAGCTGATATCAGCCCTGAAGATTCTCCTACTACAGTTTTACCACCAACTAGGTAAAATTCGAATCTATTCTTTTCTTTCTTTATCACCAAATGAAGTCAAATAAAACATTTAATTTATTTCGGTAACTTACAGATCACATACATCTGATGAAAAACCTGAAGTTAAAAAACACTGGAAACATACAAATCATATCCTTCATTCTCCAAGTTCTGCAAAAAGTTTTGATATTCAAATAGCTAATTGGCGGATGGAGAGTATTGTTCGCGAATCAGAGTCTGGTAGTGAAGATGAATTTTTCGACTGTCAAGGTATATTATTTAAGAACTAACTCATTGGAATAATGTAATAATTTCAGCCAAAAGCATGGCACTTGTTAGTCAGACAGTAATCGATAATGTCGATTTATTCCACTTGATACGATTAAATAATTCGGTTGAACGATGTTATAGACTCAATGACTAGCATGAATAGAACATATAAATTGATTGATAAATAATAGCACGAAAAATTCTTTAGTATTGCCTGCTGGATGTTTTATGGCTTTTTTTTTCTATTTGTGTTTTTGATGCACACTCAATATAGCTGCTGGGATTATTATACCCGTAATACGCACAGGTAGGTCAATTAGAGAATTGAAGTTGCACGAAAGCACAAGCCTAAGTGGGAGCTAATTATTTATCGTACTAAATAAAGAAAACTAGAATATAGACCTTACTACAACATTGCATCTCTTCGTAATTGTTTATAATGAGTCGTCTATTTTTTGGCTTATTATTAAAGAGTTGAATCTAAATTTTTTTATAAACATACCTATTCTTTAAGATATGCTTTTTTTTTATTTTAACTTTTAGTAAGATAATTACTAATTTCATTTTTTAAGAAATATTGAAACAAACTTTTTTCAGTATTTTAGTTGAAATGTTTTACCATTTCTATCCAGCTAATGTGATGAAAATATTTTATAGAAAAAAGCAGCAATTTTACCTTAAAACATTCTCTTTAAATATTGATGTTTAAGTTTATCAGTAATGAACTCTTACGATAAAAAACTTTTTAGATTCAATTATGAATAATTTGATACAAAAAATTTATGTCCCTTAAAATGCGCAGAATTTTCCAACTTTTACTGAAGCTAATATTTTATATTTATTTATATAGAGGACTTTGGGGACAATACATCTTTAGCGAAATGGAGTTCTTTGGACCTTTTGACTGAAAAAGAAGACTCAATATCTCCTACAGCAGCCATGGATGAGAAAAAAGACAGTATTTTTTCTCATACGTATTTACAACGTGTAGCCAGTGAGCGTAGTAGTAGAAGACTTCACATTCATACATCAGCAAGCATTGATTTATCGTGTCCAGCATCTCCGCAGCATTCACCGACTCATCAGCCATGCCGAATAACGGTTTTACTTATTGTCATGCATGCCGGTAGTGTTCTAGATGCCAATGTGGACTTGACAGCCAAAAAGTCAGATATAACAACCTTCAGGGGTGCCTTTGAATCAGTAATGAGACAGCATTATCCGAGTATGGTCGGCCATATTGCAGTAAGACTTGTTTCTTGTCCATCTATATGTACTGAAGGCCTTGGGATTCTTTCAAGTCTTAGTCCATACAGTTTTGACGTTTCTCCATCGTGTGTAGATGCTCCACATATTACCCATGACACCATTCCAATCGGTGCAATTCCATTACTTGCTTGTTCCAACCCAGAATATCAGGATGCCATATCCAAGGTCATTACAGGAGCCAATCAAGCCTATGCAGAATTTTTGAAGAGTGAAGAAGGCCGAGGATTTGCTGGTCAAGTCTCCTTAGTTGGAGATTCTGTCGGGTCTATTTTAACTTATGATGCTCTCTGTCGAACAGTTCAATACCAGTCGAGACATGATAGTGAGAATAGTATTTTGGAGACTGACAATACTGGTGAGAATAATGGAGATGATAAGCATCTTTCAGCGCCTTCTCCCAGAAGAAGATCATCCTCAACTAGTGAATGTTCTCAATGCAAATTAGATTTTGACGTTAGTGAATTCTTCATGTTTGGAAGCCCATTGGCATTAGTTCTAGCATACAGAAAAGTTTCATCAAGCAATGAAAGATCCGGCAATATTTCAAGACCTTTTGTAAATCAAGTCTACAATCTCTTCCATCCGACTGATCCAGTAGCTGCAAGATTAGAGCCGCTTATTTCAGCTAGATTTTCTCAGTTACCTCCAGTCAATGTTGCGAGATATCAAAAATATCCTCTTGGCAATGGTCAACCTTATCACTTACGTAAGCACTACTGATTTATTGAGATCTTCATTTTTAAGTTAGTGAAGAAGAATTAAATGTTTATCGATTTTTTTTTTATTTATAGTAGAAGCTATCCAAACGAATCCGCAATTATTTACTGATGGATTAAATACTTCAAGCACACCACATCTAAGAAGAATGTCTGATATATCGATTCAAAGTACAATGTCTGGTCTTATTGATAATGTTCCACTTCAAGCAGCGTCTTCGTGTAAGTTAACATTTAATCGTTTTTAGAATAAATTTAGATTAACATCAAATAAAAAGCTTCTTCATTTTAACATATTCTATTAACTTTGATAACAGATAATTGTAAAATGTTATTTACAGAAGTTTATTTGCTATTAATATTATATATCCAATTATTAGAGATGAATTAATATACTATTAAGTAAATTGAGTTATGATTATAAAGGGATGAAATTAGTACATCAAGTGATCCATTTATACCATTATTGTGAACACAATTGACTTAGTTAATTAAGATGCAATTAATAATTAATATCATTACTAATTGAATTGTTGCCAGTGACCCAGAAGTGGTGGGGGAGCAAAAGGATTGATTACGCCCTGTATTGTCCTGAAGGTTTAGCCAATTTTCCCACCAACGCATTACCTCATTTATTCCATGCGAGCTACTGGGAATCATCAGATGTGATTGCATTCATATTACGACAAATTGGAAGGTTTGATTTGCCGATGCTTGCTGGAGAGGAAAAGGAGCTTGCTTGCTTCCGTCCAGGTCAACCACGAGAAAAGTGGAATAAAAAACGTACATCAGTTAAGCTCAAGGTAAGTCTTGCTATTACACTAAAAAATATTTAATTAAAAGAAAATGATTAAAAAAAAAAACTAATAAAAATGTGAATACATACATTTACACATTAAAGAATACCATCAATGAGTTGATTTGTATTTCTTGTATTTCTAGAATGTCGCAGCAAATCATAGAGCCAACGACGTCATTGTAAGGGAAGGTGCGCCACAGATATTGATCGCTCGATTCATGTACAGTCCCATAGACGTGATTGCTCTGACAGGTGGGTGATTATTGATAAATAGTTGTTTTGTTAAATAGAAAAAAAATGCGTTCAATATTGATCATTATGTCAAACTGTAATTTTTTTATCTAGGAGAAAAAGTTGATATTCACGTGATGAAAGACGCACCTGCAGGAGAGTGGACTTACTTGTCTACTGAAGTGACTGATAAAAATGGGCGAATTACTTATCGCATTCCCGATGAAAAAGCTCTTTCTTATGGTCTCTACCCTATTAAAATGGTCGTGCGGTAAATAATGTTGATTACTTGAAAATGCTTCTTCTAATAAATCTCTCGACTTCTCAGTTAAAATAAATGGTTGAACAATTTTTTAGGGGAGATCATACATCAGTTGACTTTTTCATGGCTGTGATACCGCCAAACACGGAATGTGTGGTATTCAGTATAGATGGTTCATTTACAGCAAGTATGTCGGTTACCGGAAGAGATCCCAAAGTACGTGCAGGTGCTGTTGATGTCGTGAGGTAATAAAGTTATAAATTGCGTTGTTAAATTGTCTTTTGTACAATCTTTGACTCTTTAAAACATTTATTATCGGTCTTTACATAATTAGACATTGGCAAGAACTTGGATACCTTATCATCTATATCACAGCGAGACCAGATATGCAGCAACAAAAAGTTGTATCTTGGCTATCTCAACATAACTTTCCTTATGGGCTTGTTTCCTTTGCTGATGGATTATCAACGGATCCTCTAGGTCACAAGGCTGCCTACCTTAATAACCTTATACAAGAGCATAAAGTTATAATCCATCAAGCTTATGGTAGCAGCAAAGATATTGCCGTTTATACTGCAATAAATTTGAAGCCAAAGCAAATAATAATTGTTGGAAAGGTATCTAAGAAGCAACAAGCTCTTGCAACAATATTAACAGAAGGATATGCAGCGCATTTGAGTCAACTTCAGGCCCATGGTGGGTCAAGACCAGCTCAAGGAAATGCGAGAATGGTTATTCCGCGAGGACAATTTGGATTACCGGGTTTAAATTCATCGTTACGTCGAAGAAGGTAAACTTTATTGAAAATTTTATAGTTTTCAAACTTAGGAATGACATTAAAAATGATGTAAACTTCTTTAATTAATATTTTAGTTACCAGAGCGATGATAAAGGTCTCAAAAATAATTCTGAAAACTTTCCTTAGTCTAGAACTCAATTATAATATTTATTCTTTTCAAGAGTATTATGAAAGAATCTTGAAGTAAAACTACAATGTAATTTTGCAAAATCAATTGTCAATTAATTGAAATCACTTCATTCACATCAATTTAAAGGTTTGAAAAGTTTTAAAAAGAAGTCAATAAAAACTGTCAAAGACATGCAATCCTATCAGAATTGAACCAATAGTTTACATCATTTTAATGCATCTGAAAGCGTCGTAGGTGGTGTTTTTGCAGTACGCGAATACGAGCCCTGGCTCTGTTCCAGTAACGAGAAAGCGGTCAACTCACCAGCTCGCAACAACGTGTACTTAAAGCGGAAAGTCTACCTTACCCACATCTAACACACGTCTATTATCTACCTACAATTTATTCACTCACATTGGTAATTATCTATCTCCTGTCTCTCTCTCTCTCTTTCTCTCGTTTCTCTCTTTCTATCGCACTCGATCCCTCTAACGATCACAATACACAAATTGTCCTAGCAATCCTTTCAGATATATCTCTAGAATTATCACACGACTTCAATAAGTATTATCTAGTAGACAATTAGGAGTATAAATCCTAAAAGGTGGAATGAAAATTTACTTAAGGTATCTAAATATCTTCCTGCTGATAATACAACCTTTTTGTCATGTGCTCTAGCAAGATAAGAGCTTTTTTTATCCTTTAGATAGATTTTCAGGAATATTAGGATTAGTTTTAAGACATTATTCGGTTCCAGGTACCGGCTCTGAAGTTGTGTCACATTGTCGCGAGTCGATGTTACTCATAATTGCTCTCGACAAGAGCACCAAACATCACGTTCCACGATAAGAATAATCCTTTTGTCGTCAGCCATGCTATTATCCAGAATTTGCACCCGATTACGGTTCCGAACAATCAGACATCGTTGGCATGGCAATAAAAATTCACATTTGTTTGCTTCCTGATGATCATCGTGTCATCGTAGCAACTCCCATATGTGAGATCGGCAGTTGATCAGTATTTAGTGAGACAGGTAAAAAGTTCACTGCGACTCATGATTACAGTTATGTTGGGATTTAGGTGAATATACAAAGAAAAAAAAAGATCCTTTCATAAATTGGGGATAGTCTTTTGAAGAAAATATGCTCTTTGAATACTTGATAAATTTCTAATTAATTAAATTGAATGATTTAGCTTTTTACTAGAGGTACAAGTTTATAAGAAATGATTATGACACTTCAAATAAATAGAATATTTATCCGCATATTTTTCATAAACTTTGGAAATTAATTATTTACATCAAAATTGATTATTCACAAGGTTTTTTTTTGAATAATTATTTAAACTGAAGTAACTAGTAAAACCACAATCTGTTAAAATTAAAATAGAAACTTGTTAAAATAATGAATAGTTTAAAAATTACAAAAAATTAAAGTAAAAAAGAAAAGTTTTTTCTCTGTATATTTCTCAAAGTCTGGACTAGAGCTGTAACTGCTGTCTAGATTGACCACAGGTGGAACCTGCTGCTTGCACGAATTTAATTATCTGAGCCGTTAAATAACCCCCATCTCTCCTGCACGTTCTCTAGATGTGAATGCTGAGCGATCAAGTCTGGCTTTTCTATTTTGTGTGATATAGTGTCTCAGGAAATTCATTTACACTAAACTCTCTCTTGTCAAAATAAAAACATCTTCGTAAATTATTCCAGCTTGTATTTCAAGATATTTATTAATTACCCTCGCTTATTATCGTTAACCTTCTCATTCTCATCGCCAAAAAAAAAAAAATGTTTAGATTCTTCAAAAATCATTGATCATCCAAACTATATTTGAATGATTGTCATTCATTCTTTCACCTCAATGTTCCCCGCTTTATGTACATTGTTATATTCTAACAATTTCGATCAATTCGAGTGCTAAGAAGCTATGGAAGCTGCACCGCTGCTTTGTTTATGCCACACAAAATTTAATTCAGTATAAAAGATATTTATTTTTGGTATATTATTTCAAAATACTGAGCCATTTTCGAAACGCTCTATTTTTATGAAATAATTTAATCGATAAAAGTTTATTTTTAAATACAAAAAAAAAAATCTGAGTGAAATTTAATAGTATAAAAAATTATGAGTTAACACTTGAAATATTTTTTGGAAATTATTTTTTATCATCAATGATAAGTTATAGAAATATATTGTATGGCTTATCACTTACGAATTTTTATCGAAATTTAATCACCAAATAATACAACGTATAACAAGTTTACTGAAATTTTCAATTTTTCAAATGAAATATTTATTATGAAAAATATTGAAATAAATGGTGAATATATTTAAAACAATTATATTAGAAATTTATTATCACTTGTAAAGGTAGGATTTTTTTGTCAATTTATTATTCAATATTTGACATTTAAATTCAGCTAAAATTGCTGTAAGAACTAAGTGGTTTCTACTAATGTGTTGAAAATGGTCGTAACAATGTGCCGAAAAGAGCCATCACTGTGAATGTATTAACGAAAAAAAAAATGTCCATTAGTTCTTTTAGGACAGCCAAGCGTGCCATCTTACAATCAGCATCTGTGGGCAAGCCGGAGCAGCTTGAAAGAAGCACAAGTGTTGGACCCTCATCAAGAAGACCTTCTTCACCACCATCATCAAAATCAACGGCTCCTGATAAACTTTGACGATTTGCTCGCTGCCGTTCATTCTTTGAATCACGGCAGTGAGATTTTAACATCATTCTACAATCGTATACAAACTAATCCATTTGAAACAATAATTTATTCAATATTTAAATTTAAATATGATCAATTTGATGATATGAAAGTGAAATTGAAGTCAATGTGATGAATTAGTACATTTCAAATCTAAGAGCTCAATGTCTTAAGCAATTCTCCGGTCTGCCCATTGCATAGTTTATTTTTTATACAGACATTCTAGGTATTCATCATCAAGATTATGTCACTTACAAATGATGTTTGTCATTCATCAAAAGGCAACATATGCGGGTAAGTTGAAGTAAATATTTTCAAAATGAAAAAAATCAATTGTTCGATTGTAAAAAAATAGTATTAACTAATATTATAAGAATAAATATCAAGAGTAATAATGATACTATAAATAATAATGATAACAATAATAATAATAACAATAATGATAATAAATACAGCATTAATAATTCATGGTTGAAATTGATATAAATTGTAAAAAGACATTAATGAATTGTTGAATACTGTTACCTGATTTCTTTGTTGTTAAAAATTTTAATTAAAAAAATTAATGTGTGTTGATTATTGTAATGATTGATAAACTAATAATGTCATGAATGATTGGATTATTTTTAATTATTTTAAACGCAGTATAGTCAAGTTTGCATTTTAATTTCAGTCGTCATAGAAGTTCAAATGAATAAAAAGCCATGACATTAGAAGATACATAGATATCATATCATTGTGTTCGAGTGATTTATTTGGAAAGATATATTTTTCATACAAAAATACACAATAGCTATACTTTGGAATTTTTTTTTAAATTTATAAATAATTTGTAAATTCGATTCTTTGGTGCCTGTAATTTAGGGCAGACTTGACTGTGATTATTGCTATATATAATAATTCAATCTCTGATAACGCTTATGATGCAATTAAACTGTATTTACAATCATATTTCGATATGGATATAGATATACATTAATGTATCAAAGACAATGTTATTAATAAGAATATTTAAGTGTTAACAAAGTCAAATGTAAGAATGAGATAAATTTTTATGGTTGTAATAAACATGACATCAACATAAATAATAATATTTAAGTGCAACCACAAAGTATTTTATGTATTAAAACGATGATAAAAATCATATTTTTGTTAGTATATCGAACTGAAATCAGCGTTGCAAAAATTGTTTATGTATATTGATATATAACATAATGTATATAAGATAATTATATATAAATACACACGTATATAAGTACTATACAATGTGCGATGAGTTAAAATGTTAATTATTAATAGACGTTTTAGACTAATCAGATAAGAGAATAGATTTATTTGATTAATAGAATAAGCAATCAAGAGTATAATAAATAATTATTATTGTTAAATATATTTTAACTGATCGTACAATGCATAACGTTGAATCGTGATTGCTTTAAATAAAATGTCTACTGAATAATCTCCTGTGACACACACGTATATGAGTTTAAAACTTGATTGTTTTGACATAAAAATTTATGAAAAAATTCAATGATATAACAAATATTTTAATTACTTATACTTATTGTATATTGAAGTATATTCATTATATTTTATTCATTCTGTAAAACATTTATTGTATCCCTTTTTTGTAATTATTCATTAAAAATAATTTAAATTGCGCCAATAATTTTTATTTATTACCACAGAATAGTGTTTTAAAATCTATCCAATGTACACTTAATTTTAGTAGAATTCATTTTTTATCGCAATTATTATCTTATCTTAGTAATAGTAACATGATTAGAACTAAATTATAAATTTTTTGTTCAAAAGGATAATTTAAAAAAAAAAAAAAATTTGGCGTTCTTTATGTTAACTTTGAAAATGACATGAGGTTGTGCTTAGTTTGATACTTTTCTTTTGTTGTTAATAATTAATTAAAGTATTAATTAAAACAGACATAAAAAAGATAAGCCAAAATCTTAGGTACGGTTGGAAAGTAAATATTTAGCGAAGATAAAGTTTATTAGTATACGACGTAACGGTAGTAGTACTTTGAAGAGTAAAACTTGTCTTCTTCGTAGCCAGTTCAGTTTTGCTTGAAGGCATCTGCTTTTGAGTTTTGTTATTTATCGTTTGTTTAAGAAGGAAGAAAAATTAAAATAAAACAGAGAGTAGGTTATATTTCCGTGTGCTTTAACATTGTAAGGGAAATAGCTTTTGTTTTGGTCAGCCACCAGTGAAGAATATACTCATTATTATACAAAACTGATAGAATCCAATTACTGCTATATCACTTTCAAAGTCTATCTATATATACGTAGAATTTCTATTAAATAACACAACAACTGAGCAAATTACAAAATAAATTGAAATATGTAGCTTGAAATTCTCTTGAGACAAGTTGAAAGCTTTGTTGAGAACAGTGACAGAATTTAACATTGAAAGTCTTTTTATGTTGAATAATTTTATTTACTTTTTTTTCCAGCATTTAAATACGTAAGTCTTGATATTTTTACTGTTTCCTTTATTATTTAAAAAATATTGACTCAAGTTTAAATTACCCTTGATATTTGCCGTTTCTTTCTCTTGTTTTATGACTTCACCAGACTTGTTATCAGTGAAATTAAAATAACTTATAAACTTTTAATATATTTAATTATAATTTCAATGCATTTTTACATAATTAAAAGATACATCAATAGTTTATATAATGTTTATAAAAAACCAAGGAAATATTAATTTTTGCTCTACATAATTGTAATTCTTGCAAGAAAATTAATTTATGCTTTATAGCTTTTATCATAAAATACACATAAAATAAAAAAGACTAGGAATGCAAATTTAATATAATTCTCTGTAAGAAATATGACAGCTTTGAAAATAACTGACATTTGTTAATTATTTTTAATGAATATACACTTTCCGTTCATTTTCTTTTGATGTTTGTTTTCCAACATCTTTCTCATTACTGATAACAAAAAAAACACATGTACCACACCTTGAATTCTAATCCCCTTTCAAGGCACGTTTTTTTTCACAAAAAAGACTTGAAATTATTCTGTAATTCAATGACAACTATTTTTACATTGTTCTTCATCAAAGGATTTGGGTAATAATTCTATTCAGCTGAATACATGAGTATTGTTTTCAAAAGTGTCACAAATTTTCAGCTACAAATAAAGATAAGAAAATTTTCCACAGACTCAAAAATAATTGTAGAGATTCTTCTGTGAGTTTTCTATTATCTATTGTTTATTTTGAAAACAAATAACAATACTTTGTAGGAGAAGGAAATGAACTTCTTTTTTATAATATAGAAACTGCGTGCTTGTAGTTTTATAGAATATCTTTCTTATTAACTAAGAAAGAAAATACGACATATTCTGATACGTTACTTGTTGTCGAGAAAAGTTTACTAAAAGATTGAAAATGTAATTTCTTTAAAATCACGTGCTATAATAAAAATGCATAGAAAATAAATTACACTTACATGTAATAAGAAGATAGTTATAAAAGTGATTTCTGCTGCTTCCAACTAATACATAACTCACACTTTCATAAGAATAATAATAAAAAACTTATATTTACTCAGACGAAGCATTGTTAGAGACATCAACTCAAAAGTAATAAATATCACTTTAAGTCTGTTCGCTAATCTTATAAGTAACAAAAAGTTCAATAATAGATTTTTTTATTCATCTTCAATAGCCATTATTTTATCGATTTTTGTAAATTCTACGAAGTAGTAATAAATGATAGATAACACTGTTTCTATTGACCAGAAAAATTATTCACAAATTCGTACAAAAAGTGAAGTAATGAACTATTTTTTCACCATTGTCAGGAAAAGAAAGCGAGCATAGAATGGCTAGTGAGTTTATAGGAAGAAGGTTCATTCGAGCAAATAACTCCGATTACTCGACAAGTGAACAAACAGCTTATATACCTCACACTTGAATGTATTTTCACTTCTATTCGTCGAACAAGTGAAGCTTCTTATCGTTATGGAATAGACAGTGAAAATGGATGATCAACTTACGGAGCAGACAAAGTGCTGTCATTTTTCTTCGTTATTTTGTAGTTTCAACATTTCCTTACGATTTGATGCAGTGAGTACTCGGGTATGTAGTTACGGGCAAAAAGCCAAAGGATTCTCGGATTCCATTCGGACTTTAACAGACCGATAATTTTACGCCACTAGAATCCTTACTGCAAGAGTCTCTAGTTTCTGATGCTGGAAATACTAATCATTCACCATTAGTCCTTCGGGCAAATTGAGATTAAAAAAGTTGAATGGAAAATAATTAAAAAAAAAACACCTTCTCTTAAGTATCATATAAATCCTTTTCTCTTTTTACATAAGATAGGTTTTAGCATTTCACCTTCATATACTCTTCCAACTCTTGAAGGTCTTCATAAAAGTAGCAAGGATCATGCATATTGCATGAACATAGACTACTGCATTTACTTTTATCTTTCGGTGCTTGATATATATGGAAATATCCTCATGTATTGAGTTTATTTGCTCCTACAGTCTAAGCAAAATTTTACTTGATAGCTTCAAACATCCACAAAAAAGATTAATAGGATTTTGATACTTCTTATTTTCCCCATCATTCTTTTTTATGGTTATAACACTAGACTCGAATCTGTTTATTTCGATATCAAGTTGGCCATAAATAAATATGTGAAAATTGCTCATGATGATTCTTATTTAGATTTAGTGATCTAAGAAAAAATTTTATATTCATCAATGAAGTTCATGCAAAATTATAAATAGAAACCTTTCCCAGTTTAAATAGATAGACGAATATTCTTAAAAATATGGACTATACATTGCTATGCATTATCATAATATTCTTGAATAAACGAAAATGATATCTAATTCAGGTGCTCATTCTTAAGGGAAGAATAAATATTTGTTAAACAGAAATTTTACACAAATGCTACAATAGTATTACAGTGTCTTTACACTCAGATTACAAGATTGTCACACTGATTGAGTATATTTAATTATTTTGGTTTTATTACATCGTTAATGTCATCATTATCACAATTTTCAGAATTGTCTTATTAATAGTCGTGATTGATTTCTAGAATATTGCATCAAGAATGTACTTCATCTATCTCAAATTTATTTTATACTTGATTTTTATTTTTTCTGGGCAAGAATTGAAGATTTATTGATATATCTGCTATTGTCGTTTTTAAAAATCTTTTTTTATAATTTTATATTATAGTATTAAAATCAATAAATAAAATAGGGGGAATCTTCACTCTCATAAAAGGATATATCTTATTATAATTGGCAAATAAAATAGATTATCTAAATGTCTAGTTGATCGATAACTGGCATGTTAACTGACAATCAATATCAGATAATATTTCTCCAATGATTTTGACAGTTAACAGTTTCTCTTAATTTACATATCCACGTACAAGTCGAGAAAATTTATCGTATTAAATAGATATTTAAAGCTAGAATTGATTAGTCTTTTTAATCTAAATATCAATCCTACAAAATTGAAATTAAACTGTCAACAAACTCTTCATTAATATTTTCAGTGATGGCATTTAACTGCACTCAAACTCTTCTTTAGTTTAAGATCATAAATTCCACATTTATTTGTGGTACAAACTTTAAAAATACTTTGAAGTTTGCTCTTTAACTTGAATTAGTTCAGCCATGGGTTGTCTCATCAAATTATGTCTTTGATTTTAAAAAAGCTCGTATAAAGCGTGTTGAATATTTAATTTCTATAAACACATTATGGAATGTAACACACCTTAAAATGTGTGAAAAGTGAATACGAAATATAATAGTTTGTAAATAAAATTTCAACATTCAAACACGCTCAATATGAATTTTGATTCTGCTCGATTTGCAATGCAACTACTTTCATGTTTTCTTTTTGGTTTTCTTCAGTTTTTTTTTCCTGATATTATTATCCTGCTTCGATTCTGACTCCATCCTATTTCGATTAAATCTCAAAAATTAAGTGAGTCAAAGTTCAGATTAAGGCCGGCTTTAAATTTTTATCCATGAGGCTGATATTTTCTTATTAGAGAAATCTTTATCTTATTATTAGTAGTATTATTAACTTTATATATTTTACTAATAATATTTCAAATATTAACTAATGTACGAAAGAAATTTGTTACTCAACTAACTTTACTAAATTCTTAAGCCCCATATTAAAACTTATGACTCGTTGACATAAAAACGTGTTTTTTAACTTGACTAATTTTTCCGAACAAAAAATCTCCTTTTACTAACGTGCTTTTTAACATGAGGATACAAAAAACTTCTGTATTCAGAGTATTTAAAACTCTCTTAAGAGATTCTTGTTATATTTATAAAGCTCTACTATTTTTAAATGTTTAATAATCGAATTTATTTAATAATTCATATATTCTCAGTTATCAATCTTTAAAAAAAAATTTTTATGTAAAATATTACTTTCGTTAGCAGATTTCCCGAGTCAAAAAATTGGGACTCGTTTTATCTTGAAGTAAACTATTTAGACTGAATTTGGTCTGATTTAAACATTCTTTTATTCTAAATGTCTCAATTAGTCTTCATAATCCTATTTACATCGAATCTTCACTAGTCTCATTTTATCCTAAATATTTGCAATCATATTAAATTGATTTTATTCTCAATGTTTTCAATCATACTATCTTCATTTTGTATTCATTTAACATGTCTTTACCTCAAATGTTTTATTTAGTTCTCATAAGCCTTTATTAACCAAATCCCAGTTAGTCTCAGATAGGCTTCAATGTTTCTTGTCACACCAGCCTTTTTTTTACAGTCATTTTGCTTACTCAATAAAGTCCCAATAACGTTTCATGTATCTCATCCTGTCCTCATTTAATGGACCAAACAATTTTTAAATAGAACTCATTTTTCCTCAATAACAGGAAAATAAGACTTTTTTGAGGACAAAGTGAGATTTAAAAAAAATCTAAATTTCTCAAAAGTCTCAAATTGTCTTAATAATAGAAAACCGCGGATAAAATGAGACTTTTTAGTCCTATAGTCTCAAATATATATTGAAATTCGATTAAAGACTAATTGAAGACAAAATGAGTCCCAATTTTTTGAGTCGGGTTGTACTCTATTACAGCTAAATTCTTCTCTTGTTTTATTTACACGTTTTTTCTGTAGACTTTAATCTGTTTTTCCTGTTGGATTGAATCAGAAATATTTTCTGTTAGTAGTAAAAAGGAAGCTCGAATAAAGACATATTATTGTTAATGGAATTGAACATATAATTCGATTATCCACTATAGGAATTTTGTACACATATGAGAAAATAGTGTTTTATTAGAATAATTTATACCATAAAAAACGAATAGTGGTTTACGTGATACTTAATGGGCGTGGAGTGTACTTTATCGTGCTCATGAGTGTAATTTGCTCCAAAGAATAATTATCATTCTTTTATTTTTAAAGCAATAAAAATTGAACAGTCAAGAAGACTTCGGATCAATTAAATTAGTGCTAATAGCTTTTTTAAAATTAATCGGTAAAAAGAACTGAAAATCAGTAGCACTATAAATACATTATGAAAAAAATTTTTTGATTATTGAAAAGCAACAAACAACTATCTCATTATTGAAATACTTTCATAATATGTTTTTTAAATTAAACAATTCTCTATATGTTCAAACATTAAAATGACATCATTCCTATTCTTTCCTATTCATGTGTTCACTGATCATCAATACCAAGTTTACCTCTAAATGAATTAATAATTATCAGTAATTGGTTTGGCATTAATCATCACTGAATAGTCAGTGACTTGCAGTATTTTTACTGATTTATTTTAAACATAATTGTGGACAAAGCAATCTGTATTTTAGTACAATAGACATACTATTTAAATGAACCAAATACTTGATATAATTGAGTGTAAAATTATAGCAAACTACTGACAAAATGAATAGATTTTATTCCGAGAATCAAATACGACAACTATAAAACATCTTTGTACAAGTTTGTATGATTATTTGTCTTTAACTATGAATTGTTAGAAAGGGTATTATATTAAAGTTGGCGCAGCTAGAAATTGCTAGATAACTTTGAATCCCCATCATTCATGAACAATACATTGAGTTTTCTACAATGATATTAGATTTCAAAATAACTCTAATTAATTTCGAAAGAATAAGTAGTAGTTTTTAATTAAAATGTAACATTAAAATATTTTTATTATTCAACTATCTATGGTAGGATTTAAACAATTGTTTGATAGTAACTTTGATGAAAAAATGAATAAGTGATATTTTTATTTTCTAACTAACTAAAAGAATTAATTAATGCATGTTTAATTGATAAGGTAGAGAACTAATATTGTTTCTTTGTTTGGTATTTTTCTTTGACATAAGAAAACGAGTAGAATAGATTCACTTATTTATTAATGTTCTAGCTTTGTTTTAAAATATCTTAAGACATCTTATTTTTTTGTTTGTTTTAAGTCATGATTCTAAAAATAAAAATGTTGCTTTAAACAAGAATGGAATAAAAAATAATCGAGTATTCTCAACTCATTAGCACTTCCATATAACTTCCAACATTTAAAAAAGAAAATTAATTAAATACATTCTCTTGGTGATTTCAATACTCCCTGATGAAACTTTTGCACGATAATTTCTTCTCTATAGACGATATACGTACGACCGTTCAAAGTGAGTAACAATATTATCTCTTTGACATTGAATTACATAACCAGGAAAGAAAACTATCGAAAATTACCCGTTTAAATTGATAGTCCAAACAAAAATATCAATGTCAGCTTAAAAATATCAATAACTACTATCAAACGGTACTCTAGAATCAATTACTTTTCTATAAAAAACAAATATTAAATAACATTTAAAAAATATTTCATCATAAAAATGAATAAATTTGTTTCCCTTTTTATCAAAGAAAAGACTTGAAGAACATTCAAAAATCATCAAAACCCACTTTTTTATCGTTACTTTTTTATTTCTTGCTGTTTGGTTCATTTTTACGGTTAACTAATCCGTCTTTACCATTGGAAATCGCATTTATGAGACTCCTTGTAGCGTTAGGACAAGGTTTGAGTTTTTATCTACCCGATTTATCGATCATAATTGATTCAGAATAATGTCAGTTCGTCAGCATTTTAGTTTGTGTCATTCTCTTGACATTAATGACGCTTAGGGGATATATTTTATATATCGATAGCATCATAAACAAGGGAAACAATCGTGCAAGAGACATTGCGGTAATGTTTCCAGTGGATGAAATGTTGTAGCTTCCTGAATAGTTTCTATATACTGGCGCATGCTCTTCTTCTCCTGCTTGCACACATTGCTCCAGGTGGAATGTGAAAATCCATATCGCTCATGAGTGTTCAGTCTCTCTCGATGTTCCTCTGCCAGTCGGCGAGGAAGGAGCGATCGAGAAACAGCTCCTTCTTCATCCTCTTGTTAAAGCCACGCTCACACGAGATATCTCATCATTCATCACCACTTTAGTGTTTGAATAAACAAAAACTTATTATTATCGATTACCAATAAATCAAATTATTTTACTTTTCTTATTCAACAATAAGAAAAAAATTTTGATTAAAAATCATAATAAATAATGAAATATAATCATATAATACAACGAAAGAAGGTTCTATAGAAGAATATCATCTATTTTCTAAGATCAATGGACCGCGCGCCTTCAATTTGAACGTGAACAGTGAGAAAGATTGATGATGATTAGTCAGCTGGTCTTTGGTACACAAAAGTCGACTAAAAAAATTACAATTATTCACTAGATTATTTAACATATTTTTAGCTTATTTCTGCAATAAATTACTCGATAGATTCGTAAATATTTTGAACGCGGCGACGACCACGTGTTTGCGCTGACTATTAACAAGTAGTTGCAATTTATTCTGCATTCGCTCGTCACATAAATTCAAATTGTCACGTGTTTGTTAATTATTTTGATGTTTTTTCCTTTTGTTTTTCAAGGACAAAAAGTGTGAAAAAAGAGTTGTATAAAAGAGACATTTTTTGAAAAATTATTGTGAAAATCAAAGCCATCAGGTGTGGTGGCAAGAAGAGACTTGGATTATTAATTGGTAATAAGACAATATCATTAGGAAACTGATCTTCACGTGGAGTATATATATATTTGATTCTGGACAAACACATATATATATATATATATATATTAAGGGTCAGTGTGAACGATATCAGCACTCAGGAATGGCTCAGATGGCTTTGATAAATGACAGTACATCACTTGAGGGTAACTATGTGCACAACATCCTCAATCACATAAATGAGCTCAATGATTCTCTACTTAGTAAAGAGTTCGAGTGCTTACAAGCAAAACAGCAAGCTGAAGCTTTTGACAAAAAAGGTGTCTGTGAAGTCGACTGGGATAAAATTCTTTGTTGGCCACAAACTCCAGCTGGAACACTTGTTAAACTTTCGTGTTTTGATCAACTTTATGGCATCAAGTACGACAGCAGTCGTAAGTAACTTTGTTTTAATACTTTATTTAATTGTGTATTGTCGGATTTTCTTTTGTTTAAATAGTGTTCAGTTTAATTCTTAACCGGTTTTATGAATGAAGTATTTCAAATAATCTTGAACAAGTCCCACATAAAAGTACTTCTCCATTTCTTCATTTATGCAATTTATTTCCGTCGCACGGAAGAAATGGAAGAATGAAAAACGTAATTGGATCTTATGCTCCTCAACTTTGAAGATGATTTTATGCTTAGAAAATATGATTTGTCAATTGTTTAAATTACTTACTTTGTCAGAGATTACATTTTTTTAATATATCACTTTTCTTTCATTTAACAAAAACACTTACAGTGTTATAATTTTATTATTGTTAAATATTTACTTAATTATTTAAAAATAGCTCACGTAATATTCGAAGAAATTGCTCTAACATGTTGTGCAAATTAATCAACATTACCTCAATAACTAAAAGCTCAGTTTGTTTGTCTATTTAGAAGATGCTTCAGGTCAAAAGTTATTTTCATTCAATGAACAGATGAGATTTTTATTTAATATTTACCGAGAAATTTGTTTGAGTAACTTTATGATTGATAAAAATCATTTGAAAAAATAGAAATATTATTTTTATAACAATTGAAAAATCTAAAACAGTTTTCCAAATTTTATTTTATAAATGGAATCTTCTATTTACTGTTTGGAAGAAAATTTTTTGAATATATTTCGTTTAGTTGTTAAGAAAATCTATTGGAAGAATATTGTAAAAGCATACAAGTAGAAAAGTTATTTAATATTGACATTATTGCATATTCAATAAAATTTCAATCCTTTGAGTTCGGACTTTCTTTAATGAATATCCCCGTTATTGAAAAATTTTTTCGAAGTATGTAGATACTTATTACAAAGCGACAAAATATTAAAAAATGTATTATAACTAATACTTCAATTATTGCTTTTGATAGAATATAATAAAGAAATATTTTTAAAAATCAATTTTAAATACTTTTATGAAATATTTCTCTCGGGTATTATTAAAACTATATTATGTTTATTTATTTATATCATTTTAGAAACATAAACATAAGAGTTTATTTTAGAGACTTAATACTTAGCTTTCAAAACTGTATTAAAATAGAGAGTATTGTGAGATAAAGTGAATTTATTTATATTTAAAACTCTACAAATCAAAATAAAAAATGTTGAGTAATAAAGAAAATTTAAGAGAAGATTATAAAAATTTGCGAGAGATTAGCAATGCTAAAGAGCACTAAAATAAGGATTACACATGTTGTGGATCATAAAGGTACTCTAAAAGTATAAATTTAAATACTTTTTTAATGTAATTATTGAAAATATTTTAACTATTGATTTATAAAATGGACGAATGTATTTTGTTTTACTTTAAAAATCGATGTACTTTTCAATTATGACAATATAAAAATAACCAATAATCGAATTTTTGACATTAATTTATTCTCTAAAATAAAAATAGTAAAAAAATGTTATTTTGTGGATTTCAAAATTTTTTTAAATACTTTTAAAATGCTAATGGAGCTTTTTATCAACATTTTATAAGATTTATAATCTAACTGACTTCATTTTGATAAAAATCTGATTGAAGAAATATTGAAATTGACACATGTCGACTTCAAAAGTTTCTTTCAGTCTCATGGGACAAATATTCATGGAGGAAAATATGAGATGGATATTTGAGAGATTGAATTTTATACAGAATATATTGTAACAGCAATTGTTAAGATACTAATTACAAAAGATCATTTCTCCCTCGGTATTATTTAATCAGAGAAAGTTGGATTAATAATATCAATCAAAAGCATTTCCTAAATACCATGAGAAATGACTTATAAAATATTAGAAGCATTAGTGAAATAAATCACCAATAAAGTTGTAGAAGTTGAACAACTATTTGCAGAGTAAAAAATTTGCTAATCATAATAAATAAAAATAAAAATATTCCTGATAACATTGAAGAAGTTTATTAGATTTTCTGATAAATAATAAGATTTTTTAAATATTAGAGCATTTTAGTATTGACCTTAAAAAATCCATAAATAAAAAGAAAAACAATAAAACGAAATGAAGATGTTTTTTTTCCCGTATAAAAAGTATCAAATCATGTTTGTTTTTATGAATCGTTCGATGACTTTGGGAATAGAAGAAGTCTAAATCTGTTTAAAGTCGCACGCTGAATTTAGATGAAGCAAAGTTGAGGGCTAAAAATAAATACGGTACTCCAGTAGTAGCAAGAGACGTAAAAAGTTTGTCTGTCATTAAGTTTCTTCCTCTATACGAGATTTATCGAAGCACGTGTTTTGCATTGTCAACGATATTTTCAACTGGATGCGAAGAACGAAAAGACGTTGATATTGACACGAAATGACACACATTCTATTGCAAATACGTAAATGTTTTCTCACCTAATGTAATATTCCTCCCAAGAGGTAGTATATATTGCTCCTATTCTTTCACTCTTCAAGTATCACATCTATTTCAGTATATTTTTTTTTCTTACGCTAACCATTCTACTCTCATTTATCATTTTTACATTTTGTTAGTTGACGTATGTCTCTAACACTCGCACTTCTTCAAGTTTAATTCGAGGACTTGGAGGAATAGAAATTGATCCTCATCACTTTCACAGAAATTGTAAAGAGATCAAAATGTTGAAAGATATCGAGTTTTTCTTAATTTAAATTCACAATCTTACAATGCTCTATAGATCATTTCTTTCATCAATTCGTCACCTAGGGAATTTTTAAATCAAGTCATTACTTTCTTTCACGAAGTTCATCTAGTTTTTCGTGTTCTATCCGAATAAGTAATTAATATTGTTTTTAGAGAAATTAAATGTGATAAAAGAATGTTGCTCTCTATTTAGCTGAATTAAACCATTTTCATTTGGTTCAAATGATTGGAAAAAATGGATATTGAGATGATCTACAGTGTCAATAATAAAGTGCTTTTTTCCATTTATTATTGACGTCAATTTTTAAGTGATTAATTTAGCTTATTATTCATAGTATCGTAAATGAATGAAAGAGAGTAATTTTTTTAATAATCATAATTGATCTATGGTAATAAATTTAATTATGAATCTCTATGAATTGAGTTCAGAATAAACTTTGATTTTAAACAAAATTAATTAAAAAATCTAGATAAATATGAACATAGAAGAAAGTTTTCTATTCTTTGGTCTTAGAACAATGTTCCATTTTCTTCATTATCAATTAATTAGTTTACTTATTTACTACATAAACAAAGTTCCTTGGTTGGATAAACTTTTAAAGTATTGAATTATCATTAATTTTAATTATATCAGATATATCGATTTACATTTACTGTTAATTCTAAAAATTATAATGAAAGTTTTTATAACTACATATGCATTATTTGTAACAATTAAAAAAGAAGGCAAGTTTAATACTTGATAAATTCAATTTGTTAGTTATAATTATCACGATTATACAAATTAAAATTTTAGTGTATTTTTGAGAGTCAAAAAAAAATTTCAATTTCAAGGATGAATTTTAAAAAAGAATAATTTTAAAATAGCATATAAGAAAAGAGTATTTAATAAATTGGATGAACATTCGTTATTCAAAGTTCAAAGATTAAATTATGAAATAAGGTGAAAAAATAACAACTGATAGAATATTCTATCAACAATTCTATTTTTCGTGGCCTCAAAAGTCTAAGGCTTTATATAGACTCTTTAGTGTCTATATACAGAAGTGCATACGAGATAGAGAGATAGCAAATATAACTTAGTTCTTTTTTATTTATCTTCTGTGGCATTACAAAAATTAAATTACTCAGACCGAATATAACATTAACAAAACAGGGACAAAAGTGCACGAACATTTTTAACAAGTTTATCTTTGTACATTTAATGCTTGTCATCATCTTCTGTAATATAGGAGTTTCTTTACTACCTACGACGTGGCTATTTATACCACTTTATTATAGATACGAACCCTTATCATCCTCGAATAGTTTATAGATTTCTTATCGCATTAAAAGAACTGCACTTTTACATAAATACTTAAGGCGATAGTCTATCATTATTTCAATCATTTTCTCTCTTATATTTCCTTTCTTCTTTACTTTTATTTTATTTATGTTCTTTCTGCGTGGACCCTTTTTTGCTTTATTGAACGCACAAAAATTGTCGAAAGCTAAACAAAAATTTTTTATTAAACTTTCATAACAAAAAGCAAGTAATATCACGTGCTTTCAAGTGTTAAATTGAATATTTGACTGACAGACGTTCGATTGAATTCTTTTCCCGATCAATTTTACAACATGTACATGACAAAAGTACTTTATTTTTACTAAACGGAGAAGTGTATGTAGTACGAAAAGTCATGAATTTAATATGTAGGTGTTAGATGGATCCATAGAACTATTGTCTTTACAACTGCTCCAAAAAATTATTCAACTTTCGTTTGTTTGAAATTATATGGGTATAATACTTTTTTTTTTGCATTATTATTCTTACAACATTGATACAATTTTTAAAAAAAGACCCATTTGAATTATTTTTTAAAATTATCATCATGAAATGGTGTTAACGACTAATAATTATCTAATTAGTTCACTTAGCCATCAAAATGATTCGATAAATAAACTATTTATGTGTTTATGTAATAATATTTGTTTAAGATTCTGGGTGACACACAACTGAAGAATAATAGTTGAATTGTTAAATATGAACAGTATATAGCAAAATAAAATGTTTATTATTTTGAAATCGTGATAACGTTTTTACTCCAAAAGAAACATTTTTAAAAAATTATTTTGTGTAACTCAAATTTAACAATATCAGTGCTCTCCAGTGATCTGTGTACGACCCAAAAGGTCCACATGACTAACTTCCCAGTGGAAATAATGCAAAGATTTTACTAGTTTACCATTTTTTTTAGTTTTTTGATTCTGCATAAAAAATAGCTGGACCGATTTTGCTAAAAACCTAATCAATTTTAA